AAATGCCTTGAAATGAAATTTGTTTCAGGTTCTTTTTACAGAATTTTTCGCCAAGTGATGGCATGGCATTCTTTCTTTTTCAATTAATTTACCGTACTTCCTCTCCTCGTCTACATAATTCGTGTTCAAATTATGAACTTTTTCTTTAAAACCATACCCAAGGCAAGTTTACCATAAGTGGTTTCACACTTTCTATCATGTCAAAATAGATAATGTTAGAATAGTAAAACCCACTATTTGTTTCAATCAGTTTGTTCTAAGACATCGCCTTTCTTTTTTCTAGTTTCCTTCACGTTTTCATTTTGAATGTTTTCTTAACATTAATCTGCGTCTTGTTTGCTTGTTTATCCCTCATGTGGAAGCATTATCAGGTGAGATCGTCTTTTATATGTTTCAGTGTAGGTGTAGTTGTGAACCGTTTTTAAATCAATCTTTTATATTTGATACGTTATGAAATATTGAATTGGATGAAATTCGATCAAAATGATCAAATTAATTTCTCTAAAGCGTTAAATGTTTTGCCATAGATTCACTGGAGCGCTGTGTGGTCTTACTTATGTTTATGCTCTGCCACCAATAATTTTTTCTCAAAAGAAAATGGAAGGAAAGCTATCTGTAATAACTGTTATTTTCACTGTGGTATTGGCTGTTGGTGTTTTGAATTTCATTGGAAGTGATAATTTCAGCATAATCACATCAAATACAATAACTAGGACGTCTCACCCAATATTGTACACTCTAAGCATATCTAATCATTGGATTATGTAATGTTACTTAATTATAAAAACGTGCATATCATTATTTCGCTTATTTCACCAAGTTGTTTAGTTGTTTAGCAGCAACCTCACTAATGTTGTGGGAAAAAGATTGAAACGTTAAACATTTTCATTTCAATCAGATTTATGTCATGTTTGACGATGATAAAGATGCTTTTTACACGTTTGTAACAACTTGTATCTATAAAAAATCTCACCAATAACTGTTTAACGTTTTCAAGTTTTTTCAGGGGGGTGAAATCATCACATGGAGTCTTAGTTACAAAAAGCATTCCATTCTTCAGTTTTTTGTAATTGCGTATGAGCAAAGCATTCTGCCTAGCGTACAATGGATGTACTTCTAAGCGAAGTTTGTATTGCGTCCATTTTCTTGTAGGTATAACATCACTTACAACCACGCGAATAAAGGAGGTATCCGCTGTACACTGGTAAAGACAACTCAGAAATAGTACATAGTAAAACAGGAATCGTATGAATTCGATCATTAATAAAAGCTCTGGAATCACTAGTATAGAACCTAACAGACACCAATTTAATCCAATAAAATTTAAAAGATCGATACCATGAACAAAAACGCCTGTACATTGAGGGTTACAGGGATTTGATTTATAGAGAATATAACCATCATTAATGGTTATACATACCATTTTCTGTATGTTTTATAATATCTGAAATTTTACTAATTTTCTCATCTGGTTTACACCATAGTGACACACAAACACGAAATTTTAAGTCCTCGTAAAAATTTACTTGTTTTTAGACATCATTTCATCATGGTTATACATACCATTTTCCGGTATGTTTTATAATATCTGAAATTTTACTAATTTTCTCATCTGGTTTACACCATAGTGACACACAAAAAGAAAAATTTTAAGTCCTCGTGAAAATTTACTTGTTTTTTAGACATCATTTCATCATGGTTATACATACCATTTTCCGGTATAATTTAGAATCTCTGAAATTTTACTAATTTTCTCATCTGGTTTACACCATTGTGTCGCACAAACACGAAATTTTAAGTCCTCGTAAAAATTTACTTGTTTTATCATTTCATCATGGTTATACATACCATTTTCCGGTATGTTTAATATCTGAAATTTTACTAATTTTCTCATCTGGTTTACACATAGTGACACACAAACACGAAATTTTAAGTCCTCGTAAAAATTTACTTGTTTTTTGTCCATCATTTCATCATGGTTATACATAACATTTCCGGTATGTTTTATAATCTCTGAAATTTTACTAATTTTCTCATCTGGTTTACACCATAGTGACACACAAACACAAAATTTTAAGTCCTCGTAAAATTTACTTGTTTTTAACATCATTTCATCATGGTTATACATACCATTTTCCGGTGTTTTATAATCTCTGAAATTTTACTAATTTTCTCATCTGGTTTACACCATAGTGACACACAAACACGAAATTTTAAGTCCTCGTAAAAATTTACTTGTTTTATATCATTTCATCATGGTTATACATACCATTTTCCGGTATGTTTTATAATCTGAAATTTTACTAATTTTCTCATCTGGTTTACACCATAGTGACACACAAACACGAAATTTTAAGTCCTCGTAAATTTATTGTTTTTATCCATCATTTCATCATGGTTTACATACCATTTTCCTCCATTTTATAATTCATTTATACTTCCATTTTCATTTATCTCCATTACACCATATGTTTCCATGTTTTCATTTTCATTTTAAGTCCATTTATTTGTTTTCCATCATTTCATCATGGTTATACATACCATTTTCCGGTATTTTTATAATCTCTGAAATTTTACTAATTTTCTCATCTGGTTTACACCATAGTGACACACAAACACGAAATTTTAAGTCCTCGTAAAAATTTACTTGTTTTAATCATCATTCATCATGGTTATACATACCATTTTCCGGTATGTTTTATAATCTCTGAAATTTTAATTTTCTCATCTGGTTTACACCATAGTGACACACAAATTTTAAGTCCTCGTAAAATTTACTTGTTTTCCATCATTTCATCCATTTCATACCTTCCATTTCCATTATAATTTTCTCATCTGGTTTACATGTTGACAACACATTTTAAGTCCTCGTAAAATTTACTTGTTTTATCCATCATTCATCATGGTTATACATACCATTTTCCGTATGTTTTATAATATCTGAAATTTTACTAATTTTCTCATGGTTTACACCATAGTGACACACAAAACAAATTTTAAGTCCTCGTAAAATTTAATCATTTCATCATGGTTATACATACCATTTTCCGTATGTTTTATAATCTCTGAAATTTTACTAATTTTCTCATGGTTTACACCATAGTGACACACAAACACGAAATTTTAAGTCCTCGTAAAATTTACTTGTTTTTAACCATCATTTCATCATGGTTATACATACCATTTTCCGGTATGTTTTCTGAAATTTTACTAATTTTCTCATCTGGTTTACACCATAGTGACACAAACACGAAATTTTAAGTCCTCGTAAAATTTACTTGTTTTTACCATCATTTCATCATGGTTATACATACCATTTTCCGGTATGTTTTATAATATCTGAAATTTTACTAATTTTCTCATCTGGTTTACACCATAGTGACACACAAACACAAATTTTAAGTCCTCGTAAAATTTACTTGTTTTTAGACATCATTTCATCATGGTTATACATACCATTTTCCGGTATGTTTTATAATATCTGAAATTTTACTAATTTTCTCATGGTTTACACCATAGTGACACACAAACACGAAATTTTAAGTCCTCGTAAAATTTACTTGTTTTTACCATCATTTCATCATGGTTATACATACCATTTTCCGGTATGTTTTATAATATCTGAAATTTTACTAATTTTCTCATCTGGTTTACACCATAGTGACACACAAACACGAAATTTTAAGTCCTCGTAAAAATTTACTTGTTTATCCATCATTTCATCATGGTTATACATACCATTTTCCGGTATGTTTTATAATCTGAAATTTTACTAATTTTCTCATCTGGTTTACACCATAGTGACACAAACACGAAATTTTAAGTCCTCGTAAAATTTACTTGTTTTTATCCATCATTGGTTATACATACCATTTATGTTTTATAATATCTGAAATTTTACTAATTTTCTCATTTTACATTGTGACACACAAACACGAAATTTTAAGTCCTCGTAAAATTTACTTGTTTTTAACATCATTTCATCATGGTTATACATACCATTTTCCGGTATGTTTTATAATATCTGAAATTTTACTAATTTTCTCATCTGGTTTACATAGTGACACACAAAACACGAAATTTTAAGTCCTCGTAAAAATTTACTTGTTTTAGACATCATTTCATCATGGTTATACATACCATTTTCCGGTATGTTTTAAATTTTAAATTTTCTCATCTGGTTTACACCATAGTGACACAAACACGAAATTTTAAGTCCTCGTAAAATTTACTTGTTTTTATCCATCATTTCATCATGGTTATACATACCATTTTCCGTATGTTTTATAATCTAAAATTTTACTCCATCTGGTTTACACTAAACACACGAAATTTTAAGTCCTCGTAAAATTTACTTGTTTTATCCATCATTTCATCATGGTTATACATACCATTTTCCGGTATGTTTTATAATCTCTGAAATTTTAAATTTTCTCATCTGGTTTTACCATAGTGACACACAAACACGAAATTTTAAGTCCTCGTAAAATTTACTTGTTTTTATCCATCATTTCATCATGGTTATACATACCATTTTCCGGTATGTTTTATAATATCTGAAATTTTACTAATTTTCTCATCTGGTTTACACCATAGTGACACACACGAAATTTTAAGTCCTCGTAAAATTTACTTGTTTTTATCCATCATTTCATCATGGTTATACATACCATTTTCCGGTATGTTTTATAATATCTGAAATTTTACTAATTTTCTCACCTGGTTTACATTGTCACGGAGTTTGTCATTTCCTTTTATAAAAACACTAATATGACAGATCACCTTAAATTCTTTGACGCACAGGATAAATAAATAGCTGCATCTCGATCCGTTATAAATGGCACCAAAACATTTGCTTTAATATGCAAGGTTTGTTAAATTTGATTAGGTCGCTTATTTACTGAAAACTGCTTCAAATTATTGTTGAGATGTCTTCCAATATAAAAGTAAAAATAAATTCGAGGGGAAAAGTTTATTCTAAAAGCAAGAGACCGGTAAGATTATGTGTACGTTGACAGTAAATGAATTCTCAACCAGAGTTCTATCTGAACGTCAAGTTTATTTTTGAAGAAAAAAGAGCTATCGATTTCTCAAAGTGAAGCGCACAATGTGTACAGAAAGAAAAAACGTATTGCAGACAGGGTAAAAGAATGATAAACTTTTTGTACCCTCTTTGATTAATGCAGAAAATATTGACTAAATTTGAAATGTAACAGCTATAAATCACATGCTCTATAAATATTTTAGATTGATCTAATGTCATCGGAGAAGAGCCTCAATCCGATGGTTTTGCTATATCTTGATGGACATGGAACGGTTAAAGCTGCTGGTAATTCTTCTATCAAAAGATTTTAGACTGTAGAAGTTAAGAATTGAATTGGATTATTTTTGTGTTTAAAATACGATTGTCGGTATAGAAGTAATGTAATCAATTCATTTAAACAGGAACGCCCGGCCTTCGTCGAGAAATCTTGAATATTTCCGAGATGCCATGTGCAAATATGTTGAAGACAATTCTTTGATTACAACTGACTCCCAAGTACTAACTTTTATTTTGTTGTTTCTAAATTGTATAAAAACAAATAAAGGTGTCACAATGCTGCAATAAAGTCTGTATCATTTTATATTAGAAAGCTGTGAAGACGTTTATCAAGTGCAGGAGATACGCTCTGATCTTGTTGATCCTGATGCTTTGGAAGAAATAAAACAAGGGACTTGGTCGTGCAAAGAGCTACGGAAACTGGTTTTAAATATGGTTCTCCCAAGAACAGCTGACATCGGTAAAAACTATTTTTGTATATTTGTGAGTAACTAATTTCTGATATACAACGGCAGACCTCGTGAATTCAAGATTGGTTTTAGACAAGAAAGGAAAACGGAAGTGGAAAGTGGCTAGAGTGAGAGACTTTTGGCTTAAAGCAGAGAAACCGTTGTTTTGGCCTCCTCACATCCCATTTGTTTCGCCATCTGCCAGGATTAATCAACCTTCAGGTAAATCAAGTGAATCAATCTTCAATATTTTCATTGTTTTATTTACATATTGTACACCATTCTCAGAGGATGATTACGATGAAGAAGAATTTGATGATAAAACAGAACGCTCGAGAAAAATTTTAAATAAGAAAGAACTGATAGAGATCGCTCTATCGTATGGAGAATACGTTCATGAAGTGATTATTGTTGTAGATTTAGTATATAGAAGACAACTCACTGCTTCTCTTAACTTTTGTTTAATTAGTTTACTGGAAATGAAAAAAATGAAGAGACAACACAATCATTTGGTCAAGGAAGACAAGAGGTACACACTAACCATCTTTTAAGAAATAATATAAGAACATTTAAACACGAACTGCTATTTGCTTTTATTCCCAAGAAAACTAATCGAGATGCGAATGTTGGAAAAGATACGTATACAAGCGAAGAAGATAAAAGAAGTGATGAGAGCGAGAAAAGAGAAGATTTCGAAAACAAATTTGATAACGAAGCTGCATTAAATAACATAAAAGAGGATGAAAGGGTAAATGAACGTCCAGGAAATTACAAAAAACAGCGTACCAAAAATGAACGTTTTTTTCTATACCCATCAGGAAGAGGATACACAATTAGTGAATTTACAACAGATGAGAGACATGTACGAAAAAGTAAGAAAACTTTTAGAAACTCACATTTATTTTTTTAAATTTCAAAACGATACCACAATCCATTTTAGAGAGAAATAGCTTGTATTGTTCGCGCAATGTTAAAAGACCCCCTAAAATATGTTGAAACAGCCTACGAATTGTTGGACTTAGCTGATACACATCAACATCCTATTACGAAAAATTTAAAGTATGAAATGCTAATGTTTATTGACTGATTGAACGGTTCTAATCTAAATGACAATTTGTTGATTCCTTAATAATATTTGAGTAGGTCACACGAAAAGACCTCATGGGCGTTCCACATGATTACGACACAAGTTGTCCTGGAGACATTTTCAACGCTTTAAGCATTGATCCCAATAGACTTCAACTCGATTCATTTCTATACGGAGTTGCACATCAATGTCATTTGGCATCCGAAGTAATATTTTGCTCTGTAAATCTCTAAGTTTTTTTATTTATAAAAGAAACACATCTTTTTCTAGCGCTCACGACAAACAAGTAAAGCAATTTCAAATGAAGAAATTATAAAAGAAATACAAGATTTCAACACTGAAGGTGAACATTCTCAAAATTCAAATCACGAAGAAAATTCTTTAATATTAAACAAATTTAGAAAACCTACATGACAAGCAAATTATTCCCTTTTTTAGAGGTTACCCTTACTAACACGCATGTTCAATGCATTGCTGGAGCACTTCGTGCGTCATTGGAAATATGGAGTCCCCAGTTTGAACTATTCCATATCTATTTTCCGTGTTTATGCCAAGTTACGGACAACGGAGGAATAGGCTACTTTAGTTTGACAGTTGGCAAAACTTTTCAAAATAGTTATGTATTTATGGAGCAAACATCTGAAAAGAGACCGACTAGAAGAAAAAAGCCAGCAACTACAATCAGGTCAATAAAAAATTGAATGTCTCATGTAAATGTTTCTATTGAATATGTGAAGAAAATTCCTGACGATAATAGAAAACTATATCTTTGACAGGAAAGAATGCAGTGAGAGAGTGAAAGGTGACATTCATATATTGAAAATATTTGACAAAAGGAAAACGACAAAGGTAGCATCAATGCCTTTTTAGAGTGAACTGTTTTGATGGCATTGTAATATACAAGAGTGATGTCGAAACATTAAATGGAAGCAAGTGGTTGTGTGATACCATAATTGACTTTTTTTTAAGGTAATGTGAAATGATTCAAATCTAACATATAGAAAGAAGCAATAAAAACTTTACAAGCTAACTTAAATTACATGAATGCAATAGGTATTACTGCAAAACGGCAGAAAGAAAAGACGATGGGGAACAATATTATGCCTTTTCTAGTTTTTTCCAACAGAAACTACTCATGAAAGGACACGTGTAAGTGTCCGGTTAAGATTTCACCCTAGATTCTAGAGATAATTACATGTTATAATATTTGCAATTTTTTCAGATCAAAGCGACCATTAGATCTTTCGGGATGCAACTTACATGGAGTGAGGAGATACACCTAAGAACATGTATCAATATAAAATGATTTTTATACCAGTCTGCGACATGTAAGAATTTTACAAAGAAAATCAGTTTCTATAGTTCAATTCTATGAGATACTTGAGACATGATATATTTTAAAGGACACATTGGTGGCTAGTGGTCCTTGAAGTTTTGACAAGTCGTTTATACGTGTTGTGCAGCATGGGTTGGAAGAATAAAACTGTTGCTTCAAACATAAGAAGGTTGTTATTTCTATACATACTGAACTAACAGGTTGCCTCTTTTGATATGTACCGACATGTTTCTAACTTCATAAACAGCTTTTTAACGTTAAGGTATCTCCAACACATAAAAGAAGAGCAACAATGGCCAGACCACATGGGAAGCATTTCAGAGCCTATTTATGCGGATGTAAGTCGAGTAATTGTTTGACAAGCATAAACACATTGATCTATAAAGTCAATGTATGGATATGTCACAAACGTTGTTATTTAATCACCATTCAGGTTGCAAGGCAAAAAAATGGTCACGATTGCGGCGTATATTTGTTAGAGTTTGCAAGAGTAATAATAAAGGAGGTATTTTGTTATGTAGACATTTGCTGTCGCAAAATACGCAAATAATTTAAAAGCAACATATTCCAGTATGTGACATATAACAGATAATTTTATCATATTTTAGGGATGCATCAACTCATCGATAGAAAATATAAACAGTGAGGGAAGACGTACGCAGCTAAAAGAGCTTCTTCAGTCCCTGTAACAGTCGACCTGTTTACACACAATGAAAAACAGGCGTTATATAAATGGTCAATGCTCGGCACATTTGTTCAATTACTTCTTCATATAAACTCTGATTGTGTCATGAGGTGCAACATTACTACTACATAGAATAATCGTGGAGTAAATATATATACTTAATAACTAATGAGTACCAGCATTATCCATTGACGTTGAAAAGCTATAATATCGTGCGAGTTATGATTTCAACATTTTAAAAATTGATTTCATTCATTTTCATATCCAAAATTTTTCATTATGCTATAAATGCGAAAAATATGAAGCTGTTTGAGGACAAAATGTTACAGCTATACGTTACGCAGACATGTCATAAATATGACGTATTTTCTTTAAAAATGATGAATTTAGAAAAATATTTCAACTGTTACTTAGACTTTTTTTGTTTGTTCCAAAGTGTTAGCATTTCGTTTCAACATGGTTCCCAATTAAATAATACTGGTTTTCAAATACTACTTATCTGATAATATTGCTGATTGCAAGAAACGTTTCCCTCTCTGGAACATCCCGTCCAGGATTGCATTTTATTATGCGCAACATGTTTCTGTACCAAATATACAATTTCGAAAATAGCAAAAAGTTGTCATATTCCATGTATGAAACCATTGACGCAAGTGGCTTCATTACAGAGTTACACTGCTCTGCAGCTTGGCTGTTGTGCGTTTTTAAAATGGGATATCTATTAATATCGTATCCCTCAGAGCAACCTATAAGAGTCAAAGATATGAGTCGTTTCAATTTCGACACACTTAGCATAATAAAATACGAGTTTTATACCAGAATGGTTTCTCCAATGAAACTTGTCGACGATGAATTTGGATTTTTTAAAAAAAGCAGGATCGCGGTTAAGGCAGTACTCGTGTAGTTTGCACGCGTTGTCATAGATCACTAGTTCAGGAGCTAAACATTATAAGTTTATTTGTTTACAATTGGGAGTAACGAAACGCTAACAATTTCACAATTCTCATAAAAGAATGAGAAATACCTCAAAAAACTTCAAATTACCTTCAGAAAATCGAGTTCTTAAAATGGTAAAAGGAACATTGGGTGATTCATGATCGGGCATCACTTGAAAGCCGTAACAAATACCTAAAAAACAATAAAAAAATCTCATAATTTTTCAATGAGGAGAGTTTACGGGATGAATTTTCCTGTCATTCTATGATCAAGAACATTAATGCTTCTTTGCCATACCGTGCGGACATAAAATAAGGAATATCCCAGGAATTAAAGACCCATGCTTCTTCTTTGAACGAACGCCTTTGGCACAATCATCTAAATGACCAGCTCTTTTTGTGTCAAGAACATAGTGCCCACGTTCAACAAGAGAAGGCAAAGATGGAAAAAAACCTAACTGACCATCACACTGAACTTGGGGAAGGTTGTGGGGCAAACGCTCACACCCGTTTTGGTCAGTAAAAGGACTGGACGCTTTGGCGACCATTTCCCCACAAAACACGTATGGGGTTTGGCAGCTCTGCAAAATGATTGCAAAGACAAAACAAGAGGGGGACCTGTTCGTGCAAAAGTTGTAAATCAGACAATGGATTGTCCTTTGGATTTGCTCCGTTGGCAATTCTGATCAACAAATCCTTCACCTCTCTCACAGGAGGTACAATTGCACAAACAGGTTTATCTGACGCAAGTGCTTTGAGAAGTCTTATGCAAGGTTCTGGAAACGTGACACCAAAATGTTCCTCTCTAAGGGATACGATTAGCATTTTAGGCCAGGAGATGAAATCTAAATAAACGAGCAATAGTAAAATAGCCTGTAAAAATAGCTACAACATGTTCTTAGCATATTGTACATCAATAAACAACTAACAACATTCATACTTCCGAGGTTAATTCCACGAGTTCGTCTTCTGTAATTTGGTTCTTTATAAATTTCTTCAACAACTCTCTCTGCCTCTTCCGATTGAGGAAGTTCCGCGTTTCGAACCTAGTGTTGGAAAAAATCCGCCCCAAAATAAAACACATGTCCAGCTAGCCAATGAAAAAATACACACCCAGAAAAAACACTTATCTTCCATCCATCGTAGGGCCTTCTGGGGGAGCTACCTTACGAGGCAAGAAGGTTTTTTGGATACCAAGTGCCGTACCGTCCATAACAACTTTTTTCGGATGTTTTCCACAGATGTTACAATGAAAAGCGTCAACAAAGTCAATGTCAAGTAATCTAAATAGCGTAAAAAATCAGTGTTGTATCCAGCAAGGATTTTTTAGATCTATGGTTAAAAACCAATTAACATAGTTATTCTTAAAAGCGGATACAATACTGCCTGTTTTTGTCAACAAAATAAATAAGAATGCCATTTGATCTATTCAGTGTTGCCACTTCATAAGGAAAGTAAAATGATAGTAAATAAATGTTCAGACTTTCTTGGACATTAAAAGTAGGATAGTGTTTTCATTTTTTGTACCTCTCTATGTACCCTTTGTTGACCATTACCTACAGGTGGGAGCACCTCTGTGCACCTACACTCCCCACCCTTATCATAAATTCACCACCAATGAAATGATCAAATGCTAAACATACGTAAGTGCTACAGATATATATATATATTGGTAGCATACGTACTTTATCATTTATATTTAGCATTACAACAAAAGTTAATTTAAACAAACGAATATCCGATCAAATAAACTTTTAAATACATGTAACTCACCTAAAAATTGGTGCAGGTTGAAATAAAAAAAAGTTACCTAATCATTGCAGTAACTGCCAGACGAAACTTGGTGTAAGTTATAATGCCAGAAAAATTCAAATTTCCTGACATAACTTGTCTTTGGACGTACGTCACGTAATATTTATACATGGGCAGGCTAAACCATTTAAAAGATGAAAAGATATTTTCATGAATTCATAATTAATCATGTAGATAAAAATGTTTACTTCATACTTGATAACTGACTATCACACGTACCTTGAAACCAAAAAATGCCTTATATAATCTTTGAGGACTGCATGCGAAATGGAAAATGATCCAAACCACAAGACGTTGTTCTCGATACCATCGTACCGCTTCTTGTTTGTGCATGTAGAACACGGTCGATAATACACTAAAAATTCACAGAAGATTGTAGTCGTGACACTAATACAAAGAAAGTAATAAATAATTCAGTTTACAAACCATTCACACAGTGGAAATCATAAAGATACGCCACATGACAGCCTTCCACATCCAGCCAGTCATCTGATACATCACGCTTATCCCAAGCAGCACCACAAGAGCAAGTACCACAAGCACTAGGTACGAATATCTTTGACCAGTTCATAGCCAGAAGCTTAGCAAAATGATTGGCATCATTCTCATCACAACCTGTGTGAAAAATGAGTATTGAAATTTAAATGACGATTCCATGTTTTTTGGCCACCCATTACACAAACACACATATATTATTTCCATTTACTACACTACTTTACCTATTTCAAATAATTTAACTTTTTTTTCACTACGAGTTGCCAACTCGTAGTAATTTCTCATTTCAGGTGAGGTTTCAAAAGCTAACTTAAAATATGCTAGCTGCGAGTCGTCATCATCTTGTACGATTTCCAGCGCCTTCCCAAGTTGTAACATGAATGCAGAGGTAAGATGAACAATTAGAACATCTTAGCTCTGCTTGAGGTAGTGCTACTTTAGAATAAGTAAATGTGCACACGCCCCATTCGCGATTGACTGGTTTTACAGCAATCCAGTTGGGACCACCACTAACGGCTTTAAACAAGTCCTGTAACATGAAAGGAGCTATCGTAGAACATATTATAATTTAATCAATGACTGCAAGTAAAAACCTCTTTAGGAAACATTCCACAGTATGAATGATCTATTGGGTCAGATGTTCCTGATTTTTCCACAACTTAAAAAATTAAAAAAACAAACATACCATCAATTTTATGCAAAATTACTTTTTTCACAGGTTGGCATGATATTAGCATACTGTTCTCATATAGCACAATAACCACCATTCTGCATTATTACATGTTTCTGGATGTAGATCATCCAGGTTAGTAGAGTCCTGAAAATGACTGTTATTGTTGGTGTTGACTGACTTTCTACAACCTTAGTGGTAGTCATCTTCAAAAATTTTTGATCTGAACATCAACACAAACAGTCCTTCTCAGGACTCAACTACCTGGACGACCTACATCCACAAACATGTCACGATACTCCCGAGTTCAAACCATTTACTTTATTCTGCATTATGAGAACAATAACATACTCTTGAAAAAACTTGATTCTTGTGAGGTTATTCCCAAATTTTCATCATAAGTCTCCAAAAATCTTTCCATTGCCAATATATGTAAGCATTTTGGATAGCTTACAACTATTAAAAGAGTATTCCAGAAGTTAGTGCTTAAATTTACAATTAGTCATTTTTAATAATCTTGTATACCTTTATCTGTACTTAAATTAGTATTTGAGCTAAGGGCCTGCACAAATTCCAGTCGCAATCGATCACATGAACAGCCAAACAACCAGACAAATCCATTTGCACGATAATGAGGGTACCGATGAACAAACACATATGAAGTGTGCTTAATTAAATGTAAAATATATATGAATATAACATTATAAAATACATTCACTACTAAGGAGCTCACCATAATTTTTCTTTTCTCCACATTATAGTCAAGAATAGCAAATGATTGATGTTCCCCCCAAATTTGTTACTGCAGAAAATTGAAGCAATAACCCAGTATAATGCAAAACAGCTGCAATATTTTTCTAGAAAAAAACAATACATTTTGTTGGGAAGTTAAATTCTTTGACTCAAGTTTAAATTTTTTCAAGAGGGAAAATAACTCCAGTCAACAAGTGGTTACAGTTTTTCTTCTAGGCAGAGAACGGAAATTACATTCATGATAAGTTTCATATGAAAACATTGTATGCCAGGGTTAGAGTGGTCAGTGTTAACACGCATATGTGCTTCCTAGGTTGTGGTAGGGTTCTTTTCTGTGAGACCAATGCATGTTATGAGTGTGTTGTTTCTCCTAAAGTTTTACATTATCTTGGTGATTATTTGAACAAGTTTCCATTAAGGGAGAAATATTTATCTTGTTGACATAGTGATTATTGAGTCATGAATAAGTTGTTATGATTGTCAATAATGTTTGATTATGAATGCTAACTGAAGTATTTAAAGATTTATTTGATATATAATATTTTATGATATGCTTATTAATTTGAGAAATGAAAACATGATTAAGGTGTTTCACTATAAACATTACTCACAATAAGCTTAGTCAACTTATAGTCACTTTTATATATTTATACATAAACATTGTGTCCTCCTCATGATTACCATATACATAGATGGTAACCCTGCACTTTGGCAGAAAGTATATTATTGCATATTATAGGTGAGGATCACATTAAATACATTGCATCAAGCATAAAATCCTGAGTTAAGTTTTAAACTATTAAGATTTCATCTTATCTGTGCTACTTTATTTCATATTGCTCTGAGCACTATATTTGTATCTGCAAGTTGCACTTACTTCATCAGGTTGAGATTTGTCGACATCAACGGTAATAGTTTCATCAATATTCTGGGAAATCTAAAGAGTTTATAATATTACTTTGGCTTTCTGACAAGCATAAAGAATTTACTGTATTACTTTACAGAAACCTGAATAATTCAACTAAAACTAACCAGATGCAACGGTTGTTCAAGAGTGATGTTTGACTCAACACATTCTTCTAACAATGGATGATCATCATGCATTTCCTAAGAGAAAGTTTGCAATGCTCCATATATGATAAGTAACATATTTAATTTTTCATTTCACCTAAGGTTCACAACTTTAATGCAACACATCCCACACAGATATTTCAGACTTCATAATTTTGAGATACTTAGAGACTAACCACATTACATTCCACTTGCAGTCTTCGTTTGATTTAGATTGACTGCTATGAGGGGCCATCTATTTTGTGATGAAACAATGTATTATAAGTTGTCAACTAAAACATATTTCACACATATGTTTACTACCACTAAACAATTAACTTGCAATAGGAAGAAAATGTATCTGTTCGGGCTGCTGGTGGGCTTACAACAATCAAGCTTAAATGCAACATATTTCCTTCTTACCTTTCTGTACAAGCTTTAGTTGAGCATGCCAAAATTTTATAAGCAACATAATTGTACTAATATGTACAGAGACCTTGCAGAGAGCAAAGTAGGAAATCCAAAATAGTTCACAAATTCCAAAGTCAACTATCAATTCTTGCACATTAGTGAATATGTTAAAATATTTAAACCAAAGAGGGCTATCTATATGTATTTGAAACAATGTATACCACCACAATTATCATCCGTAGATAACTCCCCTACAAATGCAAGTGAATGAATGGCTTTAATAATTTCACAATCATAAGCATTATGTAATACGAAAAGCAGCTTGATTGTTTGTAGCCCACCAACAGCAAATTTCCATCATGAAAGTATATGGATGGAGAGTATTATCTCAAAGATCAGATAATGTGGTAGTTGAAATGAAACTTCATTTCTTAAGTTGAAGCTGAAATTGAGTTACTTGAAACAAATTAATTTTTATCCTACCGAATCAATAGGTGATCGTCGAGGGCCTCGAGTGTAGAAAAACGTCTTTGAACGCTTAAACTTTTTCCCAAAACGATACATTTTTTTATTAACCTTCGAAACTCCAATAGCCAATTTGTTGTTAGGAAGTTACTACTCCATGTGACTTTGATTTAACGGAAGATATCAATTTGCATTATCATATGAATTAAATATCTAGTAGCAAATCTACTACAAGTGTAAATATGCCAAGTTGCCAACTTGTGTTAACTGTGAGAGTTATTTTAAACATATTATTTCAAATAAAACATAAAGATTCCATTAATCATCACTCTATACGTGTTAAAACATAAAAAAGTTTGTAAAATGTAGATGGTTGTAAGTGTGGTTATGCATACCATTTTCCAGTAGTAAAACATACCACTCTAAGCATGTTCGCCATCTTTATATGATGCAACAGGTATTTACCATATCGTGTTTTCTGTGGAAAGCCATTTCACTCCAGTGCCATGATTTCTTTATTTATAACGGCACCCACTCCTGTACTTGGATCATCTCTTCTTCGGCTCTACTTTTTTCTACTCATCCTTTGATTTTTTCTAAATTTTATCAAGCACTAACGTCAATCTGGAAGAGCGTTTGGGCTTGATTTAAAAATGGCACCGACTTGTAATTTTTCCTTCTTTCCAAAAAAGAAAACACGCTTTAACTAAAATTTCATCGTACCTTTCACTTTGCCGACCTTATCAACGAAGTATTCCATCCAAACAAATATAATCATTTAAAAATCCTTTTTCGACACTCAAGATATGGTCATGTCGCGTCCTTTGTTTAATGGTGTAGTGGAAGTTTCATCATTTACTCGTGTTGTGATTTTGATTACTGATTTTGCTTCTTGATATGAAATTAAATCCTATGTCATAGACGTGGCTTTCAGAAACACAACTATTGTTTTTCAAAAGCAAGTTGCCCTATTGTCTATACAGCTGTTTTGTTCATTTGTTAAGTAATGGAAAACCTATCTGGGGAAAACATACATTAAAGTTTTGAATGAGCAAAACAAGGAAAGCCTCTTCTACCAACTTTATCACAAATAAAAGAAAAACAGCTACAATGGTAAATAAGCTTGGCCCTTGCGGTGATCGATGCTAAAACACGTCAATTAAAACGAGTAATATGTCATCATCGAGTGACAAAATGAAACATAAAATTATGAAATTCTCCAGGTCGCGATATTTATATAAGAGTTTGAACAAGTGCATTGAATGTAATGTTCACAAATCTCATAAAATTCTTTTTTCTCGTCAACATGTCGTGTCTAAAACTACTATATATAGCTCATCATTACAAAGTCATTTATGATTTCTTATTAGAGTTTTCTGACAATTTCTTTATGATCTCCTTAGAATACACTGTACATTGTGATAACAAAAGCTTCTCATTTCGTCGCAGTTTTATTGCCAAAGTAATGTTCTCGCTCAAGTTGAAAGCTTTTAACATCTCGTCATCTTGCTGGATCAAGAGGAAAATTTGAATCAAATGAAAAACATTTCATTTTCAACATTATTTCTTAGTCAAATATTCATTAATTCTCATTGCAAAAAAACATAATTTTACTTACTTCAATGGTTGTGGGATACATTCGAAGTAATAATGAGCACCTACATATGTCAAATTAATAAAGGACAAAGATAATTACTTGATGTGATACACGAAATCCTCCAAAATGTATTTTATTTTAACCTTGTCTGAATGAAATCCCAAACTTTCATCTCATTTTCATCACTAATTCTTTGAGTTTCATCGTAAAATATTGCATGAAATTTCTCGTCATTTTCTCCAATTAATGATTTACTTTCTTCTAAAACAACAAAAAATAAAGTATGTCGGTGCTTTAACTTTTCTTTTAAATTAATAAAAAAACAAATCAAAAGAATCAAGATAAGAAATACATGTCACTTTACCTTCTGTAATACAAAATATTCTAAGAAATGCCAATAAGTCTTTAGTCATCACATATTGTCTTGTTGTCACAGCTAAATTCTTTTGACTAAAAGTAGAAAAAACTAAACAGCTCGTTTAAACGCGACAATAAATGTTTGTCTACATGCCGAAATGAAGAAAAAGCAAAGTGAATAGTATGAAAGGATGGTATAAAATCACAACAAAACACAAAATCTTCAAAAGGATCATTAAAATATGTACAATTACGTACTTAATGGCCAATTTAGATAAAAGCTGAGTCTTGAGTACATATAAAGGATCGCTGGAACTTATTCCTGAAAAATAATGGAATAATGAACATATATAATGTCATACCATGCAAAGCTGATCACTGTAACAAATTATGTTGAAAATATAAATGATTATGATACCAAGTTGTATATGAAGCAAATCGTGTTTATTATTTTCGTAGTAAAATCCAGAATGAACAAAAAAGTCGGCGTTTGATCGTGGACCATAAAATATGAAAACCTGTCGAGGGAACAAAACTTGTCTAAAACATTATGAACAGTCGTTACTTTGTCCAGTTTATCAAATTATATAATTTTAATCTCTATAGTACTTTTCAATACATTCATTTAACTTTCCCGTTACCTCATCACCAGGTTTACACGAATCCAGTGCATAACATACACAAGCATCTGCATTGACATCGTAATCCGTAGTTAACTGTCATTAAAATAAATATATTTTTTTCAGAAGACGCTTGGAAGCCTTTGATGTTCTTTTCGATAGAATAAAGAAAGATCTCAAAGAAGAATCGATCTTATAACATACTTACATAACCATCACGATGATTACACATGTCAAGAAAAGGTATTAAAGCCAGCTTTAGCTCGTCTCCACTGAGATTTGGTATTTGATTTTGTCGTGTCATCACTATGGAAACAGCCCATCTATAACAAACCATATGTTTGTAGCAAAAGAGTACTTTGGTGTACTCTTTGTCAAATTAAACTAATCAGGCTATATGTACAGGTGTATGAATGTAAAAATGAGCAAGGATGGCTAAATAACAGTTAAAATGACTCAAGCTCAACACAGCACTCTCCCAATCCACATAACTCTATAATACTTTCATATATAATATATATACATAACTTCATATTGCTTTCCTTGCTAAAGTTTTGCCATTTATTATATCCACCTATCTTCTGCAATAACTAAATTTTTTTAGAAATGTGACGTTTTACGTGTAAGATGCTTATTATTCTGGAAAGATATTCGTTTTATGTGGAAAAGGCTGGTTTTATGTAGAAGATGGTGGTTTTATGTTGTAGACGTTGATTTTATGTTGTAGATGGTAGTTTTATGTTGTAGATGTTGGTTTTATTTGGAAGACGCTGGCTTTTTGTGGAAGATTTTCGTTTTATGTGTAATAGGCTAATATTATACATTGTCCGATGATCTTTTATGCATGAAGATCTTGTTTTTCTAAATTATTTGAAAAGACCTAGATATATAGACGGAAAACTCATTTATTGCAATAAAGTGAGACAATAGCTAGTCATGTTGTCAGTGATATAATCAAAAGCAGACAATTGCAGTCAAATCAATCTAAGACGTTTTCAGTGAAATACCTGTATTGCTTGAATGTAAACGATTTCATAAAGTTCAGTTGGTTGTTTGTAGGAATTTTCTGGCAGAGATTAAAATTGAAATAAACAGTGAGTGCTAATGGCAAACAAAAGTTTAAGGAATGAAGAAATTAAGATTTTGCACTTTTTTAAATTGCCAGTAATAAATATAAAGTCGATACCTTAAATATTTGATAAAGGTACGCGTATTGTCGAGCTATGCTTTTGTAAACGTTAAGAACTTTATCTATAATTACAACAGAAGGTACTCAACTACAGCGCCATGTAGTGTTAGCAGTTTTTCGATCACAAACGTATGTAAAATAAATACTAACTCAAAATCTGTGATCCTTTCAGCAAACTGAGCTCTTCCAAAGAGAAGAACAAAGGAATCGTAAATTTTCTTGGAAGGATGTCTTATTAGTTAAGTAATTTTATAAAGATATTTATTTAAGAGGTAGGTAATGTCAGAACCTGGATGGGGATCAGCTAAGCACCTGAGTGGGGGTTAACTCAGTATCCGAGTAAGGAGTAAGGGTTAGCACGGCGCCTGGATGGGGATTGGGGATTAGCACAGGATGACTAACAATGATATTACAAACGCATTCAATAAACTTTTTAACTGATCTTTTTCTCAAAAGGCTTCAAATCAAAATGATTGAAGATGGATGATTGAACTAGCCTTTATTCAATGAAATCAATTCAATAATATATAGAATGTGATTGGCGTTCTTAGATGTTTTCAAGCACAATTACAGACCGTTGAAAGTATCATCGCATTACAACATATTTCCAGGAAAAAGAAGATATTCTCATTTAGTTGAAAAAGGATACCAATGTAAGGTTTCCAAAACGAATTATCTTTGTAGCACTCGTCAAGTAGTTTTATGGCCAAAACTACGTTTGGCATAACTTGCAACAATCTATCTGTTGCAATGATGGATCCTGGAAATCAAACATATAAAATTTTTCAACGCACATCAAACTGAACATTGTTTCCAAAAAATTATTTATATTAAAATCAACATTAACACATATATATACATAACGTGAAATGCGTTAAATTAAAGTTAAATTAAAACGAAACCCACCAAGAAATGTTAATGAAGAATATTCTGAAGTTAAGATTAATTTTCGAGGAATATTTAATATCTTTTCGCCAGCCTTTAAAAAACGCAGCTGATAAACTAAGATATTTTCTTAAAAACACACAGCGGTCATGCAAGAATTGATTTTCAAAAACCTGAAATGTGTTAATCGCACGAACACCAAAGTCATCGTCAGAAATTGAGAACACCTCAACCTTAAATAGACGGATGTAATATAATCATTGAATTTTTCCCATATGTACGAATCAGCAATGTCTTTAAATGTTATATAATACTTTTGGTACAAGTACTATGATACAAAACAAAAAAATTCTGAGCTTGTGTTGGTGCATTCATATCAAACTGAACATTTGAATTCAATGAACTTTAAATACTGGCTACTGCATTATTTTGCTATTACAATCATTGTGCAAATTAATCATTTCTATTATTCTCATTTTACAAAATAAAATTTACATTTTTCGAACCAGCTTCATTTTCCTTAAGCCATTCATTAAATTTCACAAGAAAATCACTTCTTCTTGCTGTTTCTTTGCCATTATCTTTGAAAATATTATTAATTTAATCATTGTGGACATATAATTGTAGGAAACATATGCATAATTGTGTGATCATAAATTTTCAAAACTATGATGAACCATGTATCACCTGTTTTTGCTTGAATTTTCTCAATTTTTTCAATAAGATCTCTTATTTCTAAATGTTCTTTCCACTGTTCATTAGCATTTGTAGTTGATAGTGCACTTGATTCTATGCAAGTAAAAGTTAATATTCATAATCTTTCATTATAAATCATGATTCACCATGCAGGCAAAAGAATTCAAGGCAATGAAAAAAATTTTCCTAGATTAGCTTAATCAATCATGATCACCTAATATTCTTGGTTTACATTCTACTCATGTTTGAGCTCAAAGCTCAAATACAAGAGAATTTTATCATAACTAATTTGGGCTCCATCTAATGTAGGTGAACTAAAATTGTTTATGAAAATCCAGGAGGTTTACACTGCAAACCACAAACAGGGAATTCAAAGCATATAATGTATTTGGGGAGAGGGGGTATTGAGAGCAAAATTTTCTGTGCAAGTATGATGTCTGGGGAAATATCTATGGGCCAAAACCTAGGAATGTCAGAAGATTGATAATTGGGGGATAATCTGTAATCTCGTGTAATCCCAATTGATTTCAACAAAAACTAATAAAGTAGAATGTACATATATAATTATTAGCCTCCCCAAAAATATTGATCTTGAGATGTCCATGAAAAGGGAAAGTGTCAAAAATCAAAATGGTGACAAAATTATTGTGAGGAAGGGGGACAGTAACTTGGCAGTGCCTAAAGTTTGCTGAAAAAAGAAAATCTCCTATTCAAATATCAACGATGTACAAGTTAGCCTTGCCCTTCTCCTTTGAGTAGCATTGCTGTATGCTGTCTGACGAAAGTTACTGTCTAAATAAACTGTGCGACAAAATGGGCGAGACAAAATACGTTTGATTATGAAGCGAAAACAAGAGTAAAAAATTAAATACTGAGGGTTGACAGGGTCACAAGCAAAAATTTCAAGTTCATAGTATTTTAAAAGGAATAAATAATTTACTTTGGAGAAGTGAAGACAGTAAGGTCTCCTCTGATTTACTGATTACAACGCCACTGTCTTTATAATTTTTCTTTTTCTTGCCCATATCTAAATATTGAGGATTATTGAACTAATCACAGCAGTCTTGGTCCTTACTCCTCACTTTTGTTTTGAATAATAAAACTGAATAAGGTGAGTGGATAATCATGAATGGTGATTATAATTTTAGCATTTATAATTTATAGCATTGGACCATAGATTATTTGGCGGACAATTTGCTTCTCATCTTACAAAAAAAATATTAATTTTAACGTTGCTCTCGTTACTTGCGTAATGGGGGTATAGCTCAGTGGTAGAGCATTCGACTGCAGATCGAGAGGTCTCCGGTTCAATCCCGGATGCCCCCTCCATTCTTTTGTATGATGTCTTTTTTTGAAATATGGATATTACCGAACAAGCCACAAAAAATGCCAGTGGATTATAAGTACTTTCATATCTTATCTTATAAGTGAAAATAAACTCAAGTTGTTATAAGTAAAAATGAACTCAAACATAAATAACAAGTTAACGCAAAACTGATAAAGTATATTGATATCTCTCCCCAAGCCCCAACCATTGCCCCAACCAATAAATAAACAAAGATAAAATTTAATAATTAATACTGTAAATTTATGTAATGTACATATCGGCGAAGAGAAAAATGATGATTTTCCTCTGAGCTTCAAGAACAACTTCTCGTATATCTATTTTTGGAACGTTCAATTTGATTTCATTCGTATTTTCGTTGTCACTATTGACCCCAATCATGGAAGACATTGATAGTGTTCAGGTAAGATTTATCAAACATTTGAGAGAGTTTAAAATCGCCTGGGTAGAATTGCTATGTTAATTTTATCGTACTTTGTATTTCCTGGTCGGCAGGTGCTTTTTTGCTCAGTATAGTGACAAATAAACTCCTGGTTTTTTGCTCTATCTTATTATTAAAACATTCTAATTACTCGACGATTTTCTTAATTTTGTGAATATCTCGTCAAAAATTTACCAGTTTGTAGTAATTTATGGTAATATACACACATAATTTTGATTTTTGAAATACCAAAAATTTGAATTTTCCCTCAGGGGAGAAAATTAAAAAAAATATGTTTTTTGAATGTGTGCACAAGATTATGATTATGACTTCAACTTTCTAATCTACGAGGCAGATATAATTTTAGTTTATGGTTCATGGTACGAATTTAATTATCAAAGCATTGATAATGTAATCGGGGAAATTTTTCGAACTAATATTTTTGAAAAGATCAAATGTACGTATCAGTGTAATTGGGAAAGGTATTAAAAGAATGAATCAAATTACAGATGTGTCACAGATTTTCAAGATGTATTATGATTTATGAAAAAGAAAATTTTAAACTTCATCTTGTTTTGAATATTGTAAGATTCGCCCCAGTCTTCTATAAAAGCATGTCCCTTTTGCCTTATACTTCTGCATTCACATCATGAATAGCCTTTTTTCAAACTCTTTTTTTTTCAATTTGTTCTATGATCGAAGAGTTCTATGCACTAATGTTTTGTCCTGCAAATTATTAAAACTGTACAATTAAAGTTACTGAAGACTTATAAATACTAAATCAATACAGGCAGAGGTAACATATGATGAAACTGCAAATGTGGGCGGTCTTGAAGAGGTTCATCCAAGTGATCCCGTCATTAAGTCTACAAATTTTGGAGATCTTGATAATACCCATGATGATCATGATGATGATTTATTTGTGAAAGTGGAAGATCCAGAAAAACATATAGAAGGTTATGTTAGTTACTATGTGTTGACAAAGGTGTGTATTCAACTCATGATTTTTGGTTCACTTACATGTGTTTATTTATAATAAAGGATTTTAATGTAGTAATTAGTCATTTTATTTATTGACCCCCATTTATGCTAAAATATATTTTATTATATCATTTCAAAATAGTATATGTAAAACTTCTACACCATACAAATGTTAACATTGTTGACTGAATTTCTCCCAGAGCAGATTGGGTCTACCTTGTTTTGAAATGATTTTCCCCAAAGGTGTGGAGGTGGATATTGCAGCTGGAGAAAGATAATCTCTCTTTACAGCACTATTTTAATACAAATGATTTACATTGACAATTATAGACAACACGGAGTGAGTTTGATGAACCACATTATTCAGTAAGAAGAAGATATCAAGATTTTCTCTGGCTACGACATAGATTAGAAGAAAGTTATCCCACCCATGTTATTCCGGTAATAAATGGATTTTACATGTTTGAGTTATATGTAGTCTGTGATCTGTGTTTCAATTTGGAAAAAACTATCATTTGAATAGTTTACATGAAGTATGTGAATCTATACATAATACTTCTATAATCACAAGACTAATTAAAATTTCCATAACTCAAAAATTCAAAGAAACATTAGTTGATAGGATTTGATTTTCAAAATTCCTATTGCTACCAGTTGCTACGATTCAAAAGGAACAGACCAATCTCATAGTTTGCTAATTATCTCATTAAATGTATAATTTTATTGTTTAGTACTATTTATTATTCAATTATACAATTTAATTGATCAACAATTTGATTGGTATGTTATTTCTTGAAGAAACTGATCAAATTATTGTTTATATGTGCAATTGTTATCCAGCACGTTTGAAGATGATTATGGTTGTTTATTACATACATAAGAATGATTGATTTTTTATTTGATTTTAGCCATTACCAGAGAAGAATTCGTTTACAAAACATTTTGATCGTTTCTCAGAAGAATATATGAAAATTGACAAGATGCTTTGAATCGATTTGTCTGTCGAGTAGCTTCTCATCCTGTGCTTTCGTTCAGTGAGCATTTCGAATATTTCTTACAGCTAAAACATGGGTAAGGCACTTATAAAATTGGGGTTTTTCTGTATTTAGTTGACTTTAATGTTTTTGTTGAATATTTGCAAATGAATGGTTTTTCAAAGATGTTTACCAAAATCCCTTGAGGTTATTATTTAACGAAACTTTGGATTTAGATTAACCTAAGTTGACTTTGTAAAGTTTTTATGAAATAAAGTAGTTTATTCATGTTTTTATGAATTTTTTTTGTTACTGTACCATTAGCAAAATGAATATTTAGAAAACCGTTGTCTCGAAACAAATTTCAGCGACGTGAATTTCTTCCACAAGCTTTTGACGTTTTGAGAATCTTGAGACTTAAACATTCATTTAAAAACTTGTCTTTATTTTTACGATGTTATTTTGAATACTTACAGGAACTGATGACAGCAAAAAAACAATCTCCTGGAAGGATAAGTAGAATTGGGGATTCAGTGAAGAACGCAGCCTCGTCCATGATGCTAAAAACAAGAGATCAGGAGTTTATTGATATCCTAGAATTTGCGAAAACATTTTATGAAAAAATAGGCTCGTTGGAGAAAATTACTGATAAGATAGCTCGTGAACGTTTTGGTGAGTAAAAGTTAGGTATCCTTTTTGTGTTATTCATGTATTTTTCGATCCAAACGTAGGTGTGGGTCTTTTGTATTGTGGTAGAGTATTTCAATGATCGATCTTTTCCTGTTTGTATTTTGTAAATTATGTTGTGTTTTCATAGTCAAGTTGTTATTTACATTGTATATAGCCATACTAACTTCATACCAAGTTTCAGGCAATATGTCTACGTATTTTTGTTTAGATCTTCTAGAGAGTTATAGGGACTGTATACCTGTGTTCAGGCTGTGGTCAAACTCTGAGATTAAGCTTGGTGACTCATTAAACGAGATAGCAGATGCTATGGAGAAGAACAACGAAGCATTAAAATCTTTGGTAACGTATTGTTTTTTCAAAATAAACGCTAAATATATACAGTTTTGGCATGTTGTCTAAGACTTTGAAGATTTAACATTCTTCTAGTTTGGAATATCATGTGAATGAAGTAAAACGATAAAATATAGTGATGGAGATGAAGAAGTTTAGTGAAATATTTATAGAATTATACTGTTATCCACAAATTTAAAATCAATGTTCACTAACCTTCACAGTCACCAGGTTTTTTTGCTTTACTTTATCTTATTCTGCTGTACCGTTGTTTTCCTGTTAAATTTTTGAATTCAGATGATTCTCATCAAACTTCAACAATCCTTCACAAAGAAAAATCAATTTTATATCCGTAACATAATCACCATTTTGTTATGCATTGAATATTGACATTTTCAAACATATATGAAAAAGCTAGCTATGTTTGCGAAAATCAGATTTTGTTCTTTTTTTAAGGAAATTTATTTTATCGATTTTCCAGCTCAATTCGCAGCTTTTTTCCGTTCGGCAGTTGTTTGAAACGATTTGAAAATTGGTCTCCAGGTTATAATGCTCCCTCTGCGGCAACTAACCTCAGTCTATCCGTTAAATCATGGCTTTAGTTGATATCGTACGTCGTATGGCAGAATTTTTAACCAGATAAATTTTTCTATTGACGCTTATTGAAATTCGTTTGTGGAAATAGGACTGCATATGTGTTACTGGGATAACAACTTTCTTTGTACTTTATAGTTTAGTTTATCTATATTTTAATAGTTAAAGTTACAAGATGCTAGTATTATGGAGCCTCTCAAGGAGTACATCTTGTACATTGATTCTATCAAGGTAAGTTTTGTTCTGAAGTATATACTAAATTGGTTTGATAAAAATAGCTGCAGCCTGTATCCGGTTTTTATTTTCTATGTACAGGGTGCTCTAAAAAGACGAGATGCGAAGCAGATGGAATATGAAGTGACTGTCGAGGAATTAAAACGAAAGAAAAAAGAAAAGGAGGAGGTATTCATTGTGTCTATTTCTTTTGCACAACACTCACATTGATTTTTCATTGATTTTAATACAATAGAAAAATTAATTTGCTGATTTTTATGCATTTTAAAATTTTTTTTCCGAAAGAATCTCTTTTATAGCAAATGTCCATGTTTCTCGTACAAAACCAGGCGATGAAATAAATATTTTTTTCAGTTGGAGAAATCAACACAATCTCGATCGTTTGGAGTATTGATTGGCAGTAGAGATCCTGAAGAAGTGAAAAAAGAAAAAATTGACAAGTTAAATTTAACAATACAAGATGTGAGTTCATATAGTGCATTTACAGTGATTGATTTGTTTACCTTCCCTATGGTTGGTTGATTCATAAAATCTTTGTTTTAGCTTGAACAGAGTGTCGAAGCGGCTAACGATAAAGCTGAGTGTGCAAATCATGATTTAAAAGCAGACATTGAACGATGGCATAAGAACAAACGTCACGATTTCAAGAAACTATTTACAAGTTATTCAGAACATCTTATTGAGTTCTTTAAACAGGTATGACAATTCAGTCATTGTTGCTTTAAATAATCACGTAGCGATACTGGAAGATTGAAAACAGAAAGATTACATATGTATGAAGAAATGTCTTCGAATCATCACGTGAGATGGATATGCAACCAGTTAATTTTGCCTTACGCAGGAGCAGGTGAAGAGAATACATTAGGGGGGGGAGGGGAGTGTTAGGTGCAGAAATATGTTCATAAATCGATAGAGGACGAAAAAAGTACGTTCGGCTAAAATTTGAGCTTCTCTAAGAAATAAAGGCACTACAAAAGTCGGTCCCAGAGCGTAGAGCCACTCTCCGAGCTTTTTGAAGATATGCACTACTGAGTTTAAAATTTTGATGGTAATATTATTGATATTTTTCACTATGCTGGCCGTTAATTTTTACAAAGATCTTTAATACTTTAGTTGAAATTCTGGTAAAGGTTATCAGTGGTGTAGCCAGCCTGAAATTTGGATCATACTATCGACTAGAAAAATCAATAGTTATATTCTCAAATTTACAAAGTAGAATCAAAACTTGCGTGCTGGTTACGCTCAACTGTACGTAGGCTATACATTCCGAATAAGCTTTGTGAGAATGTTACTATTGGCCATTTCTCCAGAAATATTAGCAATACTGAATATAGCTACTACAATTGCATGGCCCTGGCTCTATAATATGTGTAGGCTATAGCTACATCATTGTAGATGTGTAAAATGCCTTACTACCAGTTGATATGCTTTACGTTATTGCAGTAAATGAATATTTAACATTCGACTAGTGTATATTGCTATATGCTTTTGTTTGTTGAAAATGCTATGAAACTATACAATGCAATTTTATGTATTGGCTATACATGTATATAGACTATATATTGATTATATATAGACTATGAATTGACTTTATAATTGAGACGCTCAATGTCAGTTAACTTTTTATATCAAATCTTTTTCTTTCTTTTGTTCAGAATTATGAAGCGTGGAGCGAAGCTTTGAAGAAACTGGAAACTACTTCATTGGAAGACAATAACAAAGAGTAAAGATGTCAGCAAATAATCAATATTATAGTTTTGATTTCCCCTTTTAATTCCAATTATAACTAAAGTGATTTTTATAAAATATTGACTTAATTAATTATTGAATTAGGTTAAATTTAATTAAAGGGCTGTTACACGCTTTTATTTTCGTTCTCAAGCTAAGAAACTTCTTCAAATATTGCTTGAGGAAGTTTCATAAATTGAAGTCAAGCAATTTTATTTGTTAATGAAACCATATTTTAGTGTTTATTTCACCAGTTGTATAGCAGCTCTTTTACAGTGAACAAACATATGTTTCTATCTATAATCTTTGATTATTTCTGTACTTTAGTTGTTTACGATTTTTTCATTTATTTTTTGTTTTATCATCTTCGTGCAACTAAAGTTATAGGTAATATTCATGCTCAACGATCTATCATGAAAAAATTGAATTTTCGAATGCATTTCTGCTCATTGAAACAACTTTATCCACTGTATTAATCTGGCACTTTGAATTTATAAAAAACATCAAGGAGTTTTGAAAATATAGTTAATTTTACAAGAATGTAATTATTTTCAAATGAAGGTGCTTGTTTACAAATGTCTCACGAGTATTTGTTATTGTTTTGCATTATCGAGATGAACTTGACCAAAATCAATGAATTGGGGAACTGATATTACGTAAAATATGTATGGAAATATGTGACTTTAGATCAAGTGTTCTTATATCCAATTTAAATAACTAGTAACATCGCGGCAGAGGTTAAAATTTCAAAATACAAATGGCCAGCTCCCACCATTGAACTGGAAAACCGTCTTTATACAAACGTGCCTGTACTTGCAATGAAGCAAAATTTTAACCCAAGATTCAAATTTTAGCGGGACCATGGTCTTGGACCGAAATTAGTAGACTGAATTAGCCAAATCCAAGTTGCATCCAATCCAATCTAATCTAATCCAGTCCTCTACATGAGTTTAGGGTTAAAAAAAAATGCAAAGAAAAGACTGAACAAATTTATTTACGATGTATCTATGATTTTCGATGTAAATAGAATGAATATAGCTGTGGAAGATGATGATGATGAATGTCCAAATCTTATTCCAATAAACTTGTCCACAGAAATCAATGAAGAATGCTCTCAAGAGTCATTTCGCGTACCTGTAACTATTATCACAGGATTTCTAGGTATTGGCATTTTGCAACGTTATTTTATTTTGCATGTATTTCATAATCAATGCCTGGAATCCAACGTCCATATGTTATGGCAGACAGGATTTTATTGAACAAAAATAAAGTCACCAGTTGGCCACAAATAATGCTATACCTTACCTTCACTTTATTCACCATGTGCAGTTTAGCATTGCTGCATTTATACTTGGGAACAGGACGAACGGTTTATATGTTGTACATACATGCCATACGTAAATAAATCGGTTAATATATTTATTGGTTTGATAACTTTGTTATCCTTCGCCCCGTAGTTAAATTTTGTGGATCTTATATTGAAATGAGATATAATTGTTATATGTCTGTAGAACGTAATAATTTTGTGTTTAGCATTACATAATTAATGTTGTGACATTTTTGTCATTGTAATTAGACTTGTTTCTCTCTCTTGCATTTGCAGGTGCAGGAAAAACAACTTTATTGAACTATATTTTGACTGAGAAACATGAGAAACGTATTGCTGTCATTCTTAATGAATTTGGCGAAGGTACATACAGAGCTATGCCCTGCTGGATTTTTTTGGAAATAAATCAATTGTTCCAAAACAGGAAATATTTTTTTAAGAAAAAGTCACCTGAAAAGTTGCATAGCAAAAGTTAATTTAGATGTTTTGTTTTTCCAACAATTTCAGTTTTCAACAATGTTTGGTGAAGACAAAATCATAAAAAATATGTAGATTTGCTATTTGACAGCATTTTGTACACCTAAATAGCTTAAATGAACTGTTATAGTCAACAGTGAAATACTTAATACATATTCTTTTGTGTTTTTTAGGTTCAGCAGTTGAAAAATCTATGGCTATAGGCAAAGATGGGAATCTTTATGAAGAGTGGTTAGAATTGAGAAATGGTTGTCTTTGCTGTTCTGTGAAGTAAGTACAATAGCAAAAAGACCAGAGATTATTTTTTCATGTTATGCTCAAATGAGATACTTTGAACTTTAACTATGATATGTTAATTTAAATAATGTGTTTTCTTAGGTTTAAAATTTTATCATGAACTTATGTTTCACTATAACATCTTTGAATCTTTCAATAATGTTGTCTTTTTTCAATGTGTGATTATCACAGCGGATTCTCAAATTTTTTAAATAAGTATGTAACATCAAATTTTAACTTTTGATTCACTTAGAGATATGGGTGTAAAGGCGATTGAAAATCTAATGAAACAAAAAGGAAAATTTGATTACATTTTACTGGAAACAACTGGTTTGGCTGATCCTGGACCAATTGCTTCAATATTTTGGATGGATGAACAGCTTTGCAGTGACCTTTATCTTGATGGTAAGATTAATAAATGGTTGCGTAATTAAAGCAAAAAAAATACCTGGGTATATATTTAGTATCATATGAATATAGTTTATTAAACATAAGTTTGAAGAAAAAAGACATTCATTGCTTTAACTTTCGTCCTAAAACAAACATGAAAAATCTCTCAAAATTGCTCCGAATTTCCATGTTGAGCTCTGTTTTGGGGGCCTATAAAGACTAAACAATAAGAGCTTTGCAAGTAAATGGCGATGTCTAATTATAATTTACAGAAATATAAGTGTTCTATGGTGTGGATGAAGGGTAGAGAGTGAAGGGGGGGTGGAATATTTATGACTAACTTGTGAGACGTCTACATCTTAGCGTTACTTTGACAGCTCTATATATGAATTACAACATGCACAGCACATGTATGCATGATTGGAATTTCACTGAATTTACCAACTTTTCGTCCTACATCACATTCTCTTTACATAAACTACCGATAAAACCGGTTTTATTTAAAGGCCTGGAACGATTAACTAAATTAGACCACGAAAGTAAGAAAATTTTTCGCGTGGATGAATAAATTCTTTACATATGTAATAATTTAACATTAATATCGGTTGTCACTAAATGTACTTACGTGTGTGGAAGGTGAGGTGCAAACGGGGGGTGGTGACCAGCTTGTATTTGACAAACTTGGAGTTCAGGTTCGTAAGTGAGAACCACCCCCCGACTACACCTTATCAAACCGAATCAAATTTGGTGGAAAAGAAAATGAAAAAAAATTTTTGTTCTGTACTCCACCGCAACCTGTCGATAATGATGACGTAATGCTATGTCTGTGCATATAGCATGCGATATGTGATACCAATGTGTGATACTCGTTCCCAATCCGCGCGCGCCTTTCCTACGATATTAACCTTGGTTACTGCATAACCTCATTAATAAACATACGTGTTGTTTTAGGAATTGTAACTATGGTTGATGCTAAGTATGGTTTATCGGTAAGTGTGCTGTGTGTAAAACTATAAACTTACAAAAGTTGTGTGCTACTCAATTTTTTACACTAAATCAATTATACCACAGTTTATATTTATTTTGTTTTTGTATTTTACTGAATATTTATTGTAGCAATTAAAGCTAGAAAAACCAGATGGAATAATTAACGAAGCTGTTAGGTAATTCAAAATAAATTTTATAATTATTATAAGTTGGCATTTACTACTTACTATATTGAAATGGTCAGTCTGTGTGTGAAGATGATGATCTCAGCATTTTAGAAATACTATATCAGTTTTAGATTACTTTTTAGACAAGTTGCATTGGCCGATGTTCTTATTATTAACAAGATTGACTTGGTTGGGGATCAAGACATGGATCAGCTGAAACAATTAGTAAGGTTGGATTTTTGTTGATAATATTCCATGCAGGAAACTCAATCACAACTCATGCGCGCAACTTGTAAGCTTACATTCACCAAAACTTTAATTTGGACATGGGGACAACTTGAAAGTTAACATTGAAAGCACAACTTAACGCGCATGCAACTTAACAGGATGACATCACACGCACGCAACTTAACGCTCATGCACACAACATGAAGACATCACATGCACGCAACTTAACGTGCATGCACACAACATGAGGACATCACACGCACGCAACTTAACGTGCATGCACACAACATGAAGACATCACTTGCACGCAACTTAACGTGCATGCACACAACATGAGGACATCACACGCACGCAACTTAGCGTGCATGCACACAACATGAAGATATCACACGCACGCAACTTAACGTGCATGCACACAACATGAAGACACCACATGCACGCAACTTCACGTGCATGCACACAACATGAAGACATCACATGCACGCAAATTAACGTGCATGCACACAACATGAAGACATCACACGCAAGCAACTTAACGTGCATGCACACAACATGAGGACATCACACGCACGCAACTTAACGTGCATGCACACAACATCACACGCACGCAACTTAACGTGCATGCACACAACATGAGGACATCACACGCACGCAACTTAACGTGCATGCACACAACATGATGACATCACACGCACGTAAATTAATGCGCATGCACACAGCATGACATTGTATGCGTGTAACTTAGTAACATTACATGCACACGTTGTTTTCGTCCATTGTTTGATTTTGATGTTTCATAGTTTTACCATAACGATAATGTAAACATTTCAGAACTATAAACCGTACATGCAAGTTACAAGAAACAGAAAAATCAAGGTATATATATCAAATCTGCCTGGTGCTACATTAAGTCAAATATGTTATACAATAGATAGGAATCGATCCATTTCATAAGATGGTCCTTAATATCAATTTATCATCAGACTCTTTTACAAAAGAATGATGAGGAAGGATACAACGCTATAGGAACAGTGTATAGGAGTGCATAGTTTTTATCAATATTGTTTTGTTACTAACCAGGCCTATTCTAATGAGTCCCTGAGCTCATGATGTATAACGTAACTGGATAGTGTTTAGTATAGTATTATATATATTATGCACTACACATTTTCATTGCGTTACGGAAAGTTGTAGACCAAACTCGTTCACTTTCATTTGTTAATCGCAAGGGCAGCGCATTGTTTTTAAAAGTGAGGAGGCCAAAAAAAGTTATTGCAGAAGATATAAATCTCATTATTTAGGATTGAAATCCTTCAACATTTCCACCATTTCCACATGCGAAAAAAAGCTAAAATATCTAATTTCCAAAAAAGTGAGGCATGCCCCACCTTGTTTATTGATTTTGCGTTTACATGATTATAACTACACGAAGTATTCATTCAAGAATTTTTTAATGAGGTTTGACGTCACACTGAAAACTATCAAAGCAAAGTTTGTTATCGACAAACTTATTTCTTTGTTATGACGTAATATAGCTTGTATAAGAAGTCGTATAGTACGTTATGACGTCATTAGTTTAACATGGAAACGCATGGTTATTACTTAATCAAAATTCTCAATTTGTTTTAAAAATTAATGTTTTGATTAACTAGAGTAAACCTTGAAGAAATATTGGACTTGCACATGTTTGATAACTCAACAGAATTGTAAGTATGTGTGTGATGCAAAACAATTATAGTTTTACAATATTATTGTTTTCTCTTTAGAAATAGCAAAAAAATGCAGATATCGGAACTCATGCAGACATCTCAGCAGCACATTGATAAGGTATTTGTCGATCATTTTCAATGTTTTTGAGTCTGTGATGGTAGTAAAATTACCTAATGTGCTTCGGTGGCGTTGCGAGCTCCATAAGTGGACGGTATGATATTCATATATGCATGTTATAGTTTGAAAAATATACATTTTTCAAAATTGTCCACCCCTCCAATCATCGGATTGACGAGTGGTGACGCCACTGATGTGTGTCAAATACTAATCAGTAACGAAATCGTTAATAAGTGAGCCCATTTAAATAGACCATTTGCGGTCAGCGGTTTCGTGCGTGTATCATGTGCTAAATTTGTATGGGATTAAATGAAAAATTATTCAAATTCGAGCATTTCTTCAATGGGCGTCTTGATAAAAAGCATAACTTACCTAGCGCAGCCAGCCTTATTTAGTCCTGCTATGTGTTCGCTTGCTGCAAAAATAATAGATTTGTAGCGATATGAATAATGATAAAGTTCTGAAACACAGCAAAGCAAAACTAAAATTTGCGGTTTGGCTTTGCCAATGAGTATTTTCATTATCCTTTTTTTGAAGATAAAAACAAGAAAAAGAAATGATAATCCTAAAAATAGTTAAACCAGCTTTTCTGCCGTAAAGATTTTTAATAGTTATTACAAGGGGACATGACCATGTACTGGGTGCCCAAAAAACTCACCTATGAAATCGTCTATTAAGGTTTGTTTGTCAAAGTTTGAATACCTACATAAGTGGTTTATTTATCTTAAAGTGATGATAATGACATATTATCGTGTATGACGAAGAAAATTAACGATAAATTTTGCTAGTTTGAGGTGTGCTGTATATTTGAAAAGAAAGTTTGTTGAAAGCTATTAAAACAGCAAATTCTTTATAATGTTTACAATTATTTATTTAATATTATGTATGAGAATTTTTATGTTGATAAATTACGCTTGTAAGGGACAACAAAGAGCCAAAGCATTCTTAAAGTTTGGCAATAAAAATTTATGGGCCACTCCAGATGTTTTGGGTATTTTTAGGAACATGCTGTATGTATTCATTGCTAAAAAAAAGGGATAAAAATGAATCTTAAAAGTTCGATTTATAGCAATGTTTTTTATTATTATACTGTCGCATCAGTGTATAATATGCAGTACGCGGCTGTGTAAGAATTTTTCAATGGCCAAAAACAGTAATTTTTTACTATTCTTCATGCGCTGTTTTGTTTTGCGTTATTATTATGTCAGATGTATTAACTTCATTATCTACGTCGATGCTGTTTATAGAATAAACTTCATCGTAAATGATCAAATGTTTTGGTGAATTAAAAATCTTCTTTGAATCTTAAGGATCTTTAAATTCATCGAATACATAAAAGAAAACGAGAATTGATCATTATAAAGAAAATGGTTTGAACCCGGGAGTATCGTTACATGTTTGTAAATTTTACAAACATGTAATTGATCATTATATGAGACGATTTTTTTCATAATTTTCTTGCTTATATATTTAAAACATAATTCAAGATTAATTTCGATTTATATAAGATATTGAAATGTTTTTTTTCAATGTGACTTCCCAGCTGTATTCCGTGACGTAAACAGCCCTCATGCAGGTGACGTAAACAGCCCTCTATAGCAATACCACATTATCGGGCTGGCTTTACCGCTCCATAAAAGCATGCATTATACTTTTAATATGAAAATATTCAATCAAAATGGAATAAAAACCTTTTTCTATATCTATAAACTTATTAATACAAATGAGACGGTATTGTGTCATGCATTCATTAAATTTGCTAGCTGAAAACTGTCATATATGGTCTGTTCTTATACATTGCATGAATATTTTGCTTGCTTTGAGATCAATAGTTGCAATATTTTCAGTAATGTCTGAATTATAAATTGTACGACTTTAGTACGTTCAATTCTATTTTAAATTATGATAAAAATACGCAATTTATGGCCTCGAATTCTTGCGCTAACGCTTCTCGCACTTCAAGCTGGACTACTTGATTATTTTCTCATCGAAAATCTAAGTCTAAAGAGCCTAGCATGGTTGATCACAGATATTTTTGTCTTGTTTGTGTGGATTTTGGCAATGCTTGGGTCAACCATTCCCATATGTAAAATATTTCGTGGCTGGCTTGTAAAGAATCCTAAAGGTAACGATTTTACATCAACATATGTGGCTTGGGTTGCTTATGTTGTTCATTTTGTGCCACAAATTGTAATTATCTTCAAGCTGTTTACCCATGAACTGGAAAATGAAGAGTTCCTGAGTCCAAACTTTCTCAAACTAACATTGTCCATAACACCAATGTTATTTATATTGTTGGTTTATTCTCATCACAAATCGAGAGCATCTTTTGTAAGGAAAACTTTTGTTCAAGTTCTTGTAAGTTCTGTTACCTTAAATTTATTCGACTCCGTCGAGATCCTGGAGTATTTATTTGACAAGGAACACATATCATTCTCAATGGGAAATGCAATTATTTCATTTTCATGCATTAATTTTGTCTACCCGTCTTAGCACTGTATGAGTTAAAACACAATAAATTTTATGAAACCGGTCAAGTGCCCGCTGTATCGTTCAAGTTAATATACGTGCTATCATTTTTGTTTTTTGTCGACGTCCCATTCCTGGTGATTAGAGTGTATCTTTGGTATGCTTTCCATCTGGATGTTTCTATTCTTTTCGCAAAGAATATTGTTGGTATTTTTTTGGGTTTTGTTGAAGTTTACGAGTATTTCAGTGATACAAGACCTATGCGATGTAAAAAATGCAAAGCAACTTTTGCCAAAGGATATTACAAAAACCACATAAATTCCTGTGGATTTGAACTGAGAAGAACTGCGAAGACAAGCATCGAACACATTCCTGAGGAAACTGGAAGAGAACAGGACAAGTTTATAAACGTCTAGGTCATCAATTGCCTTGTATTTTTGTTAACATCACTTACATCCTAATTGTATGGATATATATGTATATATGTATTTGAAAATTGGTAACCCAGGCATAATATGATAATATAAAGGATTCCCTGGATTTTTATTTTGAAATTTTTATTAAGCTTTCAACTCGGTGCTTCGAGCCTTCGTCACCATCCAATAACGCATAATACCATCCAATAATATCAACTCAACTACTAACCAACCAATCAGACGCTCCAAACGCCTACAAAATCTTTGTAAATAATATATTCTTACATTCTGACGAAGGCTCGAAGCACCGAGTTGAAAGCTTAATAAAAATTTCAAAATAAAAATCCAGAGAATCCTTTATATTATCATGTATATATGTATATATAATATTTGTGCAACTGTCAATTATGTTGGCTTTTGCTAAATTATATATTTGTATAGAATATATTTATTATATATTCTATACATTGCCGCTTAAAAAATGTTTTGTTCGTAATAAACTGCGTTAGATGTATGTATATATTTTTAATAAATGAAAAAAAAATTCATATTGCTGGGCTTACAACGTCGTGTTTGTTTTTGCTATTCCATTGTAAATTATAGGCGAATGTTTATATGTTATTGATTAATGCGTTACCACATTTCAGTATAAACCCTTAGTCTTCTGGTTTCTCTTTCTTGCAGATGCATTTCTTTTTTCAATAAATTAGTCCTTGTATAATGTGACAAAAAGATTTCTCCGTGACTGAAAAGTTTGTTTTTGCTTGTGCTTTATGAAAATCAGGGATTCTTGGTAAATATATGATTTTGTGGGAGCTTTATGTTCCAGAGGTTTTATTTGTACGTATTTGCACTTGCAATAAGTTCTGTCAACTTGAAATTTTACTTATCCTAAAATCATTATTTTGTTATTTAGAATACCTTATACCAGTTCAATACACTAGACTCTTCAAATACGCTGTCTTAAGCAATACTGTAATGAGATGCCTGATTCCCATCTTCTATTGAAGTAATATTAAACTAAATATTGATAATTTATCGTTAGAATCGTCAGACTGAAAATTTCATTATCTTAAAACAAAACTTTTTGATATAATAAGTAATCTCATGTTTTTTTAATGTAATATCTAAGGTCATATCTATAATAACACATAAAAAGTTGGACGTTCTTGACGACCCTTACACATTCGGCCAATAATATTGTCGTCATAACAAAATACTGCTATTTGCCAAGCCATGCATGGCTATAAACTGGAGCTCAGAATACAGTATTGTAGTCATAGTTTCAATGCTCAATGTCCATGTATTAAACATTTGTTCGCCAAAATATTTATTGTCTTTCTTTTATGAATGAGATTGTGGCAGGTGACATTTAGTGACTGATTGCGTCACGTGTACACTGCATGGAAGACAAAATGGCCTCTTAACTTTTAAAGCACAAACTGATGTTTTTATTCTATGCATACATTAAACAAAATTGTCAATGAAAAATTCATTGAAGCTTGCATCGCATTTTTTCTCATAGAATGTAAGAACGGTGACATTGAATGTGAAAGGTGATGTGTTGGAGGATCTGCTGGATGACTGGTTACAGGTATTGACTATAGTTGATATATGGTTACACATAGCTCATAAAACCTTGTTGTATTCACGTAACTTATACAAGTAATGACGAGTCGAACGACCCTTTATGACTGATAAAATGGACGATGTCTTGTGAAGCATCGGAATATGTTACCTGTGGGATTTTATCCTCTTCCCTTTCTCCTCCCCTTCAGATTGATCTGGTTTTTGATTGGTTCTTGCATTACTACTGAAAAGAAGTGTTAAAATAACGAAACCAGATATAAACTTCAAAATCGTTCATTTCAAACTATCTTTCATTGTTTAAAAGTTTACGAATTCCGTGACCTGCCGTTGTTAATAAATTATTTGAAAATAGATGATATTATTTTAGAGATAGCTACACGTTTGTTTAATGTATTTCTCGGGTTTTTTTCACATAGGAATTACTTTGGGAAAAGAGTTTTAAAAATCCAAATGGTGAACAAATGAATATATTACGATTTAAGGTTTGTTGATAATTTGTGGTTAAATCTTTCCTTTTTAGTTTTGTATGGAAAGTTTAAAAGTTATCTTTTAAGGCTTTTATTTCACTAATCGTAATTAATTAGGGAAAATAGACAAAATATAGACGTAAACTAAAATATCAGATTCTTTCGACGGTAATGTTTTATTTAAAAAAACAGTTAACCACGGATTACAGTTGTGTCGTAAGTTTTGCAACAAGTGCAGAAAGATACAATGACCATTTTAAAGAAAATTATGTCGGCTCTAACGACAAAAAGGAAATATTTTGCCTTTGGGTTCTCCAGGTGTAGAAGCACATTAGTAAATCGTTCATAGAATTTCAGTCTTTGCATCCGAAATAGAGACGTTGGGACTAAGTATATTCAAAGCTTCTTCATACAGTCACTCAAAACATCCAGAAATAGTATTTTCCTCTTTTACAATGTCTCAAGTCTGTATGTATTGAAAATTATTTGAACTACTTATTACTGTGTTTGTGTAGTATAAACTTATTTTTTGTCCAGGCTCTTATATCTTTCACAAACGTGCAAAAAAAAGTCATTGTACAAGCAGTTCAAGAGTTGTTTGATAAAATTACGACCGAGGAATGGGCAGAAGGCGAAGAAAGATTGAATAGATTGATATTTATTGGTAAGGTCCTTCAGTGTTCAAAAATATCAACGAATAGTCATGTTATGTGCTATACTTTAGTTCTTTTGGGAATTGTGATCTATACTCACTAAATGACCTGAAGATGACGAAATATAAATTTTACTTGACTTTCAGTTCAAAAATTTGATTTCATTTTAGTTCTTACATTGGTTTTTTTATTTAATAGGCTCGAATCTTGACGAACGTATTCTTGAAGAAGGCTTTCGAAAATTTTGTCTTCCTAATTTATAAGCTACTGCATGGCGGACCATTGGGCCGAACCAAGAGGACCATTTCAGTTGCTGGTTAGACATTCCTGAAAATGAACGTGGCCAGTAAAATGACGATCGAGAGTTTATCAACAAATTACTCGTGAATGATTTATTTGTAAATGACTTGATGATACATCTCGCTTATTTTGGTCATTATAAAGAAACTTTGTTATTGCCATCATGATTAATACTAATGTTTTAAATCCACTGGTTTTCTTTGTTGTGAGACTTTTTTCTGCAGCAATCATTGGCTGCATTGCATAAAAACATGTTACAGAAGTTTACCATTCATTACAGAAACATAACATAACATACATTGACAAACGCTTGTTTGCAATTTACTGATTCAGGATGTAAGTATATATAAATATGTACGTCTATCTGCAATGAACAGGATGTGCATCAACAATCTCTGTTCGAATTTTCCCATCACCACATGACCACAGAATAACACTCATGCCACCTTCGTCACTTTGTTATTTTACTACCATCAACAACGACGATAATGATTGCAACTCGTCGATTTACTTCGAATGTTTCAAATCAATTTCGCGCATTGATTACTGGTGCTCCGGGTTCTGGAAAAGGAACAATCTCCTCGAGAATTGCTACAGATTTTGATTTGGTTCATATTTCGAGTGGAGATGTTCTTCGAAGACATGTTAAACAAGGGACTGAACTTGGTCACAAAGCCAAGGCATACATTGATAATGGCACTTTAGTACCTGATGATCTCATGGTAAATTTAATGACAAATGAAATAAAAAGAATTTCCAAAACACGTTGGTTACTCGATGGTCAGTGAGATGAATTGGTTGCAAATTACTTTAACAAGAATCGACTTTGTTTTGTACGACAAATTGCATGTTTTGTAGGGTTTCCAAGAACGATTGAGCAAGCAAAACAATTACATAAAAAGCAGAAATTTGATGTAGTCGTCAATCTCGACGTACCATTTAGTGAAATTAAAAGAAGAATTCAGGTAGACCCGCTCTAGTTAAGTTTCACATATTTATTGTCCATTTAATGGACCAAAAATAGACGTCTGATTAAAAAATTGACGTTTTTTAGCAACGATATGTACATCTTAGTAGTGGACGCGTGTATCATTTAGAGTGGAATCCTCCAAAAAACGCTGTGAGTCAGTTCTTTCATATACTAAGACTTTGTGAATGATTAAAGCATTATGCGTATTGTGCAACTCCATACATATGCAGGGTATGGATGATGTTACTGGAGAACCATTGACTCAGAGAGATGATGATAAGGTTGGTTGATATACTACAATTGTTGATTAGATATCATAACATAATACATCATGAATTCAAGGTTTACCGTTTACTAGCATATTCAACCTGTTAATAACTTAATATTGCTTAGCATTATCAACTTTTTATTTATTATTTCTATTTATAGCCTGAGACTGTGGCATCCAGATTAAACATCTTTCAATCTCAAATGGCTCCAGTGTTGGCATTTTATAAGTATGATTAACAGATAAAGGATATATTGTGATAAAGAACTACAGAATAGGGTTGTTTATAATGTAGTACATATTCATTACTTCAATGTACTGTAGATACACATGTACAAATGATGTTCAGTAATACACATTAACACTAAGATACAAATAAATTAATTTAGCTATTCAGCATTCCCCCCCCCCTTATTTATTAATGTGTGATATGTTGATTATATGTAATAATTTATCTGTGTTATAGGGATCTGGGAATTCTGCAAACATTTACTGGCACTGAATCAGATGTTATTTATCCAGAAATAAAAGCATATCTTTTGGGTTATTTACAATCAAAATGATGGTCATTTGACTGAATAGCTTGTCTTTAAAATAAATTTGTAAGTTGTGCTTAGTACTAGGCATATACTTTGTCAAGTACATGGGCATCAATTCAACATTAATTGAGGGAGACCATATTCATATATTCTGTTATGTATATCAGGCTAATTTCTTTTGAAAGCAAAAATGTTTTTGAAAGAAATTTAATTGGCAGGCAATGCTGAATACATGGATATGGTCATCCCCTCCCCATTAACTTAATTAGGAATTGATGCCATTGGGTCGGGTAGCACTAGTCATATTAACATATAAAAACAACACTTGGTATGATTTGTTACTGAAGAGTCTTTTCTGGAAAGTTGTTGAACAATTTTTCATTAACATTTTGTAATCAAATACATTTATAGAATTATGTAATGCTTATTATTAGAATCATTATATTTATATGAAGGATATTCTTGCCATCAAAGTGTTTTTAGTGTGATAGTGTCCATTTGAGACAATTGTTTGATTTTTTGAGATTAGCTAAAAGACTACTTGATTTTTTATTTGTGATATCGAGTTTTGAACTTCTGAGAAGTTGCTTCTCAACAACGATCGATTGTTTGAATTGAATCGTGATTTAAGCCGTCCAAGTTCAAATTCAGATCTTCTATGATAGTTGCCTTTTTGAGCCAGAGCTACTAAGCATGTTTTGACTTAATCATTTTAGACTTTTTGAGAATGAGTTAGTGCTTAGTTGCATTTGTGCTCCAAAATCCACTTTTTGAAGCTGGTTTTCAGGTTACCGGTGGTCCTTCCACGCAAATTGTTTTTTAAACTTCAAAACGTGACATGTCTGGCTATTTCGTCCGTTTATTATAGCCTAAGACGATTGACTTAGTTTACTCGTACTTAAAAACAATTACTTTTGGTAAGCCTATTTATCAAATTGTTATTATTTACGATATGGGTCCCTGTGCCTTGTACACAATGACAATTATCTTGAGAGTATTTGCGCGGGAAAATATTTCAAAACAAAATATCTCAAAATGCTCAAAGATGTTGTTGTAAAACTGAATAAAGTTGAAAATTTTTGGATTTGTACGTGACAGAATGCTTTGTTAATGAAAACACGGGCAATGCCTTCGTATTTGGGTATAGACTTTTTATCAGAGGTACGTGCTTTTACAGTAAATCCATACTATAGTCCACTTTTTTCCCCATTTTGTTTAACTTTTAACCATAGTAAAACCGAGGGTTAAACGTATTTCAATGACTTATTTAGGTACTAAAGCAAAAAGACCTGTTACTCGGTCGCATGCTGATCAGTTGCCTCGAACCCTGTGAAGATGAATCTGTTCCTTTTTCTCGTTACACTAAAAATATGGTTGATTGGTGTTTGGCTAAAGGTGAATAAATAAAATTGTTTTTAAATCAAGATAGCACACTTTAGCCAAAAATTAATATTTTATTTCTTGTTGGCTATGGCCATAAATATTACGGACAATATACAAATCTAAATCCATTGCTCACAAATTCATAGTACACATTACAAAAGCAATGTTAGACTTGCTTGACGTACCCAAATAATTTATTTATGTAAGGTTTTTCCATCTATTGAAATTACTTCATTAAAATACCTCCAGTAAACGGGACAGAAGATGGGTACAGTTAAACCTTTATGTTACTAAAGCTCAAATCATTTGTTTAGCATCCCAATATGACATTGAAAATACGGATCCTGCGACGTACCTCTATGAAATCCAGCCATCAAGCGTTGTTTGCATTCCAGAACAATTCCTTTCTCTTCGTAACACTGAATATACCCCATGCTCTGGTCCTAACTTCATGACAACCGACTCATATTCTGATTTTGAAGATGAAATTGTAAAAGATGTGTGCGAATATCTCTTTCGACACGAAATTGATTACGAGAAATATGATGAATTACATTTGTCAAACTCAGGTAACATCATATGTGCCAGTTTTTTTCTCTAACATTATTTACTAAGCAATTACAGTCACCTAGTATATACATCTGCTCTTCAACAAAATTTAGTATTCTGGCAATCTGAATGTGTTATGGTTTTTTAAAATCTGACAGCTAATTTTTGCTACAGTCGTTTGTACTGACTTGAATAAGTTTTTGTCATAGTAAAATAAAAAGATTGTTACTCCTTCCATATCAACATTATTACGTTTTATGGTCTTTGAAAAACTTCTACCAGTAGCTTTAAATTGAAGTTTGATGTCTTTGTCATTTCTAAAATTTCTTTTTTGCGAAGGATAAGATATAACAAAATGCTCACTATCTTTTCCTCTATGATAAAGTTTGGCAACTGGAAGAACTTGAAATGAAAAATTGCTTCCATGATTTTCTTTGTCGTATGCCACATTACCAAGATTTGGTGTCCAGACTGAGACAAAGAAAAGTGTCTGATCCATTGCTTGCTGAGGATGGTTGCCTAAGGAGTGAATATCAATTGATATGGTTGGTCTTAACTAGTTTAGTTTTCGTAAAGTTGCAATAAAAATTGTTTAGATTTACTACTCGGCACTTAATTACTTTAAGTTTACTTAAGTTTTTTAGTCTTAAATATTATTTAAGACAAATATTTTAAGAAAAAACACAGAAGTATGGGAAATGGATGGCAGAGTGATGAAAAATTGATTATTATAGAGTTTGTGTTATAAACTGACAGAATTGTTCAAGTCTTGCTCTATAACTGTTCTTATCGTCTTGATGATTCATATTACTGTCACAAAAGCCTAATTTATGTATTGTCGACATTTGTATTGTTTTGTATGTAAATAATTACAAATTGAAAACTACATTTTTAGCTCAACATCTTTTGATGACGCACCACATTCCAAATCTAAAAGTTCAGTTAGTAATGAGTCGTTTGCTAAAATATACATTCATTGTCAGGTAAAGTTAACAAAAATACCCATAATTCTTGCTTTGCAGTGTGTATCTTTAATTTTTAGCCTAGAAATATGCTCGAGAATAAAGTTTTACCTTTGAGGATAGACTGTAACTTGGTTATTTTGTCGTTTCTAGATTGAAAAATTCCATTTGACGAGTCCATTGATCGATACCGCATACACTTTTCATCGTGTCTTATCTAAAGATGTTAAATATCATCCGATCGCATTAAATGCAGATTGTAATGAAAAATCTCTTCAAGGTATAATAAACTGCTTCTATAATTGAATCATGAAACTGACCATTTGCTTGCTTTTATTTCTTTTTTATTTTAATATAAAAAGTGGTTTTCTTGTGAATTCAATATCAATAGTTGTATGTAGTTTCGGCTTTAAACCTTGACCTGAAGGGAGCACTTAAGAATTTATGCTAAATCAAATTTTGAGATACAGTTTGTTTTCATTATTGAAGAACTACAAGCATTAACCAAACAAGTTAAATTGACAAAACCTGAATTCGTCATGACCAAACAGACCACCTGGGAAGTGAAAAATTTCTTGGATATAAACAGTTCTGAAGGTATACACGTTGGAGACGTGATCATTCTCTTATTTATTACTGTTTATCATGACACTCTCTTGTCAGTTCAAGTTTCCATTTGTTTTGCACAATTTTTTTGGTTATGTTGTATTTACTAGAAACAAGAGACTTGTCTGAGAAGAAATGCATAAATTGGGTTCTAGAATCGCCCCAACTTAAATACCGGAACAAACAGAATAAAGCAAATGAACAAGTTGTTGATATAGATAAATTTCATCATTGTGAACTCGACAATAAAGATTTAATGTAAGTAAGCGCTCTTCAAAATTACTTTAACATGGATTGATAACAAATGTTCAAAATTCCATATTTTTGCTACAATGTAGACGTGTACTGTCTCCCGAATTGAGAAAAAAGTGTTGGAAAAAAATCTATGCTTCTAATTCCCTTCCTCAAGAATTGTCCTACTTCATGTTCTGTGGTAAGTTTTGATGAAATGCACGTTAAAGATTGTTTCCGTTACTACAATTTTTGTCAAAAAAGTTTATTAGTGCCAAAACCATGTTTCTTCGGCAATACTGTCTGTTGGCGTTTGCCTCAAACTCAATTCAAATTCAATGCTTTGCGACAAAACCTGATTTGTGTTTCACTTCTATATACGTACGTCCTTGTTAAGTAATTCTATTTTATCAATTTAGTGCCAGAAATAGATGACCCCAATGTCAAAACACAAGGGACCATTAATGTAGAACACAGCTTAAGAGAAAGTGAAAATCTTCAAAGGACTTGGATCAGCAGTTATCATGGAATCCAGTTCGTGAACTGACAAAAATAAATATTTGCAACAATCGCTTTACGAACTCCTTACCTCGTCCTGAATCATCTACAAAAATGTCTAACTTTATTGTTGAGTTGAATGATGGATATGAAAAAATTCTATGGAAAGATGTTTATGGTGCGTTACGTGTGCTAGTTTGTAAATTTGTGCAATCATTTTAAAACTGGTAGCAAAATATTTTTGGATAAAGTTCCAAACGATGTTTGTTATTTATTAGAATGTAGCTATCTCTGGTCGCAATATTTGTATGATTTATTTTAAAGATTTCTCACAGTCAGTCACAGATATGAAAACGTAACATTCATGTTAACTCACTATATTATATTTGTTTGTTTGCTAATGCTAGACTCTAGGATCGATGGGTCGTCATTAGCTGTAGACTTGACAAAGGGGATGAAGTCACATGAAGAAGAGGTTAAAAAGAACATCTTTTCTGAAGTACACTCAAACATTTCATCTTCATTATCGACTAAAGAAAAGGAAAAACAAGGAAAACATCACGGAATCTTGTCGTCGCTCCATTGTAACAACAGAAAACGGAAAGGTTTTCATTCAGGAATAGATGATTTCATATTGCTCAGAACTGGCGTTAGATCAACTTCAAGTTCTCCTCCAAGTACGCGGATATTTCTATGTTTTTAGAAATCCTCAAAATTCTTATAATGAAAAATTGAAATATTCTTTAGAGGCTGTTGTGAAAGCCATTACGCTTGATCAGCAGGATGCAAAAATATCCAAATCCTTTTTACAAGAAAAGGTAAGTTGAGCATGTATGCATAGTTAACTTTCATGTTTTCAGCATTTGATTCATGAAAAAATCCTTTTTATCACTGTCGATTCCATCCAAAGTAAAAAAAATATGAGAGAATCATCAACGCATGTTGTAAAATGACAAATGACCTATTCCAAATACATTTGAAAATCTATATAAGCCATTTAAAAAGCATACCCTTGTCTTCTGCTAATATAAAATTTATTTTGGATCTGCAGGGGAATACTATCGAAGATATAACCGATGTGATAGACATCCATCTGAACAATGAACTGCAAGCTAAATACATTTACGTTGAAAACTGCATTGAAAGTTGTCTCGTACATTTAAAACAAACTGGTTGTTTGGCATCCTCATACTCAGCTGGTAACATAAATGGAGATTATACAAGGTTCTTGTTGAAACAAGAAGAGAAGAAAAACCTAGATCGATCAGACACTCGTGTTAATCATTCTTATATGATGCTTATTGTTTTGCATACGTTGGTCACTACTGCGGAATCGATCCGAGAATGTGGGCTTTCTGTCGCTTTAGGTAAAAATCATAGTTTTTTGTTATTTTATTGATGTTTATGCAGATATCGAAAACTGCACAGCAAAAACAGTGGTTTAGAACATTTGTTCTTTTAATAGCAAATTTTCAAGCTATGTGGAGTTTCTATAAAAAAGAACTAAACGGTTTCTTGGATGAAATCATGGCCAATCTTATGATAATCGATGAAAGCTTGAAAAATGCCAAAAAATACCACCCAAAGGTGGTTGCAACTTACAATTATATCGTGTCATGGCAACCGAATCCTTCCTCGCTCACGTTAGATGAGAAAATATTGATAATTTTATTTCGCGGTTTTCATCATCTATCCACAATCATTGTACGCTCACTCGAGGACATAAAAGGCCTAAAGATTGCAACCATTACAAAAAACAACTCTCAAGTTATGGTGAATGACGCTCATGTTTTCATTTGTGATCCTACTGACGTACCGTATCATTTTTCTTGGTCGTCTTTCAAATGGTTCATTACTTTTACTCAAAATAAAACGAAAGAGTTAGAAAATCTCCTGCAAGGAGTTCATCTTAAAGGCAAAAAGATCATTTGCTTTAGAGGAGTTACATCTGGTGACATCAATATTAATCCTCACGGCATTGATGGTAAGCTGTTGACCTGCTGAAATTTTAATAGCTTTTTTACAACACTTTACATGATTTCTTTACACTAAACCGTACTCAACTGCATAGACTTCTGATTATTAAATTTTGTTGACGAAGGGGAATTATTCATAATATTTGAGTTTCTGTTTTTCTTTTTTAATTTTAGCTCAGCAATATTTTAATGAAGATCTTCAAAACCAAGAGATTTATACACTTATTGGATCTTCTAAGATAACAAAGAACGCCGTTTTATTGAGATGTTTGGAACAAAAATGTGGAATAGTGATTATCGAGAGAGAATATGACATTATCTTGAAGAATACTAATTCCACCTCATCAAAATTGTGTCGACAACCAGATCTTATTTTGGACCAACGTACTGCTGTGATCATTGAAAACATTCGTAATTTTGCCTGTGAAGACGGGTATAAGGATATTGTCGACTTGGTTCTTTCAACTTCTTTCAAATGCGAAGTTTGCAGCATTATTCTACTTTGTGATCCTGACAATTTTAAGTAAGTTGCTTCTTTCACAAACTTTTTGTAAGGTTCGAATTTTTGTATTTTGTTCTTGTGGAAAATTTTGATTGCGAAATGTTAAATATTTATTTGAGCAAAATGCCAAAATATTGCCAATTGGTGATCACTGATAGGAATTTTTACTGTTTGAAAGAATCTTCCTTTTGCCGCATGAAAAAAATGTGCAGAACTGGGTTTCAAACTAAATGTTTATATTGTGAGGTAAAACATTAATTCTTTGGATTTTTCTAGATACTCGTTTGTGGGAGAAGTACAGTCAAATTTGGCAAAATTTCACGGTTGCTTATTGTCAATACAACTTTCATTTGAGAATTTTGTGATCGACATCCACTATTCTCAGTCAATTAAGGACGCAGCTGCTTTGATCAGAGAACTGTGTGACACAGCAAGAGATTCTTCTCATTTCATAAATAAACGAGATTGGATTAACCGTGAGTGGTTAGCAGACGAATGTTCGCAAGTATGTTGATTGAAATAATTTCAAAATCCACCTTGTGTTATTTTACATTACGCGTGCTCTCAAATGCTCATAGTATATCATTGAAATTGCAGAATGAAAGATTTCTTCTTGGTTTTCCATCTTTAAACTCCTTTAGGTTCGTTAACTACCGTGTATTTTACTCATTTTTGAATTTTTTTGTAAGTGCACTTGTACTTTTTATAGTGCTCAAATGATGTTGAATGTTCTTCCTTTATCTGCACTTTTGAGTTCATCTTTTGTTACGTTAAAGGAAGCTCTCCCAAGAATACCTGAAGACACTTTAAAGGTAAAAAGGACTCTTCATCGCATGTCTTGAGTGAATTTATAGGCCATTTTTTCAAAACAACAATTTTGATTAGAAATTCAGAGAGACGACCGAATGTGGTTTGAATGTTGATGAAAATGAAGAAGATTACACAATTCAGATACCTAGATTTCCTATCGATGAAGATGAAGAAATGGAAGTGAAACATGATTTTAGATCAGGCGCTTTTAACAGCATTGTAAACATGGATAAAGAACATCAAATGTCACAATCTGCCTTTGCTTTAAACACACAATTGTCATATGAGAGAGATCAACGTCTAACATCTTTCCCACGTGACTCTTTCACTAACCGCTACAGATCTATGCGAAATTTTGCAGACAACAACGTGCATCAGGTATTGATCAAATTGGATAGTGTTCATAAAAAGTGCTCAATTTCATGAAACAAAACCAGGAGGTTGCGCTGTTATGTCAATTCATTACTTGTGTTTCCTTTTATTGTTCACAGTGTCTATCTTTCATAAGACTTTTTGGTAAATTAATTTTAAATTGCAGTGTCAAAAGCAACACGAAAGCAACTTATCTCAACGCATTAATTTTGAAATTGAAGACAATAGAGGCGAAAGCATGGACAGATCAAGATTCCTTCGAAGGTGATTAAACGAGCTTTTTGACTTATTTAAATATTATCGAAACAGATGATCTTCACAATAGTGAAATGACTGTCGTCTAAAGTACAGTAACTGGGAAATGTTTAAGCAATTATCCACACAAAATTATTCTTTTCTTTCAGAATTTCAAAGAAACGAGGTTTTGAAACGCGTGATGTCGTTGGAGTAGTTCAGCCCAAGCCAAGAGAAACAATTAGATTCAGGAATACAAATTCAGGTGTATGTCAACCGTCATATCATCACGTGACGAGTCATCCAGACAATGTAAGTTAAGTCTGCACGAAAAATAACTTCAAGTCTTTGTGCATAACTTTTGACTTTCTGTCGAGGAAAAAGTTTTTTGAATAGTTAAATCAAAACTGTCAAATAAATGCTTGAATATGTTTATAAGTTTTAAATCATTGATACATCACTGTTTATTGATTGAAAAGAACAAAACAATATTTATTGTACCTAGTTGAGAATCAAAAAAGGAGATTCATATATTATTACCAATGAATCTAAAGGTTCTAAATTCATAAGAACTCCTTTTTCAATTGTCTTATTGGCCGGAATATCATACTTGATAACTGTCTGTCCTTCTTGTTCCTTTCTAATTGATGACAAAAGATTCATTTCAAAGATTCTTACCCCCCAAAAAAATTGTCCATGAATAAAAAATAATTGCCCCGGAGGGAGAAAGCGATAAAGGCAACGTGAATGCACGTCGGAGTAAAATTGACTGACTTAAAAGTTATATAACATGAAAAAAACCTCTTTCTCTGATTTTAGATTTGGTGTGAAAATGATCGCGATCAAGAGAAAAACGTGAAAGGTAACGTCATGTTTTAGGGTAAAATATTTTTACAATACAAAACATACAATGTGTTCAGTTCATAAATTAATGTTTAGAAGTTTTTCTGCACTCATTGACCGGAAAACCCGCGGAAAAGAAAAAGAAACTCACCTATGAAACTGTTCCTGGAGCTAAGAATGGGCAGACAAGATTGACTTTTGTTTGATTGTTTAAAAGTATCAAAAATATGTTTTATTTGTAGATAATTTTGGATTGGAAGATGTGAGAAGTTAATGACTTACATACTTGTGAATTTGATGAGCAATTTCCCAACAGATATATATCGGAATGTTATTAGTTGCATAGACATTTGACTGACGAAGAAAAGCACTTCTTTTCAACTCGTCTTCACAAACCAACAAAAGTTACAAAAAACTTATTTACAACCGCACCGCGTTTACAATTTTCCTTATTAAAATCTGGTATTGCTAACTTCCATCCTCTGTCGTGCGTACTTTAATACGGGACACTTCTTTTAGTGTCCGCGCACTTGGGTGACTGTTTGTTTGGATAACTGATAACACAAAAGACAACGGTTCTGAAATCTGTGACACGTCATCAATATTTTCTCGGGGAAAGTACTCGTTACATCAATTTAACTATTAACTTGTGAATGAATAACGTTGACTAGCCTTTTGTTTCTCCAACTAAACAGAACCAAAGAAAATTATATAATTTATTATGTCAAATTCATGTGATTTCGCAACTAAAGCTATCCACGTTGGTAATGAAGCTGATCAATGGAAGTGCCACGCTGTGGTACCTCCTATATTTCTCTCTACGACGTTTGAAGAAAAAGAACCTGCAGTTACTTATGCAAGTAACACATTTCATTCATTTGAATAAGAAAAGATTGTTGTTTGATATCAAATGCAAATAACGTTATATTACATCAGCCCACTTGTGGTACCCATGCACAATAATAATTACAGCATAAAGTGAATGATTTGAACCCGGAGCATCGTTACATGTTTGTAGATGTAGATCGTCCAGTTTAGTAGAGTCCTGAGAAGAACTGTTAGTGTTGATGTTGACTGATGTTTCAGCAACCTTAGAAGTAGTCATCTTCCTGGACAATGTACATTTACAAACATGTAATATAACAGCATGCTTGGCTTATAGGTGGTATGTCAAAAAATAGCCTATAATTGTAGATCTACGTTTATGCAATAAGTGTAAAAAAGAAAATTACTTTGGGAGGATAGTATTTAGGTAATGCTATGTTTTGTTAGAGCTGTTTAATTTTATTTTACATATGGTACAATTGCATATATTCAATTTAGGGTTATGATTACTCAAGAGCAGGCAACCCAACTCGTGAATGTTTTGAGAAATGTATAGCATCCCTAGAAAATGCTAAGCATGGTATACAAATTCTTTTGATGTTAGTTAGCTAATAATTTTAAATTAACAAGTACAATCGAAGTAGAATATAAATTATAGTTTGTTTATAATTTTTCCACTAAGGTGTTGCTCTGCATCTGGCTTGGCAGCTCTAGCAACAATCACACACTTGTTAAAAGCTGATGATCATGTTGTTGTGTGTGATGATGTTTATGGAGGTGATAGTACAGTTGGATTAAATTTTTTTCATTTTTTTTGATCCTATAGGATTTAAAATTATTATATATAAACAAAAAATCATATTTGTAGGAACAAATCGATACTTTTCGAAGGTTTCAACCAGATTCAACTTAGAGATCAGTATGGTTGATGTGACTGACATCGAAAAATTAAAGCTTGCCATCAAGTCAAACACAAAGGTAGGTGTATAGCTTTTTTGATGTCTAATACTTAACCCCATTTTTTAATATTTCCTTGTGCTTATGAATATTTAGATGGTATGGATCGAGACTCCTACAAATCCTTTGTTGAAACTAATTGACATTCAAGCTGTGGCTGATGTTGCTCATAAACATGAGGTAAAGTTTAGTTTTATAACCTGAAATTATGATGTCACAGTTGAGAGAACTTTATTCATGATTTTAATATACTTGTTTGAGTATATTTTTGTGACTGTATTATTCCTTACAGGCTTACATCATTTTTTAAAAACTGAGATTTGCAATTATTGATTGAAATCATTTCAGGGAATTCTTGTAGTTGTTGACAACACATTTATTACCCCATATTTTCAGGTATGGGATTCATTCTTTGTATATTTTGTGCTACAACTGAAATTTACAGTTCTTTATACAAATAATTATTTTAGAATCCACTTGAACTTGGTGCAGATATTGTCACTCATTCTATCACAAAATACATCAATGGTGGGTATAGTCTGTTAAATATTTCTTGTTTTTGCTTGAATAGACCGTGATAATTTCTTTGGCCCATTATTTTGTTTATTCAGGACATGCTGATGTTGTCATGGGTTTCATTGCTACTAACAATGACATAATTCATGAGAAACTACGTTTTTTACAAAATGGTTTGTAATTATACAGTAATATGTTTTTGAAAGACATCATGCATTGTTGAGATACGCTTTGAACTCCTTTCACGATCCCTTGTAAACTTATCATATATCCCTACTATATCCTTTTCCAAATTCTACACTTACCAACGTTATCCCCATACGTGACCCTGTACCTACGTATCCTTTCCTCAAACTCTGTCTCTTAGCTTCCCTCATCCTACACTCAAAACCTTACTCAGTATAACTTTCAAAGTCTATGAAGTCTATAAAAAAGGAAATGTAATTTATAAGGAGAATCTACTTTCTGCTACCAAATTTAGCACGCAATTTTATTCTGACCAATTTTTCATTCTCTACTAGTTTCTGACCAACTTTTCACACATAATATTTACACCCTCCATACACACACGTACACACACCTATTGATGTGTGCCTCTGTTTGTGATTATCAGTGTTGCTGACAAATAGAAATGTAGCGAAGATTGTATCATTTCTGCAACTTAAATAGTCTGTCTGTATAGTGCGTCATTCAATCTTTCTTGTTACATCCATTTTTGACATTAAATATGACATCATATTGTTTTTCACAGCAATGGGTGCTGTTCCTGGTCCCTTCAGCTGCTATCTAGCTTTACGTGGAGTCAAGACGTTGCACTTGCGTATGCGTGAACATGAAAAGAATGCATTTGAAGTGGCAAGGTTTTTGAACACATCACCACATGTTAAAAAAGTTGTTTATCCAGGTTCGTGTAGAATTTGGTTTAGATTATCTACGGCTACTGAACCCAGCAGGAATGTCAAACTTAAATGGACATTGTAGAATAAAAAAATATTTAACAAAAATTGACGTTCTTTATGGTGATTTTAACGAATGTTTCATAAAGTTTCACAAACAGAGTTTTTATGCAATTTTTCTTTGAATTTCGTTTTACATAGGTTTAGAATCTCATCCTCAACATGAATTGGCAAAAAAGCAAATGTCAGGTTTTGGAGGCATGGTCACTTTTTTTATAAATGGTGATATTGAAACGGCAAAGAGTTTTTTCAAACATTCAAAGGTTGCGCTATATAATTCTTACTTTTAAAATATTCTCACCATTATACATTTAAGATATTATTATCTCTACAGATTTTCACTCTTGCTGAAAGTTTAGGCGGTTATGAAAGTTTGGCTGAGCATCCGTATGTTTCTTTATTTTGTTAAACTCTTCTCTAATCTCTATTCCTATACTTAGTAAAGCAGCATAAAATTTATGTTTTAGTTCAATGTAAAATTTGCAACGTACCATGACTCATCCGTATTTTTAACTTGAAAATATTCATTCTCGTGTTTAATTCCTATTTTGAATTATTGATAATATATTGATGAGAATATAATTCCATTTTTAATTGTTCCTCTGTTTTGAAGAGAGGTATAAGTTGCCCGTAATTTGCAAGAAAAATTAAAACTTAGATTTCTACAAGTGATTTTTAAAGCTTTATGTTTACAGAGCTTTGATGACGCATGCTTCGGTACCTCAAAATGAACGTGAAGTGCTTGGTATTTCTGATTCTCTGGTTTGTAAAATTATTCTCATTTCTTTCCATTCTTTATCTGGAATGTTTTGACGACAGAACATTGCATGTTTTTTATACATAGAGAGGTTCATCTTACTGTTTACTGTTGATTTTGACAAAACAAAATTTCCTCATTTTAAGATTCGTTTATCTGTTGGCCTCGAAAGTGGTAAAGATTTAATTAAAGATTTAGATGAAGCTTTAAAAGCTGCTTGTGGTAAGTTGATTTTTTAAAAATTTGTAGACTGTATAAATGAACGCAACTCGTTCTTCTTGTCACAAGAATTGATATATACACGCTACGGAGGTGTACACTAAATTGCTTAGAATTTTTCTAATTTTTCCAGACTGACGCTTCTATACTTTATGCAGGTCCAAAAATTTACGTGTGTCTTACTTCAAACTATGAAACTTGCAGCATTTTTCTTTATAAGCAAATTTTTGTTTTGTTTACAGCTTGAACATTACATGTCAAACATCATGTTGGATTTTGTGTTATTCATATTCAATATATAATCTCAGTGATATCTTTCTGTCGTGACGTTTTTTGCTCACGATATAAATCAACTGAACTCAATGAAGATGAAACTGGATGGGGAATATGACATATTTTAGGATTTTAAGGCGTATTTACGTATGTTTATATAGTAAATATTTACCAAATATCTATAAATAAAGCTGATGAAATAGTTTTTATTTCCAGCTACACATCCATCCATATGTACGCTCTGCCTATCTATACTAATGATTTGCTTTTATGTCATCGTCTTAATCGTCATCAAAATTATATTTTTCCTCTCTATGAAACTGAACTAATTTATTAAAATAAGTCGTTGAAGGTTTTGGAGCAGGTCCCCTTGATGATTGATTTTGTATGGCTAGTGTCAATCCACCCGAGATAAACTCTAGGTAGCCAAAATTCAAAGTTGAAAGATCACAAAGTTATTGTGTTTTTCTGCTAACCATGGCAACAACGGCTGATTGCAGCTGTCGTTTACTATCGAATTGCGTAATAAAATTTTGTTATCGTTACTGTAAATTACAATGGTCTGCTGTCTTCAGAACTGGCTTTGCATAGCTCTTGTGTTTTACTGGATATTGTTTTATTTTTTCGCATGTTTACTGTTAAGAGCACTGGCAATGACGTAAAATAGATCATATCTATAAATGATGATGTTCGTATGTAAGCTGCGCAGGAGCTGGGTACTAGACACATTGATAACTTTACTACAAGATATTGATTGCTTCACAGATGACAGCTTCCCTTCAGTTAATTGCTGTTTGAACTTTGAAGTCTGTCCAACTTTTACCTGTAAATCGCTTTAGAAGATATGAATTTCTTATCCTTTAATACTTTTAAGCTGAGAACTAACATACAAAAATATTAGTAAAGGCATGAATTCTACGTTGGTGGACGAAGATGATGACGATAAAGTTCCTGGGAAGGTAGATTTTCCATTTAGTAGTCATATATATCAGTTTGCATTTCGTTTTTTCTACACGAGGTTGGTTGTATGCCAAAATTTCCGAAGGCTAATGCAAATTTTGTTTGTTGTGCTTATTCCATACTAAACACAATGAATAAAGTTCGTGTATTTGAATTACAAAATAGAACTTTTATGCTCAATGTATCTTGAGGTTTGTATTTTTCATGCTTTCATGCATGTCAAATATGAAACATCAATTTACTTATTATGGTCGTATTTCATTTATCAAAGCACATATAATTGTTGAAATCGAGGAGAAAAATGCAAATTCTGTTTTGAGTTTCGAGAGTGTAGTTTCAATGCGCAATATTTTATGATTTGGAGAAGTTAAAATTTCAATATTTAATCAATCATTTTCTCGCGTTGTTATTAATATTCATTTAAAATTAATAAAATTTTGTCGTAATAAGACAGCATTTTGCATCACAGTATTTTTTGAAACTAAAAACTTATTTTTTAGCATTTCATTACAATAAACAGGGTAAACTCAGAGTAAATTAGCAATGGAAGTTCGTATTTTCGTTTATAAATATTAATGATCTTTATCAAATAACGGTTTATTGAAATTATGTGCGAACATTATATTGTTCTTCAGCAGATTTTAATTTGTTTTAGTGTGCTTGATCAAGTTTAGCTGTTTCATTTGACAAGATAAATTGGTTTGCTTGTATTTTAAGCTTTGTTGAAATTTGTGAAAATACAAAAGTTGTGCATTCAATGTTGATCATTGTTTTTACATTATTTAATGTGTCAAAAATGAGGTGATAAAATCATTCCTTAATTGTCTTTGGTTTACCTTCGTAGACTTATAATGACACGAGAAACTAGTTTTATGCATGTTTGCTTTTAAAGATTAGCTAGTCTGTGTTGACTAATGGTTAATTTGTGGTCTTGCTGTGGAAACTTGATGCATCATATCTGGGATAGCATTAAGTTGTGGTAATCATTATAATCATAAATCTCATTTGATGAATGATGTGATGCATGTGCAATGGTTGATATTTGGAGAATTTGAGAAATAGAAAAAAGCTGGTAGATTTTTGGAGTTTATTGTACTAAATTGTAAGTAGTTAACAAATTAATGAAAGGTATGTTTTATTTACAGTACATCTTTGTGGGTGCTGTACTGGCAATTAGTGGAAATTTACTTATTAGTATTTCCATGAATTTGCAGGTAAGGATTTTTTATATAATCATAAATGACATTTTCATTCAAGATTATCAAATTCTTGCACATCTAAGGAAGCAAAGTGGACTTACTATTGTAATTTTCAAACCATTTTGCACGTCAATATCATGATCTTACTTTTCATTTTTGCATATATTGTGATGTTGTCAAGCAAATTGAAATTTAAAACTTTATTCATGTGTTGTTATAGAAATACTCTCACAATCAGATTGCAACTACCGACGACTCGGATGGGAAAGCATATTTGAGAAGCAAAGTTTGGTGGTAAGAAGATCAGTAATATTGACTTAAAATAAGAAAGCCTTGAGAAAATACAGCTGGACAAGATAGCACTAAATCATCAAAAAAGTTCATTAAAAATGCAAACTACCAAAAATTACTTAACCTTAACATACACAAAATGCTGCTAGGCATTTGTATCATTAAAAGTGTCATTTGTGTTTCATCCTAACTTTATTTAAAAATGAAGTAAATGCACAAAAATACAATTTATGAAAACAAACAATTGTTGTATCAGAAATAGTACAATATCATGAATTTTTAATTTGGTAATACATGTTGAATGACCTTACTAGATAAAGTTATTATTTTTAGAAAGGTATGATCAACATTTGTAGCACTGTTCTATTTATTTATGAAAGCATAATAAAAGATAGTCTAAAGTAAATGGTTTGAACCCAGTAGTATCGTTACATGTTTGTAAATGTAGATCGTCCAGCTTGGTATAGTCCTGAGAAGGACTGTTTTTGTTGTTGTTGACTGACGTTTCGGCAACCTTAGCGGTAGTCATCTTCATAGTCAAAATAATAGAGTCAAAACATTTTGACTCTGAAGATGACTACCGCTAAGGTTGCCGAAACTTCAGTCAACAACGACAAAAACAGTCCTTCTCAGGACTATACCAACTTGGACGATCTACATTTACAAACATGTAAAAGATATACTGATAATTTATGATACAAAGCCACAGTCCTTCAAATCACACAACTCAATTGAAATTTTTTGTGTTGCACATATCTTATTATGCATGTGATTAACATAATGGCCACCAGTAAATTACTATTTCTGACCAAACATCGCCCTAAGGTGGCTATCCATAGTTAGTATTCTAAATAAATATACAGCACTAAGTTGTACAGTGAAGTGGCACCACAATTTGTTTCTATGTTGTTACGAAGCTTGAGCATGAATGATTTAGGTTAAGCTTTTGATATCTGTCCACATATGTACATAAAACTGATGCACATAACATATTAATGAAGATCATGTGGAAATTTCTTATTAATATTTTATTATTTCTTTACTGTTACTACACATTTCATGATGCAATCAACAATTTGATGTAGGTTTGGTATTGTTTTAATGGTATTTGGTGAAATTGGAAATTTTTCTGCTTATGGTTTTGCACCCGCTTCGCTTGTAGCTCCTCTTGGAACAACTACTGTTATAGGTAATTTTGTATTTTATAATCTTAATAAATAGGAATTTTATGCTTGTGTAAAACTTTTTATTGTATTTAGAATTTATTAGACCTAACCTACCAGTGGCCCTAGCTAGCCCGCAAGTTTGTCCAAGCCATTTAAATTTTTCATCATTAGCATTATTCATTTCATTAGAAATCTGTAGCTTTTACAGGGAATGGGCACCAAAAATTTTACATTGTATAGAATAAAAAAAAACATTGGTTAAACCGCTGCACTGACTGCAGGCCACCCTTCTGTTGAGAACTGAAACTCTATATTTTATGGTCATTTTTAAGGACTTAAAGTATTTAAATTTCTTTATAACACTATAACACTTTTCATTTTAGCCAATGCAATTATTGCTGTTGTTTTTTTGGGTGAGAATTTCAGACTTCAAGATCTATTTGGTAAGCTAAAGATACTTCATTTATAAATAGAAATACATATGGACTACCATTCACTTTTGAATGGAATGCTTGAATTTAAAATTTTAACAATATTGTGTTTTAGGCATATCAATGGCTGTTGTGGGCGCGTTTCTATTGGTAACATTTTCAACCAAGGTTTGTACGATTTTTATTGAAAAATATTGATTTTTTGTTATGAGTTATGAAGTATGACTTAATTACAGTACTGCTCAGAAGTGTAACTTAACAGTGCGTTCGCGTTTCATTTGCGTTTCATTTGCGTTTCGAACGCGTCCTGAACGCGTTCCAAGAAAATTTGGGGACACGTTCTGAACGCGCTCGCGATTGTTCAAAAAAACTCCGTATAACATGGAAATTTTCGAAATTGAACACTTGTATAGCGAGTATAAATGATGATTACCGATGAATGATCGGATGAGGCCAACAACGCGTTTTGATACGTAACTGGATGCGCAACTGGAACGCGTTTTGATACGTAACTGGATGCGCAACTGGATGCGCAACTGGAACGCGTTTTGATACGTAACTGGATGCGCAACTGGAACGCGTTTTTATACGTAACTGGATGCGCAACTGGAACGCGTTTTGATACGTAACTGGATGCGCAACTGGAAAGCGTTTTTACACGTAACTGGATGCGCAACTGGAACGCGTTTTGATACGTAACTGGATGCGCAACTGGAGCGCGTTTTGATACGTAACTGGATGCGCAACTGGAACGCGTTTTTATACGTAACTGGATGCGCAACTGGAACGCGTTTTGATACGTAACTGGATGCGCAACTGGAAAGCGTTTTTACACGTAACTGGATGCGCAACTGGAACGCGTTTTGATACGTAACTGGATGCGCAACTGGAAAGTGTTGTATAATTTAGGATATTTCATTTATATATTTTATTGCATGCCAGATTTTATAAGTTCCCATGCAGAGTTTTATGTGTGCCAAAATTATAATTAAATTAGGGTGTATATACTTAACACTTCCTAAGTATTTTCTCTCTTAATTCATGTTGTAATAGTGCACGTAAGTCACGAAATGTAAACATATAAATAGACTCAAATTTGTAATAGTCGGGGAGATTGTGTAGATTGTTCATTGCTAATAAACTCCATAAAACAAACCGAATCAGAGTGCAGATCAATTTTCTGGACGAACTCAGTGAATTCTGCGACAGAAAGCGTTTTTACACGTAACTGGATGCGCAACTGGAACGCGTTTTGATACGTAACTGGATGCGCAACTGGAACGCGTTTTGATACGTAACTGGATGCGCAACTGGAACGCGTTTTGATACGTAACTGGATGCGCAACTGGAACGCGTTTTCGGTAAACTTACTTGTGAGTAGTACTGTGTATGGATATTGTGTTTAATTTTAGGAAACTAGTGAACCCACAGCCAAACAGTTGATGTCATATGTGAGGCAGTGGTCATTTGTTTTGTATATTGTGAGTGAACTAAGCTAGAGTTTGTGTTGTAACATACACTATCAGTGGATATTTAATTATTTTTAACATTAAATTTTTATATTTCATTCTTAGTTCCTTGAAATAGTGTTATTTTGTGGACTGCTGTATTTTCAAAAACGATACTGCATTGAGAATGTGTTCATTTCTCTTTTGCTGGTTGCTATACTAGGTAAGGAATGTTGCTATGCTTGGTAAGGAATGTTGCTATGCTTGGTAAGGAATGTTCCTATACTAAGTAAGGAATGTTGCTATGCTTGGTAAGGAATGTTGCTATGCTTGGTAAGGAATGTTGCTGTACTAAGTAACGAATGTTGCTATGCTTGGTAAGGAATGTTGCTATACTAAGTAACGAATGTTGCTATGCTTGGTAAGGAATGTTGCTATGCTTGGTAAGGAATGTTGCTATACTAAGTAACGAATGTTGCTATGCTTGGTATGGAATATTGTTATGCTAGGGTAAGGAATATTTCTATGCCTGGTAAGGGTTGTTGCTATGCTTGTCCCTCCCTGAAGACATCATACATTACTTTCTTAAAGCAGAAATGAGTCCCTGGAACCAAAAAAAGTTTACTATTGTACTTTTCAGGTTCTGTTACTGTAATTTGTGCCAAGGGAGTATCTTCAATGATCAATCTTACTTTTTCTGGTATGAATCAATTGAGCCACCCACTACCTTATATCATGTTTATTTTAATGGTCATCACTTCTGTGGCCCAAGTAAGGTACGTTATGTACGTTAGTAGGCATTTGTTTCCACTATTCCTCGTTTTTACTATATCTCATTTTCTTCTTTTGTTTTATAAAACACTAGTTATTTTTACGGTGTCAAAAATGCAAAGCGTTTGGTGGCTAAATGGTTATTTTTTCTTCTGCTTTTATGTCGTAGATTTTTAAACGTGGCCATGAAGCATTATGACGCTACAGTTGTGGTTCCAACAAACTTTGTCTTTTTTACTATAAGTGCCATTCTTTCTGGTATGAATCTACACTATGTTTTCCTCTCAAATTTGTTGTAATTAATAGCGCGGCAAGGCTCCAATTTGATATTTTATTTTGTTGCAGGTATTATGTTTTACAGAGAATTCTATGGACTGTCATTCTTAGTAATCTTCATGTTCCTTTTTGGGTGAATATTTTAATTGTTTTTCATTTTGCATCGACTTCTATAAATCATTAGTACCTGGTAACACTATTTTTATGGTTTGTTAAATATTCCCGGTGAACAGCACATTTTTGTTTGTTGGCAAACATTTTTACGTCCATTTCTATTCCATAATATTTCACGGGCACATTTCGAAAAAGCGAAAACATTCTTAAAGCAAACAGCTAGTCTAGTAATGTCGTTTATGTGAATGGTTACATTACATGTTTGTAGATGTAGATCGTCCAGGTTAGTTGTGTTCTTAGAAAGGCTGTTTATGTTGATGTTGGTGGCTGACGTTTCAACAACCTTAGCGGTAGTCATCTCCAGAGTCAAGTGCGCTTAATTTGTCGAGTTTGTCAACTCGGATGTCGGTGTGTGTGTGTGCGTGTGTGCGTGCGTGTGTGCAGACAAAGACAAAAATAAAACAAAAAACGTTTTTATTCCCAATGTTAAAATATGCTTTTAACAAAAGCATGATATTTCAGCCATTGACTCTAAGGAAATTTGACAGGATCTCAATTTAATTTTTATTGATCGTTTGTGAGTTGGCTACATGGTTGCAAAGATTCTTACAGCAATCTTAGTGCGTTTTTCATCATTGGTGAGCTTAACATTTCAACACCACATAATCAAAATGAGTTTTGTCTTTCTTTAATTCCTGTTTTCTTGTCGATTCTGGTCGGCTCTCTTGAGTTTAAATTGTACGATACCAAATTACAAAATTTGTTATAAATTTATTACATGTACCTTTAATGATTAAGGCAAATGAAACTTATAACGATTTTTTGCTGCTACCATGAAAATGTATGCATTTCACTTTTCATTCATTTCCTGAATTTTTATTATTTAGCTGTTTCTTATCCTTTGTTGGTGTGTATTGTATAACTAGCCATCGAGATGAAGTATCTGAAGATACAACAGATAAAAAGAATGGTATAATGACAGGTATTAACTTTATATAGTTTCTCTTAAAATGTGGTGTACGTACTTGCTACAGTAGTCCACGAGACGATCGCATTAAATCAAACAGATAATAAATAGGTAGTGTTCGGCAGTGAAGTAATAAATATTTTTCTTTGGTAATAGTGGGCGACGTTGCAAATAGTTGCACATCGATGACCAGCAGAACCAGTTTTATTGTCTGAGTTTACTATGACCAGCAGAACCAGTTTTATTATTAACTGAGTTTACTATATTTTTTTTAGCTGGATTTTTAACATCTACATCAAAGTTATGCAACATTCAACCAGTTTCTCCTACATCGCCTGAAAATCCCTCCGGAAAAGGCGCAAATGAACTAACCAGATTACAGGAAAGGACGAAATGAGGTTGCATTTTTATGTTTACTTTTTTTGGTTTCTTTCAAACTATAATTCTAACAATACCGTCGCGTCTTTTAATTATGACATAAAAGTTGTAGGATACTTGTTCTTGTCTTAGATACAGAACAAAAGTCTTACAGAGGATCTCCATTGGCAGAAATATTCACTAAATGTTAATGTCGCGCTATGTCAAAATTTGAATTCAAAAATATTCGAAAAAGTCAATTTTAATCATTGCCACATTTAACCTGTTGACGAAAAGTTAAATTTGTTTAAAAACTTTACGAAAAATTAAATAAACAAAAATATGTATCTATTACGTTAGTTAAATTATATCAGCAATGAATGAAGTTCAAAGTTTACAATATTTTTAGAATTCTGTTGTGGAGATTCGTCAGTCGTGACGTATTTTGTCTGGTCAAGGTCGTTCTAATATAGTTTAATATTAGGGATGAAATCCGTTACTATGGCCAACCCACATATCCGAGTTTAAAAACTTGTCTAATTATGCTTACTAGCAACGATAGAATAAAATCCTTTATTGTATTTTGTAAATATATACCATTGAACAACGTACAGTTACGTTTTAGCTCATAAATTCTTTATTTATTATGTAAAAAATACATTTATTTAAGTGAGTAAACTCTGTACTTTTAACAAAGATTTTGCTATGAGTATGGGTATAAAGTTTGCGATTGTGGTTTTATGAGTGAAAATCACTCGAGCTTAAAAGCATATGTTTATGTCTCACCCACATCTTTTCATTGAAATTAAATGTTTATGTCCCACCTAGATTTCTCCATTAAACTTTTTTGTCTAAGTTCACCTGGTGCCTTACCTTAAATGTAAATTTCTTAATGCACTCGTAAATGCAAATTTCCTCTGTGTTTTTCAATGTAAATGCCATCTGTGCTTAAGTTGCGTTGAACAAATAGCGAAAAATGATTTTCAATCTATCGTATTTAATTTTTTTGCGTTGTCACCAAGCGAATCTAAAGCTGAAATCAACACTTAAGACGAAATGACATAAAAACGACCTCTTTATTTTATCAAGTATCTCGTTTCCTGCTCTCAAAAGCAATTTACATAATAATATGAATGCAAATCTTATGTTTATTCTTATATGCATCATTGTGTACAAACTCCGGTGTATTTCGTCGTGTTTTTCCTTGGTTGTTCGCTATTGTCTTGATAAAGATTGCTCCTCTGAACATTTACTTGGTAAGATATCTTTTGTAATGAGGAATTCTTCAAATTGTTTTTCTACGTATTTCAGTTTATCATAGCATTCATGTTATTTCTTTCATTGTTTTGATCGAAAGGAAATTGATATAAAACCGATGCACTTCAACATCACTCTCTCATTTTGTAGATGTTCAATGTATATTTACAATCGAACTATACTCGAATAACTTGTTTGCAAAACCGTCAATCTTTTCTCTTTTTTGTGATAAAAATTTTCTTTAGTTTTTTGTCGTAACATATGTAGCAATAGTAGAACTTTGAAAGGTAAACATTATTAAATCCATTTATATTTCAGTAAATATTTAAACTTTATTTCAAAACGTTACAATTTAAATGTTTCACAATTGTGAATTCTTGGGGTTTTTTATCGTGACAGTCCTCAAATTTCTCCTCTTAAAACTGTTTAACTTTACTTATGTCAAATCTAGCTCCATAAACACTATTGTGTTTATAAATTGGTTATTAATTGTTGCTTATGTAGTCGTGCTTTGTATAGCATTGTAAAATCATTGGAAAAATGGCATTTTTTGATTTTTAGAGCATTTCTACACCATTCTAGAGATTCTTTATCTTGAGTTGGTTCGTGAATGAAAGGAATGTACGGCATTTTAGGTAAGATATATTTAGAATGCATTGATCCTTCCATGTTCTTCTACCTTTCTATATTAACTTATGAGCTGTTTATATTACCCTGCCATATTGACCGTATGTATTGACCATATTACTATTCTCTATTGACCGTATACCATGTTATATTGACCCTATGTATATTGACCATATTACCTTGCTATATTGACCGTATGTATTGACCATATACCATGCTATATTGACCGTATGTATATTGACCATATTACCATGCTATATTAACCGCATGTATTGACCATATACCATACTATATTGGCTTTTGTATTGACCATATTACCATGATATACTTAGCGTATGTATATTGATCATGCTACTATATAATATTGACATTACGTACGTCCACACTACCATTCTATATTGTTCATTACATAATGTTCATACAAGCGTTTTTATCCCTTTCAGTTTACATACTATTCTGCTGTTTTAATGAATCATTTTGTTGAGATGAAACAAAAGAAACGACAAGAACAACGCTCTCCGGAATATGACTCATTCCATGATAAACGTAGATTGCTTTCGTATTGGAAATCATTAGAGTCTCCTCCTACAGTTTCTGAGGAAAGTTTACAAGTCGACGACATTAAAGATGATCTTTTGGTTGAATTAAGAAAATGCGTGTCAGAGTTGGAAAGTTTGGATTCGGGAATATCAGGAACAGAACATGGTGAAATTATTTCATTGCAATATGAACAAATTAGCCTTATTGACCAGCTCAAAAGTTATTCAGCGCTTACTTCTTTGGAAACGTTGGATTTGAATCATAATGTTAATGGAAAGAATGATTCTTTGACTAAGCAAAGTGAAAGAGACGCAATAATTAAGGAAAACGAAAAACTTCTTCAACAAATAAAAAAACAAGAGAAAGAGTACAAGACTACGAGGGACGAACAACAAAGAGATATTGAAAAACTAACTAGGGTAATTATTTTTTTAAAGATATCATTTGTATTGCTTCATTACTTTTTTAAATTAATATACTCATTCAATGATTGTTTTCTTTCCTATTCCTAAGGAAGTACAAAACTTCAATATCCCGAAGAAAACTTGAACGTGAATTAACTCAACTTAAGAAACAAAAGACAGATAACGAAGCAACAATAGTTTCTTTACAAAAGGAAATAAAAGTAATAACAGAATCACACAAAGCTGAAATTCTGAAACTGAGTAAGATTAACGAGCAAGTAACGCAAGAAAATAGTGAACTTGCTGAGAAAGGCAAGGAAGCAACTGAAGGCCTGAAAATTGCTCTTCATCAGTTGTCTGAGGAAAAGAAAATGATACAAGGGCAAAAAAAATCTTGGAAAAATATTCGAGAGATGGAGCTTGCCATTGACAGAGTTAAAAAGGAACGCGAGGCGTTTAGACAACGATGTGAGAAAACGAACTCGTGCATGGAAAACTGCAGGTTGAATTATCTACTCTTAAAAATGAATTGGAATTGAAAAACAGAAAACTGGCACGAATTTCTTCAAGAGAGTTTGTAGATAGTGAAGATGGACTTGCGGAGAAATCCAAAGAAAGTAGCAGAATTGCTCAACTCAAGAAATACGTTCATGTTTTAGAAGAAAGCAATAAAGAAAAGAATGAAACAATCTTAACTCTTAGAAAAGAAAATGCTCGAGCGAATGATATCACTATGGAAAAATCTTTAGAACTTTCAAAGACTCGTCGAATTTTAGAGCGGAAAATTGAAAAATTAACAAATGAAAATTCAGACCTCAAAAGGAATATTGTTATCAGGTCGAATTATAGTCGTAAGAGTCAAAATACTCCGGAAGCTAAGGAAGGTTTGTTGACACAAAAACAAGACAAGCCTTTTGATGAAGAAAACCGTCGGCTTTCTAACCCGGAACATTGGGCAATTGAGGAAGCTGAACGGCAACATCGAGAGAAAAATCAGATTCCCTCGTCCGAGCTAAAGACAACGGCAGGCGACGCTTTGGAAACAGGTAAGCCTAAAGAAGTTCCACCGAGAAAAAGAAACACTGGGAAGTTCATTAGAGAAGGTTTCATACGACACAGTGCTGACTTAGGAAAATTGATGTCTAGAAGTGAACCGTTTATTCATCGTAAATTAAACAGGTAATGTCTAATGAAAAATTTATAACTATTTATATCTATTTTATATATCAATAACATATTTCAATGACCTACGCTGTAGCCTTAGCCGCTTTTAAGCTGTAACAGTTTTTGTTCATTGCATTTTACAATTGCTATTTTTAAATCTTTTTAGTGACGTCATACATGATGAGAAACCAGCGACAATATTTGTAAACAAATTCCGCAAGAAGAGCGAGGATGAAGAACATTGGGTTTGATGATCAATCGTTTTCGTGTAACACCAATTTGGAAACTTGTAATTAACATTATTTTCATAATAACGCTTATTTAAACTTATATATAAAACCAATTACTTCATATTATATTATTTAATCTTAATTTCATTTCACCAGAAAATCAACTGTTATAATCATCACATAAATGAATTTTCAGTCAACTGACGTAGATTTGATGATTTACCTAAAAATCAGAATAATCTCAAACTTTCAGCACAAATAATACACAACAAACTTAAGCAAGCTCTGAAAGCAGATGTAAATTTGTGATTATTGTTGATATTCGAAGCAGTTGAAGTGGAATTATCTAGATGATAAACACGACCAAACAAGGCAGCTGTAAGAAGACCTTTACTCAGTGTTTGAGTAGTTTCCAACATGTGCACAGGGAAGTCATTCATCCATTCTCCAGGAAGGAGTGAAACTCCATCTGCCACTACCTGAGGAAAGACGTATGACGTGTTAAGATAAGAGTTCAGTGAAATAAACTCAAAGATTGTTTTTGCATTATAAACTTTTTGGCCGCAGCTCTTACGACTTGTGTTCAAACATTTTATCAAAGTACATATTCGTAGATAGTATTGTCCTTCCTTTGTGTGAATACCGTCAAATACTCCCAGCGCATATAATTCGTCTGTTCTTTTCTTTACCATCTTGTACGTCAAGGAACAGCAAGTTTTGCTGTGATTGTAACATATTTTCAAAGCATCTTCATCATTGCGCAATTCTTTAAACTGAAAAAGATCGCCAAACAAATCCGAATAGAATTCTTCATTCCAAGTAACATTGCTATGAGAAAGATTATCTCTGTCTATTTGTGCAGCAGATTTGTCAAGCGCTAGGTTTCGATGTGACTTTGGCAAGCTCGCAATCAAAAGTTTTCCCCCTTCTGATAAACTTCGAAAGTAGTCTTTAGATCCGTTGTAGCTATAAATACCGCTACCTGTGTTAAGCAAGATAGGGACATGCGTATTGGATGCGAGAAAGTTGACACCCATACCACGGGCCCAGGAGCTGTGAAAACCAATTGCGGCAAAAAGCGGTAATACATCAAACCAAGCAGTTGGAAAAACCACGTGATCAATATTATACTTTTCCACCAATGTGATCGCTGGATCATGAAAAAGTACATCAAAACATGTGAAGGTTCCAAATTTTCCGAATGGTGTCTGAAATGTGATGAATTCTGGTTCTTTTGGACGATTTACAGTTTTTAGCTCGTTCATGAAAGGATGTTGCTTGTGATACCTAGAAAATGAATGGCAAATTAAAAAACGAAGATGTTTTTTAAAACAAATTTTCCCAGCAATTAAACAAACAAAATCATACCTAGCTATCAAATTTCCTTTGTTGTCAAAAACAACATTTGTATTGTATTGATAGCGTCCATCTTCGGGACAATTTAAGTCTGTGGTTTTATTACAAGGTTTAATGTCGCCCATGTTTACTACCAAATAAATATTGTTGTCTTTTGCTAGGCAACTGAGACGATTCAATATAAAGGTAGAATTATCAGGTTCAGGATCTGTACAAGCATTCCATTCAATTCTTGTAGGATCGGGAATATTTTCCAAAAAAGGTCTAAACGACTCTCTGTCGTGATTAAATCCTGTGAGGCCATATTCAGGAAACACAATAATACGGGCATTCTATATACAATAATGGTAGTTCAGTATTGACAGTGCATAAGTAACGAGAGTGCTGTGCAACCCCCTTTCCTGGTAGTCACATAACAATGAAATTTTGCTGAAATTTAGATGACATTTGCATTGGAAATTAGGAAAATCCACGCCAAGTGAAAGAACCAAATCTGGATTGCAATGCTAGTTGCTGTAGGATGTCATATAAGTCAAAGGCCATTGAAGGTTTTCTTTAACAAGATTTGCATTTTTCGATTTTGATTTTTGCTAATCTTGTGAGACAGTCAATAGTTCCTATTTCAAGTCATATGAATGAATACAATACCTTATTCTTTGCAGTAATAACTTGTTGTTTGTAAACATTGACATTTTTCATCATTATCTCCACAGCGGCATTTCTTGTAAGCACATAGCTTTGGTTTTCTGAACTATCGAATAACGCATGCTCATAAACTGCTGCAATAAATTCTGATGCTATTGTATTCTTTATCAGATACAATAAAAGGAACGCTCTTACATTTGTATGCATGTTGAAATAATGCGTTTAAAACCATCAAATTTTTTCACAGCACTCATGGTGAAATATGAGCTCGTTGCTTAGGGAGGAAATATTCAGTGTCACCGTAAACGTCACCAAGAACTCCATTCAAACGGCGACAACATGGACAGCTGAGCTGGGTGTCTCAGGTAAAGGGGGGGGGGCATGGACTCCCCATTTTTTTCATGGGCAAGTAGTTTGTAAGGTAAATGGTAAAACAAAGAGTTCTGCTTATACAGTATGTTTTCATGCCATTCTGGCTCCCCTACTTTTAAACACGTTATGTTGTACCCAGAGGCTTTGGAAGCTTTCAAAAGTTGTAGGTTTTCAATGCTCGCAATTTGATAATGCGAGAAACTTAGAATAGTAACGAAACTGTTTCATATTAGTTATTTTTGATAGTTCTTTCTTCCTTTTTCGGCATATATTACAAAACTTGTCAGAAAATGCATTACATAAAAATGATTTGCATATATCGGCAATGTTCAAACCATTTGAAATTTCCAGCTTGCTAGTGCCAGTTCCTTAATTAGAAAATTCAGTGTGCTTGCAAAAACTCAGCGTGCAACATGTCATATATTTTCATGCAAGAAGCTAAATTTGTGGGTGTACTTCCTATATTTAACACCCACAGTGTAAAAGTTGTGGGTGCACTGACACCCGGACACCCACGGCTTCCTTACGTTTACCAAGCCCCTGGTTGTCCATACAAAACAACTCATGGGAGAATGTGTGGGTTGAAGTAAGATTTTCGGTAGCCTGATAGGAATACAGTTTATGACGGGTTGAGCTGTTAAATGTCTGCACTTGAATGAGCTTTCATTCTATTCACATAATCAAAACGCCACTGATTCGTATAGTACAAACTCAAACTCCAAGAAAGGCGTTTATAAGATAGAAGGTGCTTATTTCATATGTCATAGGGGCGTTTATTTGATCATTTCATGTAGCATCTGCTGTGCAGGACACGTGTGACAGTCGGCTCATTAACACAATATGGCGTGCAAAGCACCATGTGAGCAAATTACCGAAAGTTTGACATAAAGATTTGTTTTTATTAAGTAATATAAGGCTACATACGTTAGGTTCAGAGGATAGTTATAAATATTGATATAGAGTCAAATTTAATTATGAAGATTAAAAAAAGGACAGCAAGCGAAGGACCTAAAAGTACCAAAATAAAAAATAGAGGTAAAAAGTTTGCTGTTCATATGAAGAACAAGAAAAAGAAAACATTGAATACGAAAAGGGCTATATCATTTGGAGAAAAAGAAGTAAAAACTAAAGGAAAGGATGGTAAACGTACGGACAATACTTCTTTTAAGAATGATTTAATGAAGAAAAATAAACAAACACAGAAGTTGAACATAGATTCTGGTGATGCTGGTGACAGTTTGTCAAAGCGTAAACGAGAAGACTACAGCAGTAGCAGTTCCCAAAATAAAAAACTTCGAGGAATTAAAAATGATGAGGTGCAAACCAGACTTGATCAAAAGCAATTAAAATTGGCTCGCAGGAAAAGGAAACAAAATTATGAACTTACCAATATATTGATTAAAAAATACGACGCCTTAAGAAGGTAAAGAATAGTATATTTGGAAATGATATTTTCTAGTTTTTATTGTGTTTCCAAACACAGGAGATATTTGGGTGAACTTGAGAGTTGATCATTGCAAACCTAAGATTGAAGATCGAGAATTCTTACAAATGTCTCCTAGGTTTGCTCAAACCCGTTAAAAATGCAAAAAAAGTCTTTTACTTCTTTTATATAATAGCAATAATTCAAGACAGATAGAATGTTTAAAATGTTTCTTTGAAGGATGAACAATTTATTTAAGGTGGTCAAATCTGTTACTTAGAAGGGTGCACCCGCTGCATCCTCTCAGAAAATCTGTTGATGATGTTTTGTGCAAGGGGTTGACTAAAAGTGTAATGTATCATTTTTAATTCATCCATTTAGAAAAGATATTTCATCTGACAAAAAACGTATAATGATTGATGAAGTTCTTGATATAATAGCTGGACATTGTCATGAGGTATAAGATTCTTGCAGTTTTCATAATCTTAAATTTAAACTTGTTGGAGCCATCAAGGAATGGTTTGGTTATAATTTTTATATTTAGGTTGTTTTCAAACATGACACTGTACGAGTTCTACAAATGTGCATCAAATATGGTTCTGTCGAGCAACGATGCAAATTTTTTGATCAATTTAAAGGTGAATAGTTCTGCGTACATCATTTTTAAGAAATGAATTTCGAGTATTTAATTAAATTTTTTTGGTGTTTTGTGTTTGATAAAAATTTAAAAATTTATTTCACTTCCACATATGGCAATTGACCGCAATTAAAGCATTGCGTTGCTAAAGTTTTTAGACTGTATGTATGTTTTGTTCTGTTATTTAGATAATGTTTCTGAACTGGCTTTAAAGAAGTACTCAAAATTCTTTATTAGAAAAATGATGAAATATGGGTAAAATATTTGTAAAATTATGTTAATGATTTCTCCACATTTCCAACAAAAAGATATTTTCTGATTTTCATTCCTAAGAACAAAGGAGCAAAGAATCTACATTATATGCTCTTTCAATCGGAAGGTTAAGAAATACATTCGACATCAGGTAGGTGTGATTGTTTTCAACAGATATTATAATGATGTTTTAAGCATGAAGATAGATTGAAAAAATACCAATCACAATCTATGTATTTATGAAATTATATATCATCAAAAGTAATTTATTTTAAGACATGAACATACATAGTTTTCCATGGTTGGCTAACATCAATGTTGGATAACATTTCTTCTTTTGAACTCAGGAAGCCGGCGAAATAGTTGAAACTATATATAATGAATATGCCAACTCAAGTCAGAGGAAATATCTACTTCAAGAATTCTATGGCGCTGAATATTCCATTGGAAAGGTAGATTTTTCAAAAAAATTTGGTTTACCATAAATGCTCACTTAAGCACCCTCGCACTTACACGCCGCTCTTGTTTAAGCAGTTTACGGTAAGTATAACTTTATAGTGTAGATAATATGTATGAGCAATATCCTTCATGGGATATAGTGAGACCATATTAATGAAAGAAGATGGCTTTGTGTAGTCTCCAGAGTACTCAAACTTAAACAAGTGAGCCACATAAAATACATGTGTTGAACATAGTTTGAGAAATCTATTTAAGAAAAACAAGAATATATGAGAAATTCATTCTATTTTTTAAGAATTGCATTTTCAAGTTATGTTTTGAACAATCCATGCTGTTGTAGATTAGTGATGCTCGGTCACTTGAAGAAATTATTCAAAGCGATCCACACAAGAAACCTCATATTCTACGGAATCTGAAAGAAACAATGGTTTCTTTAATAGAAAAGTATGTACCTCAGTTTGAGATTTTTAAATTCTTTTGATAAAATTCAATAGTTACTGGTTAAGAGGTATTGCAACGAAGATGTCTTGATGAGTTGAATGGTTGTGGAAAGTGCTTTGGATGATGGACATATTATTGTTGAATAGTATTTATTATTTATTATAGGTCACTTGTGTCTCATACAATTGTGCACAGGGCGATGTTAGAATTTTTTACTTATGCAGATGAAAAGATGAGAACGGTAAATTACATAATAAAATGGCGGTCGAATTTTAACATTTTTGTCTTTCCTCAGCTTGCACTACTTACCGTATGTATATTGATTTTGTACTCACTCACTCACTCACTCACTCACTCACCACTCACTCACTCACTCACTCACTCACTCCTCACTCACTCCTCATCACTCACTCACTCATCACTCACCACTCACTCATCACCACTCACTCACTCACCATCCTCACTCATCATCATGATGATCATGATGATGATGATGATCGATGATGATGATATGAATGATGATGATGATTATTTATGATGATGATGATGATGATCATCATGATGATCCATGATGAATGATGATGATGAATGATGATGATAATGATAAATTGATGATGATGAATAATATGATGAATGATGACGATGATGAATGATATTGATGATATGATGATGATCATTATGAATCACTCCTCATCATCACTCACTCACTCACTCACTCATCACCACCTCACTCACCACTCACTCACTCACTCCTCCTCACCTCACTCACCTCATCACTCTCACTCACTCACTCACTAACGAAATTATTCTTTCTCAGGAAGTGATCGAATGTTTGCATGAGCAGTTGGTCCTTATACTTCACACGAGTGAAGGAGCAAAGATAACGATGTCCTGTTTATGGCATGGAACTCCTAAAGTAAGAACTTTGTGTGCACCCTGCACAGTAAGGTTGTTTGAGATAGAAGAGAATGAACTTGTTTTAACGTCAGGTTGTATTTTTATTATGAGGCAAAGTTGAGCAATCTTATATTGGAAAGTTGACTCGATCGAGTTACATCTCGTGCTTAAAGAAACTAAGCTTTTATTTATTGAATAACTATATATTACTGTTTATTTTATTTTTGATATGAAATTTACGTTAATGTTTAATACTTAAAGGATCGAAAAGTAATCGTAAAAAGTTTCAAAGGCTATGTTGCAAAGATATGCAAAGTGAGATTTTTTATTGTTCCTCTGTTTTATCATTCGTTATGACTTAGCACTACATTTCACTCATTTGTTTTTCCGATGCTACCATTTTTATCACGTTAGCATTACGACGTTCATCTGTCTTTTCAATTTCAGGAGGAATACGGTCACGTGACAATGCTTGCAATCTTTGATTGCGTCGATGACACAGTTCTTGTTCAAAAAGTTATCATCTCGGTTTGTGCATTTTTATTGATTATGTTCATAAAAACGTTCAATTTTGAATTGTTATGTTGAAGTACACTTGTTAGTTATCTTTATCTACTAGTAAAATTTTGCTAATCTTAATTTATCGGTAAAATTTTGAAAATCTCTATACAACTGGTAAACATAGTGTTTGGGAAATATGTAACATGGAAAACTAAACGTTAAACGATTTTAACGACTCTTTATGTGGAGTACAGTGGAGTACAGTGGCTTCTCTATAACAAAATGCATGATTGCCATGTGCTACTTTAATACATTAAAGCGAGTTTGTTTCACGACATGCAATCTTATTTTAGGAAATGCTATCTTGTTTGAAAGAACTTGCCGAGAATCATCATGGTAGAAAGGTTTTACTCTATCTTCTTGCTCCTCGGTCACCAGCATATTTTTCACCAAATATTATTAAAACGTTATCCCAGGGTGATGGCAACAAGCATAGGTAATTTTTCAGTCAGGCTCTGCATTCTAAAAAATAGGAATTTTTTTGCTATAAGCCCAGTGTATACCATCGTGCTTAGTTCACATGTTTGGTATGAGCAATGAAGTTATACATTTTGTATGTTATAGCAAAAGGAGAGCTCTGTGCGAAGAAGAGAACTATTGTCAGCTATTTCGCCATCTTTAATCCAGTTTGCTGCTCATAATGTGAAGCGATTACTTTTTGATAAAGCTTTGAGCCAATTTTTTGTGGCAATTATTCATAATGCTGGAGGTACTAATTTTCCTACTCGCGCGTATTTATGTTAAATATTTCATGGCAGTATGTCTTCGTTTTCAGATGAAGTGGAAACTGCAATGAAGAGTGCTGTAAAATTGGCAAGTAAAGAACTCGATGTCGACAATGATAGTGAAGAGGTGAACTTTCGTTCAAAACAAGTTTCTTGCTGTACGACGATTCATTTTCAAAAAACATTTATTGGATGTTTTAGGATCACGTTTTTAAGAGTGCCAGTGGTCATTTTGCGATTAAACAGCTCATCCAATTAGATAAGAAACGCATTGAGAATGGTGTGTATTAATGAAGTATTTTAATGATTTGCAAAATATTTATGGTTCACGATATTTTACGATATGTTACCCTTAATGTTTAACCTTTTGCTATTTCTCACTGTCAGTATCAAAGAATTCAATGCGCATTTTGTGTCTAGATTCAAAAGTGTTGTTTTCGCCGTTGTTGATGACAAGAACAGACCCTGAAATGTTGTTTAACATGTGTCTTTTTAACAGGGGAGCTTTTCTTGTTGTAAGGTTTGTGGAGCTAGTCAAATACATCAATTCATATACTACACATAGTATGTTTTTGGTCTCTCGTGTACTTCAGTTTCTTTCAAAGTATGTACGTATTTAATTTTATATTATTTCAGCCTTCTCGAGTGTTCAGTTCCAGAGGTGCAAAAAGAAGTGAAACAGTCATTGATGCCTTATGTTCAGAAATTAAAAACAGTTGAAAATACTGGTGTAAAAATCGTGATGAAGTTGCTGAAAAAGTAAACACTAATACCAACGATTTTTAACACAAAGTCAGTTAATGACACCAATTTTGTTCAAACGTCTGTAAGCATAGTTCAGAAATTTCTAAAAATATATAAATACATCGCTTGATTTGATTGCTTGTATTTGAAAGGACTTCTCCATATCGTCAGTCTCGGTTTTTAGCATAGAAGTCAAGATATCTCAGCTTTTTCTTTTGACTAATCAGAAAAAATGCCAATTATGTGATAGTCAGCAGCATTAAAAAATTGTTTCTCGATCAAAATGTTTAATGACAGTGACTCACTGTAGTGACAAGATCTGACGAAATGTCAAACGGGTCCATTCTTTCATCATAATGTATTGTTGATTAAAATTTTGAAGGATGTTTCTATTATTATTTTAACTAAAAAAACATAAAGAGCGACAATTTTATAACCACGGTGTATCGGAGCGATCTTTTCTGGTAAGAAAGTCAATCTTTCTGTCCATCTCAGCATCATAAATCTTTCGTTTGCTTTCGTACTTCTTTCTTCGCCTTTTTACGGTAGGTTTTTCATAATATCGATTCAAATTTATGTCTTTGATCTGTTTCTCGCTTTGCATGACTTTTTGAAGAGAATTCATCGCATTTTGAACGCCTTTTTGGCCAACAATTATCGTCCTTGCTTTGAACAAATGGTGCGCCATTTTGAAATTATGGTAACGGGGGGTAATGTATTGAAATGTATCTTATGATCCTTATATAAAAAGTCGTATCCCCAAGCACCAAATGCACTTTGATTACTTGCGCCTAAGTATGCACTGCATCTAAGCATGAGAATATTTTTTCTTAGATGTTATTATGAATGTTTGTCAATATTCTATTTTCTAAGAACAAGAATAGTGTTAACTAAAGTGGCCCGTGTATGCAAGTTGCTTTATCATCTTGTTTCAACTGAAGCAATTTGGAAGGTAAGGTTTACAAAAAGCTGGCCAACAAGAATTAAAACGCGCGATGATTTCAGGCACATTTCTCCAAGGTGTGTGGAATGTAAATGGTTTGACAATATTTTATTATTAAGGAATGTTTGAATGAATGAATGAAAATCTTTATTTTGACACGCTGGCCTTGTCAACTGGGGTTGATTTCCACGAGGGGCGTGCTTTTGTTCAAAAACAATTACAAAATTTACTAAGAAATATCTACAGAAGAGAAGTTTAAATATTTACAGAGTTTAGTTTATTCCATCAGTTACTTGTTAAACCAAATCATAAAATGCAAGCAGCAATTTTCTTTTGAAAAGTGACACGCTTTTGCTATTTCTGATTTCTGCTGGAATTGAATTCCAAACAGAAGCCCCATCATACGCAAAGCTTTTCTTCAAGGAGTTGTACTAGGCATAGGAACATTCAGACAAGTTGTAATATTGCGTAGATTGTAATCAGTGATGTCTTTTCTATACGTAAACTATCTAGTAAGTGAATTTGGTCCTGCATTTTTTAATAATTTAATCATCAGCTTTGCTTTAGCTTTTTTTCTAAGTATTTCAAGAGGTTCCCACTTCAATTCTTGTTATGCTTTATTGTTTGCATGTTTGTAATGCATGTTTCTGTGATTAATTACATGATTGAAAGTTCTTGTACATTTTAGAAAATTTTCTTTATATTTTCAGGTGGAAAGAACTATGCTATAAAAATGAAGAATTTGATGAATTCTGGGTCCACGAAAAGAAAATGCTTTCCATGACTTCTGTTATCCAGTCTTATCCTATTGATTCATTGTTATTAATGAATTCTGGAAGGCTGTTGATATCTGGTTCAAGAGACAGATCCATTTGTATCACCAATCTGGACAATATGAAGAAATATGAAAATGAGTTTGACTTGTCTAAGGCTCCTTGCTCTTATATTAATGAACACATGGTAAGTAGGCTAAAATAGCTAAAAAACAACTTTGGAAGTATGTGTTGTTTACAATATTAAAGTCCTTTGAGGATTGTGGGGAAATATTTCATGTGCTTGCAAATATCCAATGTATAAATATACAAATATGCATTTTTCTCTGTAACCATTAAATAATTCATTAGTACATCTTAAACAATTTTATCGTTTTTCATTGACTAAATCAAATTTGGATAGTGTTAAATTTGCTAGTACATTTGTGATTGCATAATTTATTCCTGTTGTCGGGATTTTCCATTGAATAGCAATGATTCTTGTGACATTTTAGTTGGAGGAAAGACCAATTCGCTAGAGTCTCCTTATTGCAAATAGTGTGATAACGCTGGAAGTACTATTCATGTCGATTCAAGAATGAGGATAATATTGTTGGATCATATTTAAAACATGAAGTCTTTACACGACCAGCTGAGAGAAATGAGAATTCAGCATGACGATAAAGACCTAGCAATGACCTTACTCATGAGTTTATCGGACAACTTTAAGCCACTTATCACTGCATTGGATGCAGTGGTAGAAGACAGTTTGACTTTTCAAAAGGTGTAAGGAATGCTACTAAATGATACTGACAGAGTTGCTGATTTGAACAGGGTCGAAGATGCTTATACAACACATAGATATTTTAAAGGGAGAGAAAAGAAATCAAAGGAGCAATACAAGAAAGAAAATAATAGTAAACACACATTTCGAGGAATTTGCCACAACTGTAAGAATAGAGGACACCTTGCGAGAGATTGCCCACAACGCAAGAATTACAACTCTGGAAATTCAAACAGAGAAAATAGGACAGCTTATGCTGAGGTAGAGAAGAATAAAGCAAGAGATGATGATGACATAGTATTATTTACAAGTGGTAATAGTGAAAGATATGGTTGGATCATAGACTCCGGCGCCACCCAACATATGACATTTGAGGTAAATAATCTATCTGATTATGTTGAATTCAAGCAGCCATGTAAAGTTAATTTGGGAGATGATCGAGTGATTGTTGCTTATGGAAAGGGCACATACAGGTTATGCACTAATCTAAAAGGGACAAGCCAAAGAATTGCATTGAAGAATGTTCTCTATTTACCTGATTTAAAAAGGAACTTGTTATCAGTTCAAGCAATGATTAAACTGAGAGCAACTGTTGTTTCAAAGAGGATGAATGTACAATTTCTAAAGATTCAAGGTTACTGGGAATTGGAGGAATGCAAGGAAAGTTGTATATGCTTGAAGTTATTCCAAGAGAATATGTGCATAAAGTAAATGGTTTGAACCCGGGAACAACAACATCAAAAACAGTCCTTCTCAGGACTATACCAACCTGGACGATCTACATTCACAAACATGTAAGAATATGTGCATGTTGCTGAGAACAATCCCAACATGGAGTTATGGCATTGTCGATTTGGACATTTGGGAAAGGATAATTTGTCTAAGCTAGTCAATAATGATATGGTGACAGGAATGGTGAGTTCGAAAGATGAAGATATGCCAGATGTGTGTGAAGCATGTATAATGGGAAAACAGTGCCATACACCGTTTCCTAAAAGAAGTTTCAGTCGTGCAACTGAATTGTTTGAAATAATCCACAGTGACGTTTGTGGCCCAATGAATGTCAAATTGTATGGAAAATCTCAGTATTTTGTGACATTCACAGACGATTATTCACGATACACGCAAGTATATTTTCTTAAAGGTAAAAATGAAGTGTTGGACCAATTTCAACAGTTTGTCAATGAAACAGAAAATCGTGGCAAAAGAATCAAAACTCTTCGTTCAGACAATGGTGGAGAGTACTGTTCAAGAGAATTTGGTGATTATTTGAAGTCAAAAGGAATAACCCTCCAAACAACAGTTCCATATTGTCCTGAACAAAACGGCATCGCTGAAAGGATGAATAGAACTTTGGTTGAATGTACACGATCTATGTTACATCAGAGGCATTGAATACCGCTGTATACATTCGCAACCGTAGTCCTACATCATCAAATGAACTTACACCGTTCGAGATGGTTCATAGTGAAAAGCCAAACGTATCGCATCTAAGAGTTGTTGGATGTATTGTATATATGCATATCCTGATGCTAAAAGAAATAAATTAGATAAGAAATCAGCTAAATGTGTAATCGTTGGATATCTAGAAAACACCAAAGGATATAAACTATACAATCTCGAGAAGAAAGCATTTTCTCGCAGTCGAGATGTCATATTTGAAGAAAGGAAATTTCACGAATTCAAGTCCAAGGACAGTTCCGAGTTTTACCGCAAGAATGATGATAATAAGACTACTGAAATCGAGGCAATTATCAATACACAAAGTCATACTGGAGAAATTGCAAATGAAGAGGATCATCCTGAAGATAATGTTCCAATACCATGTAATCGTCCAGTGGGAGCCACGTATAAGGATAACTTTCTAAGAGATGTGGAAAGTATCAATCCACGTTTTGAAAGGCGACCACCACAAAGATTTGATGACGAATTATATAATTGCAGAGAAGATTTAACTGCAGATATTTATGAGCCAAGTACTATTGCTGAAGCAAGGAATGAAAAGAACAATAACGAATGGAAAAAAGCTACAGAGTTGGAATAAAAATCATTAATTGAGATACGTGGGATCTTGTACAACCAGCCGAAAACAAAAATGTGATTGGTAGTAAATGGGTATTTAAAGTCAAAAGAAAATCTGATGGAACAGTCCAAAGATTTAAAGGTAGATTGGTAGCACAAAGCTACACCCAATCACCAGGTATAGATTATGAAGAAGTGTTTGCACCTGTTGTAAGATAGAGTTTGATAAAGATCGTTACTTGCAGTTGCCACCATTTGTGACTGGGAAGTTTACCAAGTTGATGTTAAAACTGCATTTTTACAAAATCGATCGTTTATTCTCCAAATGATCGTCCCATCTTCAGATACATTTCACAGAGATGATCCAATACTATCAACATATCATCGCGCTCATCTGGATCACTAAATTCCTCAGTTATCACAGCCTTCATTTCTTCATACGTCCCGATATTTGGGTGAGCTGTGTCCAGGCGTGAACATTTCATTTTTTTGACAACACCAATAAACCAATCTTCAAAAAGTTCTTTGTCGAGCTCGGGAAAACGTAACTTGGCGTGATCTTGAACATTTTGGTCATTAAGAGTGTCAATCTTTCTTTTTAAAGACTTCAAATTTGTTCCATACCTCGCTCTTTTACTTGCTTTATCCTGACCAGGAAATACATATTCCCATACAAGACTTTCCAACTTATATGCAACTTGACCAATTTTCAATTGTCTTTTTTGTTTTTCAAATTCAAGTTTCATCTTTTCGAAATCTTTTATTACTTTTTTCATCTCTTTGTTTTCCATTATCAGGCGTTCATTCTTTTCTTCCAAACTTTTGATTCCTGCTTCGTAATCGTTGTTCATTTCCAACTGCATTTTTTTCAAATCATTTACTACATTGATCAAATCGTTTACTATTTTGATCCAAATCGTTTACTATCTCTCCAAATTTTGAGTACATCTCAGCCATATCGAGTTTTGAATTTGTTAGAGCGTTCTGCAGTTGTCCGTACTACGGGCATAAAATATAACATTGGTCTACTTCGTTTATATAAAACAAACATGTTACTGAAAATAACTTGTGCACATGTATTTTAATGTTTTTCACGAGTTTTTCATTGATATTACTATTTAATATATTGAACAGTCAGTTGTTGAAAGTTTCATTACAGATATTTAATTGTCTTCTTTGTGCAGTTGTAATTATAAATTCTTATATATTTTTCTACAAGTTACAGAGAAATGACTGAAATATCCTAAACCACTGACAGGAATATTTTTATTTAATGCTTTTGAGGGTGATATGAAATGTCAGTGTTTATTCTCCAAATGGTCGTTCCATCTTCAGATACATTTCACGGAGATGATCCAATACTATCAACATATCATCATGTTCAACTTGATCACCAAATTCCTCGTTTATCACAGCCTTCATTTCTTCATATGTCCCAATATTTGGGTTAGTTATGTCCACACCTGAATATTTCATGATTTGGATGAGACCAATAAACCAATCTTCAAAAAGTTCTTTGTTGAGCTTGGAAAAATGTGATTTGGCGTGATCTTGAACATTTTGGTCATTAAGACTGTCAATCTTTCTTTTTAAAGACTTCAAATTTGCTCCAAACCTCACTCTTTTACTTGCTTTATCCTGACCAGGAAATACATATTCTGATACAAGTCTTTCCAACTTATATGCAACTTGACCAATTTTCAATCGTCTTTTTTGTTTTTCAAATTCAAGATTCATCTTTTCAAAATCTTTTATTACTTTTTTCATCTTTTCGTTTTCCATTATCAGGCGTTCAGTCTTTTCTTCCAAACTTTTGATTCTTGCTTCGTAATCGTTGTTCATTTCCAACTGCATTTTTTTCAAATCGTTTACTACATTGATCAAATCGTTTACTTCTTTGATCCAATCGTTTACTATCTCTCCAAATTTTGAGTACATCTCAGCCGTATCGAGTTTTGAATTTGTTAGAGCGCTCTGCAGTTGTTGCATCTCTCCTTTAAGTCTAGCATTTTCAGCCAAAAGAGTCTATAAAGAGAGTTCTACTTGTAATTGCTCAATTTTGCATTTAGTATGATTAAGAACACAATGTTAAACAATAGTTGGAACAAAAATAAACACAGTAGTTTTCAAAAAAATTCAATTAAAAAATGCAATATAACTGATAAAGTTTCCTCTAGTGATACAGCCAATAAAATTTCTTTATAGCGTAAACCCAAAGATTCGAAAATAAAAGATATGTGCATTTCTATTTTTACTTTCAGCTTGATTGATAAAAATACGTAAATTTCCTTACATTCTCCACCAGTGAACTTGTATGAAATGGAACTTGTATGCTCAATGGCTGTGATAAAAAGGAGCATAAGGAGTTTCATTTTTATGGAGTTATCAGTTGAAAAAGTTGCATACCCTTCCTTGACGATGAAAGCCTTTTGGTGGAAAGCCCTGTAAAGAATATTTAATTTCTATCATAAAATGTTTATAGTTCTTTTCGTTGCATTAATTAGCCTACTTCTTCCAGCACATGTAATGCCATAGTCAACTAAAAAATTGGGGGTATCAATCTTCATCGATATAGCTATATGTTGTCAATTTCTTCTAAAACAGTTGTGATTACGGTAAATTAATATAAATAAGTAACTTTGCCACACATTCTTAGGCCTGCGCTATACGAACGAATTTAATTCACACGAATTTAATTTTATTAACTTCGACAATAATGCGACAAAAACTCAAGGCAAAGTTATATGTCGAATTTTTTTGTCGAATTTAATTTATGAGATGTAAGTTTCCAAGTTATACGTCGCAGTATCGTCGAATAAAATTGCGATATTGAATTCGTGTGAATTAAATTCGTCCGTATAGCGCAGGCCTTAGCTAGCTTTACTATTTATCAATTTCTTTTTGTCTTTGAAAATAAAACATTAGTCTTGCTGACGACAATTCGCATACAGAACATAACCTATAGGGAAAATAGCCACCAAAAACTAATGAGAAATTTTATTGCTGATGACATTGATAGTGGAGTTTATAAAACCTGCTCAGTGATAACAAAGCGATATGTGTTCGTATTAAAAAAAATCACACATACTGAAATCCTGCTGCATCCATCATTTAAATTTATATCTTTGATCTGTTTCTCGCTTTGCATGACTTTTTGAAGAGAATTTATCGCATTTTGAACGCCTTTTTGGCCAACAATTATCGTCCTTGCTTTGAACAAAGATATATGTATCGCATCCATTTTCTGGCATATACAACCACAAATACAACCATCAAATTGAGGGTCTCCGCTGACCTAACGACAACTGGACTAATCAGTAGAAAAGACTCCTTGCTAGATATTGCGCATTGGCGACACATGACAAAAGTGGCATTTTGTGTACTTACTATAATAATATATAACCATGCTCGTAAAAAAGTTTTATTAGAGAGACATTAATAGTTTAAGTTTAAACGAGTGATAAGAAGGCTAAAAGTGTTAAAGTGTTTAGAAAAATGTGGTAGAAATATAAAGTATGCCAGTTTTCGGCATATATAACCATGGTCGTAAAAACGTTTTATTACAGAGATCTTGTTAGTTTGAGTTAAAACGAGTGATGAGAAGCGTAAGAGTGTTAAAGTGTTTAGAAGAATGTGGTAGAAATATAAAGTATGCCAGTTTTCGGCATGTACAACCATGGTGGTAAAAATGTTTTATTACAGAGATCTTGTTAGTTTGAGTTCAAACGAGTGATGAGAAGTCTAAGAGTGTTAAAGTGTTTAGAAAAATGTGGTAGAAATATTAAGTATGCCAGTTTTCGGCATATATAACCATGGTCGTAAAAACGTTTAATTACAGAGATCTTGTTAATTGGAGTTTAAACGATGAGAAGGCCAACAGTGTTAAAGTGTTTAGAAGAATGTGGTAGAAATATTAAGTATGCCAGTTTCCGGCATATATAACCATGGTCGTAAAAACGTTTTATTACAGAGATCTTGTTAGTTTGAGTTTAAACGAGTGATGAGAAGGCTAACAGTGTTAAAGTGTTTAGAAGAATGTGGTAGAAATATAAAGTATGCCAGTTTTCGGCATATATAACCATGGTCGTAAAAAAGTTTTATTAGAGAGACAATGTTAGTTTAAGTTAAAACGAGTGATAAGAATGCTAACAGTGTTAAAGTGTTTAAAAGAATGTGGTAGAAATATAAAATATGCCAGTTTTCGGCATATATAACCATGGTCGTAAAAACGTTTTATTACAGAGATCTTATTAGTTTGAGTTTAAACGAGTGATGAGAATGCTAACAGTTTTAAAGTGTTTAGAAGAATGTGGTAGAAATATAAAGTATGCCAGTTTTCGGCATATATAACCATGGTCGTAAAAACGTTTTATTACAGAGATGTTGTTAGTTTGAGTTCAAACGAGTGATGAGAAGCGTAAGAGTGTTAAAGTGTTTAGAAGAATGTGGTAGAAATATAAAGTATGCCAGTTTCCGGCATATATAACCATGGTCGTAAAAACGTTTTATTACAGAGATCTTGTTAGTTTGAGTTTAAACGAGTGATGAGAAGGCTAACAGTGTTAAAGTGTTTAGAAAAATGTGGTAGAAATAAAAGTATGCCAGTTTCCGGCATATATAACCATGGTCGTAAAAACGTTTAATTACAGAGATTTGTTAGCTTGAGTTTAAACGAGTGATGAGAAGGCCAACAGTGTTAAAGTGTTTGAAGAATGTGGTAGAAATATAAAGTATGCCAGTTTTCGGCATATACAACCATCGTAAACTGTTTTATTACATAGATCTTGTTAGTTTGAGTTTAAACGAGTGATGAGAAGGCTAACAGTGTTAAAGTGTTTAGAAAAATGTTGTAGAAATATAAAGTATGCCAGTTTTCGGCATATATAACCATGGTCGTAAAAACGTTTTATTAGAGAGACAATGTTATTTTAAGTTTAAACGAGTGATAAGAATGCTAACAGTGTTAAAGTGTTTAAAAGAATGTGGTAGAAATATAAAGTATGCCAGTTTTCGGCATATATAACCATGGTCGTAAAGACGTTTTATTACATTGATCTTGTTAGTTTGAGTTTAAACGAGTGATGAGAAGCCTAAGAATGTTAAAGTGTTTAGAAGAATGTGGTAGAAATATTAAGTATGCCAGTTTCCGGCATATATAACCATGGTCGTAAAAACGTTTAATTACAGAGATCTTGTTAGCTTGAGTTTAAACGAGTGATGAGAAGGCCAACAGTGTTAAAGTGTTTAGAAGAATGTGGTAGAAATATAAAGTATGCCAGTTTTCGGCATATACAACCATGGTCGTAAAACTGTTTTATTACAGAGATCTTGTTAGTTTGAGTTTAAACGAGTGATGAGAAGGCTAACAGTGTTAAAGTGTTTAGAAAAATGTTGTAGAAATATAAGTATGCCAGTTTTCGGCATATATAACCATGGTCGTAAAAACGTTTTATTAGAGAGACAATGTTATTTAAGTTTAAACGAGTGATAAGAATGCTAACAGTGTTAAAGTGTTTAAAAGAATGTGGTAGAAATATAAAGTATGCCAGTTTTCGGCATATATAACCATGGTCGTAAAAACGTTTTATTACATAGATCTTGTTAGTTTGAGTTTAAACGAGTGATGAGAAGCCTAAGAATGTTAAAGTGTTTAGAAGAATGTGGTAGAAATATTAAGTATGCCAGTTTCCGGCATATATAACCATGGTCGTAAAACGTTTAATTACAGAGATCTTAGTTTGAGTTTAAACGAGTGATGAGAAGGCCAACAGTGTTAAAGTGTTTAGAAGAATGTGGTAGAAATATAAAGTATGCCAGTTTTCGGCATATACAACCATGGTCGTAAAACTGTTTTATTACAGAGATCTTGTTAGTTTGAGTTTAAACGAGTGATGAGAAGGCTAACAGTGTTAAAGTGTTTAGAAAAATGTTGTAGAAATATAAAGTATGCCAGTTTTCGGCATATATAACCATGGTCGTAAAAACATTTTATTAGAGAGACAATGTTATTTTAAGTTTAAACGAGTGATAAGAATGCTAACAGTGTTAAAGTGTTTAAAAGAATGTGGTAGAAATATAAAGTATGCCAGTTTTCGGCATATATAACCATGGTCGTAAAAACGTTTTATTACATAGATCTTGTTAGTTTGAGTTTAAACGAGTGATGAGAAGCCTAAGAATGTTAAAGTGTTTAGAAGAATGTGGTAGAAATATTATAAGTTGCCCGGCATATATAACCATGGTCGTAAAACGTTTTATTACAGAGATCTTGTTAGTTTGAGTTTAAACGAGTGATGAGAAGGCTAACAGTGTTAAAGTGTTTAGAAGAATGTGGTAGAAATATAAAGTATGCCAGTTTTCGGCATATATAACCATGGTCGTAAAAAAGTTTTATTACATAGATCTTGTTAGTTTGAGTTTAAACGAGTGATGAGAAGCCTAAGAATGTTAAAGTGTTTAGAAGAATGTGGTAGAAATATTAAGTATGCCAGTTTCGGCATATATAACCATGGTCGTAAAACGTTTTATTACAGAGATCTTGTTAGTTTGAGTTTAAACGAGTGATGAGAAGGCTAACAGTGTTAAAGTGTTTAGAAGAATGTGGTAGAAATATAAAGTATGCCAGTTTTCGGCATATACAACCATGGTCGTAAACTGTTTTATTACAGAGATCTTGTTAGTTTGAGTTTAAACGAGTGATGAGAAGGCTAACAGTGTTAAAGTGTTTAGAAAAATGTTGTAGAAATATAAAGTATGCCAGTTTTCGGCATATATAACCATGGTCGTAAAACGTTTTATTAGAGACAATGTTATTTTAAGTTTAAACGAGTGAAGAATGCTAACAGTGTTAAAGTGTTTAAAAGAATGTGGTAGAAATATAAAGTATGCCAGTTTTCGGCATATATAACCATGGTCGTAAAAACGTTTTATTACATAGATCTTGTTAGTTTGAGTTTAAACGAGTGATGAGAAGCCTAAGAATGTTAAAGTGTTTAGAAGAATGTGGTAGAAATATTAAGTATGCCAGTTTCCGGCATATATAACCATGGTCGTAAAAACGTTTTATTACAGAGATCTTGTTAGTTTGAGTTTAAACGAGTGATGAGAAGGCTAACAGTGTTAAAGTGTTTAGAAGAATGTGGTAGAAATATAAAGTATGCCAGTTTTCGGCATATATAACCATGGTCGTAAAAAAGTTTTATTAGAGAGACAATGTTAGTTTAAGTTAAAACGAGTGATAAGAATGCTAACAGTGTTAAAGTGTTTAAAAGAATGTGGTAGAAATATAAAATATGCCAGTTTTCGGCATATATAACCATGGTCGTAAAACGTTTTATTACAGAGATCTTATTAGTTTGAGTTTAAACGAGTGATGAGAATGCTAACAGTGTTAAAGTGTTTAGAAGAATGGTAGAAATATAAAGTATGCCAGTTTTCGGCATATATAACCATGGTCGTAAAACGTTTTATTAGAGATCTTGTTAGTTTGAGTTTAAACGAGTGATGAGAAGCTAACAGTGTTAAAGTGTTTAGAAGAATGTGGTAGAAATATAAAGTATGCCAGTTTTCGGCATATATAACCATGGTCGTAAAAACGTTTTATTACAGAGATCTTGTTAGTTTGAGTTTAAACGAGTGATGAGAAGGCTAACAGTGTTAAAGTGTTTAGAAAATGTGGTAGAAATAAAAGTATGCCAGTTTCGGCATATATAACCATGGTCGTAAAAACGTTTATTACAGAGATCTTGTTAGTTTGAGTTTAAACGAGTGATGAGAAGGCCAACAGTGTTAAAGTGTTTAGAAGAATGTGGTAGAAATATAAAGTATGCCAGTTTTCGGCATATATAACCATGGTCGTAAAAATGTTTTATTACAGAGATCTTGTTAGTTTGAGTTTAAACGAGTGATGAGAAGGCTAACAGTGTTAAAGTGTTTAAAACAATGTGGTAGAAATATAAAGTATGCCAGTTTTCGGCATATATAACCATGGTCGTAAAAACGTTTTATTAGAGAGACAATGTTATTTTAAGTTTAAACGAGTGATAAGAATGCTAACAGTGTTAAAGTGTTTAAAAGAATGTGGTAGAAATATAAAGTATGCCAGTTTTCGGCATATATAACCATGGTCGTAAAAACGTTTTATTACAGAGATCTTGTTAGTTTGAGTTTAAACGAGTGATGAGAAGCCTAAGAGTGTTAAAGTGTTTAGAAGAATGTGGTAGAAATATAAAGTATGCCAGTTTCCGGCATATATAACCATGGTCGTAAAAACGTTTTATTACAGAGATCTTGTTAGTTTGAGTTTAAACGAGTGATGAGAAGGCTAACAGTGTTAAAGTGTTTAGAAGAATGTGGTAGAAATATAAAGTATGCCAGTTTTCGGCATATATAACCATGGTCGTAAAACTGTTTTATTACAGAGATCTTGTTAGTTTGAGTTTAAACGAGTGATGAGAAGGCTAACAGTGTTAAAGTGTTTAGAAAAATGTGGTAGAAATATAAAGTATGCCAGTTTTCGGCATATATAACCATGGTCGTAAAAAAGTTTTATTAGAGAGACAATGTTAGTTTAAGTTTAAACGAGTGATAAGAATGCTAACAGTGTTAAAGTGTTTAAAAGAATGTGGTAGAAATATAAAGTATGCCAGTTTTCGGCATATATAACCATGGTCGTAAAAACGTTTTATTACAGAGATCTTGTTAGTTTGAGTTTAAACGAGTGATGAGAAGCCTAAGAGTGTTAAAGTGTTTAGAAGAATGTGGTAGAAATATAAAGTATGACAGTTTCCGGCATATATAACCATGGTCGTAAAAAAGTTTTATTAGAGAGACAATGTTAGTTTGAGTTTAAACGAATGATGAGAAGGCTAACAGTGTTAAAGTGTTTAGAAGAATGTGGTAGAAATATAAAGTATGCCAGTTTTCGGCATATATAACCATGGTCGTAAAAACGTTTTATTACAGAGATCTTGTTAGTTTGAGTTAAAACGAGTGATGAGAAGGCTAACAGTGTTAAAGTGTTTAGAAGAATGTGGTAGAAATATAAAGTATGCCAGTTTTCGGCATATATAACCATGGTCGTAAAAATGTTTTATTACAGTGATTTTGTTAGTTTGAGTTTAAACGAGTGATGAGAAGGCTAACAGTGTTAAAGTGTTTAGAAGAATGTGGTAGAAATATAAAGTATGCCAGTTTTCGGCATATATAACCATGGTCGTAAAAATGTTTTATTACAGAGATCTTGTTAGTTTGAGTTTAAACGAGTGATGAGAAGGCTAACAGTGTTAAAGTGTTTAAAAGAATGTGGTAGAAATATAAAGTATGCCAGTTTTCGGCATATATAACCATGGTCGTAAAAATGTTTTATTACAGAGATCTTGTTAGTTTGAGTTTAAACGAGTGATAAGAATGCTATTAGTGTTAAAGTGTTTAGAAAAATGTGGTAGAAATATAAAGTATGCCAGTTTTCGGCATATATAACCATGGTCGTAAAAAAATTTTATTAGAGAGACAATGTTAGTTTAAGTTTAAACGAGTGATATGAAGGCTAACAGTGTTTAAGTATTTAAGTAAATAACAGTGTTACAACAGTGTTTAAGGAAATAGTATGTGCGTAGTTTAGTTTATCAATGTATCCTTTCCCACACGGCTAAGAGCCAAGAAACAGTTATTGACGTTAATTAAATTTCCTTATGTACCATATATAGCTTAAACAGAGGAACTACTCCGACCAATAATAATATTTGTTATTTGTAATAAAGACTATAAATACTGCTCTGTAAAATAATAAAAATCAGTTCGATCATTAAGTTCACTCGTGGTTGTTACCGAAGGTATATATATACTAAGAAAGAGATATGGCGAGTAACTCGAACTCAACAATTAGGAATACTTCTATAACTTTGAAAAATACAATGAAGACAAATTCGCGGGGAGAGACACGTGTGAAAAAGAGTCAGAGACCGGTATATAATATAATCTCTTTCCTGTTATATTGATAAATATTTCAATAATAATGATTCGTTATTTATGGCATAAAGTTTATGTCACATAATAATTCGTTTAGAGGAAAGAGTTAATCAGCAAAAATGAAAGTTTGAATGCATACAAAATGAGAAAACGTCTAGTAAAGCGTAAGTTTGCTTTTGTATTTTTTATTTTGTATTTTGATAATATTTTATGTAATTTCATGATTTTAGATTGATCAAGTGTCCCAGTCTAATCGAATCGGTCCTCTTGTTTTATTATATTTGGATGGGAACGGAAATGTTCGAACAGCAGGTTATTGATTTTTGAGTTCACTACTTGAACACGCATATGTTTAACTGTATTGAAATAAACCCATTCTGTGTTGTAGGAAGTCCTGGATTGCGCGAAGATGTGTTGGACGTTGCCAGCCATATAGTATGCAAATATATTGAAAACGATTTGAGGTCTTCAACAACGTCATCTGGTGAATACTGTTACTGCTTTTTTAATTCTCTGATATTAAAAATAAGCATCACTGTTATATATATATGATCATTTGACATATACAATTGTGAAGTTTAAAATATCTATATAGCAAACAATGAAAACGTATTGAAGTCGAAAAGAGTTCGACCTGATTTAATCGACCCTGAAGCTTTTGATGAAATAAGAAGAGGAAAATGGTCGTGTGAAGAACTCAGAAACCTCGTGCTTAATATGGTTCTTCCTTCATTAGCATTTTCAGGCACAAACATGTTTCATTTTTAAATAAGTTTCATGTTTGTAAAACATAAGCAGAGACAAATATTTCTATACTGCTGCAGGGTCTAAGGGAGGAAACAAATGGCCTGTAGCCCGAATTAAAAATTTTTGGTCCAAAGCAGAACAACCATCTTTTTGGCCGTTACACATACCGTTTTGTTCACCATCAGCAAGAAAAGAGATTCCACTAGGTTTAATTAATGATTTATTTATGTCTTTTATTTTATGTCTATTTATTTATGTTTTCTAAACCATGTTTAAAATTGATTGCAATTCTTCCAGATGGCAACAACGATAAGAAAATTTTCAGGAAAGTTCTCAACAAGGCAGAACTAACCGAAATCGTCCTTTCCTATTGGAATTACATTACAGACGTAAGATAATACTTTGAATAATCAAATGTAAAAAATGTAAAAAAAGAAAATAAATTGTCCTAAAAAGAATACGTCAATTGTATTTTTACAATACGTTCTCCACACTTTATGTGATTATTACACATCCTATTAATAAATTGATGTGTACAGTTTAATGAAGAAAACATCGAAGAAGAGTACCAAGACATGGAAAAAGAAACTGATATAGAGGAAATAAACGAGGAGAAAGCGGACGAGTTCAAACAAGAAAAGAAGCATGAAGATATCGACGAAGAAGAAATTCAAGATGAAGATATGGACTACGAGCACAACAAAGAGAAATATCTTAAAGAAGAAGGAAACGAAGAAGACGAAATGGGACCAGAGGAACATTTCATGATGCAACAAAAGGAATGAGATTAATATTTAGATATCTTTTTCTTCACCATCAAATCTTATGTGCAATTTCTGAATTTAGACGGAAAGCGCAGACCTAAATATCAAAGATATGTATGAAAAGGTAAATTTGACTTTTCACATGACGAAAGTTAAGATCTATATGTATCAAGATAAACAATACGCAATTAATATAGTAATTCTTACTTCTCTGGAAGACTTTTGCAAAGTGTTTTTATACGACAGTGGATCATTTTAGGGGGAAATATGTGGTATAGTTTCTGGATTCAGGATGGCAAATATGAGCTACAATTGTGAAATTTGTCAGGAATTGTTGCAATCCGCCAAAAGTCATCATCAACCTGTAACTCATGCATTAAGGTTCACATTTAAAGTTTATACTTAATTATTTTTAAAACATTTTACTTGTGATTACGTATTTATTTTATAGATCGAGTAAGATGGAAGCGATGGGTTTGCCTCAAGGCTATGATGCCAGTGAGCCAGGAAATATCTTTGAGGCGCTTAGTACGGATCCTGACAGGTTGAAACTTGATGCTTTCCTGTACGGAATTTCCCATCAACATCATTTAGCACTAGAGGTGACTTTTGCTCTACCTAAAAAATTTACTTAATAATACATTATTTCACATATAGATTTATCCTTAATATTTCAAATGAACTGAGATTTGATTTTTATTATAGCGCACCAGGCAAACGAATACGGAAACTGCAGGCAAGAAAATTGTGTCTGAAATTCATAATTTCCTGGAAGAAGGTATTATCGAATAACCTAATTAATCGTTGTACACACCATTTAATTCTACGGTTTTAAATTGAATAAAGTGATCATAAGCTTAATTTTCATATAACATGCCTTTCTGATAAAAGCTCAATTAACTTTTTCATAGATGTTGACTTGAAAGATACGCACTTCATGTGTATTGCTGGGGCACTTAGTGCATCGTTGGAGGTGTGGTGTCCTAAGTACGAGGTTTTTCAAATATATCTACCGTGTGTTTGCCAAGCTATGCAAGGAGTAGGCAGTGTGGCTTTTACTCTTTGTAAAATAAAGAAGGACCTGTTTGCATTCTTGGAGCCAAAATGGGAAAAACGACAAACTCGACACCCAACGCAGCATAAAAGTTTAAATTACAGGTTTTTTTTTTCCCAACATTTCTTGCCAAATAAAAATCTGAGTGATTCTAAACTTTTGTGCCATACGTATATTAAGATGTTTGTATTTTTTTATTTTTTCTCTAGGAGAACTTGGAATGGAGAAAATGAGAGGTTTTTTTGTAGTAAAACATATTTTAGACACGTATAAAGAAAATAAGAATGACTCCTTTTATTCTTGACACGTTTTCATTTTGATTCCAGAGTTGCTTGTTTCGATGGTATAAGCATTTACGAAAGAGATTTGAATACACTAAATGATAACAGTTGGGTATGCGACACCATCGTAGACGTCCTGTTAAGGTACTACCCAAAAATCTAGGTGTAGCTGAAATAAAGGACGAAAGTCACTCTAAATGCATGGCTAATGTGTCAAAACATTTACATTTTTATTTATAGGTACTACTGTAAATTAGCAGAAAAAAGAAATGCAAAATATTTCGCATTTAGCAATTTTTTTCAACAGAAACTGTTAATAGATGGACCTTTGTACGTATTTTAAGTAGCAAATTTTGTAAAATATTCACAACTTTCACATTATCAAACTACTCATAAATCGTGTAAATAAACATCGCTGTATTTCCTACTTTTAGAGGAGAAAGACCGCTGAGATTATCAGGATGTTTCATTTCAAGAGTGGGGATGTACACACCTGAAGAAATGAATAAATATGAATGTGCTAGTGCCAATATGTGACATGTAAGGGTGGAAGCACTAAATTTTACTGTTTCATGATGCAAAGGCCAACATGAGCCAACTCCATGTTCATTTAAAAAATATAGGCTGCATTGGTGGCTCATTGCATACAATATTAGAGCAGGCAAACTCTATGTGTTATGCAGTATGGGGTGGCAAAAAAGTGAAGTTGCATCCAGTATACGAAGGTATATGACGTACATAACAATTTACTTGAAGAATGAAGTGTATCATGTATCTAACATGTTGACAAAGTGAATGTTTCTAGCACGTCTACACAAATCATTTTTCTTGTGAAAAGATATTTTCAGCATGTGAGGCAAGAGCAAAGATGGCCAGAAGACATTGCTCAAATTTCCCAACCTATATATGCCGACGTAAGTACTTATCATTTACAATGGCAACAGATCACGCTTAAATTGTCACAAAGGGATAACTTAACTATTGACGACAGGTGATGCAACAAGCAAATGGTTATGATTGTGGCATATTCGTGACAGAATTTGCGAGAAGAATAACAGAGGGGGTAAAGTTGAGAAAAGATATCATGATTCTTAATCACTTTGTTTACTCTGTTCATATAAAGATAGTGTTGTTTTGATAGGAGAAGTTGGTCCTGGATTACTTGTCGATATCCATGTAAATAGTAAAAGACCATACCTTAAAAAACTGATTCGAAGCTTTGCCATTTAGCAAAGCAATTTGTAATGAAGCAGAATTTAAGTTTAAAGCTAGTGCATATGAATAACATTCTTATATTTATAACAAGTGATGTAAATTATTTTTTTACAATTAACGACGTTACATATAATTGTTACTTTTGCAGAAACTATATGGGTAACTATGAAGTAATATTTTGTACAGATAAAACTATTCATAAAAACAAGTTTAAATTTTTCGAAAACGAAACTATAACGCGTTACTAATGAATAACGCGACTAAGAGTGAGAAAATAGTCTTTGTAGGCTATTTCTCTCTCAGGATTGTATTTAACAATGCGTAACATGTTCCTGTGCCAAATATGGAGTTTTGTGAAAAGAAAAGTTATCGTATTCCATGTAAGAAACCATGGAGGCAAGAGGCTTAATACACGAATTGCACTGTTCAGCAGCTTGGCTATTGTACATATTGAGCATGGGGTACAATTTCATGTTATATCCTTCGCAGCATCCTACACATAAAGGCAGTTATAAATCAACAAATTTTGTGAAAACATAAAACGGCCATTTTGGATCAATAAGTTCGCTTCAAGTAAAATAGGAAGAGTATGGCAGTTTACCTGAATGATTTTTCCAATGAAACTTATCAACAACAAATTTTGTTTTCTTAAAAAATGCTGGATCTCGGTTCAAACAATACTCGTGCAATCTGCAGGCATTATCGTAAATGACCAACTCTGGCGCTAAAGAAATAAAATACACATAAGCATATCATCAGGCACATTCGGTTATGTTACTGCACATTCGGTTATGTTACAACTCTGTCAGGCGACTAAACCGTCACGCAATCTGTCCGATTCACTGATAATACTCTGTTTGTAGCACCATAAAAGGTACACACATACGTAACTTACCATCAGGAAAACGTGTTCGTAAAATGGTAAATGGGATATTTGGTGATTCGTGATCCCTCATTATTTCGAATCCATAACATATACCTGGAAACAAAAACGAAGGCGCAATGTCACTGCAATAGTAAAACAAATTTTCGTTGGAGCTGTTCATCATGTAAATACCGTGGGGACAAAGAATACAAAATATTCCAGGGATCAAAGTGCCATGCTTCTTCTTGGGTCTAGTGACTTTGGCACAATCTCCCTGCTGTGTCTTCCTATTGTCAAGAACATAATTCCCTCGTTGAACCAGTTCTGGCAGAGAAGGTAGATATCCATGGGACGAATTTTGAGACACCGCAGGTAAGTTGTGTGGCAAACGCCACTGACCGTCCTTGACCTCGAACGGACTTATCGCCTTTTGTACCAATTCCTTTAGCAGCGGTTGAATAGTAATTGGAATTTCTTCGCTAGTCTCAATGACGTTAAACAGTAAGGGCACTTCTTCATGAAGAAGTTTTAAATCAGTCGAAGGATTGTCTTTGGATTGGCTCCATCAGACATCCTTATCAAGAGGTCCAAAACTTCTTCTTTGGGGGGCACAATTGCGCATACTGGTTTGTCAGAAGCCAATGCTGCCAATAACCTTCTGCACGAGTTTGGACAACTAGTGATAAATCCTTGTTTCTCTAACCATTCAAGTAGAGTCCTAAGCCCTTTGAAGATATCTATAAATACGAGAAATTATAGTATAAAATGAGCTCTGGAGTGGTCATACAAAATTTTGTACTCGTGGGGTAATAAATTCTTCTTACTTCAGATTTTAATTCTTGAAATTCGTCCCAACTTAGCTTTGAATCACTGTACTTCTTCAATAAAGCTCGCACATTTCTCCTGTTGATGAAATTGCGCATTTCAAACCTAGTATTGGACAAAAGAAAACAGGTTGTTATTTTTATAACTATAAGCTGTGTACAAAACAAATTGAGAGAAGTCACCATCATGCATAAAATGCTTTCTGATACGTAGATGAACACTCGTATTTACTAATTAGAAGACCTGTATATACTATACATTACAGATAAACTTCAAAATACTTATCTTCCATCTAGCAATCCAGTATCAGACTCTCTTAAATTATTTGGTAAGAAAGTTTTCTGTATTCCAAGAGTTGTTCCATCCATCACCACCTTTTGGGAATTCTTCCACATAATTCACAAAAAAACCCATTGTCAAAATCAATATTAAGCAACCTTAATAAGAGAAAATTCAATAACTTAATAAAACAAGCGATCACTATCTCAATGGAATATTCATATTTTACAGCTGAAAATGAAATGATGCTTACCGTATCATGGCAATGATAGCGAGACGAAACTTGGCGTAAGTTATTTCCTTTGGGAAATTAAAATTACCCGAAGACACTTGCCTTTGTACATACGCAACATAATATTTGTACATAGGTAAACTGAACAAGAATAAAAAGAAAAACATTCAAAAGAGATAGGGCGAGAAAATTAAATAATGGACAAACGTAGCTACTAATGCTTCGGCAAATTTTCATTAAAAAGTACCTCGACGTTATGAAAAGCCGAATGTAATCTTTTAGAACGGCATGAGATATTGCATATGATCCAAACCATACAATCCTGTTTTCAATGCCATCATAATGCTTTTTCGTAGCACAAGAGGAGCAAGGTCTACAATACACTAAATAATTTATTTAAGTCAAATAATTATGAAGCAAAGCGTAACCTATAACAAATCAGAACTTACCCTTCACATCATGGATTGAATAAAAGTACGCAACTGAACACACGTCTACGTACAACCATTCATCTTGAATAGAACGTTTATCCCACTCTGCACCACAAAACAAATACCACTTTCAGATGGCGCCAAAATTTTATGACCATTTTTTTCAGGAAGATCAGTAAAATCGCTTGCATCATTCTCATTGCCTAAAATAATTAAATTGTAATATTTACAAAATGCTAGAAAGTGCTAAATACCATACCGATAAAGGAAATAGTATATGTAAAGCAAAAGGATGTTCACCATTGCAGATTATCTTGCATACCTGTTTCAAATAAAGAAACCTTTTCTTTGCTAAGTGTAGCCAATTCAAAATAGTCTCGCATCTCTGGTGTAATTCCAAAGGAACACTTAAAAAGTGCCAATGGAGAATCCATTTCATCCTCTTCAACGATTTGCATGGCTTTTGCAAGGGTTGTCACATGAATGCAATGATATGACGAACAGCTGCAACATTTTAACTCGGGCTGGGGCGGCGTTACTTTTGAATACACAAAGTACAAAACCCCATGGACTATTCACTGGTTTTACAGCAATCCACTGAACCTCCTGCACACTGCACTAAACAAGTCCTAAAATATGTAAAATCATTTATCTTAAGGTTGTAGATTAATAATTATGATTAATTATGACTTCACAAAATCCTTAGAAAGTGCTTAATATATATATCAGGCACGTAAAGCTAATGGTGAATATGACTTTACTATTTTACCATACATTTAGTTTATACTACTTAATGTATGTACTGTAAGTATGTGGCTATGTATGTATTTGAGTATGAATGTGTATACCTCAATAGTCATAAATTCAATTTGCCCTGTTGGCTATCACCCTAATAGCTTTATAGAAGCTCCTGAACTTAGGCACAGGATGTATGGTAACAAATTGTGGGGTATTAGAAGGTTGAGAAACTATACGTGTATTTGTACAAAAAAGTTATTTTCAGATAACAAAATATACTTCTTCAGGTTGCATCTCATGGTAGGAATGATCACTGAAAACAGACTGCATCATGGATGTGGATTCTGCATTCATAAAAGAAATTGGATGAGATAAATATGTTGTGTAAATAATCATTCACAAATTTTAACAATATTTTTGCTTGTAAAGCTATGCTAGTTAACGTCCACATGTAATAAGAACAATGTCAACAAGGGTCTTGTAAAACACAGAAGGATGACTTCACAAGGGTTTGAAATGTACAATAAACTGATATTTAAGGATGAAGACATTTCCTCCCATACAACATGAAGAACTTTACATTGAAAAATAAGCCAAATACAAATTTGAGACATTCACTACATGCAATGTCAGATTAATATGTAACAAGTTCTCACATCTTTGACAAGGGTCTTCAAACAAATAGTATGTAAGTGTAAGTCTAAATTTGGTGAAGCTGTTCAGACACCTTATATCCTGAAAGAGTAACACACAACACTTACTTTTTCAATAAAATCTTTGGCTTCAATACCAAACTTTCTATCATACACAACCAGATATTTTTCCATTGCTAATATGTGTATGCAACTGGGATATGGTATATCTGACAAGTATAAAATGTTGTTTGGCCTGTTTTAATAATTTCATTTCAGTAACATCTATTTTACATACCTTTTTGAGGATCTAATTGTATATTATTAGGTAGGGCTTCAACAAATTGCTTTCTATTTGCATCACATGAGCAGCACAATATCCAACCGTAGCCATCAAGCAATAGGTGGGGATATCGATGAACAAATACAAATGAATTATGCTGAAGAAAAAAAATACATGCAGGTTATAGCACCAAAAAAAGAGTATTGAGTAATATCATTTAGTTGGGTATATACCCAACATTGAAATTATGGAAATAAAATTTGACATCACCATAATTGTTCTTTTGTTTGCATTATAATCATGAACAACAAAGGATTGCTGACGTGATACATTTGATGCAAAGTCAAACTGTAACAATAGCCCAGTATAGTGGCCAGTGGGTGACAAATGACTCTGAAAGAGAAAGTATACAGTAATTATTAATGTTCACTGTTTCAAAAATATCTATTGTAATATATTTTTATGTTTGTTGAGCACATTTCTACAAGATGTTAATAAAGTTTTGCTACACAGTGTCTCATGCATAAGCATCAACAAGCATATTGTCAATTTATAACACATTAAAAACATGACTAGTGGTAAACAGTATAAAGTATAACTGTATAAGTGAGAACTACTTGACTATGTTGACATGGTTGTTTAGATTCCTCTGTAATCATAGAGATAGATTGCTTGGTAAAATATCTTCAGAATCCTACAAATAAAGACCATTATTTAATTTAAAATGTGTACAGACTTTTAATAAGTGTTGAAATAATGCATGCCTTCTTTAAATTACTTCAAAATTTTTAGTTTTTCTAGTGAAAGCAGTCCTACATATAACCATTTCCAATGACTTTTCATGAGAAACAATATCAATATGTACATTAAAACCTGTGTTTTGGTGGTTAACTCTTGGTGCTTGTCATAATTTTCAGCAATATCTTCACTTTGTTCATTCTACATATAAATGAAAAAAACCCATGAACATAGCGTATTTTTATATCTACATAGTTTTACAATATATGTAAACTTACTAAATCCCCAAATTCATTTTCTTGTTCAAAAAATTGAGATTCATATGACACACTGCTATTCTATTAACATATATGACATTGTGATTAAAGGATGTAGAGAATCCAGACTTGAAATTGGAAAATGTGCTCAGAATAATCGTTTTTCCTTACACAACATTGTGGGCATAAATAAATTTGTACACATACTTTTGTTAATATAACTGTCGTAATAAATATAAATTAATATGAACTTGTGCAACCAGAAACAATAAAAGAACACTTTAAAATTCCTACCGCATCATCTTTTGTGTGTTTCCTTTCCTCTCCACGTTATTGTAAAAGAAGTCATTTGAGCGTCTGAATTTCTTCCTGAATTGATACATTTTGCAAGTGTACCCAAAAAATAATACCCCGATTTATAAAAACCAGTACTGCACGTGTTCTTGGATTGACAAAGTTAGCCTAGAATTAGTCTAAGTACCATTCTCCCAGCCAGACTTCTCCGATAGATATTTAAAAAAGTACTAAGCATAGTACTGAGTGACTGAGCCCTGTTGATCGATTGCCTTGCTTCGAGCTTTGATGTTGCAAACTCCTAAAAAATATGAATACACGAAGAAATATTGTTCTCATACATGAACTTCGAAACATGTAGTAAATGGAAGCCCTGAAATTTCTTTTTTAAGCTGCACCAGTCGGATGGTTGTATTTGTGGTTGTATATGCCATTTTCCGGCAGCGAAACATACCACGAACAAATGGTGCGCCATTTTGAAAAGTTGGTAATGTATTGAAATGTATCTTATGAGTTATGATCCTTATATGAAAAGTCGTGTCCCCACGCACCAAATGTACTTTTATTACTTTTGAAAAGAAATGAAAGAACACTGGTTTTCAGAAAAGAGGAATAGCGTTATTAAACTTATTATGCATCTGATTGTTTGTATGAATACAATTCTAGTCTTGAAGTCCATACGTTGAGATGCAACCTGTTTACTATTGGATAACTATTTGCCTGTATGTCAGTGATCAGTATGTGGCTTTGTAGTAGTAATCATTAGGTTGCTGGACCCCTTGTAAGTTTCTATTTTCATTGATTATATATTGGCTGATTTCAACTGTCTTTACACACCAGCTTATTTATCAACAAAGTGCCTAAGTATGCACTGCATCTAAATATGAGAATATTTTTCTTAGATGTTATAATGAATGATGAATCTGACTGATCTACCTCCAGAACTTCTCTTGTCAATATTCTATTTTCTAAGAACAAGAATAGTGTTAACTAAAGTGGCCTGTGTATGCAAGTTGTTTTATCATCTTGTTTCAACTGAAGCAATATGGAAGATAAGGTTTACAAAAAGCTGGCCAACAAGAATCAAAACGCACAATGATTTCAGGCACATTTCTCCAAGGTATGTGGAATGTAAATGGTTTGACAATATTTGATTATTAAGGAATGTTTCTGTGATTAATTACATGATTGAAAGTTCTTGTACATTTTAGAAAATTTTCTTTACATTTTCAGGTGGAAAGAACTATGCTATAAAAATGAAGAATTTGATGAATTCTGGGTCCATGAAAAGAAAATTCTTTCCATGACTTCTGTTATCCAGTCTTATCCTATTGATTCGTTGTTATTAATGAATTCCGGAAGGCTGTTGATATCTGGTTCAAGAGACAGATCCATTTGTATCACCAATCTGGAGAATATGAAGAAATATGAAAATGAGTTTGACTTGTCTAAGGCTCCTTGCTCTTATATTAATGAACACATGGTAAGTAGTCTAAAATAGCTAAAAAACAACTTTGGAAGTATGTATTGTTTACAATATTAAAGTCCTTTGAGGATTGTGGGGAAATATTTCATGTGCTTGCAAATATCCAATGTATAAATGTACAAATATACATTTTTGTCTGTGTATTTTACTTTTTTAGGGTTGGATTTGGAGACTGGTACATGATCCAATTAATCCTGAACGATTTTGTTCTGGAGCTTGGGATGGTTATATCAAGTTGTGGGATGTCCAAACTCTGACATGTTCTGAGTCTATGTACGTACGTAAGACGAAATATTCTTAACATTTAATGAAAGTAATCATTGTAAGTTCTTTGTTTGTTAAATCCCATGTTTTTTAATCATTAGTTCATTTTTCATACATGCTTTGTTATATAGTAGCTCATAATTGATTCCAATTGCTTGATATGTACCTACACTGTTGATTTTCTAGAGATTAGTAAAGTATAAGTTCACAACTATCATGATGTTACAATTAATGATGAAATTAAGGCATCAATTTAAGTAATCTTTTGCACTTAGGATTAACACTAATGATAATATTGCCTGGTCTATCAAAGAAATAGAATTGCATGCTTAATTGTTATTGTAATGGCAATATTATTTTATGATTTTAGACACACTGCAACACCTCCCTTATGCATATCATGGACAAATGACTTACTTATTGCTGGTTGCAATGATAAAACTATTCGTCTTATTGATCCAAGAAGTAAGTCCCACAAGCATTTTGGAAATCAAAAGTATTTGAAGGAGTTTTTTTACAATAAAGCATACAATAAAACTTTGTTATAACTAGATTGAATTTAACAGTGATCATTATCAATCAATAAAAATTACTTATAAGTTCACCAACGTTTATTTATGTCTTTTGAAAACCATTGCTTTTTTAAAAAAATCATTATTATTTATCATTTATTAGCTTTTTCAATGGTTGAAAAATTGAAGAATCATACCAGCTCTGTGCTGTGTCTGTACGCTAGTGATGACGTCATTATATCAGGAAGTGATGACCAAACATTATGCGTGTTTGACAAGAAAGCTGGAAAAGTCTTAAAAAAGTTACAGGTTTGCTAACACTATCTGCCATGATTCACATTCCATTACGATTAAGTTTATCATTTTGCCCCATTATTCCAGCTTGCATCTCCTGCATTTTGTCTTCATCATTGGAGCTATGGTTACGATCTCTTACGTGTAGCTGGCCGTAAAAACATATATGATATTAGTATGGATGATCGTTGTTATGAATTAATCAAGGTAAGATGGGAAATTTAATATTTAAATGATAAATTTTACCATGTTAGTAGTAATTTGTTGTGCGCGTTTAATTCTCCAACCTTCTAGACAAATGGCAACACTGGACATTCAAAAAAGATAAATGATTTTGCATGTTTTAAAGGAGCATTATTAACTGGCTCTGCCGACGGCAAGTTACTTGTGAGTTTGTTATTTTACGATATTATACATTTTCTTGAGCCACCTAGTTTTAATGTTCAGAGGCCTTGCCAGAGCCCTGTCTTAGATTTGGTGACGGATAATTAGATTCTGCCATACACCAATCCTTGGAGCGGGAAACAACTTAAAAATAGGTACGCTTAGCGTGCAAGCTTACCAATTTCATTCCATAGTCACGTGGATGACTAGCGCATTTGAACTTTATGTTATATATGTAACAGAATCGAAACGGTGAAGTGCAAAACATTAGATTTCTTTGAAATTGTTTCGAGTTTATTATTGTATTAAAAAATAATTTATACGGCCTACGGTCAATGTTATAATCAATTTTAATTTTATGCAATAATTGTTAAAAATGAAATCAATCATCGCCAATGGCCAATCTAACGTGCATCTTTTTCATAAATGCTCGTTTTCAATTCTGTGAATTTCACGTTGCTTTACGTTTTCAGGTTTGTGAACCATCTTTATCTTTATCACCTACGAAGCTTTTACACGAAGGAATACATGAAATTACCAGAGTAAGACTAAAACACATACGTCCAAAATTTTGCTGTTTTTTGGAGGACGCTAAATTAGTGTAAACACTGTCTACCAAAATCATGTATATAGAAGAATGTCTTAACACTTTGGTTAAGCTGTGAAAACCAAATTTTCCAAAGAAACGTTTATGTATAACTTTAATACAGTATGTGAACAAATACATTTTTGATAGACATGACAGTAACTTTTTTTTAGTTATCAACCTGTGAGAATATTCTTGCAATGGCTTCTTCTGGTGGAAAGCTTTGTTTATGGAGGTTTTAGCAATGATTGAAGACAAGAAGGTTTAAGGTAAGAATATTATTCTCCTCCCACCATTCTCCATATTTGCCTTAAGTTGTAGAAAATAGATAGTTAATTTTATATGATGTTCAATAACACTCAGGAGCTAATATTGTTGTATTTTCAGATGAGACTCATTTGGGTGGTCACAATCTCTTACACATGTACCTTTCTTGGCATAAGGTTAAGTTCTAAGCTCTGTCTGTTTAGTAGTTTGGCTTTTAGTGACAATTAAAGTTTAAACAAACTATAATACTATTATCTACATATATTGTTTGTCATTGTAAAAATTAATATTCTTTCATTTTGAAAAACCATTAAATATATATGAGTACTGGTGTAATATAGAAAAGACAACATACATTTTTTTGGACATACATACAACATGCAGTTTGCGTTAGCAGTATCTGAATAATGTCATTTCTCAAGTTCAATGATTTTTCACACAAGCATATCTTTAAAATCTGTGAGATATGACCATAAGTGGTAAACAACAACATAACATCAACATGTTTATCTATCAACACCTCCTCCTTCTTGATCTTTTCTGGGTTTACCTCTACCTCTACCACTGCCACCACGACCTCCTCGTCCACCACCACGTCCACGACCTGTGACAAGTAATGGTTGTGTTACTTTAAAAATGTCAAATAATTATTTTTCTGGGTTAAGCTAGTGATGAAGAAATTGGACTTGATTACTGGTACAACATAATGCACAGCAAAAAAGAAAGACTGACTGACCTGGTCTTCCTCTGCCTTTAGCTTTAGAGATATCTTCTTTCACCATATCAATAACCTTAAAAAGAACCAAATTTCCTCAGATAATATATTTGAATTGATGCAATTCATTAGCTACATTAGTGGTAATATAACTTTCAACGATATCAAAAGAAAAAGTTTTAGTTTTTTCTTATTTGGTTTATAAATGTGACATACACATGCTGTATTCAAAAAGTATGCAAAATGTTCAAAATTTTGCAACAACATTTAATTCAAATCTTTCAACTAATCTCAAATTGTCTTAAAATTATTCATCCTAAATGGCCAAATACATCATCACAAGTAATTCATAATTAACACTCATTTGGTGCTGCCAACTTTCACTCACTTCATCTGGTATTCGTAAGTACTTTATGTTACTTCCACGTACATAACATTCAGGAATACGCCAAAACCTATCACCATCCTATAAATCAATTTTTTTATACAATTTTATTTGCATTGTATCTTTTACGCATTTCTGTAAATTAACACTGTAACTAACTCTCGCCGTGCAGATCACTTCTCGAAGATTAATGTTCATCCAGTTATCACAGCTTACTAAATGACCGTTGTATGTTTCACCATTTTTCAACTCGACAAGCTATACAATGAATTTTGAAATTAAATCGAAGAATTATTAAAATATTATGACTTTATGATTCAGCTTATCAAACATCAGTTATGTAATCATATGTTTAAATAAATATCTGTAAATTTACGTGCAGTGAAAATATCTGAGATGTGCATAGTATGTTTAATGTAATAAAATTCTTTCACATAAAGCTGGCATGCAGGATACCTAGGAAGGAGTTCAAGGACATCATACATTTTGATTTAGGAATAACAAAAGGTGACTAACCATAGGATGATTTTGTGCAGCTCGAAGCAGTGATAATGGCAGCTAAAGTTTAGGTAAACACTATACATTATTGTTTTCTAAGAGCATAATAATAAAAAGACAGAGTTTACATACAAAAGTACATATTTGAAAACTTACCACCATCTTGGAATTTAGAGTTTCACGAAAAATATCCCATAATATCATCAACTATCTCCTACGCAGTATATAGTCATGGGGCATGGGGCGAGGAGAAAGCGCGCACTTGTATGAATTTTATGAACGATGTTTATGTTTGGTTTTTGCTTTGATTATTTGATAGCAAACGTTAAATATCAAAAAACTTCAAAATCTGCTGACTTTATTTCACTTATTAAGTGCAAGAACTGAAAATGATCAGATCTGAAAGACAGCAATCTGCCTACTTTCCTTTAAAGATCAACAACAGGTACGTGATTACATAATGTTAGGTTTTAAAAAATTTTAATATTTTCTCTCCCAAATAGCAAGAAAGAATTAGATTCTGTGGTGCCAATCCGTTTCCCATCCACACGAAATATTCTATGGTAAGTCAAAAATAAATATTTCTTTTTCAAAATGTAATAATCTTCGTTGTCCATTTTGCTGGACTTGATGTAATATTTTCTGTACATTTCAGGCAAAGTAAACCAGTAGGTGATTTTGAAACTTTGTCATTGAGATTGAATAACAAGTAAAGACTATTTTATTTTACTTTACTATAGAAATTCAATTTAACTTTAGCTGCACCTTTTGCTTTGGTTATGAAATAAGTTCTGTTCAGAGTTGAGTTGGTTTTCACAGTTGTACCATTTTTCAAATTTCTTATTTTACATTTAGGACAATTCAGTTATTTGTTGTGGAAAAAAGCTTGCGTTTAGCTCATAGATATTCTGAAGACAGAAATATTTCAAGTTTTTTGTTGGGCTCTGTTTATCCAAAATCAGGTAAGTAGGTATTGCTAGTTAGTTGATTAAATTATTGACATAATTTTTTTTAACATGTTGGACAGTGCAAGTATTTAATTTTAATCCATAGTTTTTGATAATATTGAGATAAGAGTAACCAGACTATCAGTGCAGTTTTTCTCATACACAATGTATCAATAAAAGTGAACAGTTGGAAAAAAGTTGCTTGATTTATTAGTGCAAGGCATGCAAAAATCTTTGGTGAAATAGGTAGTTGGTCTTTTCTAAATTTTGCAATCTAAAAGAGCATTTATTAAGTTTTGCAGCATAACTCTTGTTAAATTTCAGGTGATGGTGGTATATGTTTTGAAGTGGATAGATTTGATCCTGGCAGAGAAATTAGTGAGAAAATAGGTCAGAATAAAATCATTTGCATTAAATAACCATATGTACGTAATTAATGATTTAGTTAAAAAAGGCATATGTGTTTTTTGTGTCCAGTTTTTGACAACTTTTACTAAACCCCCCTCAATGAACATGTGTACTGTGTGTTCCTCTTTCTTTCAATAATTCACTCACTTTGCTTACTATATTATTTGAGTTATAGCAAACAACGATGGTAGTTGTCTGCTTGACATATTGTATTCTGGGTATGATGAGTTGAAATTGAAATGAGACGTACAGTGTATGTCGCTCAAAATATGATTAATTTTAATCTTCTCTCTGACCCTTCCCTCTGAGCCGGAATTTTTTAAAATGAATAACATAATGTAGTTATGATTTGTGCTTTAACAGGCGTACGTTGAAAGAAACCACAAAATTCCTTTCTATGGAATATCACATGCATTATCCGTTACCATACTTTATACTTTTTCTCCAGGTGAACAGTTGATTAAATCAAAAATTCCTACAGCTGTTGTACCTGGTGATCATATCATACCCATCATTGTACGTGACGTGACTTATGATAATATAATGAAAGATCTTTATTGTAATTGAAAATGCTTGAAAGAATTTTCATTTTTTTTTGACGTATATATATATACATACCGGGTTTTTCTGCACGTTGTTTTATCGCTATGTATGTTCAGGTTAAGCAAGAAGTTGTGAAATCAAGTGACTCTCAAAGTCACACGAAAGATGAATTTTCTCGAGCTGTTAAGGTAAAAAAACAACTTAAGATAACTACGTCAATTGAATTGCTAATTTTCGATATACTTCCTTATTTTTACCATATCATGCTGTTCTTAAGTGAATCTTTGATTGCGTTTAGGTGATGCAAGATAAAATTTGTGGAAAAGATGCTCTGACATTATCTCATATAGTTTCATTGAAAGCTAATCTCTACTGTCATAGAAAATACGATGAACTTATTGTGTCACTTCATTGTAAGTGTACCTTTGCACTTTACACGTACAAATAATTAAAAGCTTTCCGCGTAGCTACATATATTTGTAGCCTACAAGAGTGTAAAACTCAGTGTGTGATTTCGCTTTAAAAATTTTTATATTTTCTTGCGGTAAATGGTATTTTTTTTCCAGGTGGGGCTGTTGTTCCCGACATAACATTCCACGCACGTCCAATAGCTCCTCTTCCAATTATTCCGACAACTTTAGCGAGAAATCTGTCCGGACCACTAAGACTAAGTGACGTAGAAGGAACTCCTAAAATGGGGTATGTCATCCAACTTTTATGTGATTGCATTTTTGATGCTGCGGCCTATGTCTAAAATTTCAGTATAAAAAACATCCCTATACCAGTACCGCAGTTTTTTAATCACTGTATTTACCGTTATTTCTGTATCCAGAATGCTTTTGTTTTGTAGATTTGTGACTATGGATGAATTTTGTTTTGTAGATATGTGACTATGGATGAATTTTGTTTTGTAGATATGTGACTATGGATGAAACAAGAAAGCTTTTATTGCTCCTAGAGTCTGATCTTAAAGCTTATAGTCTTCCTTTAATTGGGATGTATGTCAGTGATATGTTATGCTGAAGATGAGGCTGAAACTTGTTTCTATGTTAATTCAGTGTTTTTATCTTTTCTAAACAGTTGGATATCTGGAGTAAATAATATCCATCATCCTTATGTCTGGGCTTCATGTTTACGTTATTTAAACTGTAGCGATATCAAAGACAGGTGAGCTACGTATTTCAAAAATTTATTTTTGCTAGAATTTAGTTCAATATTTTCTTTATTCCGATACAATATTTTTCCAATCTAAATTTTTGAAACAAACTAGTGCTTTCTCCCAATGATTTCTTACATGTTTTAGAGTATTGAGTCCTTCAAGAACTTTTCTTTTCCTTCATTATTCAATTGCGCGGAAAATTCCTGATTTTTGGGAGTGCCATACAGAGGTTGGTAACGTAAAGAAAAGTATCGTTATCACTACTGCAGTAGTTACATTATTAGTATTCATCAATATTTATTGTTTAAAACTAACATAAAGTGGCAAAAAGGATGGAAATGCGATGTGTTTTCTCCAAAATTATTGTATAAAAAACTTGTGTTTATTTTTCTGCTAAATGCTTCATGTCTTAATGAAGCATTTATTACTGGATCATTTCTACAGTTGTCCACTCGGGATTTTTATTAGTTAAAGAATTCATATCTAATACGTATATGTTTCATATAACAATATTATAAGGAAAATTTTCTATGAAAATAACATGCATGTATGTGTATCAAACACATATGTTTTAGAAATTGATCTGATTTTGCCTTCGATTTCTTAGAATGATGAATTTTTGGAATTTGAACTCCTGAGCTGCAGAGAAAACTTACATCTTGATCTGGTATTTAACCATTTACGTATACCCATCCTAGATTACTTATTATTTTTTAGCAAGACGGTCGACTCTATGTAGGTGAGAAAATGTTTTGTTCTAGGATGACGTCAGTTCAAAAGATCCCGTATGTTTTCATCTTACACCAACTTCTGACAGTATGAATAAAGCTTTGTTCAATGAAGCTATTTTTGAATGGAAGAAAGAAAAAACGTCAACGACAACTACCAGTATTGATGAAGTAGTAAATAATACAACTTCAGGTCATACGAAGATTGATGGCCAATATTCTCCGTCACCACGTCCTAGTCCAACACAGGTTTGATTGCTTTTCTTTCGAGACTATGCACGACTATTTGAAATGATTATTTTTATCAATTGATGTACAGTTAAAAACTCCATGTGCTCCTGCTCCTGAAGAATCATTATCACTCAGTTTTGACGAAGGATCGAACAATACGACACAGAAAATCTTGAATAAAACTGTAAAGGAAAGAAAAGTTTTAACTGTGAGTTCTAAACAGCCGCAGAACCCTTCAAACAGTTGTAAAATTTCCAGAGAACCATTTAGGCCGATCGCAAACGAGAAAGGTTCAAGAACTGTCGTTGACAAAGGCAATCAGGTTGTATCTAGGAGAACTGTAACCTGTTGTAAAAAAAATAAAGAGATTCATCCCTTGATATCAAGAAATAGATCACAGGATGATGAAGAAAATAAAGAGAATACTCCTTTAGTATCAAGAAGTAGATCACTGGGGGGTGAAGAAAAGAAACAGAACACTCCATTGACATCAAGAAGTAGATTACATAGGGGTGATGAAAATAAAGAGAATGCTCCATTGACACCAAGAAGTAGATCTCATGGGGGTGAAGAAAAGAAAGAGAATACTCCCTTGACATCAAGAAATAGATTACATAGGGGTGATGAAAATAAAGAGAATGCTCCATTGACATCAAGAAGTAGATCTCAGGGGTGAAGAAAAGAAAGAGAATGCTCCATTGACATCAAGAAGTAGATCTCAGGGGTGAAGAAAATAAAGAGAATGCTCCATTGACATCAAGAAGTAGATCTCAGGGGGGTGAAGAAAATAAAGAGAATGCTCCATTGACATCAAGAAGTAGATTACATAGGGGTGATGAAAATAAAGAGAAGGCTCCATTGACATCAAGAAGTAGATCTCATGGGGTGAAGAAAGAAAGAGAATATGACATCAAGAAATAGATTATAGGGTGATGAAAATAAAGAGAATGCTCCATTGACATCAAGAAGTAGATCTCAGGGGTGAAGAAAATAAAGAGAATGCTCCATTGACATCAAGAAGTAGATATCAGGGGGGTGAAGAAAATAAAGAGAATGCTCCATTGACATCAAGAAGTAGATATCAGGGGGGTGAAGAAAATAAAGAGAATGCTCCATTGACATCAAGAAGTAGATCACAGGGGAGCTATTATAAAATACCAAATAAGAGAGAGGAAAGAAAATCTGTTCAGGCACACATAAACATGAATAAACTGTTAGTTGAAAAGCAACAGAAACTTGTGCTGAAATCAGTTGAAAATGTCGAAGAACCTGGACGTCCAGTTGTTGACGTGGCAAGAAGAAATAGATTTCATAGTGAAGATATTTCACCTCGTATATCACAACCAAGAGAAATAATACGTTGTCGAGCATCATCGTTTTCTTCATCCGATATTTCTCAAGAAGATACGTCATCACTATCAAAGAGATCATTTGATGTTTGTATGGATTGTGAAACAATTTCTAGAAAGATAAAGAAGACGGTTACATTAATGTCAGATAAGCATGAAAAACCGCAGTCACAGGATACGGAACACGACAATAGTAATAATGAAAATGAAACCGTTATCGATGCTTTGAATAGAAGTTTTACTAGTGATGATACACAAACAGCTAAGGATGTTGATTTGAACAGCAATGGAAGATGTAGCAACGATGGAGAGCCAACCATGAGGAATGGTAGCTCAACTATGGATTGGCATACCCGCAGCAACGCGTCTAATCATTCTGTTGACGTGAAAAATACCGAAAATACTTCCTGCATCAGATCAGATGATGGAATTTTAAAACAACATGACGACAAAAGTCTTTCTTCAAAGATAACACAAGAGGGTTTAACGTTAGCTCAAAACCATCTCATTAATAATCAATGCCATGATTGTAATAATTGCTCACGAGCCTTATTGCTGACGCGTGGCGAAGATGATTGTAACGTGAAGAAATCTAAAAATGAGGAAGCGAAAAATGATTTGCCGATTTCATCAAAGACATATCACGATTTGCAGGAGCAAGTTGTGAGACAAGCAGATATGATTCGAGTTCTTCAAGAACAGGTATGTTTTAGTTTCTCCATAAGAGTCGTACTTTTCACCATTATAATACATCAGTAGAAATTTCTTTGATGACTGATGCCACAGAGATTTGTTGGGGTTGCTGTATTTGATGTATTCATCTTTCTTTTTCCAGGTTCGTTCATTGCTTAGAATGAACGTAGCTGTTTCATCAGAGAAAATTTCTGACGATTTACCGCTGACTCCTACCTCAACATCAGTCAGTGCACATGAAAATCACTGTGGAAGTCCTGCCACGGTATCATCTAATGAAAACTTCTCAAAAGTTGACAGTTGTGATCATGTGACGGAAAAAGTAACAATTGGTGTAAACACTGGATCAAGTCTTTTGTGTGAACCACCTTCACATTGCTGTACAAAGTATGTTTTTTTGAGTTTAATTTATACAGAGATTGAACGAAACCTGTTGCACAAATTAGTGAGGTTACAAGATAAGAAAAACGTCGAGTATATGTAGTTTATTGTATCTTTCATTAGGTCTGAGGAGGAATTGTTGGATAATGAGCCTAAAGATGAACAAAACACACAATCTATTTTCCCGACACCCGATAAAACTGCAAGCGTCCTCAATAACTCTGAGGTAGATGTTCCGAGTCAAGTTACTGACGCTGAAGTTCCTGTGAAATGTGAGTTCTAATGTTTGTACTTTTTCTTTGGCTTCACGTAATAATTGTTTTAACAAGTTTTGCTTATGACTATATGTTTATTGTTAGCAAAACTCACATTGTCACTGAAAGCAAAGACTTTGTAATTGAATGCATGATTCTACGACTACGAAGACTTATGTAATGTGCAACGAAATCTTTGTCTCATGCGAATGTTTTATTATATCTTCAATAAATTCGTTTATAGTTGCTCAAGGTGATGGTGAAGTATTGAATGAGGACGTTGGCAATGAAAAAATTCTACAAAATGAGAAAGTACAGATGAAAAGTGAGAAAAATATCAAAGGACGTGAATTTTACGACAGATTGTTGGTAAGCTAATCGCCCCTCCCATCTTAAAAAAGATTTAAGCAACGTTTTTTTGTTCTTAGATTTCTGATGTTTTTTTGTTTCTGTATGAACAAAATGTTTGTAAAAGAAAATGCTTTAGAAAAACTTTTACATCAGTTTTACAAAATAGTCTTACAAAAACACGGACGCTGATTGGTTGAAAACCCGTGATTTTAGAAACTCGGTAATTTCCAGAAATATTGTACTTGTTCCCATTGAGTTATAGAATCACTTGTCAAGGTTTGAGAGAAACTCGAAATTGCGTGGAAACATCTGCATTTCGTGCTTGTACTTACCAGGCAATTTCTCGTTTCTCCCGAACTTTTTCAATAACTCTACTGAAACATGCAAAATGTTTTCTATTACTTAAACAGATAACAAGAGTGCATCTCACGCCATGAAAAATATTTCAATCATGAGCTAAGTTGTTTCGACTATTCTCAAAAAAAAACAACATTATAAACATTTTCTTTCAGCATCAAGTACAAGATTTGCTGTCTGAACAAGTTGATATTGAGGAAAAAACAACTGAAGATAAGCCACAACAGAAATCGCAGTCATGTCAAAATATTCCATCTAGAGAAGTTGTCGTTCAAGCAACTTTAAAACAACTGGAAAAAATAAAGCAATTGGACGATGGAAATATTCAATTAAAATCTAGGTACGAGAATTGAGAATAGAGTTTTGTAATCAGCAACAATTAGATATTTCTACGAGTAACTTTATTCTAATCCACAGCTTTTTTGTGGAAGGTTTTTTGTTAAACTTGATGGATTTTGTTAAAGTTCACATATATTTTTTTTATTAAGTATGAAGACGGAGACAAACAATCACAGATCCTTATCGACCAGTTTCATCCCAGAACATCCACGACTGAACTTTGTATCCATGTCAGTTGATGATACTTTTGATGAAATGACGTGTATTGATGATGTTGCTCTAAAATATTTGTCAGAGGAAGAGCTTAAGAATTACAAACATGAACTTAAACCTTGTAAAACGACAGTTAGGAGATCCTATACGCGAACTGTTCGTTTTGGAAGTTTACCTAGCGAAGGTGAACGAAAAGCATTAGCAAAACGAAATACTCGTGAAACTGATTTTACTTGGAACAACTTGTCATTTTCTACCAAAAATTATTTAACGAAATACAATCTTGTTGAAGGATCCGAAGTTTCATTGTACAAAAAAGATGAAGACACTAAACAGGAAATTTCTCGTGAAAAAACTAAAGCAACCGGACCTTCTACTACCTCTCAAGACTCTAATGGACCCGTGTCGACTCCTAACACTGAACACCATGAAGTGTCCAGTCATATTTTAGATATTCAAAGATTGAAGAACTTGCCGAAATTATTTTGATTATTCTGGAAAAACCATTTATTAATGTTTTTGTTATTTTATTCTCTTAAAAAATCAATATGAATGATGAATTTTAGCTGGCGTTCGTTTGTAAGTGTTGCTTTTATTGCACGATTGAACATATTTGGCGTAAGAGAGGAGTAAATATTGGATCATTGTGGAAAAAAACACAAAATTTAAACGTAGATCAGTCTTGATCATCGTCCATTCAGCTATACGTCTAGAATTCATGTTATTTAACAAAATATGGACAACGGCACCCCTTAGAGGTGGCCAATAAAGTTTCACCTAGGGCCGCTGGCGAACATGAGTAAATTATAGGACAAATAAAAGGAGTTTAATTATATGCTGCAACGACGGACTATCGAAAATCACCTGCACAGGGCCTTTATCGAAAACTCGCTCTTTTTCTAGTTCCAATTAATCTCCACTATTACCTGGCTTGCGCCAATGACCTGTTATTGTTGAAACAGAAAAAATAATATATTGTAATTGACAATGAAAGTATGTATGTCATGTATCTTTCCTAGGGTTGTCAGAGAGTCCAGAAGACTAGAACAAGGAATAATCATGCATTTTTTGTATTGTTGAATTTGATTGATTTGCACTGCACGTGATTAATTATTTTGACTTTTTATCTTGACAATAATTTGATAATTTATAATTGCATCACTATTCCATACAAGATGGCGATCACCATGGAAGGTCCACTGTCGAAGTGGACGAACGTTGTAAAAGGTTGGCAATATAGATGGTTTGTTCTTGACGAAACTGTTGGACTGTTGTCTTACTACACTGTAAGTTTGATAAAATTGGATTTATTTCATGCCTTAGTATAAAACGACTTCGCAAGCTGTTCGAATGTGTTTTGTAACTTGGCAATTAAATTTCCTTGCTGTGTACTGTAGTATGATATTGATATTAAAACATTGGATTTTTCTTTAATTAGTCTAAAGAGAAGATGATGAGAGGAGCAAGAAGAGGATGTTTGAGGTTGAAGGTATGCTATTAAAATAATTGTAGCACTTTTTGTTTGACAAGTTGGATTGCGTATGGTACGTAATCATAGGAATAAAAATGTGGATTTATTATTATTGATAGTGACGTTTTGCTTTTTATTGATGAGTTTTGTGTTAGAAACTTTGAAATGTTTTTCACAGGTTGATAATTTCAGAAAAATCACAGATTTATATCACCAACAAACAAACAATGTTTCACCAAACTTGTGTTGCAAGGCAACATTGACAGTAGCTGCATTTCCTGCCTCTCTCTGTTGCATACTTGTGAAAAGAATTATAAGAATTTAAAGAAAATGAGCATAATCATTTCCTTATTTATTTATTCAAGGGTGCTCAACTTGGTATAGATGATACTGACGAGTACATTTACAATCAGTTGTGATCAAAAAACTTTTCACTTTCAAGGTATAAAAATCGAAACCAGTTTTCTTTACATGTACCGCTCAAAACCTTATTTGGAACTTCAGCCAGTTTGATCTGAAAGCATCAGAGCTTTTAAATGATGGTTTGTTGGTCTTATATCAAACAGTTATGAACTGATTTAAACATTCTGCTTGTGTGCTGAAGTCAAAAATCAGTTGAGCTTAAGAGAAGTTCTGTGTCAGTTGTGAAAAAATTACAATGCATTTTATAAAAAATGAATGTTTTTTGGTTTTTTATGATTTAAGCAAAAGATGCAGAAGAACGTGAAAAATGGATTAGCGCTTTAGAAAATACATCAATTAAGGATTCTCGTTCAAGATTACAGGTACATATGCTATTTCATATCTCCTACATACATTTTAAAGCTGAATATGTTATGATATTCTTAAAGCATCTCCCTTCCTAATTACATTTAGCAACCTTTTGGGACAGATTTAACATCACTTGATGGTAATGAAGATTTGGGGAAAAAACTCACTGAAACAGAAGCATATTTTCAATTGTTCACTGAACAAGTAAAAGTATGTTTGTCACAATTTATTCCTGTAAAACTCCAGTGAGTTTTGGTAACTTTATCTCTGCCTAAATTCCTCAGGCATTACATGCTCAAATGAAACAGGATTTTCCAGCTGAGGAAACATCAGAAGTAAGTTGTTACATATGAATCCCCTAAACTGTATGACACAATTCCTTGATGATCATTGTCATACATGTGTGGTACACAGATAGCCTATGACAGTCCAGTGTTATTTATGACATGTTTGTTTCGAATGGATCAATTTTTACTGACAAAATGATCATTGTCGTACATTTGTGGTACACAGATAGCCCATGACAGTCCAGTGTTATTTATGACATGTTTGTTTCGAATGGCTCAATTTTTACTGACAAAATGATCATTGTTGTACATGTGGGGTACACAGATAGCCTATGACAGTCCAGTGTTATTTATGACATGTTTGTTTCGAATGGCTCAATTTTTACTGACAAAATGATCATTGTTGTACATGTGGGGTACACAGATAGCCTATGACAGTCCAGTGTTATTTATGACATGTTTGTTTCGAATGCATCAATTTTTACTGACAAAATGATAAATATTATTTTTTCAGCGTTATCAAGTTATCAAAGAAACGTCAACGGTACGACTGTTTTTACTCCACCAGAAAAATTCTTGTTTATCTTAATCAACTATTGAATGATTCCTTTTAATTTTTTTTCATAGAAAATGCTCGAGAATATTGGACAGTCCTTAGAAATGATGCACTCTGTCAAAGTAAGTAAATAATCATGCGAAGAAAGTATTTATTACGTAAATACGTATGTTTCCATGTGTGGAGTGATAGTGTACACTCTTATGGACTTATCAAAACTTATTCTCGTCCAAACTTACGCGGCCATTCTGGTATCACACAATTATTTTCACCCCCACTATCTTGAGTTTTATTAACAAATTGTGCTATCGAATTCTATCAAAATTACATATTGACAGTGAATTCCTCTGAACATGTGCATTGATAGGCTAACTAATTTTTAAGGAAGCTTACGAAAATGGCGAGACAGTGTCAGTGTCCACAACAAACACAGAAAATTGCGAACTATCACGGGAAATGAGAGAGGAAAAACGACGAGTATCGTCCACAACGCAGGCTGTTTCGCCAACTATGTTATCGCCAAATTTAGGTGGAACATGTCCAGTTACGATGCAGGCCAGTGCTGCACATCATGTACGTCAAGTTACAACGTTATCAAGAAATTCGCCGTCCCAGACCTCTTACCGAATGAAGGATGCGTTCCCTACAATATCGTATTCAAGTAGCGAGGACGAGGATGACGCTGAGTTTTTTGATGCAAGTGAATATGAAAATGATAACTCCAGGTTTTTATTTACAATCATTTATTCTCATATATTGTAAAGATTACTTTCTTCTTGCCTTTGATTATTTAATGGTAAAATCATTTCATCACAATTTTTTATCTTGTTTTTTTCTTGTCTTCACTATTTGAGCATCATTCTTTGATAGTTTCATTTATAAAAAGTTATATGTGTTACATTTTTGATTGATAACAATACATAGACTTGTCATTAATCAAGACCTTAACTTTCACCTGACAAGCAGAAATTTTCTAACTTGCATCACATAAATTCTTCTACCAATACACTGCTTTCATAATTATATCAACGAATTTCTGTCTTTTTTGAAAGCTGATGTTGACGAGCGTTGGAGAATAAAAAAGTTCTTTGTAAAAGAACATTGAAAATCTTCAAAGATAAAAATATATTTTCACTTTCAATCTCAGGCGATTGTATTGTTGATTGTTCATTTATTATAAGTAAATGTGTTGAATAGTACTTTTTGAGCTTAAATATTTTTTATTTAAATTATTCTCTTGTTTAATTTTATTTAGCGCTGGCGTTGAGATGCATAAACGAGGTACGTAACACTGACAGTTGAGAGTATTTTTTTCTAATTTTTTGTTTGTAAAAGCATGTTGTGCTTAAAGAAAGCAGTCATTAAATTAGTCAAACTTTAGCAAAATAGAAAATGAAACAAATTTCCGAGGGATGTTTTGTTTCATGTTTTGTTAACTACGTTAGAGATAAATCATTCTGTATAAACTGAAAATATTTTGACTTATGAACGTTCAATGTATTGTTTTCATATGTTTTAGTCACGTATAACGAAGATGATGATGATATATTTGGTGCTGAAATAGAAGGTGATTGTGTATCAAGTATTTGTTAATTATTTCATTTTTAAGATTGACTTCGTCATTTTAATAACTTGTTATAGTTCCCTTTCACCTTTGGCATAGGGAGAAGGTGAAGACCTAGCAATAAAAATTTGTTCTGTGTTTTCTACCAGGAAATGATATAAAAAAACATGGCAGTATTATAACTCATCTTTTGTCTCAAGTACGTCTTGGAATGGACTTAACAAAGGTACAAATTTTCTTGACATTTTTTGTTCCCAAAAATATTGTTAGGCGTCGAACTCGTTTAAGACAACTACTGCGATGAGTAATACACTTCAACTTGCCGAATCTTCAAACGTTTGAATGTGCAAGTTATTGTGTGAGTATGCCCCCCCCCTGCGTTCTCTCCATCACCTTTGGAGTGTGCAAGTTATTGTGTGATTATGCCCCCCCGCTTTCTCTCCATCACCTTTGGAGTGTGCAAGTTATTGTGTGGGTATGCCCCCCTAGCGTTCTCTCCATCACCTTTGGAGTGTGCAAATTATTGTGTGGGTATGCCCCCCCTAGCGTTCTCTCCATCACTGTTGGAGTGCGCTAGTTATTTTGTGAGTATGCCCCCCCACGTTCTCTCCATTTGACTGTTAAATCCAACCAAAGCTGATGTGTTGTTACTTTAACATATGAACTACGATGTGAATTATGTATGCAATTCAACTGAGCAATGAGGCATGATCGTTTACTAATTCAACCATACTTGAACTATATTTTTGAAGGTTGTTTTGCCAACATTTATTTTGGAAAGAAGATCCCTGCTTGAAATGTACGCAGACTTTCTCGCTCATCCTGATATTTTTTCAAGGTGTGTATTTTTAATGATTTGTCGTCTTTATTCCAAAGCCATCATCAGAGTATATACTTAATATATTAATCCTAACACGGTTTTTACATGCACATGAAAAACATGTGACTTGGACGAGATTTGAACTCGCACCTTCGGGTACTAGTTCACTTTATTCCAAAGCCATCATCAGAGTATATACTTAATATATTAATCCTAACCGTGTTAGGATTAATATATTAAGTATATACTCTGATGATGGCTTTGGAATAAAGTCGAAACACGGTGCCATCCAGTAAACTGCTATAGTGGCGAGAATCTCTCGTCCATACGCAGTTTAAAAGAGATTTGACTCGACTCCAATCCCTGTGGGCTTGGTAGCTCAACAGGTAGAGCGGCGGACTAGTACCCGAAGGTGCGAGTTCAAATCTCGTCCAAGTCACATGTTTTTCATGTGCATGTAAAAACCGTGTTAGGATTAATATATTAAGTATGTCGTCTTTATTGTTGTCAAGATTGTATGATTTATCTGAATGGTTGACCGATGTAAAATTTAACGTGTGTGTATTATACATTGTCAAAGTATTGTAGATTTCAAGGATCCTAAAGATAGGATGATACAAGTTTTGAGATGGTACTTGTCAGCATTTCATGCTGGAAGAAAGGTGATTCGGCCATTTTAGCACTATACAGTCTGCTTGTTTACCAATGATTGTCATAAAAGTTTTCAATACATCTTTTACCTTTATATTAAAAATAAACACATGAATTCGTCAAGATTAACAGACATGATCAATTATTCATTGCATTTTCATCAGAGTTCCATTGCAAAGAAACCGTATAATCCTATCATTGGGGAAACGTTTTGTTGTCATTATGTTCTTGACGAGAATAAACGTAGCAAGGTATTACATTTTAGTCTTCTCCAAGCCTTCATTTTTAACTCAAGAGAATTTATTCTTTATTTATTTTTCGAAACTTGATACAGTTGTGATGAGTAGCAAAATTCACGCAAGTCATATATCGGACATACGTGGTGCTATCTTTCCGGGGGGGTGGGGTGGGTGGGTATCCGAAAATCTTTGTCATGATTAGCAACTCGCAACTCAAAAATAATTTGAGCATGTGTAGTTTACCCGAACAATTGGTCGAGTAAACTACACATGCTCAGATTATTTTTCTAATAATTTGTAATTAAGCGAGATATTTAATCCAAAATCGGTGTTTGTTGACCCAGTTGATCGTCACCATGACCATAAACACGCACAGTTGGTTGAGTTGATTGCGCATACTCAAATGATTTTTGTTGTATTTTTCGATTTACCGAGCCAATTACTCCATAAGCAAAGCAATTAAATCCAGTTGGTTGTTGTGTCTATGTTTTTTGAAAGTTGTGCAAGTAAATCCAGTTGATTGTTGTGTCTATGTTTTTTGAAAGTTGTGCAAGTAAATCCAGTTGATTGTTGTGTCTATGTTTTTTAAAAGTTGTGCAAGTAAATCCAGTTGATTGTTGTGTCTATGTTTTTTGAAAGTTGTGCAAGTAAATCCAGTTGGTTGTTGTGTCTATGTTTTTTGAAAGTTGTGCAAGTAGATCCAGTTGGTTGTTGTGTCTATGTTTTTTGAAAGTTGTGCAAGTAGATCCAGTTGATTGTTGTGTCTATGTTTTTTGAAAGTTGTGCAAGTAGATCCAGTTGATTGTTGTGTCTATGTTTTTTGAAAGTTGTGCAAGTAAATCCAGTTGGTTGTTGTGTCTATGTTTTTTGAAAGTTGTGCAAGTAGATCCAGTTGATTGTTGTGTCTATGTTTTTTGAAAGTTGTGCAAGTAGATCCAGTTGATTGTTGTGTCTATGTTTTTTGAAAGTTGTGCAAGTAGATCCAGTTGATTGTTGTGTCTATGTTTTTTGAAAGTTGTGCAAGTAGATCCAGTTGGTTGTTGTGTCTATGTTTTTTGAAAGTTGTGCAAGTAAATCCAGTTGATTGTTGTGTCTATGTTTTTTGAAAGTTGTGCAAGTAAATCCAGTTGGTTGTTGTGTCTATGTTTTTTGAAAGTTGTGCAAGTAGATCCAGTTGATTGTTGTGTCTATGTTTTTTAAAAGTTGTGCGAGTAAATCCAGTTGATTGTTGTGTCTATGTTTTTTGAAAGTTGTGCAAGTAAATCCAGTTGGTTGTTGTGTCTATGTTTTTTGAAAGTTGTGCAAGTAAATCCAGTTGATTGTTGTGTCTATGTTTTTTGAAAGTTGTGCAAGTAAATCCAGTTGGTTGTTGTGTCTATGTTTTTTGAAAGTTGTACAAGTAAATCCAGTTGATTGTTGTGTCTATGTTTTTTGAAAGTTGTGCAAGTAAATCCAGTTGGTTGTTGTGTCTATGTTTTTGAAAGTTGTGCAAGTAAATCCAGTTGGTTGTTGTGTCTATGTTTTTTGAAAGTTGTGCAAGTAAATCCAGTTGGTTGTAGTGTCTATGTTTTTGAAAGTTGTGCAAGTAAATCCAGTTGGTTGTTGTGTCTATGTTTTCTGAAAGTTGTGCAAGTAAATCCAGTTGGTTGTTGTGTCTATGTTTTCTGAAAGTTGTGCAAGTAAATCCAGTTGGTTGTTGTGTCTTTGTTTTTTGAAAGTTGTGCAAGTAGTTTCAGTTGATTGTTGCCATTATTATGAAGTCACACAGTTTGTTAAGCGGACTGCGCATGACCAAATGATTTTTTAGTGTTTTGTTATCGAGCAATCTGCGTGGTTACCCTGCAAGTGATGCAATTGCATTCAGTAGTGTAAATGTGTAAAACATATTCAAGTTTCATGCAAATTACAAGTCAAATAAGCAGTGTTTGTGTTTGAAACTTTGTATTATGATCCTTATTTTATAATCTCAAATTGCCATGGTAGTCAAAGACGTTAGTACATTATGTCTAGAGAGAAGCAACTTGGCCCTTAACAAAATCTTTTCTCTTGCTTGTATCATATTTTTATTATAATCACGATCTGTATGCGAAATAGGGTTGGAGCTAAATCTTGTCAACTTTATATGATTTATTTTCAGGAAGTGACAAAAAATGGTCCAATGGTTGGTATTAGTAAAGATGATGTTAGTTTTATTGCTGAACAATTGTCTCACCATCCTCCAGGTTGGTGATAAAATTCTAAATTTCCTTACATTACGCTTGCATGAAAAATAACATTTCTCTTTTTTATCAATCTTCTTCAATAGTCTCCGCGTTCTACGCCGAGAACGTGAACAAGAAAATATGTTGTACTGGACATATTTGGACAAAATCGAAATTTCTTGGATTGTCTATAGGCGTCGAGATGGTGGGAGATGGTAAGATGGTGATTTTGCCATTCTTGTAAAATACATGATGGTTAAAGATGTTTGTAAACATGTGTAAGAATTGAATGAATTTGATTATTAAATTGCACGGGTCAGCCTTACTAATATTTCTTTGATTTCGCTTGAAATCAGAACTATTCTTTTACCTCAAAATGCTGCTTATTTCCAACAATTTTTTTAAGCCTTTCTAAAACAAACTTCTTTTTTAAACACGGAAACAAGAAAGAAATTTGTTTTAAGAAAATTCTTATTACCTGCTAACCCATCTTTAAATGACCGGTGTCTTGTTAACTATCGACATAATTTATAAATGTATGTATTGTGCAATCATAAATGTCTCATTTTTTATTGCGTAATTTCAGCTTGTATTTCTGTTATACCGTATGAAGAAGAGTACATAGTTACGTTTCCAAATGCTTATGGAAGGTAGCATATAACTTCACAAAACCGCATGTTTTATAGGCAAAATAATCTTTTTAACAAAGTCCATTTCTTTCACCGTCTATGTAGATCAATCTTAACAGTTCCTTGGATGGAAATGGGTGGTCATACATCGATATCTTGTGCAAAATCTGGATACAATGCTAACATTCAATTTCATTGTAAAGTATGTCTATTACCCTTATGGAAAATTGATTTTTATTTCTTTGATTGTAACTGTTTTCTCTCTTGGTATTTCTAGCCATTTTATGGTGGCAAGAAGCACAAAGTCACAGCGGAAGTGACGTAAGTACCCATGAATTTTATTACTTTGCAATATTTTGCAATATAGTAATTGTCTTTAAAATATACTCTTGAAAACATTGACTCGATGAAAATTTTATTTGTGGTAGTGCACCAAAAGAAAAAAAACCTTTCTTCACTGTCATTGGTGAATGGAATGGAGTAATGTATTGTAATGAAATTAACAATGGTCAAAATGTTAACTCTACTGAGGTGAACTTGAAATTTATATTTTTATAAATAACGCACATTTAGCCGCGCTAAATATCATTATAATTTGCGTGTTTTATAGTCATCAAAGATTTTTGTTGACACAAATACAATGCCTGTCATAAAGAAACGCGTTGCTCCTTTAGAAAAACAAGGAGAATTTGAATCACGAAGGTGACGAAGTTAAACAGTGTTTTGTCTCCACGCTCCTAAAATGTCCTACTTATAGTAGCATTGCTCGTGTATAGGGAATGCCTTAAATTTGTTTTACATGATACTATGGCGATAGTATTGACCAATAAATTGTAATGACCAGCGGTATCTGAGTGTCAAGTTTTACTTGTGTTTAGATTGTGGCGGGATGTAACTGAAGCTTTAAAAACTAATGATATAGACTCGGCTACTGCTGCTAAACATAAGGTATTTTAGGAAAAGATTTGTTTTATTATAGTCTGCAATATCTATATCATTGAAATTAAGACAACATGGTTAATACTAAGCTAGCTATGTAACCATAATTCATTAGTACAATTTTATCGTTTTTTATTGACGAAATCTAATTTGGACAGAGTTAAATGTGCTAATACGTTTGTGATTGCATAATTTATTCCTGTTGTCGGAATCTTCCATTGAATAGCGATGATTCTTGTGACATTTTAGTTGGAGGAAAGACAACGTTATGAAGGTCGCGAAAGAAAAGAAAAACACATAACGTGGCAAACCAAGGTAAAGTATTGCATCTATTTTACTACTGGAAAAACTACTTAATTAAATTGCTGTTTAGTACAATTTGAATTGTATAATGTACAATTTTGAATTATCCTGTTTATACTTAATTAACGTGATTGTCCTTTTTATCTCAACTGTAAAATAGAATGACCATTCATAGAAAATAAAATGTTCAAAAAGTATTTGTTTTGAAAATCTTGTTACTTTATATTAATCGGTTTGATTTTTCTATTTGTAGAATTTCCATAACGTTGATGGTCAATGGTCATATGATGCTCCTTTAACGACTCGACTTAAATAAATTTGTCAAAGATGTGATGATGGGATATTCAGGGACAAATTAAATTACGTAAGGTGAAAATGGTATCCCTTTCTTATGGTGATCTCAAGTATACTGGAGTGATGTCCGTATTACGGGCATAAAATATAACTTTGGTCTGCTTCGTTTATATAAAACAAACATGTTATTCAAAATAACTTGTGCACATGTATTTTATTGTTTTTCACGAGTTTTTCATTGATATTATTATTTAATATATTGAACAGTCAACTGTTGAAAGTTTCATTACAGATATTTAATTGTCTTTGTGCAGTTGTAATTATAAATTCTTATAACTTTTTCTACAAGTTATAGAGAAATGACTAAAATATCCTAAACCACTGACAGGAATATTTTTATTTAATGCTTGTGAGGATGATATGAAATGTCAGTGTTTATTCTCCAAATGGTCGTTCCATCTTCAGATACATTTTACGAAGTTGATCCAATGCTGTCAACATATCATCACGCTCATCTGGATCACTAAATTCCTCAGTTATCACAGCCTTCATTTCTTCATACGTCCCGATATTTGGGTGAGCTGTGTCCAGGCGTGAACATTTCATTTTTTTGACAACACCAATAAACCAATCTTCAAAAGTGCTTTGTCGAGCTCGGGAAAACGTGATTTGGCGTGATCTTGAACATTTTGGTCATTAAGGCTGTCAATCTTTTTTTCTAAAGACTTCAAATTTGTTCCATATCTTGCTCTTTTACTTGCTTTATCCTGACCAGGAAATACATATTCCGATACAAGACTTTCCAACTTATACGCAACTTGACCAATTTTCAATTGTCTTTTTTGTTTTTCAAATGCCAGTTTCACTTTTTCGAAATCTTTTATTACTTTTTTCATTTCTTCGTTTTCCTTCATCAGTTGCTCATTCTTTTCTTCCAAACTTTTGATTCTTGCTTCGTAATTGTTCTTCTGTTGCAGCAGCATTTCTTTCAAATGCTTTACCACATTGCTCCAATCGTTTGCGTATTCTCCAAATTTTGAGTACATCTCAGCCGTATCGAGTTTTGAATTTGTTAGAGCGTTCTGCATTTGACGCAACTTTTCTCGAAGTTTAGTATTATCGTCACTTAAAACAGCCTAAGGAGAATTTTTTATAATTTGTACTTGCTTAATTATTCCATGAAGTACAAATAATTGCTTTCTCTTTGCATATAATTTAAAACCCAATGTTATTGTTAAGTGTTAACACAAAAATAATAACCATTGTTTCCCCTTTAATGTGTGAATTTTCCAAAAATGTCCTTATGCATCAAAATTGATAAAATTTCATAGAGACAATACAATTTCTTAATAGCGCTAACTCAAAGTTCAAAAAAATAAGAGTTTTGATGGTTTTGATAGGTTCTATTTATTCTCTCTGCTTGATTGATAAATAAATTTTCTTACATTCTCCATCAGTAAACTTGTTTGAACTGGAACTTGTATGCTCAATGGCTGTGATAAAAATAAAGCATAAGGAGTTGGACATTTATTGTGGAGTTATCAGTTGAAAAAATGTTGCATACCCTTCCTTGACGATGGACGCCTTCTGGTGGAAAGCCCTGTAAGGAATAGTTCATTTCCTGCTTAAATTCATGAAAGTGTTCTTAGCTCTTCTCGGTGCATTTATAAAACAGTAGTTTTTAAAATAATTCAAATAAAAACTGCAAAATAACTGATAAAGTTTCCTCTAATGATATAGCCAATAAAATTTCTTTAAAGCGTCAATCCAAAAATTCGAAAATAAAAGATTTCTGCGTTTCTATTTTTACTTTCAGCTTGATTGATAAAAATATGTAAATTTCCTTACATTCTCCACCAGTGAACTTGTATGAAATGGAACTTGTATGCTCAATGGCTGTGATAAAAAAGGAGCATAAGGAGTTAGACATTTTTTATGGAGTTATCAGTTGAAAAAAAGTTGCATACCCTTCCTTGACGATGAACGCCTTCTGGTGGAAAGCCCTGTAAAGAATAGTTCATTTCCTGCTTAAATTCATGAAAGTGTTTTTAGCTCTTCCCAGTGCATTTATAAACACAGTAGTTTTCAAAAAAATTCAATTAAAAAATGCAATATAACTGATAAAGTTTCATATAGTGATACAGCCAATAAAATTTCTTTATAGTGTCAACCCAAAGATTCGAAAATAAAAGATTTGTGCTTTTCTATTTTTACTTTCAGCTTGATTGATAAAAATATGTAAATTTCCTTAGATTCTCCACCAGTGAACTTGTTTGAAAGGAACTTGTAGGAAAGTGCATAAAGAAGTACACAATTTTCATGAAGATATTTGAAAAAAAAATTGTTGACATACCCTTCCTTGACGATGAACGCCTTCTGGTGGAACGCCTTCAGGTGGAAAGCCCTGTAAAGAATATTTAATTTTCTATCATGAAAGTGCTTATAGTTTTCGTTGCATTACTTAGCCTACTTCGTCCAGCATCATGTAATGCCATAGTCAACTAAAAAATTGGGGGTATCAATCTTCATCGATATAGCTATATGTCGATATATATTGTCAATTTCTTCTAAAAAAGTTGTGATTACGGTAAATTAATATAAATAAGTAACTTTGCCACACATGCTTTACTATTTATCAATTTCTTTTTGTCTTTGAAAATAAAACATTGGTCTTGCTGACGACAATTCGCATACAGAACATAACCTTTAGGAAAAATAGCCACCAAAAACTAATGAGAAATTTTATTGCTGATCACATTGATAGTGGAGTTTATAAAACCTGCTCAGTGATCACAAAGCGATATGTGTTCGTATTAAAAAAAATCACACATACTGAAATCCTGCGGCATCCATCATTTAAGTGAATACCACGTGACTGAAAACAATTGCAACATAGTACTGATAAATGTAAAAGTTTCATAACAACCATTGCTTTGATTTAATCTGGCTATCTATTGCCACTCATAAACATTACGTTTTGAGGTATATTTTACTTTGAACGTAATGTTTGCATTTGCAACATGTACGATTGGCATACTTATTTTTTTCACACTTACCGGTTCAACCAAAGCGTCTAAGTATTTTCCCGTGACATCAAGTTGAACGTCTTCCGGTGCAGTAAAGTTACCCTGTAAACAATCATAAAAATCATAGCTTTTGTTATCGCATTTTAGCGTTAATCATTTTATCCGACGTAGAACTTATTGCATAGCTGAGAAGCTGCACAATAACATTTTTTTCGAAAAGCATAAACACAAATGACAATTAGGGTATCTTTCGAGCTTGTAGAATCAAACCGTATCTCTACAAATTTTTGCTGCCCTTCTCTTATCCGAAAGTCACTAAAGTGCCCCTCGGAGCTGGCTCCCCCGAATCGTTAGATTGCTCCTACGCAACTGACTATATATGTATCAAATATTTTAGCGGTAACCCTAAATTAGATAATTGTAAGTAGCGTTACCAATTTTCAGTAATAAGCAGAAAATATCACAAAAAACGCCTGATGGCCAAGAAAATAAGATTTCCATGCATTTAGACACTAAAAACGACGAGCGCAATATTTTAGCTCATAACTGAAACCTATCTTCATTTCTGTGCTAACTCATATTCATCTTTAAAGCGTCGATACCAACTTAGAGCTTATGAAATAGATCTTCGTTTGCTCACGGTGGTATAACACTATAACTCATATTTTTCTCCTCTCGATTTTCCCTCTAATTTGTGTAAGTTACAAGAAACACTGTTTAAAATGCAACAAATGTATAGGAAATTTTTAACATGAAGTTATAGAAATTCATGTAGCTTACATACCATTTGACGAGGTATTTCAGGATTTGTCATTGTAATAGTCTGATAGTGACGAGTTTTACCTTTCTTTTCTGTGTCCCTTGTAGACTGGTCGAATGACGAATGTAAGAGTTTTATACACATTATCAAATAAATAATTACAAGTTGTCACAATATAGCACTATGGGAGTCCTGCATGGACATCTGTTATAAATAAATAATAACTATAAACTAACTTAAATTAGACTGTGACTTGAAAAAGTGGTTATTAAGCAAAATTTAAGTTGAATAATATGTCACAGTCTTTTGCACACCATTTTTTAACAAAATATTGTGAAAAACTCGAGTACTTTTTTCTCTACTTAAAATAAGGACGCTGATGGTTGACAACTTGCTCTTGTTACTCATGTTCACTTGGTAGATAAATAGATAGATAGAGAGACAGAAAGAAAGATGTATAGAGAGATAGAAGAGATAGAGGAAACCTTTGGAAGAACTCGAGAGCGAGCTAGTGCTTTCATTTTTTTTGGTAAAACAACATTAATGCGAAACATACAAATATCGTGCAAACGTTTCAATATTCTTCTAACATGTATTCACGACTGTTTTGCAAATAGTCTTTGATTGTTTTGATTGGTTGAGCTCAGATCATTTTGTATTAGTTTTGCAAACGCAACTATAGACTAAGTCACCGTACTCGTTTTATTATTTTTATCTTATAATAAAATTATTAAAATATATTACACAGGCAAATTATCATGTTTTCGATACACGTTTCATATATTTTCAATATATAATATTGACATATCTTATTTTTGTCCGCAACCGAACGCCATACTCACTAAACAATTCATTTAGGTAATAACATGATTTTGAGTGCAATTTGGGAAAAACGTGCATAAGTGAGTTTTTTCAAAGACAATCAAAATTATCTAAGGTAGAGAAAATAGAGACACTATTGCGTTTTCGATATAATTTGATCAATGCGATTGTTCCGATTTCAAGTTAGAAGCCGATTACACGAGGCGAGTTAACTGTCCCGCTTAAAGTGCCCCTTTCTCTAAAAATTTTTTTTAGAAATACGAAATCTGTCTATGATATTAAGCCTGTCTGAGAAAAAAATTTTGAAGTTGGTAAAATCAACAAGCTATTGTGGCGTCTTGAAGTTGTGCATTTTTGGCCGTTTTCTATACTATAACTCGTATTTTTCTCCTCTCGACTTTCCCTCTAATTTGTGTAAGTTACAAGAAACACTGTTTAAAATGCAACAAATGTATAGGAAATTTTTAACATGAAGTTATAGAAATTCATGTAGCTTACATACCATTTGACGAGGTATTTCAGGATTTGTCATTGTAATAGTCTGATAGTGACGAGTTTTACCTTTCTTTTCTGTGTCCCTTGTAGACTGGTCGAATGACGAATGTAAGAGTTTTATACACATCATCAAATAAATAATTACAAGTCGTCACAATATAGCACTATGGGAGTCATGCATGGACATCTGTTATGAATAAATAATAACTATAAACTAACTTAAATTAGACTGTGACTTGAAAAAGTGGTTATTAAGCAAAATTTAAGTTGAATAATATGTCACAGTCTTTTGCACACCATTTTTTAACAAAATATTGTGAAAAACTCGAGTACTTTTTTCTCTACTTAAAATAAGGACGCTGATGATTGACAACTTGCTCTTGTTACTCATGTTCACTTGGTAGATAAATAGATAGATAGAGAGACAGAAAGAAAGATGTATAGAGAGATAGAAGAGATAGAGGAAACCTTCGGAAGAACTCGTGAGCGAACTAGTGCTTTCATTTTTTTTGTAAAACAACATTAATGCGAAACATACAAATATCATGCAAACATTTCAATATTCTTCTAACATGTATTCACGACTGTTTTGCAAATAATCTTTGATTGATTTCATTGGTTGAGCTCAGATCGTTTTGCATTAGTTTTGCAAACGCAACTATAGACTAGTCACCGTACTCGTTTTATTATTTTTATCTTATAATAAAATTATTAAAATATATTACACATGAAAATTATCATGTTTTCGATACACGTTTCATATGTTTTCAATATATAATATTGACATATCTTATTTTTGTCCGCAACCGAACGCCATACTCACTAAACAATTCATTTACGTAATAACATGATTTCGAGTGCAATTTGGGAAAAACGTGCATAAGTGAGTTTTTTCAAAGACAATCAAAATTATCTTGTGTAGAGAAAATAGAGACGCTTTTGCGCTTTCAATATAATTTGATCAATGCGACTGTTCCGATTTCAAGTTAGAAGCCGATTACATGAGGCGAGTTAAATTTCCCGCTTAAAGTGCCCCTTTCTCTAAAAATTTTTTTAGAAATACTAAATCTGTTTATGATATTAAGCCTCTCTGAGAAAAAAATTTTGAATTTGGTAAAATCAACAAGCTATTATGGCGTCTTGAAGTTGTGCATTTTTGGCCGTTTTCTATACTATAACTCGTATTTTTCTCCTCTCGACTTTCCCTCTAATTTATGTAAGTTACAAGAAACTCCGTTTAAAAGACAACAAATGTAAAGGAGTTTTTAACACGAAGTTATAGAAATTCATGTAGCTTACATACCACTTGACGAGGTATTTCAGGATTTGTCATTGTAAGAGTCTGATAGTGACGAGTTTTAGCTTTCTTTTTTATGTCCCTTGTAGTCTGGTCGAATGACAAATGTAAGAATTTTATACACATCATCACATAATAATTACAAGTCGTCATGACATAGCACTATGGGAGTCATGCATGGACAACGGTTATGAATAAATAATAACAATAAACTAAGTTAAATTAAACTGCGACTTGAAAAAGTGGTTATTAAGCAAAATTTAAGTTGAATAATGTGTCACAGTCTTTTGCACACCATTTTGTTAACAAAATGATGTGCAAAACTCGAGTACTTTTTTCTCTACTTAAAATAAGGACGCTGATGAATGACAACTTGCTCTTTTTACTCATGTTCACTTGGTAGATAAATAGATAGATAGAGAGACAGAAAGAAAGATGTATAGAGAGATAGAAGAGATAGAGGAAACCTTTGGAAGAACGCGAGAGCGAGCTAGTGCTTTCATTTTTTTGGTAAAACAACATTAATGCGAAACATACAAATATCGTGCAAACGTTTCAATATTCTTCTAACATGTATTCACGACTGTTTTGCAAATAGTCTTTGATTGTTTTGATTGGTTGAGCTCAGATCGTTTTGCATTAGTTTTGCAAACGCAACTATAGACTAAGTCACCGTACTCGTTTTATTATTTTTATCTTATAATAAAATTATTAAAATATATTACACATGCTAATTATCATGTTTTCGATACACGTTTCATATATTTTCAATATATAATATTGACATATCTTATTTTTGTCCGCAACCGAACGCCATACTCACTAAACAATTCATTTAGGTAATAACATGATTTTGAGTGCAATTTGGGAAAAACGTGCATAAGTGAGTTTTTTCAAAGACAATCAAAATTATCTAAGGTAGAGAAAATAGAGACACTATTGCGTTTTCGATATAATTTGATCAATGCGATTGTTCCAATTTCAAGTTAGAAGCCGATTACACGAGGCGAGTTAACTGTCCCGCTTAAAGTGCCCCTTTCTCTAAAAATTTTTTTAGAAATACGAAATCTGTCTATGATATTAAGCCTCTCTGAGAAAAAAAATTCGAACTTGGTAAAATCAACAAGCTATTGTGGCGTATTGAAGTTGTGCATTTTTTGGTCGTTTTCTATAATACGAAAGAAACTGGCACTAGAAGGTATTTTGACGTCATCGAAGGTAGTCGGCATTCCGGGCACATTTAGTTTATATTAAACATACACGTTCTTTCACGCTGTTTTATTATAATATTCGAAGGAATTAGATCTTGCAAAGAAAGCTATGAGTCGGAATCAGAGTGTTCAGTCAGATAAATCTGACAAAAACTTTATACCGGGATACGTGACAGAAAACTCAGAAAGCAATGAAACTTAAGCGACAATGATTCAGATTTTGAAGCCCAAGCATGAACGGTCGGAAAGACACAAATTCTAATCTCATCCTTTTTATTGTCATTTCAATTAAGATAGCATTGTTACTAAGCTAGCTATGAAACCATTAAATAATTCATTATTAAGCCCTTAATAACCGAGCGTGAGGTCTTTACGAAGAAAGATCGGACAGAGGCCTTTTTGTACAGACCGAGCACCAACGAGATTATTAAAAGGTTTATTATATGACATTATTTGACTTGAAACGAAGCTTGCTTTATTTCTCTTCCTTGCTGTTTTTTTACGGGTTGCCTTTCACTTTTCTAGTTTTCGTCCATAAAAAATAAATCGTTTCAAATTGTATCGTCTAGATAGTTGAACTGTTTTCCAAGTGTTTTTTCCTTCGAATCACATTTGTAAATGGTTTTTTGTTTCGTTTATTTTGCGTTTTGCTGTTTGCTTTACGAAGTTTGTTTACATTTAACAGTAAAATTACGCGTTTTGGACCGTGGTCGATTACGGAAAAAAAATGGACCGGCAAAATTGTTTTTGAGCAAATCAAAGCACGCCATTTTGCCGGAAGTGACGCTTGCCATACAATAATACATCTTAAACAATTTTATCGTTTTTCATTGACGAAATCAAATTTGGACGGTGTTAAATTTGCTAATACGTTTGTGATTGCATAATTTATTCCTGTTGTCGGAATCTTCCATTGAATAGCAATGATTCTTGTGACATTTTAATTGGAGGAAAGACAATGATATGAAGGTCGCGAGAGAAAAGAAAAACATATAACGTGGCAAACCAAGGTAAAGTATTGCATCTATTTTACTACTGGAAAAACTACTTAATTAAATTGCTGTTTAGTACAATTTGAATTGTATAATGTACAATTTTGAATTATTGTGTTTATACTTAATTAACGTGATCGTCCTTTTTATCTCAACTGTAAAATAGAATGACCATTCATAGAAAATAAAATATTCAAAAAAGTATTTATTTTTGAAAATCTTGTTACTTTATATTAATCGGTTTGGTTTTTTCTATTTGTAGAATTTCCATAAAATTGATGGTCAATGGTCATATGATGCTCCTTTAACGACTCGACTTAAATAAATTTGTCAAAGATGTGATGATGGGATATTCAGGGAGAAATCAAATTACGTAAGGTGAAAATGGTATCCTTTCTTATGGTGATCTCAAATATACTAGAGTGATGTCCGTACTACGGGCATAAAATATAACATTGGCCTGCTTCGTTTATATAAAACAAACATGTTATTCAAAATAACTTGTGCACATGTATTTTATTGTTTTTCACGAGTTTTTCATTGATATTACTATTTAATATATTGAACAGTCAACTGTTGAAAGTTTCATTACAGATATTTAATTGTCTTCTTTGTGCAGTTGTAATTATAAATTCTTATAACTTTTTCTACAAGTTATAGAGAAATGACTAAAATATCCTAAACCACTGACAGGAATATTTTTATTTAATGCTTGTGAGGGTGATAAGAAATGTCAGTGTTTATACTCCAAATGGTCGTTGCATCTTCAGATACATTTCACGGAGATGATCCAATGCTATCAACATATCATCACACTCATCTGGATCACTAAATTCCTCACTTATTACAGCCTTCATTTCTTCATACGTCCCGATATTTGGGTGAGCTGTGTCCAGGCGCGAACATTTCATTTTTTTGACAACACCAATAAACCAATCTTCAAAAAGTGCTTTGTCGAGCTCGGGAAAACGTAACTTGGCGTGATCTTGAACATTTTGGTCATTAAGGCTGTCAATCTTTCTTTTTAAAGACTTCAAATTTGTTCCATACCTCGCTCTTTTACTTGCTTTATCCTGACCAGGAAATACATATTCCGATACAAGTTTTTCCAACTTACATGCAACTTGACCAATTTTCAATTGTCTTTTTTGTTTTTCAAATTCCAGTTTTACTTTTTCGAAATCTTTTATAATTTTTTTCATCTCTTCGTTTTCCTTCACCAGTTGTTCATTCTTTTCTTCCAAACTTTTGATTCTTGCTTCGTAATTGTTCTTCTGTTGCAGTTGCATTTCTTCCAAATGCTTTACCACATTGCTCCAATCGTTTGCCAATTCTCCAAATTTTGAGTACATCTCAGCCATATCGAGTTTTGAATTTGTTACAACGTTCTGAAGTTGTTCCACCTCTCTTCTAAGTCTATTATTTTCAGCTAGTAGAGACTAAAAAAAATTCAATGAGAACTATCATAATTTTGGATTTAAAACGAGAATAAACCCTTTCTGATTTGATTGAGAAAAATCTTCGTCTGATAGAAGTTTCACCTGACTAGAAGGTTTTAAATTTAAATTCTCTAAAATTTTATGCTATTTTCGCGCTCTACATAGCTAATGATAAAGGTAATTTAAAATGGGTTTTCAACATGACGTAGCACAATAAGAGAATCATTAAAACAATTGTATTTTGCCTAAACTGTAGAAAATCTTAAAAACATTGCAACAAGAAACTTTGCAAGGGCAAAAATGCCAATTCTTCTTTCAGCTTAGTTTTCTTTAGAGTCTAAATTTTCTTATTTTCTCCATAAGTGAACCCATTTGAACTGGAACTTGTATTCTCATTGGCTGTTGGGAAAATGCATAAAGTATTATTTCTTTATTAAATTTTATTAAAGAAATTGACATAGACACATAGTCTTCCTTGAAGTTGAACATTTTCAGGTAAAAAATCCTGTTAAAAAACATTGCTTTAATTTTCATTGTTAACATAACATAGTTTAGAATTTTGTACTTTGTAGCTAGATGTTGATCGCCAGGTTAGTGCAATCCAGACTAACGCGGTACACTAACGTGGAGAGCAGCATCTATCAACATGTAACGTTACTCATAGATATTCACGTTACAATGAACACATTTACAACATCATACACAGCGATAGACAATGAAAAATTGAGTTGCTGTTTTGAAAAGAGCTTGAGAAACTTTTCTTTACTTACCTGGCCTTCATTTACTTCTCTTCTCGTCATATCTAACGGTATGCCCTGTTGTTGAGCTGCCTGTTTCTGAAGAAGAATTTCAGTAAAAAAATTTTACTTGGCCGTAAGAGAAAACAATTTTTTAGCTACTATAAGGTATATCATGTTGGAAAAAGACGCTTGTTCATATAGTATCGTAAAAACCGCTTAGAGATTACTTAAAATTCCAAGAAAATTTTTTGGCACATTTTGGCACAAAAGGACGTGTGGTTTCCGTTGTCTTCCTCAACTTTCCCCCGGACTGAATTATTCTTTGGACACTTGAAAAATGTGTGTTGAGTGGGCCGAATCATCCTCCGATCTTATCTGAGTGATTCCATATTACAAACCAACTATGCTCGAAGCTTTTCTCATTAAATTTTCAAATACGATCAATTAGAAAGAACATGATTTTATAATCTTCATGTTTGAAAAATATATCTTATTTTCTTTATTGGTACTGACCGCGCTGTGTCATATAATGATAAAGAACGAAAGACTTGATAGAATGTGTAGTACGTACTACTATAGTTTACACTATGCTTTGCAAATGATATCTAGAAAAAAATACTTCAGCGTTAGCATTTTAAGCAAAACTTGCAAATCAATTACTTCTAATTCTCATTTCTCGGTATCATATATTGATAATTTGCTATAATGTACATTCTGCCATTTAATGTGTAATTAACAATTTAAAGTAAATAGTTAACTGTGTAATTAACAATTTAAAGTAAAGTAACTGATAAATTGTTAATTACAAACATGTAATTAACAATTTATCAGTTCACAATATGTGAATAATCCCAGATAAATTTTTATATCACAAAAATTATTATTGCCATGTATTCGACCGCCAGTGTAAATGTATTCTTTTACAAAATCAACTGCACTGTAGAATTCAGATGAATGATCAAAAACGACATAAAGGAACGTGTCGGACTGGATTAAATTATACGCGCCCACATGGTTGACAAACACAAGCGCATTTATTCTAGGGACACTCAGTATGCAGAAATATCAAAATCACTATAGCTGTGGCATCAATGGTTATAAAATCCCAAACATAACTTTGTAATGAAGTTATTTGGCGCTGTTATTAAAGTTTTGATAATATAGAAAGCTGTCGGAGAGAATCTCGCAGTCGTAATCATGAGAAAGACTTATTCATAGAAATTCTTAAATAAACGAAAGAAGTCTGTGTGCAAACTCGAAAATGCCATCAAAAAATACGTAAGTTAAGAGTCATTCAAATAAAATAAAAATAAAATTGTTTTCGTGCCTACAACAAGCATGTTACCTCAATGTCCATCTACAAGTTTCAAAAAAATTAAATACGAATGAATCGTATAGTCATGTCACAGAGTAACGATATAGTTACGTACCATTGGGTTGAACATAGTATTAAAGTCCATTTAAACAAGGATGCCTGCTCAATTTCTGTCCTTTAACAAGAAGCCAAAAAGTATATAAGAAAATAGTTCTCAACAAAATAATTATGAAATTATGCCACACTTACCTGTGAAAAGATAATCACTATCAAACTTCGGATCAAACAATGAAGTAAAATGAATGTTAACGTCAGCAACGACAAAGGAATCAGGTGAGATAAGCGTGCGCATTGTTAGACGTTTGTAACTTGAGTAAAATCATTAAATACAGGAAACAAATGATAAAGGAGTGAGAAAAGACAAAAAGCTCTCTCGTAAAATTACGAAACTATATTTCTATCATTCGTATGTATCAAACCAATGCTGTGCTGATTATGTAGAACTACTGCGTATATACACTCACTTCAATTTCAAAAAAGAATAATTTTCAATATGAACATAATAGCCCAACATAAGACTTTTAAAAAAGCCACCACAATAATAAAATAGAGAAAGATTTATTAATAACGTTTCGTCTTTAACTTAAGACATCTTCAGATTATTTGAGATAAATTATATACATGAGGTTTTAAATACAAGCATATATTACAGGGTGTTAAATTACATGTGAGGGGAGTAGGAAGTTAGATGACGGAATTAAGTGAGAATGGCGGTATATTAAAGAAGGTGAAGGGGGATTGAGTTGCCTTGGGTGTTAAGAGAGGGTTTAAGTTTGGATATAAGAAGGCTTTCATGAATCATAAGGTCGTAATTGTCGGAGGAGGAAGAGAGAATTGAGAAGTCATTAAAATCGGCAGGGTGAGATGCATTTCTTATATGAGAAAGATTCTGAAAGAACTGCAGATGGTGATGGACATAAGGAAGGTTTCCCTGTTAAGGGAGAGATTCCCAAGTTTTCCGATATTCTGGTGTGTAAATGACGCGTGGTTTGACCCTCATACGATGCAAAGCAGCATCGACACTTAAACGAGTATACAACACCAGGTCTCAGGAGCTTGGGAACCCTATCTTTAAAAGGAAAGAAAGAGGAGAGACATGTAGGCCAGTGAAAAGGAGACAGAAGTACATGAAGTACACGTAGTCACTGGCCTACACTGTCTTCAGATTCGCACTCAAATCACTCGACTCTGCAATGCTGCCTTTCCTCATATCAACGTTCGCTTTGTTTTAGTGATGTCCGTATTAAGGGCATCAAATATAACATTGGTCTGCTTCGTTTATATAAAACAAACATGTTATTCAAAATAACTTGTGTACATGTATTTTATTGCTTTTCACGAGTTTTTCATTGATATTACTATTTAATATATTGAACAGTGAACTGTTGAAAGTTTCATTACAGATATTAAATTGTCTTCTTTGTGCAGTTGTTATTATGAATTCTTATAACTTTTTCTACAAGTTATTGCGAAATGACTCTACTGAACGAGGGGGCTCTACTTCCTGGGTGAAAATTTTCTAGGGCCTTGATTAGATAAAAAAAACTTACATTTTCACGGGACTGACTTTATTCGTCTTGTGTCAGTTTCTGGACTGATCATTATTCCCATTTTTCTATTCATTTTTTTACAAGTTTTTCATTGATATTATCATTTTATGCATTGATGTCTTTATTTATTATTTTTAACTTTACGAGTAAAACAAATGATTGAAATATTCTGTGAAACTGTTCAAAGAAATATTTTATCTGAAATGTGTGTCATTTATCTGAAATGTGTGTCAACATCTCAAAAATATCAGTGTTTATTCTCCAAATGGTCGTTGCATCTTCAGATACATTTCACGGAGATGATCCAATGCTATCAACATATCATCACACTCATCTGGATCACTAAATTCCTCACTTATTACAGCCTTCATTTCTTCATACGTCCCGATATTTGGGTGAGCTGTGTCCAGGCGCGAACATTTCATTTTTTTGACAACACCAATAAACCAATCTTCAAAAAGTTCTTTGTCGAGCTCGGGAAAACGTGATTTAGCCTGATCTTGAACATCTTGGTCATTAAGGCTGTCAATCTTTTTTTTTAAAGACTTCAAATTTGTTCCATATCTTGCTCTTTTACTTGCTTTATCCTGACCAGGAAATACATATTCCAATACAAGACTTTCCAACTTATACGCAACTTGACCAATTTTCAATTGTCTTTTTTGTTTTTCAACTTCCAGTTTTACTTTTTCAAAATCTTTTATAACTTTTTTCATCTCTTCATTTTCCTTCATCAGTTGTTCATTCTTTTCTTCCAAACTTTTGATTCTTGCTTCGTAATTGTTCTTCTGTTGCAGTTGCATTTCTTCCAAATGCTTTACCACATTGCTCCAATCATTTGCCAATTCTCCAAACTTTGAGTACAACTCAGCCATGTCGATTTTTGAATTTTGTATGACGGTCTGCATTTGACGCAACTTTTCTTGAAGTCTAAGATTGTCAGCTAGTAGAGACTAAAAAAAAGTCAACGAGAACTATCATAATTTTGGATTTAAAACGAAAATAAACCCTTTCTGCTTCGATTGAGAAAAATCTTCGTCTGATAGAAGTTTCACCTGACTAGAAGGTTTAAATTTAAATTCTCTAAAATTTGATGCTATTTTCGCGCTCTACATAGCTAATGATACAGGTAATTTAAAATGGGTTTTGAATATGGCATAGCAGTAAAGCATCTACAACCCAAAGCAAGTAAGGAATCATTACAACAATTGTATTTTGCCTAAACGTTAGAAAATCTTAAAAACATTGCAACGAGAAACTTTGCAAGGGCAAAAAAGCCAATTCTTCTTTCAGCTTAATTTTCGTTAGAGTCTAAATTTTCTTACTTTTTCCATAAGTGAACCCATTTGAACTGGAACTTGTATTGTCATTGGCTGTTGAGAAAATGCATAAAGTATTACTTCTTTATTAAATTTTATTAAAGACATTGACATACCCTTCCTTGAAGTTGAACATTTTCAGGTAAAAAATCCTGTCAAAAAACATTGCTTTTATTTACTATTTTTAACATAACATAGTTTAGAATTTTGTACTTTGTAGCTAGATGTTGATCGCCAGGTTAGTGCAATCCAGTCCTGAGAAGAACTGTTCGTGTAGACTAACGCGGTACACTAACGTGGAGAGCAGCATTTATAAACATGTAACGTTACTCATAGGTATTCACGTTGCAATGAACACATTTACAACATCATATACAGCCATGAACAATGAAAAAATTGATTTGCTGTTTTGAAAAAGAGCTTGAGAAACTTTTCTTTTACTTACCTGGCCTTCATTTACTTCTCCTCTCGTCATATCTAACGGTATGCCCTGTTGTTGAGCTGCCTGTTTCTGAAGAAGAATTTCAGTAAAAAAGAATTTTACTTGGCCGTAAGAGAAAACATTTTTCTAACTACTATAAGGTATATCATCTTGGAAAAAGACCCTTGTTCATGTAGTATTGTAAAACCCGCTTAGAGATTACTTAAAATTCCAAGAAAATTTTTTGTTGCACTGCAAAAACATTTGCAATACAAATATTCGTGCAATTAGGCGCAAAATGTCGTGTGGCGCTCGTTGTCCTCCTCAAATTTCCTACAGACAGCCGGAATTATTCTTTGGACACTCTACAAATGTGTGCTGAGTGGCGAGAGCAGAGAACATTTTTAGAGTGATTCCATATTATAAACCAACTATGCTCGAAGCTTTTCTCATTAAATTTTCAAATACAATAAATAAGAAAGAACATGATTTTATAATCTTCATATTTGAAAAAGTATATCCTATTTTCTTTATTGGTACTGAGCGCGCTGAGCCATATAATGATATAAAACGAAAGACTTGATAGAATGTAGTACGTACTACTATACTTTACACTATGCTTTGCAAATGATATCTAGAAAAAATTACTCCAATGTACAATCTGCCATTTTAACTGTGTAATTAACAATTTATCAGTTCACAATATGTGAATAATTCCAGTTAAATTTTTATATCACAAAAATTATCATTGCCATATATTCGATCGCCAATGTAAATGTATTCTTTTACAAAATCAACTGCACTGTAGAATTCAGATGAATGATCAAAGACGACATAAAGGAACGTGTTGGACTGGATTAAATTATACGCGCCCACATGGTTGACAAACACAAGCGCATTTATTCTAGGGATACTCAGTATGTAGAAATATCAAAATCACTTTAGCTATGGCGTCAATGGTTATAAAATCACAAACATTGCAATGAAGTTATTTGGTGCTGTTATTAAAGTTTTGATAAATAGAAAGCTGTCGGAGAGAATCTCGCAGTCGTAATCATGAGACAGACTTATTCCTAGAAATTCTCGAATAAACGAAAGAAGTCTGTGTGCAAGTCTGTGTTAAGAGTCATTCAATAAAATAAAAATAGAATTGTTTTCGTGCCTACAACAAGCATGTTGCCTCAATATCCATCTACAAGTTTCAAAAAAATTAATAACGAATGAATCGTGTAGTCATGTTACAGAGTAACGATATAGTTGCGTACCATTTGGTTCAACATAGTATTGAAGTCCATTTAAACAAGGATGCTTGCTCAATTTCTGTCCTTTAACAAGAAGCCAAAAAGTATTCAGCCACCACATATATAAGAAAGTAGTTCTCAACAAATAATTATGAAATTATGCCACACTTACCTGTGAAAAGATAATCACTATCAAACCTCGGATCAAACAATGAAGTAAAATGAATGTTAACGTCAGCAACGACAAAAGAATCAGGTGAGATGCGCGTGCGCATTGTTAGACGTTTGTAACTTGAGTAAAATCATTAAATATAGGAAAGAAATGATAAAGGTGTGAGAAAAGACAAAAAGCTCTCTCGTAAAATTACAAAACTATATTTCTATCATTCGTATATATCAAACCAATGCTGTGCTGATTATGTAGAACTACTGCGTATATACACTCACTTCAATTTTAAAAAAGAATAATTTCGTATTTTTTTACGTGTATGTAATCATACCATAGAATCTTGATGTACATACGCACCACATTATGGCGCTACCTATTTTTTTAGTCTCGGACCCCTACAATAAAAAAAATCCCAAACCCAACAATTATAGAAGAGGTTATTTCACGACAACGAAACATTGGTCATTAAGCAAAATTTAGTGGTGGTCTGTGGCGTATCATGAAAGATCATTTTGATTTTTAACAAAATATCACGCCAAGATCATAAATTTAATTGTACTACTTCACCTAAAAAAGCCATGTGTTTATTTGTACGAGGCTTTTGTTATAAGCTCTATTTTTACTTTTATTATTCCAGAGTTGGAGATATCAATCTGCGTCTGGCTACCAATTGTTTTATTGAATATGAAAGAATGTTATATGCAATGTTATATCCCGTTGAGTCACCTGAATTTTTCATGAGACAATTGCTTAAAAATTGTCCAGCAAAAGTGCGAAGATCATATCTTCATTTAATTGTTTTATTGAATGATCAGCACGAAACACGAAAAATATGTAAAGGAAAAGGACGTCAACTTCAATTTTAACATAGACATAGCAATAATGTTATTTATTGTTTATAATATAACACATTCATTATAGGTGTTATGCGCATGAGTCAAAGCAATATACGAGAATGCTATGTATCAATTAACGAACGTACTTTATGTTGCTTTTTCATGTGCGACAAGTCTAGCGGTAAAAATTTATGCTATCATATGAAACATTTCATGCATATCCAAAATCAGAGTAGGTGCAATGTTTTCATCAATAAATTTGTTAGGTGGATTGTAGATAATGGGATTTATTTGCCTACCTACAAAAGTGAGGCAGATTTCTCTGTAGGTTGTCTAGCACCAGAAAATTTACAGTTACGTTTTTTACATGAGTGAACAATCGAAGTCAACAATTGAATAATCTTTGAGCTACATGTATAAACTATGCAGCTCTGCATCAACTACTATCCCACTATATGGAAGAAGTAGGTCTACAAATTATCGTATGAACGGTATGAACTCAATGCAGGGAACATGTCAGCCTGAGTTTTTAGGCGGTACAAACAAGCAGGTAATGCAGGCTTGTAATTAAATGACCATAAATATCAATCATTGTGCTCAATGCTCCTGGCTTACTCAAAGAACGTTTATTATAGTTAAAATGAAGTAGATTCCCGAAGTTTATAAATGATCTTGTGCTGTGGCTGTAAGATTGATGTAATGAATGCAGCAGTAGAGTTATAGCTTTAGGTAAGAAACAAATCGACATTTTAGTTTTGGCATAAAATGTAATGTATTTTTTGTCAATGCATTCGTCAAAGCAGAGTATCTCAAATATTTGATTGTGTTTGAAATAATCTGCTTTAGGATTTTCCCTTTTTATAAGCTTTTGTTTATTGAACCTTTGGTAAATATAAGTTTTGTCGAATTGGTTTGAGAATTGAGAGTAGACGAGTGACGTAATTTGTGAACTAAACCGATTGTCATTGTCATAGGCGTACTGTTGTTGAAAATGAAGTTTCAACAAATTTCGAACCAATCTCTTATCTTCAACCTGTTTTATTTTATTGTTTCTGTTTCTAGATGGTTTACACATGAAGTTTGCAGGCCGACAGCTGTATCCTCGAGTCCTTAAATGTTTCAGATTTTTACAATGTCATTGACAAAAGAAGGAATTTTGAATCAACATACATTGTATGAATGTCTTCATTGTGGAGTACTTTTTTCATCCTATGCAAAATTGCTAAATCATGAGAGAATTCACACAGGTGACACAAGATTTAAATGTCGTATATGCAATAAAACATTTACAAAATGTTCACAACTGAAGCATCATATTGAAGCACACAGTGATGTTAGACTGCACAAATGTAAGTATTGTGAACGATCTTTCAAACAAAAATCTCATCTGAAATTACATATAAACAGCAATCATAGTGTTAGTTACCAAGCAAGTCAGGGGAAAGTTCTTACAAAAGATAATCTTAGTAAGAAGCAAGCCTCTGATAAAGTGAACAGTTCTCAAAATACAGCACAACCTTCCATCACTAATAGTCAACAGAATAGTGTCATTTTTATCATGGGAACAAATCCAAAACATCATTTTCAACAGTATGAAACAATCCGACCCATGAACATGGTTGATGGGAAAACCAAAACACTTAATAATGAAACAAATAATGATAAATTCTTGTGTAATGAAAAGCCAAATGATCATCTTTGGCAAAATGGTCAGACAAATGATTTAATTACAAATTATCAACGAGTTAATGGTTTGTATAAATGTCAGTTTTGTTTTAAGACATTCATCCGTCTCTCTAATTTGTTGGTACATGAAGGAACTCATGCTGAGAATGTTGTATACAGATGTGAGGTATGTTTAGAGAACTTTCCTGGAACTACCGAGTTAAATAATCATATGACTCAATGCAAGATTGACTCATGCTTGAAATGTCTTGCATGTGGAAAGGACTGCAATTCAAAACTGGAGTTGAATTGTAATGTGAAAACAGATTCTAACATTAAAATCGAAATTAGCGAGAACTATGCAAATTGTAGGCAACCAGGACCTTGTATCATGAATCAAAGAATGCACAGTGTGCAACACAATTTCACTTGTGAACTTTGTGGTGAATTTTTCATTGGACAAAATGATTTGATTGCTCATGAAAGAAGTCACGATGGTGAAAAGCTCTATGAATGTTATTTATGTCTAAAAACGTTCAAGGAGAAAGCACAAGTGGAGAAACACATGAAGATTGTGCACTGCAATATAAACACATCCAATGACAAAACTGCACACATCAATAAAGTCAAGGTATTAAACAGCGGCTCGTTAATCACAGAAAATGCATCACATAAAAAATGTACGGATGTTGATGAGCTATCAAAAGATAAATACGGGACTATATCATCTGATGAAAACATTGATGAAATCACTTCAGCTGCAGTTTTCTTCTGTGAGTACTCCATGATTGAGACCAGATTTATGAAAGATATGAAATAAAAATCGAGATGATACTTCGTACGACTTTTCTGAGAAGTTTGAGAAGAGAAGCGAGGAAAAAGCAGCTCTAGTAATTTTACAAGGCGCCTCCCTCTATGACCGGACGTCTTAAGCCAGCAAGGTGTTATAAAAGATAAGCTGGGCAAGGTCAACATGGAAAAGAAGAATTAAAGTCTGTCAATTTAAAGTTGTGATTCTAATTTTCTCGATGTGAACTGTTTTCTAAATAAACCGTTGCAGTTTCTTTAATGTCAGTGGATTTAATTCGTTTTAGTTATTGGGTTCTTCCATTGAGCTCTAAAAGACCTGGAGGGGCAAAGGGGCCTGGGCCTCGTGGTCAAAAACATGGCGGTAATGGCGGATTTTGGTTGTCAAAACTTCCACTTTGAGAAAAATGTTTAACATTCGCTCCCTCCCGAATCCGGATGTCTATTCCTGTGTGTATTAATGACAACCAGCGAAAACAACCACGATATCGTAAGCATAAAATATTGAAAATAATGCTTCAGGTTTTTGTGAAATAGACACACACATTTAAATGAGGTAAATCTACTGTAAAATAGCGTATATGTTTTCAAGTAATGCTTTAGCTATATTAGAAATAAATATCAAACGGCATTCTTTACACTGTCAATGTGTCGTTAAGCTTTAATGCATAATCCCATGCGCAATACTTGTGTTTTTGACTATTTGTAAACAGCTTGGTGCAACTGTCTTTCTTGAATAGATGGGTAAATCTTAGTTAAAATGTCCAAAAAGGAGTTAGAAAAAGTTAGCTTACCCCTACGACTTAAGTCGACTGGAAATATATTATAAGTAGGTATGTAATTTTTTTGAGTTTTTTTTGGTAGGATTGATTCTGGGTGTCTTATGGTATTATGATATTCTGATAAATCTACTGAGAACTTATGAGAAAATATCTTGAACTAGGAGAGCAAAAGAACGAAATTCAGAAATTCTATAATCATGTTGCTGGTTCTGTTTTGAGCCAAGATATTAGAAATGGATTGTTATTGACAACCATGGATCTACTACTGAACAGAACTACATTAATTTCCCATTTAAAATACTTACTTAAATCAAAGTGCATTGTTTTCTCTGACATAACACTTTTCTTATTGCTGCATGAAGGCAAACCTGTTAAGATAATTATAATGTAGGTGAAGATATTTAGCAGGTTGTATAATTGTTATTATACAGACATTATTTATGATATTATGGCCTTGTGTAATGTATGTCAAGAACTTATTAATTCTCAAAAATGCTAACCTTCTTGCACTACTTTTCTTTTGGTTACAGTTACAAATTACAGTTACTTATACTAATTTTTTCTAGGTTCAAACAACTTGACAAATTTTTGAATTTTACATTATGCCGTTGAATTTTTCTTTTTGTCTTTTGGTAAAAATATCAGTAAATGACTTAAAAATCAAGTTTATCTAAAATAGTATTTTGTACAAAGTAACTATACATAATTGGAAAAGTCTCATGTTGAAGGCAGATGTGGCTTTACTAGATTGCTACTCTTATTCTTTTAAATGATATCGTAATTCTTCATAAGACATAAAAAGTTCTTTGCCATCAATTTTGCTTCTTCACATTCAACTTCATTGCAACCAATGCATCTTATGTGAATTTTTAATCACCTGGAATTGAAAAACGATGGATTTTGTCAGATGATGCAGTACTGTATTTAATGTTTCATGCAATGATAAGCTTTTCTTGAGCAAATATTTCAAGGTAGGAACAAAATTTGGCACATTATTGAACAAAGTAGTTTTTATCTTGATTTTGATGTACTAACCTGTTTACTACACTGTGTAACAAACAATTCATTTACAGAAACACCAGATGGCATTTATAAAACTTTTAGCATAAAGCAAACCTACACACCATCATCATGCTTGTCCAAATCTGTCAAATTGTCCAGGCTAGCTGTTTAATACAGGTAATTTTTATTGTACGACATGTACCAAAGAGCTCATTAATTAATCCTGCACTGCATTTGATTTCAATACAGCTCTGTCCTTAATATTTGCTTCATATTTTCAGAAAAATATCACAAAAAATCCTCCATTTCAACTCAGTTGAAACAAGGAGTTTTAAGATATGCATATCTCGATAAGAACTGGTTGCTTTGCCTCGTCTAGCAATCGATTAAGTAAAGAACAAATAAGACTGGATAAACATAACTTAAATTATAACTTTGGAGTAAAACATTCACAAAATATATGCCATCACACTTCAAGTATTGACTTAAAACAAAACACTGAACACTTTAAATAAAACAATCTTACGTTGCTTACCGGTGTCATGAAATGTTTCCTTTTCTGGCATTACTTCAGCATCCGTATACCAAACAAGTTTGCAGCATGTTTTAAAGATAAAATTTCTAAAGTTTTGTGCTTGGCATTGATATTTTATATAATCGCTATTGTGGTTGTCAAATCCGGGTGGGCGAAAAAAATTTCATTTTATGAGCCCGCGTCTTTCCGCTGACTTTGACAACCAAAATCCGCCATGTTTTTGACCACGCGGCCGCGCGCTGATAATTTATAGTAATTTTGTTGACGTTGCCCCTCCAGGTCTTATAGAACTCAATGGGTTCTTCATGTGCAATGTTTTAAAACGTTGGCCAAGTGAGCTCAATACTTTAGTTATGCTATGAAAGTCTTCGGGGGCCGGTGGCACGAAGCCTGGATAGTGTTATCCATTGGACAGTAGTCTTTTAAGGCTTGTGAAAAAAGTTTTTATATTTTCTTTGCCATAACGAAATTTTGTAATTCTAAACCCAATATTGTGTTTCATTGATTGTACAGTTCAAATCCGCGATGTTTGAAGCGTTCAAGAATATTGCTATCCAGTGGATAGTGCCATTCGGCCTTCACGCCACCGGCTCCTGCTGTTAATTTACACGAAAAAAATATTTGTTGGAGGAGCAAAAGTAATTTTCATAAACTTGGTACAACATGATGAAGTTTGGACAGACTTCACCACAGTTTACCAATGATTGAAAATATCATCCATTTTGGTTATGAAGAACACTGGGAAAACCCTTCATGTTATTCTTTTGATGACTATTGTCATTTGTAAAGAGAAATTTGTCGTGGAGCGTTGTGATGGCTGTATGAGCGTTGGAAGATCTATAATTGGGCAGGAAGGTCATATTAGCATGTTATAATCTGTAGTAAACAAATGATTTCAAGAGAATGTAATAAGGTGTAGAACCCATAATGAATATTTCTCTAATTATCGACCTTAGGGCCATGATGCATGGGGGTATTTATAGTTGGGAATTTTTTCTCTTTATAATGGTGTTGTAGTAGTATTTCTTAACTTTTCATTGTTGTTTTCCATATTTAACTATATTTTTCTACAAAACTTATATCTGTGCCCCTGCGTGAGTGTAATATTGGTTGTTTAAACCTTTTCAACGTAATGATTATCTTGCTTAGTTGAGCTACACATTGTATCAATACCAAGTATATAAAAACAATCGAAATCGGTACGTTTGGACCGAAATATTTAAGGGTTTGTTTGTTTGTATGTTTTTTGTGCTATATCTTGTACTTTTTCTATAACTACACGATTGTTTGAAGATTAATTAATATATTTTTAAGTTTTGGCATCTTGCTCTGCTTCTAGTAGTTTCTGGACTTAGGAAAAAAGCGATGTCCGATTATTGACAAAGAAAAGAAAAGTGACGTCACGTACTCAGGCGCAGGTGAAGTTCACTCACTCAATGGGTTCACTACACACCCGCAAAGAGGCAAATGAATTATTATTTAATTTATTTTAGTGTGGGCATCGAGTCGAGATGCAAACGATCGAAACAAAGCGATTTAAAGGCATTAAATAACGGTTTTTTTAATGGATGTCAAATGGAAGAGAAGCAAGTCTTTTCTTAGTTGTGATAGTTGTATTAAATCAATTTGTTCACAGTGATTCATTGAACGGAGAGGGCGCAATCGGTAAGGAAATTTGTGTGTTGGACCTTCGATCTTTTCACTCTACTTGACAATGTTTATATACAAAAGCTGCCGTGGAACTCTGCTTATGTTTGAAATTTGTTCTTTTTAATGCACAGGTTGCTCTCGTTTAATAAATCTTTGTCGATATGATGAATTTTGCAACGCAGGTAAGCAATACTAATCTTATAAAGGTTGTAAAGTTCAAAGATCATTTATTTTGCTAAATTTAGTGTAAATATAATTTAATATTCAGTCATATATCTTTATGTTAGCCTTACAATATTTTACTGCTATAGCGATAGCTTTTATTTTTGATTTATTTGTAGGAAATGTTTTAAATTTAATAAACGCTTCACTGGCAAACCGTTGCCATATGAAGATACACTCTCTTATGTTTTGTGACGTTTTTGATATTGCCCAGAAAATATAGAAAGATTGTCTTTGTCAGACAGTTAACGGTATTTTGTTTGAATTTACTGGTCTTCTTGTGTAAACATTGTAATAATCATCATTTCAAACAACCTTAACGCATTTTTAGACGATGATTTTATAGGAAATTGAGATACTAAAGTTTGTGTAGAGATTTCTTTTAAGGAAATATTTGAAAGAGCTCTTGTCTTGTATTCTGTAATATATTCACTACAAAAAATAATTAATTCAATGCACTGTTTTTTCAGCTGCTTAGAATCATTCAAGTTTTCCCTTCTTCCCTATTTACAATGTTTGATATATGTCATTTGTGACAGTTGGAAATATCAGTGGGTTGTCTGGTTTTATCATTATGACTTAAACATGATTTATGCATCGTTGCTAAATTACATTTTGTAGACATCTTGCTTGTTTGGGGAGAGGAGCTTTTCCAAAATAACAAAATTCACAGTGTTCAATTATTTTTGGTGAAAATGTTATTACCAGAAAGTTCTACCTCATGCTTGATTTGATCAATGCTAATTATTTATATTGACACACTTGCTCAAACTTGAATTGACGAATCAGAAAGTCCAGTTTGTGTAGTATGAGGTTATTTATATTGTCCCACTTGCTTGTGTAGCATGAGGTTATCTATTTTGTCCCACCTTGCTCAAACCAGAATATTGATGAATCAGAAAGCTCAGTTTGTGTCACATGAGGTTATTTATACTGTCATTTTGCCCAAACTCAAATCTGGATTGACTTATCATAAAGCTCAGTTTGTGTCACATGAGCTTCATGTTAATTAATGTAACTTTAGTGGTAGATGCCTTGCTTTGTTTTACATTTTGCTGGCAGGCAGATTTGGTTGAGTGTTTTTAGACAACATTACATGGTTAATCTCTCCTGGAATTAATCATCCTGCCAGCAAAACATAAACAAAACAAGAGATCTATAATACATAATTGGACAGGATGTTTAGGTAATAGTTAGAAAAGATTTCTAATTAATTGTCATTTTGAAACTAGTTATTTCTTTTCAGCTGAGTTTTATCCATTTGGAAAATGTAAAAGAAGAATTTTTAAGAAAAACTTTGGTCACATGAAAGATCAAGGTAAATGTTACATAATGTATCTCAATAAGTAATTGTTATTATACCTTTTTGTACCTCATAAAGAATAAAGGTTAATGTTGAATTGTTGAATTGTGTATAACATACATAAACAGTCAAGGTTTGTGATGAGTTGTGTACCTTAGAAAGAAAGATGGTTGATGTTGCATTGTGTACAGTAGCATTTCCAGCCCAAATTTTTACTCCTGCCATGCAAATATTTTTGTGTTCCCTGACTTTGAGAACAATAGATTTCTAAAGAAATGTAAAATGGTAATCTTTCAGATTTTACATGACTTGTGTAAATCTGCAGGCGGGCTATGCTACTGATTTTATACCTCATAATTTACAACAATCTTTTTTATTTATGAACTTTGATGAGTAGCTTGTGAAAAAATTGGATTGTAATAGCTGTTTAATTTTATTGGTTTTAACAACAATTGTTGATCCCAGCTTTTATCCATAGTTTTTTTCTGTGAATTCTTAAACAGGACAAAAATTTGCTGAAAATAAAGGTCTGCCAGTGAGAAGTATACCATCTTCTGCGGAGGATACCTTCAATAACAAATATGACATGACTTATTTTAAAAAGGATGGCTCTGTTAAATATCCAAAAAATGAAAAGTCGTTTTTATTACTGAAGAAGAACTTTAAAAGACCTGCTTTCGAGATTTCTTTTATTAGAAAGAAGAGGAAGAGAAAACGAGTATTTAATGCCCAGGCAATAAAAAATGGCAGAATGGAAACGAACGACAATGATAAAAAATATGATATGACCTTTTTATCAGATAATTTTTCTCCAGATTCGTTAAAACATGATGAATTATCTGGAAGTAACATAAATGATAAAGGTACTTCATGGGATAAACGGGGTAGTGATGGTAATTCTGCCTTTCTTGATACCAAAGATTCAGATAAAGTTAACAGAAAAATTGAAAAAAAGCATGTGGACGATGGTTTGGCATCTTCTCTTCCTTCATCTAAAAAAGAAAATCGACAAGTTAAGTTTGAGAAAGCAAGGAATGAGAAAATTTTTCATGATCGAGACTTAAATGAGTTTGAAAAATCTAATGAAAAAGAAGTGCGGAAAAGTCCTAATGTGTCTAACAATGACGAATCACTGGACTTGGAAATTGAGATGAAACCACTAACTGAAAACGATAAGAAATATTTTGACGTGGATAAGTCGAAGCTTAGTTTGATACCTAAAACTCCCAGCAGTGATTCTGGTTCACCTCAAAAGATTGAACATGTTCAGATTAACTCTCGATCAAAGAAGACGAAAGTCGGGGTACTCGTGGCGGGAAAAGTTGGTGACATTAAAGCCGACATTATCCAAAATAACAGTCCTGATGCAACTTACGAAAATGTGAAAGATTTTTTCAAAAGTCAGCAAGTTAGTTCTATTGTCGATGCTCCACTTGCTGAGCAGAAGGATAAAGCAAAGTTGTATGATGTACAACAAAAACACGACAATGAAAACAACATAAAACGCAGTACTATACCCACTCCTTATGTTCATCCTGGTCTTATCTCCTTATATGTTAAAGAAAGGTACTTATTCTTGATAATTTCATGATTGTCTCTTTCAATTTGTCATTGTATAGCGGTAGACTATATAATTATGTAGAGGGTATAGACAAGTAGAGGGTATATTTGTATAAAACAAGGCAAACTTTCATATACAGGACATGGCTGTTGGTTTTGTACTGTTTGTTTGTTATGGAATGATGAAGCGTGTGTTTAGTGGCAAAAATGGTTATAAACATCTTTTTCAGAAAACTTTATCATGAAATGATAAAAATGTGCAACTTACAGATAAATATGTGATGCGCAAACTCGTAGGAGAATTTTATGTCGGGTGTAGAAATGTGAAATGAAGTTTTTTTCACGTATGATTGTGAAAGCTGTAAAACAATGACACATAGCCAGCTTGCTCACATTGAGTCGATAAAAATATACGTTGGAACTAGGATTAGCGAAAATTTGTCCGAAAAGCATCTTGCGTAAAAGTTGTGGGCGTAGTAGTTGGGATCAGTTTTGCATAGTAAAATAAACATGGTTTTTAAAAGCAGACTAAATCAGTTCATTGATCGATAATTTTCACACGATTAGTGGACACTAACAGTTCTGTACAAAGTTTTCTTAAAAACACCGTTTTTTGCGCAGTGCTAAAGCTACAAATTATTCAATAATCATTTTACGAACCATTCCGGTGATGTCAAGATTTCCTTGGCAACAATGCAATTTGAGCACTTTGTCTCCGCAGTTTGATTAATTCATACATACAGCTGTTTTTATTTTACGTGTTCATATTGGAAAGAACAGATTTAAGCATCAATACTATTTATTCATGTAGATTAAACCCGGAACGTGCCAACAACTTGTTGAGAGCTCTTCAGGATTATTTATGGGGAATTGATAATGAAAAAACCACAATCACCTCCGTAACGTAAGTTTGATAAATGAAATAAATCAAAGAATAACTTTCTTCTCCATCAGTCGATTAATTAATAATATCCAAATGGATAAAAAGATTTTTATGTTCAAGTTCTGAGTCAATAGATGCTGTAACTTTTATAGAATCACTATTTATCATGACTTGGCCAGAAATAAAGGCATTCTGATCTCAAATCACACAAATTGATATTTTATAGCGGTTCAGTGACTCCGTTCAATGACCAATTTAAATACTTTCTGCTTATTTATGATTTTGATATCTTGTTACAAAATAAACATTAAATCGTATTTTCAGTAAAGTGAAATTTTTGATTCAATACATGTTTCGTTGAGAAAGAAAATGATCAGATGTTTACAGTTGTTGTGACTTAAATGTTTCAGTGCTGATGATTACAAAGTCGTGTTTCATTTGTTGAACAAGTCGAGTACAGATGGATCAAAGTTTTCTAAAATTGTTGACAGAATTAACAATGGTATAAGTTTGCCGGTGATTTTGGTATGCATAACAACGTTATACTCTCTTATCTTGAACTTCTCGTTCATATAGATCAGTCATTAAAAGATAATATCAAAAAAGCTGTGGGTATGACTGTGTTGTCAGCGTCATTGGACTCAAAGGTTTGTCTATGAGACTATGACACGTGTATGATGGATAAGCAGGGTATTTGATGGATATGTCAGGGCAATGCTAGTTTACATAACTGCTAATGTTCTTGTGTTGTGGGGTTTTTTCATGTTTAAGATGTTTCAAACACTCAAAATTCGATTTTCAGGCGTATTTCAAATAATAAAGCTTATTTCACAGGCTCCGCGTTATAAATGTGTTTTTTATGAGTGTCTGACGTAAAAAAATTGAAATATTGATAAATGCGCGCTAGATATTTTGACTATAAGAGTTTTTCAAATGAGTTAGATGAGTTGCATTGCTCTAGTCATTTGTGTACGATGCAGTGACTAACCACGTAACCTTTCACTGTTTCCTTCAGGATGGAGATACTGTTGATCGATATGATGATAAAGATGACGATCACCAATTTGTGATGACATTACTCATAGTAGCTGGATGTATTTCTGCTCTTCTTTTGGCCTGCGTATGCCTCTTCATTATTCTTAAAAGGTACATAGCTTTTTTGTTGACCTATTGCTTGTCTCAAAATTAGTCATGTCGAAATTTGATTCTTTAGAACTAAAGAGAAAAAATCACCAAAGTGGGTTTCTAAACAAGATGGTCAAGAAACAGCATCCGATTACCAGGTATTTTTATCTATATCACATGAAGAAATCTACTAGAAATGTTTTAAAAAACACGAATGCTGGTCGGTTTATAAAAGGCTTCCATCCTGGTACATAAAAGTGTAACAACTATCTCACTTGACTCTGGTATTACAATATGAGTGTTTAACTTATATACCAATGTTTTTTTGACACCACAGCGTTCTATAAATTGTTTTATATCAAAATCAACATGAGTCTTATTATCGAAAGATTCTTTGTTTTAGTCCTGAAAATTTAATTAACGTTGGAGGAAAACACGGTTTCGAAATTTAATTATACATTGCATTACAATGTGAAATATATTATGTACGTGTTTTCTGTCGTACATTGTTGAATGTTATCGTCGTTTATGGGTTTATTTCAGGTGGAGTAGGCAGTGAAATAGTTTTTTAGTTAAAATAGTAACTATACGCAGTATAAAATATTCTTTGACGGTTAGTGAATGAATAATAAATAGTTTTTCCGTTGTTAACAAGCCTGGCGTCCGTAAGCAAATACTTTCTGTAGTTACGTCAGTTCCAAATCATTTATTATAGTTGTACTAGATATATATGGTTTGGTTATGGCAATCTAGTTTTAATTTTAAAGCCAATTGTTGCCATATCGTGATGTCAAGTTTTCAAGCGTAAATGATGTATTCATAAAAATGTTATTGTTCGCAGAGTTTATGGCGACATCTGCGACAGGCCACGGGATTCGCCCATTCAAACAACGTCGGTAAATCATTCTGACGATGGATCGATGAAAGAAACACTACATAACAAAGGAATACAACCAAAATATTCCTGGTGAATATATATATATATATACATCTGCATGTATATGAATCTCATTAAGATATAGCAACCTTTGATATTTCCTTCTGCAAGAACGATATTTGTCCATTGGTAACGATCTATGATCTTTTCGATATGGCATGTCCTTCCAAACAATGACCTCTGTCTATTTCGTAATTCCTGTTGAGGATAAGTGTAAATGTATTGAATGGTTTGATCATTTGAACTCCGTCCTCTATAGATACTAAGCCAGACGAGTACTATTACGTATCTCTACTGTAGAAACGAAATCAGAAATACTAACAAAATTGTGCTTATTAACAGGAGTGAAGAACCAGTCGACACAAAGATGGATATTTCAACAGGTCATGCTATTTTGGTAAGAAATTTTATGGTGAAAAGATGAAACGCAAAAATATTAAAACTTAGGGTACTTGTAGTCGTGATTTAATAAAATGCAGTTGCCAAGAATGAACTTAAATTTGTAGTGTTTTGTTCTGTTTGGTTTCTTATAAATACAAGTTCTTTGTCAATATTTTTATGCATTTTATACATCAGCATAGTCTTCCTTAGAAAACAATTCAAAAGAGAAGATACATCAAAATTGATATACATTTTTCCCAATACTAACTTACTTTGGTTTGTTAATGATTTTATGTGGTAACATTTTTAGAAGTGTTTTGTTAATGCAGCTATAAAGTAAAAATCCTTCTAATGTAGATAATTGTTCCATATTCCTAGGGGTGGTAGACATTTTTAAAATCAATGGGTTTCCATGACATTTTAACTCTATGTTTAGCCATTGAATCAATTTTTGTCAGAAAATTTATTTATTTATTGACAAATTATACAGTATCAATTTTTTATTTTTTCTTATTCTATGTTGATGATTTTGTTATGTTTGTTGTTTAGGATTATATGGAGGATCATCGTCAAAATGAGAACAGACTATCTGATGAATGGGAGGTTTGTTGGAATATAAAATTAATTTGTATGAATAGTGTACTACTTGATGTTAGGCTTTTTTAGTGGCATTCTCATTAAGCATAGGTGATGCCAACATTTTTGTATTGATATAGCACTACTTGATCCCAGGCTTTTTTAGTGGTATCCTCATTAAGCATAGGTGATGCCAACATTTTTGTATTAATAGAGTACTGCTTGATCCCATGCTTTCTTAGTGGTATCCTCATTAAGCATAGGTGATGCCAACATGTTTGTATTGATAGGCCAATAGACTTTGATATCAAACTATTTTAGTGGCATCAATAACAATTTTAAATACCGATACCAGTAAATATGTTTTTAAAAATTTTGAAATTTTATATCATAATGGGCATTTATAAAAAAACGTGACATCAAACAATGCTCCTGCAAGCTACGTGATTTTGCCAGCTGTTTATTTCAATTCATTAATATTGTATTTATTTTATTTATTTATTTTATAATATAATGTCAACGCTCCTATCACTCTAGTTGGACAAATGATACTTGTTGAATTCATTTTATTATACCATCACGTTGTTTGTAAAACTTCCCTCAACTAAAGCTTTTTTATCATTTATTTGACGAACATATCAACAAATTTCATTTGTGTATGAAATGACAGGAACTGTGTTCATACGTGGCTGATCCAAACGCCTGCGATATTGGAAAAGATCCAAAAAATATAAAGAAAAATAGATATAGTGATGTTTTACCCTGTAAGTATAAAAACTTTTAGATACAATTATGTATACGTTAGTATTTTTAGATATAATGACGTATTACACTGTATGTATAAGTTTTTTTAGATACAATTATGTATACGTGAGCATTTTTAGATATAGTGACGTATTACACTGTATGTATAAGTATTTTTAGATACAATTTTGTATTGCTGTAAATACACTCCCCAAAAGAATATTTATGATAAATTGCATTGTAAATATGAGTACATTTAAACACAGTGTTGCTAACGAGCATATTTTATAGTATCATGATTATCGTAACATTGACATTTACTCCTCACTTAACTCTGAAGATGACTACCGCTAAGGTTGTCGAAACGTCAGTCAACATCGACATCAACACCAACAGCTATCTCAGGACTCTACTAACCAGGACGAGCTACATCTACAAACATGTAAACCTGTCTGTGTTGATAAATTTAACCTATATTGAATGCGAATGTCTTAATTATCTTAAGATGATCACAACAGAGTCAAACTTCGTGAGACATCAAATGCGACTGGTTCAGACTACATCAACGCAAGCTATATAGTATGTCTAATGAAAAATACAAAAACTAGTAAACCTAGTGATGAACTTGGTACTTAGATGACGTAGTAAGTGCGTCACAACTTGCTCAGTTGAGTTCATTGTCTTATCTTCCTTTAAGATTGATGATGATCCACGTTATCCAACTTATATCGCTGCCCAAGGTCCTCTAGCAAGTACTGTTGCAGACTTCTGGCAGGCAAGTTGACGATGGGAAATACCGTGTTAATTTGAGTGTTTACTGCCCGTGTTAATTTGAGTGTTAACTGGCCGTGTCAATTTAAATGTTTACTGCCCGTGTCAGCGTGAGTGTGTGCCACTTGTGTTAATTTTGGTGTTTACCACCTGGGTCAACTTGAGTGTTTACTGCCCGTGTTAATTTGAGTGTTAACTGGCCGCGTCAATTTAAATGTTTACCTCATTTGTCAATTTGAGTGTTTACTGCCCGTGTCAATTTAAATGTTTACCACCTTTGTCAATTTGAGTGTTTACTGTGTGTTAATTTTGTTAACTTGCGTCAATTTAAATGTTTACCACCTTTGTCAATTTGAGTGTTTACTGCCCGTGTCAATTTAAATGTTTACCACCTTTGTCATTTGAGTGTTTACTTCCCGTGTCAATTTAAATGTTTACCACCTTTGTCATTTGAGTGTTTACTGCCAGTGTTAATTTGAGTGTTTTACAGCCTGTGTCAATTTGAGTGTTTGCTGCCTGTTTAATTTTAATTTTTAAACGCGAATGATACTATATGATGTGTTTATATAAATGTTTACATCATGTGTTAATGAAATGTTTACGTCATGTGTTAATTGCTCATTATATTAAGTAGTGTGTGAATTCTTTATTTTTACAGATGATATGGGAGCGTGGTGTAGTTGTGATCGTCATGTTGACTAAATTAGCTGATTTAGGAATGGTAAGTTACAGGTTCTTTTTCATTTGCACTGTAAACACTGTTATTGTATTTTTATTGAAATTTGTAGTTAGGATGTTTCATAATCAAGGCTTCTAAGGTTCATATTGCTTCACTGTGAGACTTTTTGAATTTTGTAGCCTCAATGCCATCGCTATTGGCCACAAAAAGGCCATCAAGAGTATCATATTTATCAAGTAAGATTTGAATAATTGGATTTGTGCTATACATCTTCCTGTTCATCTTTTTGTATTGGGCTCATCAAGTTGTTAGATGTGTGCTGAAGAGAATTACGTATTTAAGCCCCTTTTGAGCAATTATTTTACTCTGCATGCAGACTTTATCTAATAAAATGTTGTGTTTTTTTTTAAATCTGGTTGTTTTTTTTTCAAACTACACAGGTTAATTTAATATCAGAGCACATCTGGTGTGATGATTATCTTGTGCGAAGTTTTTATTTGAAGAATATTCGGGTACTGAAATATTTTTAATTTTCTTTTTTACATGAAGTTTTACGTTTTACAGTACGTACGTAACTGTGTTGAAGTTTAGTGGGCGTGCTCTTCGTAGATTTGTGCTAAGTGTGTAATTTATGTATGGATATTAAATTTCTTTTACATAACCACCACTGTGTTAAAGCGTCGCGTTCACACAATTTATACGTTAATTTTATATCCAAACCCATAATGTGTTTTTATGTAAGTGTATAAAAGTGCCAATCACTTTCCAAGTGTCGGAGTATAACATTTTCGGATACAAGGACTCCGCGCTATATATAGTATAATTCATATTTGCGTCAAGTTTTCATACTTTCTGATTATGTTTTAATCGATGAAATGTTTTTCTAGACTGGAGAGACTAGAACTGTTACTCAGTTCCATTTCCTGTCGTGGCCACATCTCGGATTACCAAATTCAACGAAATCCATTTTAGACTTTAGAAGGTAATCGACTTTTATTTTATTCATTAATTGTTACATTTATGCAACTTCTATTTTTCAACACAAAGCAATATTATTCTTTTTATGCCGAATCATTCATCTTATGGCTGCACTTTTTAAGCATGTGTTTCTTATTTTTTACAGAAAAGTTCTTAAATGTTTTCGTAACCAATCATCTCCAGTTGTGGTCCATTGCAGTGGTGGTATAGATAGAACTGGAACATATATTCTCATTGATATGGTTCTTGGTAAAATGACGCGAGGTATAACTTTAGTAGTACTTTATAAAGTAATTAAACATGAAAAAATGATTTTGTTTTACTTACTGCAATGAAAGAATTTCTATCTTAAGGAGCAAAAGAAATAGATCTTGCCGCCACTTTAGAACATTTACGAGATCAACGTCCTCAAATGGTTAAAACAAAAGTTAGTCCTCCGATTAATCACAAATTACATCACACTACATTTAAATGAATAAGATTGTTTGATTTTTTCTAGGATCAGTTCGAATTTGCTTTGATAGCAGTAGCAGATGAAGTCAACGCCATACTTCAGGTTTTGAACAAACATTAATCACACAAGTTTTTGTGTTGCTTATGGCATGTTGACGTTTTAATTGTTCGAAAAACATAATAAAATGACTTCGAAATAAAATGTTATGTAGATAATGTATTAATACAACATATTTATTGTTGTTTACTTGTATATATATTTCACTTATAGCTAGAATTTAGAATTTAATTATCAAGCTTGTTCACTTGTGTGTGCTATGTTTTCTTCGAAAATCTGTTTGAAAATCAATGACTTAATTTCACTGTGGCGAACACTTTTAAAATATGTTACCGGAATAATTAATACATTATTATAATTTGCAACTTTCAATATTAGGATATAACAAAATTTACAATCATATTTTCTTCAACTACATCGAAGACATAGTACAACAATGTTTTTCTTTTATGATCTAACTATTTATATTCTATGAATATAAATTCATTCATCTCATTTTACGTGGCATTCATTACTCCTTTCTATGGCTTAGTGCTTCATCCTTCAACGAATGTCAAATAATCATTTTCACAGAAACATATTTCGGTTAAGCACTTGCATATTATAGGTACTTGTACAAAGTTTTTATGACTTATATAATGGCAAAAAATTTTTATTCTCAATTTTTGTCTAGAGAAGCGTTTTTTTTTGTCAATTTTTATTCTATTCTATTACTTGTTGAGTTAAAGTTTTAAGACTTGAAATCGTAAAGTGGAAAGTGCGCAGTCCGTTATTTGCGAAATAAATGAATGTATCTCGTATGTGGTTTTTAGGCTAGTGTCTAAAGTTGAAGTTGGTCATGGTCAAAGTCACAGTGCTAGGGTCCATTTTCTCTCATCTTTGTTCTAAGTCATCTCATTTGACATCCGGGAGTTTTTTCGTCCACAAGTTATTCATGATTATATCACTATTTATAATTACAAATTCGACAAGTGAATAAATTATATAACCACCATGGCGGCTTTATATGGGTTTGGAAGTACCGCAAAACAGATAACGATCAAATTTATTGTGCTAATATCTTGAGAGTTACAAAATCCTCTGCTAAGATTCATTTTGAGGCCTTTTGATATCAGAACATTGTATTTATATGTAAAGTTTGATAAAGTTTTATTATTGCAAACGAAATATTAATTTCATGAGTGTCTTTTGGCTTCCGCTTAAGGGCTGACCCTCAATCTATTACTTTCGCTTGCATTTATTATTTACCTGAAGTCAGAAAAAACCAACGATGAGTTCTGGCAGACGAAGAAGTGGCCAAAATGTGTCGGGTACAACAACGGAAGATCAAGCTTTTAGTCAAATTGCCTCCGAGGTAGTATTTTATGAACTTTAGAATGGACAGTCTTAACGAGGAGTAATTAGAATTTTCGTATGTCAATAATAAACTTTCACTGTTAGGATTAAGATATTCAGAATTCTCGACATTGAGCTTTTAACAATGTATAAAGTATAACGCTGATGTTGTATATGCACGATATTTCGTAGATACGTTTGTTTTGGCCTTTGATAAATTAAGATATTTCTTTGATATCTTTAGTTTTTGTTTGTACTGATATTTGGCTGTTTGATCACTACATTTAAACAATTTTCTTTATCAACACTTTTTAGTTTTTATTTATACAAATGTTGAAGTTGACATTGTAAAATGTGGTGAAGTTGTGATTGAACTGTTTCAGCTGCTGGAACTTTACTTCAACTTCCATTTTTTCTTTGGATTTATTTCAGTTGAAAAACTGATCAGCTATTCTTTAAATAGCACTATCATTCTGCACCAAACATGAAAAAGAACTCCTTTTATTTCATGTAATTTATGTAAACCTTATGTCTGTTTCTTAAATTATCAAATTTATGTACATTTGCAATATCACTGTTTTCTTGTTCCTGCCTTTTCTAATGTTAAGATACAACGAATTTAGGTCAAACAGTTTGTATTTTAAGAATTGTTTATTGACAGATTCATAAGATCTCTGAAAAAATCAAAATAAATTTTTACATTGTAATTATCAGGCTGAAACACGATTGGCGGCCAAACGAGCAGCAAGAGCTGAAGCACGAACCATTCGTATGAAAGAACTGGAAAAACAGCAAAAAGAGGTAGTTTTATTTGATGAAGACTTTTATAGAACATTACTTAAATGCCATAAATAATCTCAGCAAGGGGAAAAGTTTAAAGTGTTTTTAAAAGTTATTGAATTTATGGAATGCGAAATATTAGATTACCATTCACATTAAGTGACTGAATAATAATCTCCTTGCCTGTTTTTATACCACTAAAATTTCACTAATATTTCATTTTTAAAGAAATATTACATCAAAGTGTAAGGTCAGAATGCTGTAAAATATTGCTTTTACAGCAGGACAACAGTATAAGTTTGAGTTGTGATTTGTTTAAATATATATTCAGTTGTTGCTTCTACTTTGTTTAATCTTTTTTATTTTTTAGCTTGACGAGGAATATGAAAAACAGTATCAAAATGAGGAAACTCCAATCAAGAGAAAAGTGAGTTGTCGTGCTAAGCTGTTTTTATCAATTTGGCAATGTAGAACTTTAGCATTGTTGGATTTGTTTAAGATGCTGTTTCACAATTAAATTCAATCACTGATCATCAACCTTTAGAAAGTAATCATACAAGGATTTTTTGTTTAGTTTTATGTCTTGATTTCTTCCAGACCTCAGCATCACTTATAAATTCCAATACATCTAATGAAAATTCCTACTCAGAAATTGATGGATATCATGATTCAGACAAATCAATTAAACAAGTTCAGGTAGTTACTGAACACCCATAATGTAGGCAATATTAATTTACCGATGAAAACATAACGGATTTGCCAGATGAAAAGATAGCTTTCTTGCATAAATCTTTGATGATGTCTTCATAGTTTAACTGGTTATGTCATCACAGATCTAAAAAAGACAATGGTTAACTTGAATTGAAAATTTCATGTTTTGTTGCCAGGGGAGTTAGCAATAAAACTTGTCTTTACAGCCACTATGTAACAAATTTGATGGAAAAACAGGAAAATATAAAAATTCCATTTGTATTCAGGACAAACTTGTGGAATTGGAAGAGAAATATAAGAAAGCTATGGTTCAAATAGCTCAACTAGATGATGAAAAGCAAACATTGGTTTATCAAACTGATGACCTAAAAGACAAGTATGTTTTATTGCAAAAATAAATGTATTACCACCACAACTGATTTTAAATCATTCTTGAATCAATCATGAGTGTGATGCTGTTGGTTGAAAATAATCAAAATTCTTTTCTCTTTGAAGCTCAAATTCATGTAATATTTCTATGTAAAATTCATTTAAAAACTTGACTAAAATCTCATCCAGCAATCCAGATACTAATTTTATTCATTTGATTGTTAAAGACTTGAGGATGGAGAAGATGAATGCACAGAGGCTAGGTATGAACTAAAGGAGAAAAACAAGGTATTTAGTAAACAACAGTCTATGTAGATGTGCCATCTTTCTTTACAATTGTTTCCTAATGTTGTGTTTGTTGTATTTTAAGGAAATAGATCGCTTGAAACGGCAAATAAAGAATTTGGAAAAGGAAATTGAACAGTATAAAGAGGCCATAGAGTATAGGGATAATTTTATTGCTGTACGTGTTGAGAATCATGAATCATCAACTAAACAAGAGCTTTGATAATTTATTTCATTTTGTTTGATAATCTCATGTCTTGCAAATTTCTCTATGTATAATTTAATGTTAATGTTCTGTTAATGTTCAACTATGACCTTGTAATATGATTAAGTATTTCATGATTACAGGAAAAAGGATTGTCGTTATTTGAGGATTCAGAACAGGACGGCGCCGTAGTTAGTGAAACTGATGGTGGAAATGCATCCAATATAAAAGATAATAACGAGGCAACGTCACAAGAAGGTAAAACATGACGCTTTTTGGTTTTTTAGAAATGCCTGTAAAAAAATCATCCGTCTTTCAATCACTAGCTAGAGACCACTCCCTTCGCTTGATTCTTGATCACGCTGACGTGATGATTTGAATAATTAACATATTAGCATATTGCTGCATGTCTAGATCGTTCTAACCATTTATTTTGAACATATTGCGTTTATACCAGTCATCCAAAAATATTGTGGAAATTACGAAAGAAACAGTTACGTTTTTTTTTCTTTTCTTTCCTTTCTAATCTTTGGTGAATGCTCAATGTAATCAGGATGAATTTTGTTCCTTTGTTGTTGATTTTTCCTTCTCGAGACAAACATCGGGTTTGTAAATTTTAAGGAGGCAGCAACAACTGAGGAATTTATCTTTCCTTTGAAAGGAATTAACTTCACCTTCTGAAAATTATTCATACATTGGCCGTCTGTATAATTTATACGACACATAACGTCTACTTAAACTATTTTTTTCACTTATAAAAAGCATTGGAAAAATATGAAACTTCAATGCACAAACATAATGACTGGACAAAAATCATCATTTGTTCTCATGTTTTGTTTCATCGTTACTTTTAATTATCCTCCTTTCTTAGGCAGTAAATTGTCAAATTCTAACAGCGATGCTACGGTTGATCGAACTGCAGTCATTTCAGACGATAAAGAACTTTTAGTGGATCAGGTAACCGGCAACACTTAGCGTGGCAGCATCGATATTTTTAGCAATTTTTTTCTGTATCATGCTACAAAACTGCTTCGTGTTCAAAACCAGCAGTTTTTATATGCAGTACCTTCATTCATTTTTCATGTCTTTTTTCGTTATTTTTATTAAGATAAAGTTATTACAAAGTCAATTAGCTGAATTGAAGGCAGCTTCTGGTGTTGATAGACGTCATTTGGAAATTCCAACTCAAGATGATTTGGAAGATATTCGACGTCAGTTGATCTTTCTTCGTATTACTATAGTTTTACGTTATAATAGTTTTATAGTACTGCATAGATTTACATCACCGTTGTTTTACATCACCGTTGTCTTACATCACCGTTGTTTTACATCACCGTTGTTTTACATCACCGTTGGTTTACATCACCGTTGTTTTACATCACTGTTGTTTTACATCACCGTTGTTTTACATCACCGTTAAAAAACATTCTTTAGCATTAAAAAACTTTTACACGAAATGGAGCTGGCTATTTGATTTGTTCAGAAATTCACGGGCAACCAAACACAATGAAAGAAATCTATGTAAATTTTTTTAAAGAACATGGATTTTTCTTTAACTGTAGGTGAATTTGCAAGGCAGGCAAATGACATGAAGATTAAAATGCACAAGTTAGAGCAAGAAAACACTAGACTTGAAGGCTTGGTAGGTTTCGTTCACATTGATAACGTGGGGACCATCAAGTCCTAAATTCTAGTAAAATTACAACGTTTAATGGTTCATAAAATTTCTAGCTTATAGTTATTCTTTATTGCTTCTGTGTATCAAAGCAATAGATAATTTGAACAACTGGAGCAGTTTGTTGTATTTATAGTCATGGTTTTTTAGGTGATGAGATTGGAAAGTCAAGTGAAACGATACAAATCACAAGCAGAAGCTGCGGTACGCTAATATTTTTTTGTAAACTTTATTTTTTAGTAAACTTTATTTTTTAAGTCAATGTAATTGCAAACTACACATACGTAATTACACATATTTTTAAACTACACATGCATATTTACACATATTTTTAAACTACACATGCATAATTACACATATTTTTAAACTACACATGCATATTTACACATATTTTTAAACTACACATGCATATTTACACATATTTTTAAACTACACATGCATAATTACACATATTTTTAAACTACACATGCATATTTACACATATTTTAAACTACACATGCATATTTACACATATTTTTAAACTACACATGCATATTTACACATATTTTAAACTACACATGCATAATTACACATATTTTTAAACTACACATGCATATTTACACTCATTGACATGAAGATAACCAGCTGACATTCTTTCATTCTTTCTCTTATTAACTTTACATACACAAGTATTTTCTTTAAAACAAAAAATTCTTTCACAGGAAGCAACAGAGGAAACATTAAAAACTGAGAAACGAAAACTGCAAAGAGAAGTAAATCTACTTTTTTATTTTTAGGAATGGTTTTATTTCATGCAATGATTGTTGCATTATTTGTTTGGTAGATACGAAGCCTTTGACATGAAATAATTTCGTATATTGTTTTGTAATTTTACATGTCGACCGAATTTCCATTTCCAACATATTTGTCGGGATAATGCCATGAGATGTTTGGTGGTGTAGATCAGAATTTCCCAGCATGTTCCTTTGCAATTTTCAGGATAATTTAAATTTTTATTGTAATATGGACAAATGTGGAGCAATGTGGAGAAATTCAATGAATGCACCACAATTCCGATTAATTCGTGTTTTTTTTTTCACTTTTGTACACAGCTACGAAAAGCTCAAGACGATCTTATTGAAATACAAACAGCACATGATCATATACAAAAGAGATATGAAAAACTCAAATCACGCCGTAAGGACGAAACTTGATAAAATTTCGTTTTCTCAAAAAGATATTGATTCCCCTTCCCATGTATCAAGAGATAACTAGCTGTAACAAACTCCTTTGCAAGAGGTGCGTCATAACGATGTTTATTACCACAGGCGTCAGCGAACATTGTGTTATCAGGTTGCTCTGTATTTTGGTACTTCTTATTCTACAATACAATTTCAACTTTCTGGCAAGCAACACGAACGTTAACCGTTAGGTACCTATAACTGACTGTAAAATTGAGCGCTTTGCCAGAAATGACATTTTCACGCTCTAGTCTTTGTTTTAAAATCAATCTCGTGAACAAATATTCCTTTAACAAAATATTTGTTGTGAAATCAAACGTTGGTTACGTAGTTGTTGTTGATTTGGTCAAAGTTTACCACGCTATGAATGTTGTCCTTGTGTATCGCTGACCGTTTCAATAGGTTTGCAAATATACTCCAAGTGATAAAACCAAGTCATTTTTGTTGTTAACTTGTGTTACTCTGCTGAAAGATATAATTGTAATTAATTAATGTTAGGATATTTTATTAGAATGTGTAGAAGCCGAAATAAAATTTACAATGCTAGAAATGACTTATTTGTAAGAATTTTCTTGCTACATGATCGGGGCACAGGGCACAGACCAGGCAACATAAGGACGTCTAAAAATATTTTGCGGCTGTTTTCAAATAAAGTTATTTGTAGATAAAACCATCTGACAATATCATAATTTTATGCTTGATAATTGACCAACCATATGGGTAACTTCATGTTAGTTCATCTACAAATTCCCTTTTGCCGTGAGGTCACGAAATTGTTTAATCATGCATAAAATTCATGACTGCTTAATTCGTATCTGTTTATCTTTCATTTTAAATTCAAACTTTGTTTCGTCAGATATGTGCAACGGGAAGCTGCTCCAAAAGAGCTTGTTGCAAAAATTTCAGACGCTTTTTCCAGGTTTTCACAGTTGGAAATGTGATTTCGTGATATTATATTAGCTGTAAATGATATCCACTTATGTACAAGCGGTGTTGTCATCTGTCAATACTAAGTTTGGAGATCGTGAGAACAATTTTAATTGTCTTATGTTGTTTAGTTATTGAGAAATTTGTTACCTTTCGTTTAAGTAAGCCTGTTAACGTCTGTTGCTAGAAGTATATTTTACTGAAACTAGTTGTGAATGGATGATCGAGACAGAGTACGTTATGAAACATGCTTTTACAGTCAACAACTTCAAGATGGTATTTTGTCTGGTACGTATTTAACTGCATGCCGAATCTATGACTGTTTAATCGATTGATTGATGTTTCAATTTAAAATTCAGAGATTTCATTTCATGGAAAACTTGAGTACGCTATATATTACACAATTGCTTATATTTTAAAGGGGATGATGCGAGAGCATTGTTTATGAAATCGAAACTACCACTTTCTGATCTGAAACAAATATGGTGAGTGAATTAAACAAAACGAACGCTTTGAATTGCTTAAAAATTGGTGACGAAATCAATACAATTGTTTTCATTTCATTACATGACATTATCCTATATAATTTTGTCAACTGTAGCATTTCTTCCCTAGATTCTGCTATATTGACGATTACCGTAATTGTAGTGGATAATAAGCTGTCTTTCTTGTATGTTTAAATACCAACTAATATTCACTAAGGGAGTAAACCTATACCATAATAACATCCATGACATTTTACTTTCTTTTTACATAACCTTGGGTGAAATGAGCATTACAAGCTTCAGTCGTGCTGTGATTCCCATAACAAAATCATATGCATACTAGAAAGTACTATAGAGTTTCTTTCAACCATGTCATGTCAAACTGTGCTGTTGTGATGCTAATTCTCACAACTATTTGCTTTCATTTTTCACCTGCAGGAGTTATGCTGACAGTGATCATGACAACAAACTTGATGTTCATCAATTCTCTTCTGCAATGCATTTCATTGAACGTAGACTACTTGGTCATGACATTGTTAAACAAAATGATATCAATGCGACTCAAAGCAAAGAGGCAGTTACCCTCCCAAAATTACAATGAAAGAAAAACTGCAGATCAAAGAAATATTTCAGTATTATGATGTAAACAATGAAAATTGCATTCAAAGTAAGCTAGTTTAGAATTTGAATTAATTTTTTCCCAAAGTCAAAGCAAACAAAGCTTTAGTGGAAACAAATGAAGTTTAGTATGAAGCTTCAACTCCCTCCTTCCTTGGAGCAATAATGGATGTTGCATTTAAAATTGTTTTGTTTTATCTGTTTTCATTTAATCAGAGAACAATATAAAGTCAGTTTGTATGTCTTCTGGCTTTCATCATCTACGATGTCAAGAATATGGTAAGAATGTAAAGAAATTGTAAATATTGCACAATTTCTTTCTTTTTAATAGGTAATTTGCTAGATCATTCTCAACGTCATAGAACAATGTTTATTAGTTCATTTCTTAAGTATTCTGGAATAATTCAACTAATTGCTTTTCTTTAACTAGACGAGTTTATACTAAAGGTGCTCCCCCTGGGTGTGGTGGGTGTTGGAGTTCAAATACCTACCATAGTTGAAAAGCCCTGCTTTTTTGTGTGTACATCAGCTATGAGTCGAATAAAATATAATATTGGAAATATGAAACAGACACTAACAATAGCATTTCACATTATCATGATTTTACACATGGTTTTATATAATTGACATTTTCTAATTACATATATTATGTGGGAAAAATAGGGAGGCCTTTCGTCAACGACCCCCCCCCTCCTCTTGCTGGCGTGATTGTATGCTCCCGACGTATTATAGATAATCCTGTCCTTGCTCCTTGCACATTTTTATTTCATATATCATACCTGAGAAATACAGAAATAGATACATTTTCACTTTGAAGTGGCATAAATTAGTAACCATACTTGCAAAATTTACACTACTATTCACGTAATCTAGCATAAGTATTTTCAATATTTGATGATAAAATTGTGCTTCGTTTAAACTAAACGCGTTCATTATATTAAAGAGTAACTTGTGTATTTAAATCCACTATCCCACAAAAGTACATGCAAATGTACATTGATTTGAAATGTAGTCATGAATTACATTTAAGCAGCATATTTTGTGCTTAGGTTTATCGCTGACCTTGATAGAGATGGAAAATTGAATCATTTTGAATTTACTATTGCCATGCATCTTATCAAAAACTGCGTGAAGGGTAAGTTGATACTAGAATGTTATTCTTTTATAGAAATTCAAATGTGATTCTATTTATATTTCTTTATGTTGATATTTTTAGGACTCATACTTGATGGTCCAGTCAATCCTTTCAAAATTTTCCCGCAGGAGGTTTGCTGACAAACTTTAAGTGATCATTTAGTTAGTTCTACGTGAAACATGTTTAGATTTGTTATTTCACGAGGCTTGACTAGACTAGTTTCCTTACTGGTACAATCAGCAATACGATGTTCTCAATTCTCAAAGGGTCTCAAAGTCATTTTTGCGTCAAATCGTTACGTCTTTATGATATTAACGATTTCATTACCTAACTACATGATTGCTATCGAAAACTTAAACATTTTGCTCAGTTGACAACATTCTGTTTTACAATTGATGTATCAAATGCGTGGATTTTGTGTATGGTTGAGTAATATTGATGTCTCATTTTCGTAGACTGATGCCATTCGAATTTACAAAGAAAGTATTACGATGTTTGATAAGGAATTTCTTTTGAAACAAAACAACAGATTAGATTGGGAAAGTGGATATGATTCAAAACCTGATGCGTTGACCTGCGAGCCGTTAATAAAAGATTTTTTTGGTGAAACAAAGATTCTGCCTCCCGGTTGGTTTTAAGCTATAGCTATATTCATTGTTATTAACGTGGTTTATCATAATAGTTAGTACTATAATTAAATGAGGAAGTATTTGAACAACGTATCCTCTATTCCCCCTTCCCCTTTCACGCTAATATGATGGGTTATCAGGTTTCAGAGAGTTTTGTTTTTTTTAACATTGATATTTTATCAAAAAAAACCAGCAACTTACAATAATTGTTTCTCTAATTATTTTATATTTATTTTTAAAGTTTTTCAACTTCTTTGAAGGCAATGAAACAGTAAACGAGGGAGGAAACCGAACAAATTTTAATGAACTCCGAAACTCATCTGTTGTTAACGATAACTCTGATGTAAGTTATCATGCATTAACTCTAAACAAAATGTAAATTATGTATTTCTTGCTCTAGGTAACAAAAATACCAAAAGTATCTTTAGGAAATTAGTGTGTTAACAAAAAAAAGCACTCACGATGAATATTTTTAATCTCAATGCGATGAAAAACGTCTTAGATTCAATATGCGTACGCGAACTATAAAATTTTTATTATATTCATTTTCCACCAGTTTGTTAAATATCATTTGAATCATGAACTGCGTTTATACTTACATTTTACAGGTTGATAGCTGTCCGATGGTAGCCATGAAAAAACATACAGAGACGATTAGTCAAGAAAAGATTGCGAAAAATGAAGAAAACTTTGACTTAGAAAATATATTTGAAACAATTCATGAAGAAAATGTGGGAGAGTTAAGTAACGTACATGATTTTATTTTACCTCCATTGACAAGATTTGTAGATAATGAAAGAAATGATGTAGATTTCCAATCTGTTTCACCTCACTGTCATAAGAGAACCTATGTTGAGAAAGATCTGATATTTGAAGATCCCGTTGGAAGCGAAACTATCGGCGATGTTGAATTTGAAGTTGATTTTAATAATATTATCAACGAAATTGAAAAAGAAAATGTCGATGAAGAACAATGGTTACCAATTGCTCGAATTTTGTCAACGTATAAATCTCCTGTTTATGACGAACGGCCGAATATAATACCTCTCACTGCATTTGACAGACCAGTGGAGTTGGACATGGAAGATGTTAAGGTAAACAAAATCAGCATTAATGGAGATTCTTCAAATGACAGGACTGATCTAGCAAAAAAATCTTGCTCGAGAAAAAAAGTATCCGTTGTTAATGTCACAAAACAAAACAAAGTTGTTATGCATAATCACGAACAAGACAGACATAAAGTTTTGCATAATGATTTAGCTGATAAATCCAAAGATCAAAATAATGCTGTAGTGCAAGAGAAAATTGACAGGAACTTGATTGTTAAGAATAATGGAATGCAAAACATTGATGAATTTTTCGAAAAAAGGTCTGAAGATAGCATTTTTACTCTGTATAAAGAGGGTAGTCTTGATTCAGATAAAACTTACAGCAAATATGATAAAAATTGTGACAAAAGTGAATTGACGAAACTTCGTGAAGTGGAAGAAAAAGAAAAGCGTTTGCTTGAGAGAATTAAATTCTTGGAGAAGAAGAGAAAACTTTTATATGAAGAGAAGCAACGAGACTTAGGCCTTAAAAGAGACGAACAAAAACGCTTAAGCCTTCCGAATTTAAATGAAGAGAAATCATATTTAACTATCGCGAAACATCCTGCTACGGCAAACGATATTTGGTCTGATAACGTCCAACAAGAAAAAAGTGAAGTGGTCACAGACGAAAAACAGAAGCCTTCTGAAGCTCTTCCCGTGAAAATGAAAACTGAGACAGAATCACAGAAACAACGTGAGGTTAGTTTGCAAAAAGTGGAAAGAAAAAATCTAGATGACGAAAAAAAATTTAAAGAAGAAAAGGACGCTGCTGAAGAGCGGAGACGTAATTTCTTAAAAAACCAGCAATTATTGAAACAACGCATTGACAACGAACAAAAAGAAAAGGTAAACGACCTGACTATTAATGAAACTGAGTCAAGCGATGCGAAAAGGAAAGAAAGTTTTAACGTTGATTCTGTGAATGCACAGAATTCTATTCAGCATAGTCAATATTTAGGTGATGACAACGAAAACAATGAAGTGTTTAAAATTAATGAAAAACATGATTTAATTGATTCAATACAAAAAGAAAATTTCAAATCCAATCGAGAATTGTTCTTGAGGAAAGTGTCAACCGAAAGTAAGCTAAGTACTCCAGTATTTACGAGCAAAAAGGAAAAACCATCTCGTCCAAAATCTTTTTATGGTGGAATGTTCAAAAGTCCTTTACATCTGCATGAAAAAAATTCAATAAAAGTGGAAATTGTCAGCCATGGAAGTCCAGATGATCTTCTTGATAGAGATACTTTGAAACAGTTGGAAAGAGAAAAAGAAATGAAAAAGGATCAAGAAATTATTCGTAAACTTCGTTCATCTATCGAGCGTGAATCGAGTTATTCTGTGGCAAACGTCGAGAAGTTGTTTTCTGAGTGCGAAGACGATTCCAGCAGACCTTGTAGCGAGGAATCTAGAAATGAGCGGAAAAAAGTAGAAAAAAAGGAAGTAAGTTGTACACAGTTTTGTCATTGAAGTAAGTTTACGCCATGTCATTGAAGATAAAAAACAAAATTTTTATGTACATTTTCGCTTTAAGTTATGTGTTTATTATCTTAGGTTCAAAAACCATCTCGTCCTCGATCATTAGTTCACACTTTAACTAACGAATGGAATTCATTTATCGAAGAAGAAGATAAAAAGTATGACACTCTTACCTGAAAAAATGTCGTCTTTCTCCATTTGTCAGCATTGCATAACCATGTTTTTTTTTGCCTGATCTGTTTGATGTCTTCTTTTGCCATTATTATTGGATTTCGATGCAACGTCAACAATTACGGCATGTGACTACGGAGTTTTCCAACCTGTATCGTTCCGAACTTTAAAATGTTTTTAGCCTGTACAAACATGAAAATTGTGTTTTCTATTGAAAGAAATTTGTGAGACGTGCATTTTCGAATGTTTTAAGGGACGTTAGCAATAATGGAGAACATTGTTAAACGACATTATTTCATTATGTAACCATGGGAAAATGTGGGATTAAAGGTTTTAAGTGTGGATGTGAATGGGCGATTTCCCTAAAATGACAATACTGTCATGTCTGCACATGTAGCATTTTCTAAAACATTTACATGTTGTAAACTAACTATGTACTTAATGGGAATACTAAGACGACTTATTTGGCTGATTTAGTGATTTAAAATACTTTTAGACGAGATTTGGAGACAGTGATAACGCGGAAAGATTTGAGTACTCAGGTAGGTTAAACCGCCCGAATTGAACTTGTTAAAAGTAGATTTAGCAATGTGTAACATTAGAGGAATGTTAGTTACGTAGCCCTGTCTTCAGTTGTTGACGTTATAAAGATTTATATTTCATAGTACAAAAGAATTTCAAGAGAAAAATTAAACGTTTCTAAATCAAAGAGAAGAATATTAAGAAGCTGTTCACATCTTTCTCTCAATGTTTTGTGTTTAGCACGATACTTGTGGATGAAATATTGAAAGAAAAAACACTTAAGACTTTCAAAATATCTAAAAGCCAAAATTAGCAAGCACATTATAAAGTTGGATTAATATTTTGTGAAAACTGCAACTATATGAAATTATGAGTTGATTATACGTATTTTATATATGTATAGAGTAAAGAGAAACCTTTAAAAGCCAACTTAAAGGAAAGCTCTCTGAAACAGGGGCCACGTAATGAAGTATGTGTTTGAACTTTAAAATTTTTTTGAATTTGTAGAGAACCTTAATTTTCTTCCCCCCATGGAAAGTAATAAAATGTTATGTGCATATATAGTCATGATTTGCACGGAATGCTCACCTGCTTTTGTTTTAAAATTCATCATGTTGTCCTTTGTTTCATTTGTAGAAAGTACACAATGAAAGCGATATTATCAAGGTACGTTTAAAATCAAATAAGATCGATAAAGTTATTGCATTCACTATACCACAAAATCAGTCATTCATGATGGTGATTTCAAAGTCAGCTATACGCAGTCTCCGAAAATAAATATTTTTTTACAACCTGGTTTTTCCCCCACAGGAAAATGCTCCTAAACGCAAGACACAAATGGCAAATTCCTGGATCCAACTGGCTAACAATAATAATGATTGACAATTGATAATTAAAGAGATCTCTGTTCACACAGGAATGTTTTGTTGATTGTTGATAAACTGAATATCATCTATGTAGAAGATGTGTATCAAATCAAATCTAAAACGTCGGTTATACTTGTTTTAGTATAAATAGATCAATTTTTCTAGTGTCCTCTACTGCTTTAGAAAGTACACTATTTGCACGAACATTTGTCAATTAAAATTACTGATGTGCATTAGGATTTCACAAACTTTCAAAAGTATCTTTCAAACATATCTGTTTACGTTACAGCACACGGCACAGTATTTAACGTTTCATGTTGTAAACAATAAACCTTTTAAAAGTTTTCTTTTTTAAATCCAAAATGGTATTTATGACAAAGGTTTTTGAGAATTTTTCCAAGAGCAGCATTTCCACAGTAAAAAACAGTGATGTGCCCATTTTCCATTTCTTTCAACTCTGAAAACACCTAGAAATAAAAAGGACAAAAAAAATTGAATTTTCCATTATTCATGTTCGTTAAAGAAAAATAAAAATTGTACAAACCTCATCCCAGTCAGGTCTGCCTGCGTTAGTCCTTGTTCGTAAACCAGTTATTAAATCTCTTTTTTCATGAAGCAATTCAAGTGCGAGTTGCAGACCCAATGCTTTCATATCCTGTTTACGTAATGCTGACGTCATATAAATATGCATATCCAGGAAATGTTCGCTAAAGACGCCTTCGTGCTCCGATTGTTGAACTTCTAATTCTTTAAGCAAACTTAGGAACCATTCAAATGAGTATTGATCACGATTTATCCAGAAGAAATCCACCTTAAGTTTAGAAAAGATTATTTTCAAACTTACATGCTAAATTTATATACCGCAACATCTTTCAATTGGTCTGAATAAATAATAATTTATCTTTAATCTGTTTTGCTAACCTTTTGTAATTTTCTTAGTGAGAAGGGGACTTTACCAACCCATGAGAAGGAACACTTGGGGCATGAATGGGATGCGTGTTGATAACGCAACATGATTGTTTTGAGAATGGATGCGAAAGGTGTCACGCCAATACCGCAGGAAATAAGTACTGCATGCTCCGCCTCTGAGAAGTCTGTTGAAGGTGTACCGTATGGTCCATTAAGATAGATCTAGAATTTTATTAATCAAATACATTGGCATCACCCTACACCAAGTATAAATCATTTAAAGAACTTCAAAGCTTCCAATTCTCACCAATAGTTTGCTATCTTTAGTAATGGTATTCCGTTTCAGACCAGAAAATTTCACAAGCTCAATGTTCTGTTTTTTATTTATTCTTTTCTTAACACTTCTTCTCAACGAACTTGTTTTTGCTTCAAAAATCACTTCTCTTAGTTCATTCTCGTCGCCATCTTCGTCAATGATGCCAAGCCTTTTGCGTCGAATGCTTTTAGCTCTTTGTTCACTTGCAGATAATTCATTGTCTCTTTATAACAGAAATTTATATTTTAGATGACAATTCTTAAAGCACACGGATCATTGCTGTGAGTTAGAAAACAATGACAGTACATTAGCTCTTCATACTTTCGTCTCTATGGTTAAAATGCTGTATATTCTTCTGTTATTCTTTTCTCATCTCCTTCACACGCAAACTTGGTGAAATTTACAACATTTTTAACAACAAAGTTGTGTTATGAAAACCCTTTTTGATCTGAATTCTTTCGTCATGAATTCTTTCAATTTGACCCTAAATATCCTGTGTTATGCATCCAGTTTTACATAAGAGTTTAAGACTATTGTACAGTCTCTTCATTAAGTATTCTGAAATCTTTCTAATATAATAATGTGGGCACAATGTAAAATTGAAGATGTTGAAAACTCAGTCTAAATACCTCTCGCTTTCCCTAACTTTGATATTTTTCCGTCTTCTGATAACCGCTCTCTTTAACGATGTTCTTCTGCATTCTTCTTCTTCCTCCTTCTCATAATGATCATACAATTTCTTTGTCCATGTTCCCACTGCACGAATATGCAACCAGATGTTACTGGATTGCTCAGGTGAGCTGCTTATCGTAAATGGATGCCATTCGTACTTGGCTATCTTTGGAATGTTTACAAGAACGTAGTCACCTGGCTTGTAGTCAAAATTTGCAGGTCGTTTGATTACCAAGTGAGTTACCTAAAAAATTGTAGGTGTTCTTGGTAACGGAGAGTTTGGGTAACATGTTGAGTTCGTGGTAACGGAGAGATTGAAGAACATGTTGTGTTCGTGGTGAAAGAGAGACTGTGGAACATGTTGTGTTCGTGGTAAAGGAGAGGTTGAGGGACAAGTTGTGTTCTTGGTGATCAAAAGATTGAGAACACGAAATTTTTGAGAAAGCACAAATTTGTTTGTAAAGAAAACTACACATGGTGGCGAATATACAAACAAAATTTTTACCTTCGAAGGGTAAGTGATTCCTTCCTGAATGAAAGTTTTTCCGTAACGAGCACGGCTAACTATGCGTACACTCCACAATCTTTCAGCAAGATATACAACAGCTGGAGCAATAAACCATTTCCAGAAGTTTGGAGCATGTATTATTAACAAAGTCCACCAGATGATGTACAAATGATGTGAGAAATAAAATAACTAAAGAAATGATGTTGAAACAAAAAAATATTAATTCTAATCTTGTATTTATGATATGAAAGTATTTAATTGAAACAAAAGACTTTCACATTTAACCATCTTAAACATACTTTTGAAAAAATTTGTAGATACCATGATGAATGATGAAGAACCATGAAAGACCCTATCTTTCACCAGGCATCACCATGGTTAGCCATAAAGAACCTTAGAGAACTCTATCTTTCACCTGGCATCACCTTGGTTAGCCATAAAGAACCTTAGAGAAACCTATCTTTCACTTTGCATCACCATGGTTAGCCATAAAGAACCTTAGAGAACTCTATCTTTCACTTGGCATCACCATGGTTAGCCATAAAGAACCTTAGAGAAACCTATCTTTCACTTGGCATCACCATGGTTAGCCATAAAGAACCTTAGAGAACTCTATCTTTCACTTGGCATCACCATGGTTAGCCATAAAGAACCTTAGAGAAACCTATCTTTCACTTGGCATCACCATGGTTAGCCATAAAGAACCTGAGTGAACCTTATCTTTCACCTGGCATCTACAACGTACGTATTTTAAGAGAGTTTACACTAACCTCAAAATATCCCTTCTCTCGAACAAAAGGTTGCGATAAAATACATATAATTCCAAGAATAACCAAAAGTAAAACTCCAGTTATACCAGCTGAACCACCAACCCAGCCTTCAGGAGTTCTCAATGTTAGCATATATTCCCACATTTCGAAGTGTGTGTCATTTGGATAAGTTGGCTTCATTGTTGCTTAAGAAAAGAAAACATATTCTTACTAGTAGTAAGAGCATTTACGTACAGTTTATTAATGCATATTGGTATGATTTATTTTTAGTTTTTAAACCAATCCAAAGACCTTTGCAAATGCGTAAAATGCTAGAGATTGTAGTAATGTAGTAATAGTTGACTAAATTTCAACACTAACCATATCTTCCAACATGACCAGCACAATGAAGAATGGATAAGACGAGAATAATGGTGGCTACTGCTTTATGATAAAGAATATGTTGGTCTATGGGAAGATACTTTCCAATCCATGTTGAACGTAGCCAAGTTAAAGAACTTTTTAACATCAACATCAATATAAGCACGCTGTTAAAGTTTAGACACATTCCATGAGTTCTAGCAATGATTGACCAAACGCCTTCATTGTGTCTTTCTAATGCTACCCAAATGAACAAGGCAGCATTGAATAAGATATAGAAAAGAACAGTGATAACTTTCGATGGATTTTGATGAATATAACTCCAGCGCAAATGTTTTGGAAATAATTTGGAGACGGGTTTTTTCGCTTTCTTTGGAGGTGGTTGCAATAAATGGCCAACACTAAAATTAAAAAAATGTTTCGCCGAGTTTATGAATGGTGTTATGATGGCTGTAGCTTATGTATATTAGACGTTTATTGCAATGAATGATTGCTTAGCATTTTGAATTTTCATTTTAAAAAGCAAGAATGGAAAATCTACGACATAAGACAGTAACACGACACATTGACATTCAATACAAGACTGTTTAAAAGTCTTGAGAAATGATTAAAGCGCAAAAAACAGATGTAGAAGGAATCAACTTAATACTTATACCTGACTGATAAATTTTCAGCGACTCCAGGATATTTCAAGAGAAAATTTTTAAATTCTTCCAATCCAATGAGACCCTCGTACTTGGAGCTCACTTCTTCAAAAATAACCTCCATCAGTTCATCAACTTGTTGATCATCTAATCTTAATTTACTTTCTTTCATCCCTGAGAGAAGTATGGTTTTCATTTCCTCTCTATTTAAATAGCCATTACCTGAGTTAAACAAGTGAGATATACAGGTATATATGAAGTCAGTCGAATATCTTTGAAGAAATGTCATTTAAAATTTCACTCATAAAATCATATTTTTATCAATACGATATCTGGATTTTCTTCCTCTCGGGTAAACATAATTTTGCTTTATATAAATAGTTCCGGCTTTAAATAAACATGCCTTGTTTCCACGCAGTTCTTCACTTACCATCTAAATCATAAACGCGAAATAGAAATGTTAGTTTGTCAGCAACATTTCCATTTTTTAAGAGTTCCAATCCTTCGATAAGCTCTTTCATGTCAATTTTTCCATCTCCATTCTTATCAAATAACATGAAAAATCTTTCCGCAAAAAACACCTAAAAGAAGAAAGCATCTATAAATGTCACGAAAAACCCTATTTAAAAAGCACTTGCATTTTGTGAATCATAATCTGTTTTTGAGTATCCTCACAACAGGACAATTACTGCTGAATCCTAGAATTCGACGAGGGTAACTATAAGTCCTTTCTCAAAATTATGGGGCCTTTTCCAACACTCGTATTTCAGTGAAGTGGCTATTTACATCAAACTGTATAACCTGCTCTAGTTGTAAAGTTTCTTTGAATTGCTCCAATGTTATCTTCCGGCCTTCAAGTGAAGAAACATTGAAATGTTCTTCAATCCATTCAAACCACTTGGTGTCACTGGTAGCACTATAACAATTGAACATTATGTTACAATGACACGTTACTCCATGCATATCATATTTACTGTCCCTTGTACCAGTATAACCAATGAAACAACAGGTTAACCCATAGAATGTAAGACAAAATGCTATGCAATAACAAAGGACTCTATAATCTTTCTATTTCCTATATCGTTTTCATTAATTCAATTTCTGTAGTGGTCAGGTCACTATTATCGTCGTCAAAGTGTAAAGCGTACTTAATTATAAACAGTATAAGCTTTAATCGATCTTTAATAGATTTTTACCATTCCAAACGATCCAAGCTACCGATGAATTCATTGATATCAATTACACCATCCGAGTTTCGATCGAGGAGTCCAAACAGTTTTTCTGTGAACTGAAAACATTTAAATTTGCTTTAATTATGATACCGGCTATGCATTGGTGATTTCAATTTTTGTAACTGATGCACATTTCAAAAGGCATTTGAAGGCTTTAACCAATTCCATGTGAAGAAATCAATGCATTTAAGTCACATCAAGTTTGACGTTTCATTTGAAAAATTTGACATGCTTTCATGATGAACTGTACTTTTGATTTTATCAAATGCAATGAGTGGCGCCATGTTTTATTATTATGATCAATTAGAAGAAATTTACATCATTAGCTTGCTTCTAACAACAATGAACAACATTCTATTTATCAATTTCTATCGCTTCATGCAATTCGAAAAATGCCTATTTACCGCTTTATTTTCGAATGCCTTTTTAAAGTCCTCAAATTGTATTTCGCAACTATCGTGATAATTATTCTTCATGAAATAACTTGTGAACCATTGAAGGGTTTTCTCTCCATGTGTTTTACCACTTTTTCTAATTATAAAAATAAATAAGCGAGAAATAAACGAAAATGCTTTATCATATTGTCATTGACAACAGTTCCTTACGCCATTAGAAGTCGAAGTCCTCCAATAAATTCTTGTATGCTGATATAACCACGTTTCTCGGTGTCAAAAAGTTCAAAAAGATTCCGAACGAAGTCCTACAGAACATACAAAACCATAGATAATGCATTTATGTAAATCATTGCAATGGTTTTTTTACAAATCATTTTTATTTGAGAAGTTTTTAGCTATAGCAAATAGATTTACATGTATTTTTATCGACTATAGCTACTTCACCAACGCGACTGCAGTAATTAGGTTTTCTTACAAATCCTAGGATTTATTCTAAAATTATTATTTATCATTTGTTAGTCCACGTACAGATTGTAGCTGTTGAAAACATGACGATTTCGAATATCAATGTACAGATGTAAAGCTTATATTCCTGGTTAAATCAAACTTTATTATACCTCAATATCATGAGTTGCTTTGATGAATAGCAATTTATCGATAACTCCATTGTTTCCTACTGCATCAAATGCTTTTTCAAACCAGGTAGATCTTCTGTTTATAGTCTTTTTTTCTACTCGTTTAATTGGACTGCTCTGAGATGCACGACTCTCGCCTGGCGCCGGGATCTGAATGGATAAAGGCCTATCCCTTCTTTTAATCAAAACTTCTTCGTTTTGATTTTCCTCGGGCAGTAAACTATGTCTGTCTGTTTTTTCCATACCGTTCATTTCTTTATATGAGACTAGAATGGAAAAAAAATTGCCAGGTTAAGGTGAGAAGGCTAAAGGCGAGAGAAAAATGTTTGAGGTGTAGGTTTAGTTGAAATGGCCAAGTAGTTAGCTATAAAAGTGCCAATTTTTGATGAATTAATGGAGAGCGAAATAAATGGGGGAAATTGTTGATGGTATAGGAAAAATACTTTAAAACATTGATCAAAATATCTCAGATTTTTATACCTTATATACATTCCCATGCCAGTATGATTAGCAAAAAAAAATAGAGTTTTTGTTTATTGGATGATTGCAATATACCACAGCATTGCAATAATCAACTAATTTCATCGTGATTGTTTTATTGTCTTAAGCAACTTTCTGGCGACAAGCATACTTTAACTATAATTGAATATACTACAATATCAAAATCAATAGGAAATAACGTGTGCATTTCTTTATAATATCCTGGTGAGCAGATAAATATTCGCTAAATTTGATTTCCCGTTCCTCAAGTTATGCGCGTGTGCTTTGTTTGCTTTGTTAACAATTACAGGAAATGCATTAGTCAGTATTCAGTTTCTCAAATTTTGTGCCACAATATTTCGTTTTTCTTGTCATTGAGATTTTTTTGCTTCACAGTTCTGTGTTAGTTATAACAGAAGATTGATTCTGTCCTTTAGCTGAGGCGATCATTTAACACTTCTCAACTTAGCAAACCCCCATGCTATTACAGGCAGACAAAACAAACCGATGGTTGATGAGGCCTTTAGATGATGAAACTTACTAAATCTTCTGACACAAATGACAGTCGGCAGTCCGACAAAAAAAAAGAATCTGATTAATTGCCTTTGTCTACTAGTTTTTGATGATGCTATATAGATGGATAGTTGATCTACTTTTGCATGAAATATCTTACAACATAAATATTTGCAGAAGAATGTTTTCTATCAGACAGATAAGATAGAAACACTTGCTTTTAATTAAACATGACAATAGTCACGAAATTGTCGAACATTCGAGCCTAGCTTGAGTTGGTGTATGGAAACTACCATAAATGGCTATTATTGCCATTAGCTCAAAGTACAATAACAGTTCCACTTATGTTGTGTATCTTGAGAGACAAAACAAATTTACAAGTTAACAACTGTACACCTTATCTAGACAATGATTCAAAAATATTCAACCATTGAATGTAATTAAACTGACAGCGACAGCTCTTTGATAATTTTGATTTAACAGCATAATGGAATAAGATGAATGATCGGTAATTTGATATCGTGTGCGGACGAGAATAACACTGAGAAAGCCAATTGAAATAAGTTGAATTGCTTAAAAATACACGCAGAATGAGATTATTTATTCATTTGGGCTAGGCTTAAATAACTCCCTAGTTCTAATTGATTACATTATAAATGTTTGCATTCTCAAGGAAAATGAGGAAGGATTTTGCGAAGCTGTCAATACTAACCAAAAAATATGAACTAAATTCATATGATTTAATTGATACAAATTTGAATAAAAAGAACGCGCATTATTCAATGAATGTACACTTTATGAAACAAACTTCACAATAATAAGAGGAAAAATGACAAAAAATAATCTATTGTTTTGATCAGTTGTCAGCCTATTCATGCCAGAGATAAGTAAAGTAAGATAAAGTTCGAGTTCTCTCCACATGTACGGTGTATCAAATTTAAGTAATGTATGTTGTCTCCTACAGTTTAAATCACGCGTTTTGTAGCACGTTAACGGGAATGAACGTATTATAAAACATGTAAATCCTCACCTTTTTATTGTTGAAAGTTGAAGATACGGAAGCTGAACGATTTATATCATCAATGTTTGTTGAGCCGCACTAATCATTCCCTCGCCATTTTCTTATACAATATGACAAGTCTTAAGTATGGCCTGTTTCATGTCCTTCAGACTGAAACTCAGACTTTTATCTCATAATAAACGCCTCTTCTCCCATAAATATATGTCCTTGTCCGTAGATAATAGCTTGCTACCTTCTCTTTGTGTTTGTAATGACTCAGCACGCGATTGCTTTCTTTTGATTTGTGATGTCTTTTCTCATTCAAACTACTGACTTCTTATGGCATGTTTTTTAAATCTTAACTTTACCAACGCTTACTGCTTAGAGTGCCTTTGTCAATGATTTTTTTTGGCCAACAATTTTTTCTACAACTGCTGATTAACTTGTGTGTGAGGATCAAATTTCAAGCAGTAAAAATTGTCACTATTTTCGTATTGGAATTTGGAATATGAAGAATTTTCCTATATTACATAAAACATATAGTGTTATGCTGTTCAGACTTTTGAAACTGTGAGAGAATTCCAATGGTATAAAAATTCCAATGTTTCTATACTTAGCATTGCTTGGTCTTAAACGTCATGTTATGTCACTTGTGAAAGGTGATTCGCAAGATAAATAGTTGATGCTGTTAATTGTTGAAAAAAGATCGCTTTAATCAAGTATATGCTATTCTTTTCATTTTTATTCTAAGGTCATTTTCAAATGTCACAAAGGACACCAAAAATAAATGAACTATCTTTTCATAGTTCATACAGCAGGAAATTATCTCAAGAGCAAGTACCACTTTTCAAAGAATTATACTGGGAACAAGCTTAACTACTTCTCATTTTAGAAAATGGAATACGCTGGGAATTGGAACAAGCCATCACCTGGATTAGCGAGATTATTGAAACATCGACGCATGTTTGTCCATAGAAGGACTCTACTAACCTGGACGGCTGGACGATCTAGATCTACAACCATGTAACGACGCTCCCATAGGCGGCAGAAGATGGTTTAAGTTGGAGGGTGGGGGGCTAAATGCTGGGGTAGTGGGATTCAATTACAAGGATGAGCGTTAAGAATGGGGAAACTAAAAAGTATTAGAGATTGCCTACTCTGTAATATTGCTATGTTTCGGGCACCCAAAAACTTCCCTTCTTTTCATAGACAAAAATGAAACTTTTTTCTTTTGTAATCGTAGTTAGTAGATATCAAGTAATTGAGCATTCTTATATAATCACAAAAAATGGGTAAACTTTTGGTTAAGTTGTTTTGGGGCTTAGCCCCCACCCCATTTTACGATCATACAAAGTTGGAAGAACTTTAGCCCCCTAGTTCCCCAACAAATGCCCTTCATAGAATGTAGAACATCAATATTCCCTCCTTGGCAGTCGGCTTAAAGGGACGAAAAACTGAAATTCGACCATCAATATAGAGTATTGGACATGACTAAAATCACAAAAGCAGTTCATTATCACTTTGGCCGGTACATTTTAAATAGACCAAATTTGAGTAATTCGGCAAGAAAAATAAACTGAATGGCAAGCACTGGTGGCAACTGCCAATCCTCTCAATGGTGCACCAGTTTTGTCGTGGCACTGTCATATTGTACAGCGGTATAAAGTGGTGAATGGCGATCAGAGATGGTGATACTGATATTGATATACACTGGTAATATATAATGGTGATGCAGTAAGCGCACATCACATTTATGACAAATCAAAGTTTTTTATATTCATTAGAATACCAACAATATAATCTGTTGTAATCATTGTCTTATAAAATAACGTTTACAGTTGTGAAATGTGATGTGATGAGATCAATTTACAGAAACTATATTTGCCATTTCTCGTGTATAGATGGGCATTGATGTATGGTGTATACGGACCATTGGACGTTCAAAAAAAGCCTTGTCTTATTAATGACTTTATTGTATCTTTCAAAGGGCGACAACCTTTTGCAGATCCACGAGAACCTTCCTTTACTTCAATCACCTCCCATGGTCCAGTAATGCGTGATAGACAACACATAATGATAGACTTGTGATCTTTCAGTTGCATATCAACTTCAGCATCGATTAATTGTCGATCAGGATAATTAATATCATAAAACTGCAGCCTGTAGTATGGATACGCTGAAATACTTGATGATCTACTGGCACTGAGTGTAAAAACTAATTTGTGGACATGATCAGGAATTTTTTTGAGATTCACATTTACATGTTGGTGACCAATTCTGTGGCGAATGCGTGCAGGACCTGAATGGACTATACCAGGAAGCTTGGATGAAATGCGTTCATTGTAGTACACAAGACCAAGGTTTTTGTCATTATTATATGCAAACACCGAAACATCTAAAAAGTCGCAACGTCTGTTATCGGGTATTTTCCAACAAAAATTAAAGACAACTTCTTCCAAATCATCAGGTATTGCATACAATACAATGATTAGATGTACTGTACTGTTTGGTGGAATATTATAATCCTTTAATGTCATTACACCATGATCATTTGTGCGAACCTGTGTTGTAAAGTGGAAAATAAAAGTAGAATTGGATAAGCATGAAAAGGATAAATTGGCGTACGATATCTTTTCAACACCTGCATTCAGTAATTATATGGTTATTGAATGTAAAGCTATGATGTGGGCATATCGTTAAATGATGAATCTACAATATTTCAACAGGAGTTTTTGGAAACAAAAGTGGGCATATTTCATTACTAACTTCTTGAATCTGTTGATTGGCTAGAATTCAACCTTATTGCTCAGAAATAAGCAGCTATATAAATAGCACCTTTAATAAACAGATACAAATTGACAGGTATGAAACTTTTTAGAAAATGTTGCATGTATGTAATGATATAGCTTGACTGAGGTAATGAGCTCTCAATGAGAAAGATTAAATGAATTTCATAATCCAAGGTAATAGCATGTGATTTATGTTGCAAGTATAATGATTTAGCTTTGAAATAAACAAATCTTGATTGCTTTACAAATGACAATAAGAAAATTCAGCACACACAAGAGAAACATGAAAACCTTCAAGTGACAAGTGTTTGTAAGTATGTTGGTTTTAGGAAAATAGGAATTAATACCTTAAGCTCATTATTTTGATATAGCAGACGCTGTTTTTCAGGTTCTGCCTTAAGCCCAGCTTGCACTTCTTTCTTCAAATCTAAAATTCTCTTGTTCCAATGATAGGAAAGCATCAATGATTCTCCTGACATGGTTGTCACATAAATATTGCCACCATCTTTAATATTTTCTGTGTTCTCTGTGATCATTTCTTCTTCTTCATTAGGAAAGAGATATTCCAGGGTCTCCACATACTCTCTGTAGACTTTGTTGTCTTCTTCCACAATAATCTCACACTGGGAGCACTTGTGGTATGTCTTCACACAATTAACGGCACACTAGGAAACAAACAAGAAATTCATATTTTTTAAAATGAAATTAATTTTGGCTGGCTTTTTGTTGGACAGTAAATAATAGTAAACTTATAAGTATGCATAATTTTTTAATTTTTTTAATGGTCATATAGTTGTCTTTCAAACAGCAATGCCCACAGGATTTTATTTGGCAAGGGGGGCAAAAGACCCTAAATGTACTCACTACACACGCATTACACACTGTTTCATAAAACTTTTGTTCCCCCAGGCACAGGAAAATGTACATGTGTTTATCATAGACTCTCAAGTCTCGAAAAAAGCTAGACATAATTTTTAAAGAACTAATAGTATGGGATTGAAAATAATAAGTTGTGCCCATCAAAAAGAGAATTTGTGAATCATTAATTAATTCATATAGCATTCTAAAACAATAAAAATGACCATCTGCTTAATAGTGCCAATTTACTTTGATTTACCTTTTCATGTTGATTAAAAAACAAATGGAAAAATCAAAACTCAAAAGTTTTAAATGGTTCATTGTAGGAGTTAGAACTCAGATGCATATAATTATTTTCCCCTACTCACAAAAGTTAAATTAAATCTCAGCAATAAGAGGCTATAACTATAAGTAAAGCAAGAAAACATCAAAACGCCAGGAAAAGAATGGGGTGAAATTGAAAATTGAAAATTCAAAGGTGCTATTTTAAAACTCGTACATGCTAAGGGTTCTCTAAATCTCTAACATCTTTATAACAATTTATTCGACTTACATGGAGACAATGAAGAAGTGCATGATCACATTTCTCCGTCAAAGGAAAAAATGGAAATTCATTTGACAATTTTTCGTCGTGACAAAGGCGGCATTCCATATTATTCAGCTTTAGATTAACTACATTTAATTCAAAATCGAAACAAGTATTAACATCAGTTTATTCAGTTATTCTTGGAATTCATAACATCAAACAGCTTGTCACATGATTGCGAGGGCGGGAAGAGATGTCCTTTCACTTTTTATCCTCTACCTTCTGAAAGTCTGAAATGCAGTAAATAACGTCGTGGTGTATAAATGATTTACAACTTTGTCGTCTTATACTGTAGAAACGATAGATGAAAGTTTCTATAATCAAGCATTGAAAGGGAGGTTTATTTAAAGAAAGAAACGACGTTGAAAATTTCAATACTTTTACGTTGAAACTTGAATTTCAGAAAGGACGGTTTTTTAAGCAGGTATTTATGAAATGTTTTCTTGAAAGAAACAAAAATGATTGATTTTACCAGGTACTACTTGTTTTAAGAAACGCTGGAAAGCTCAGGTTTTTTCTTCCCAGTAATTTCAAAGTTAAAATGAAACTAAACAATTAGTACATCATTTAATTTTCTTATTATACTTATCATGCTTTTATTGTTTTATTTCTAAAAGGCACTTTAAAAATAGCAAACGCTTGTCTAGCATACCTCAAATAGAGTTATGTCCAGTGATCAAACAATGCTCTATATAGTAGAGTATACATCTAAATTAATGTGAAGAAATATGCTTGCACCAGAATTTCAATCAAGACAAACTGCCGTAATGACTTGATGTTTTGGAATTATATAATATGAAAAATTTATTGAAAAACGTGCTCCATGTAAGGGGTAAGCACTTTGTAAGCACAAAATATTGTTGTGTTCAGTTTTGGGAATACAGCCAAATTTTATTAACATATGACCTAACTTCTTCACTTTTGCCAAATGAAAACCATTTAATTAATACATTCAGTAAAACTATTTTAAAATATTAACAATACAGTCAAAAGTGTATACACTCTCCATAATTACTGGGATAAATCTTTGTGATCTTTGAGTTTTACACATCACAATGGTTTGGTTAGCTAGAGGCACCCTATGTACCATATGCCATTTGCTCATAATTTCAAGGTTGTTAAGTCTTTTGCAAATCATGTGTCAAATGACTCGTGACTAGGTAGTTAATTTGATTATGCTATTGCAACATAAGAAACACCATGACTTTCTCCCTACCACCAATATTTGAAAATTTAGACTTTATACATTGTAATACTCTTGTGAAATGTTGTATAGTAGATGAGCCAATTTTTTTACTACTACACTGCAAGTATTTTGTATCATGTGCAGGAAAAACAATGGTTAGAATTATTTATCTGTAGAAATGAATACTGGTAGTAATTTTGCTGTAGTAAAAATTTAGGCTGGCTTAATTACCACCAATGTTAAAGACCTAGTAGGTCTTATAAGCTATTGTTGTCTCTCATGGAAATGTTGTTCTCCAACCACATCTTATTCCGAAAATTAAGGCACATCAGGGTTGAATATAGTCAAATGAAGGACTATGGTGTTCAATGGTTATTTCAAAGTTAAAATCAACAACTCCATCAGTACCAAAATTTTGAATATTCTCACTCAATCATGATCATCTCACAAAATGAGTCAACCAATGAGTTTATAAACTCAGTTGCTATATATTTTTATGTGAAATGCTTTATCTCATTTAATGGTTTTGTTTTCTTATTGTGAACTTACTTTCAGTTATAAATACAGTATATGTATGAAGTCCATGTGGAAAAGTTTGTTTCATTTAATAAGAACAAATTCAACTAATGTTAGGAAAATGGCTATTGTTGCTTTTCAATTTTTTTACTGTGCCTAGACAGGGATGAAATCAGGGAGGGATCCAGAGGAAGTGCAGGGGATATGCACCCCCTTCTGAGCTCAGATAATTCATTAATAATAATGGTTGGTCGATGACAATGATAATTTATTTCATTTTTCAAAATTTCTAAAAGAAGCACCCCCTCTGGATGAAATCCTTGACCATTACTGGAACTTGATTTAAGTCAACTCTTAAAAATTTTTAGCTATTTGTTTTTGCCACTGCAAGTGCAGTATTCTGATCTGGTTTTTCTCAAGTCTATCTGTACTCTATAGGAATCTTTAGTGTAGTTGGCAAGAGACAAAGCTAGTCCAAATTTTAATATAATGGACTGACGTCTTTGCTTCTGCAGTCCAGGTTTTAGCACCTTTTAAAAAGACCTCTAAACACAAACTTTTTACATGACTTTAACATGACAAGTAAAGAATGAATAAAAATGTTGTTGCTATTTTTCTTTTAAAGTTTTCCTTGCCAAAATGCCCGCAAAACATAAAACGAGAAAAAAGGAATATAAGAAGAAACGTGATAGAAAGGAGGCTAGCCATGCAAGAAAGAAGAACAATTTGAAAAGTAAAAAGAGAAAAAGCGAAACATTCGATGAAGTGAAAACAAATGAAAAAGAAGGAACTAATGTAGAAACAGAAAATACAGCTGAGAAGAACTTAGCAATAGCCAACGATGGTTTGTCTGTTGAAGAGAAGCCTTTTGAGAACGAAGAGAAAGAATTTGAAGCAACTTTTCAAATTGTTCCCTCTCACGAGTGCAAGAAATATGACATAACTAACCCTGTGTTGCAAGATTTTAAACTGGTGTCCAATCAGCGAGAAAGCAACTTAAACCATCAAGAATCAAATAGTTTTATTGACAACGTCAAGCAATATAAAGAAAACCAGGTGATTTTGCGATTTGTGCACGTGCTTGTTCTTTAATGTTGTTCGTTTTTGATCTACGCGCTTTAGCCCTCATTTTAACCTAGTATTAATAATTTGTAATGCAAAACATCTGTTGATTTATTCTCGTATATCTTATCTATCAAAACAAAAGAAGAAGAAAAATTCTATTATTCATTGGCTTTTGAATCTCTGTTTTGACATTTCAGTCGATTTGACTTGATATCAGACAATGACGTCACTATTCAATTCAACTCGACCCACTTTTTATCCAGCGTAAAAACGTCTTTTTTACTTTAGTTTGTCACGGTACCGTTTCAAATTTTGAATCATTGTTTCATGTTTTATTTTGATTTAGAAAACTGAATCGAGAAATACTTCGCCAAATGTTGATCAAGATTGTAGAAAGTCGCAAAGCGCTCTAAGTGAACTTGATGGTCTGTTCTATTCTTTGACCACTGGTTCTTCGGACAAAAAGATTCAGGATACTATTGTTAAAATGTGTGAGAATGTTTTACTCATTCCTTCAAATAGCGCTTTGGAACAGGAATACATTCATTGGATATTACAGAAATCAGCTTCTACGAAAACAAATTATTGTCAAAGTTTGTGTCTATGTGCAGTGATAGGTCACTTGGTTGATATGAAAAAAGGGGATTTGTTAACCGTTGAGCTTAGTGACCATACGAAATCTGCGTTCGATAAATTACTTGCACATCTTCATATTTGTCAGCAAAAGCACACTAAAATACAAGAACCTGTAAAAAGCTATCTTGAAAGTGGAGCTCGCACAATTGTATTGGGATGTAGTTGGCCGGGATGGCTCACATATGCCGCTTATTTCAAACATTTTCTCGGTATAAAATACATTCTTAAAACAGAGTTTGAAACGAATACACACCATTACAGTGAAGAGGAATTCCTACATCTTTTAACACCACTTGTGTATGGAATCGAACATATAAAAAGAGTGGAACATTACGAGCAGCCTATCTATCATCAGTATCTTCAACGTATTATGCAGTATATTCCCAACTACAAAGCATTGTTTCTAATGTCTGAATATGAAAATATTCGTCGATTTTTCTTTTCGTACCCTGATAGACAAAACTTCTTCTTCAATTTCTATCAAACAAAGTTTATTTCCGACCCCGGAAGTCTGGAGACAAAACTCAATGGTTTTGATGAACTTCCTATCAGCGTACGAGAAAAACTTCATTATTTTATCGTCAATTATATTTTGGAATTTCTCAAATCTACCGACTATTCATTGAAGGAAGACAATGATGCAATTTTAAATTTCCTTTCTAAGGTTTCGCTTGATCAGTTCTTGGATCTACTCTTCTTCCTTTCTAATTCGAACGAATTATACCAACGCGACTGGTTTTTTCGTATCATATGTGAAGAAAGCCTCCAAAGCAGTTGGGAAAAAATTAAAAGTAATGATAGGTATCGTCTGTGCAAAAATTGGATTGACCGAATGGTCGATTCTGGAAAGAATAGCCTGAATAGGCTTGGGCGCTTTAAAGCTCTTTTACTAGCCGTGAACAGTTTGCTATCCTGCTGTAAAGCTTTTGTTGATGAAAGTTTCGTTTCGCGTTTATCGAAAGAAATCGCCACGGACTTTTATCATGAGAGTCTTTTCAATATATTGGAAGACTCGAAGGAGTTTGATGACTATTCACCTCTTGTTAAGAATTTGATAGCGGATTTGATCTTGCAAAAATTGAAAAAAAGTCCCAATCTTCTGCGTAATGGTGAAATCATAAAGTATTTTTCTGCTAAACGCAGGTATGTCATTTATATGAAAAAGGTAAATATGTCTTGAGGGTCATATTGTTGCGACTTTAATTTACTGTATAAATTGGCTTATGATTTTTTTTATTCTGTATAAATTCTATAAACGGCATCGAATTCAATAATGAACGCGATGCTTGAGTGCAGTGAGAACGCGTGATCTCATGTAAAACTTTTTGCCCGGGTTTTAACCATGTTTCTTTTTCATTTTTTCAGTCCATTTAGTAAGGTGGGGTGGTGTAAAATGTGTCAATTTGAGAGTATGCTTAGCTTCTCTAAAAAAATTTTTAAAAACGAATGTGTATACCAGGTAATGCCTCAAAAAAGGATGAGGTCACCTATGCCATAGCTTCCGCAACATACACACTTTATATTTCTCATGTTAATTTTTATTGAGGCATAATGGTTCAGCTATATTGTGTATTGACTTGCTTATGCAAATTGATGTTTCAAAAAGAACAAATAAACATTGCGACATTTGAGGGTCCCAGGCTCTAAGCAATAAAAGTTTATTCTTTTGAATTATAAATTGGTTCAATATTGTAAACAACGTAAAAGTACACTATCTCACCAAATATTTAAATGAATATATGTGAAAGATAAAGCACACAGTACAATAACGAATGAGAACATTCAAGTTACACATGCTCCAATGGGCTTTTAACCTAAATTGTGAATGACCCGTTTGTTTTTGAAACAAATTGGCAGTCACAAAACTGTTTTTTAACAGGGGTGTATTGGACCCTTGTAAAAATTTTTTACCAAGTAAGAGGAGTTAAGCTCCCCTTCCCTTTATAATTCATTAATATTGAATAATTTCCAATTGCGAAACATTTTTAAACGATTCACCTCCAAAAAGCTTATGATCTTGTGATTTGATACGCTTGATCATTCCTATATGTACCAGTAAATGCAAGCTATTAGATTACTGCAACATGAAGTAGTTCGTTATTGTTTATTTTTACTGTTTATACAAAACAATACGTTTCTGTTCGTTCCAAATTTCTATTTAGTTCAATACTTTTTGCACTTTTAGTTTATTACATAGAGCCATCCCCTGTGAAAGTTTGGCAATACACCCTGTTTTTTAATCAGATGAACAATATAGTTTCCATGTACCCGTCAACTTAATATAGCAACGCAAATTTTACATCATTTGAAATGCATGCCACCAACTACCATAAGTTCCAAAATCTGTTTTCTCATGCTTTAATCAACATGGCTAGAAATATCTACACTATAATGTACCTTTATCGGTTAAGCAGTCCACAAACCAAGAACTAGTTTAAGCGAAAATACACAATAATCAGCATTGATCCACTTTAGCCCACTGCTCTAAACCAATCAGAATTGAGAATTTTTTCATGTGGATCATTAACTAGTGCGAACTTATAAAAAGACCATTTTACTTGCATTGAAACAGTTTATTGGAGATAGAATAAACGCTCTCTGGTTTTTAGTTTTATTATTTTGTTATGTTATAAATGAAAAAAAAAATAAAAAAGATTGAAAACTGGGGAATGTTTACTCTATCATAATGGTACACCTGGTTACACTTCATCTATATGTTTTTACTCTTCTGAATTCCCTAAATTCATGATATTTACTTTTGTTTCTTTTGTATTGTAGTACATCATTTCAGCAGCGTATTCTGGAACACATCGCAAAACCTGTGTATGTTTTTTGCCTATTTTTGTATTATCCAACCATAGAAACCATGTGAAATTATCTTTCTTATCGATACATGTTGCTGCCGTCTGCTTTATAGGATATCTGGATTGGAAACCTGTCTCATCTATTGCATTTTGGATGTCTTGCATGAATTGCGTGTTAAGTGGCTTGAAAATAAAACCTGCAATAACGATGTTTTGACCGAAGCACTTCAGTATTGTGAAGTTTGGGTAGAATTGCTTACTTTAAAAGGTGCGTTTCAAGGACCGCTTGTGTAGATAATCTGACTTCATATATACATCAAATAAAGATGATTTTGAGCCCAAGCAAAAAATATATCATTGTGTTTTAGAAGTTTTCAGTTCGACGGACGCTTTTCAGGAGTGGGTAAAGTTGTGGCAATATGTCGAAGAATGCATAATGAGTGAAGATATCACTGTTTCTTTTCTTATCAAAATTGAAAGGTATAAGAAACATTTATTTTCAATATTTTCTGCTTTGAGACGTGATGATGATCAAGTACGAAAGAACTGCTTATTGCACACCGCAAGACTTTTTCGAACTGAGAAGGAACTTCGAAAGAATGTCGAACTTTTGTTAGAAGCTGAGAAGTTTTCACAAAATGTTTTACCAAGACCCGGCTGGGAACTGAAAGAAAGTATCAGCGATTGTCATGTTAACTCTCTGAAGATCAAAGAAGTCAACGACGATTTTTGGAAGCCATATAGACCTTTATTGAAGCAACTTGAGCCAATCAAAATGCTTCTAAATTCTGTGTCGTTTTCTAGAATTGCTAAAATCGTTGTGAAAGAAACTGTGGATTTCGACCGACAGAATATGACCATTGACAGAGATCTTCAGATTTGTCTATTTCAAGTTCTTACTAAGCAAGGCGTTGATCGTTTTACAGCCGAATGGCAGCAAATATTTCAGAATATATCTGATATAACTATCGGTCAAATGAAAAATGTACTTGGTGATCTTGATCCACTCAAGCTGGATGATGAGCTGTTTCGTTTAGAAAGCTATTTTGAAGAAAAGTTTTCGTCACATGTGAAAATTTATGTGAACGACTACACGAAATTTCCTCGTGTTCTAAAGCAAGCGATGCATGTTACGAATTTGTTAAACGCATTTGGAATTCACGATTTCACACAAAGTGCCAAAATTTCTCGACTAATGGAATTTTGCAGCATGTTTGATGGTGATGAAGATAAGATTGTCATAAAAACGTTTCATACATTAATTGAACAAGTTGAATACATTATTTCCCTGTATGACATTGACAATACTGACAAGGTAATGATTGAACTCGGTGACGCACCTGAACTTATTAAGTTCATTTGTGAAATTGTCGATGAAGATATTCGTGTTCTCATTGATGCTGTGGAGGAACATTCTGATGAGGCTGTTCAGGCTTCCGTGGTTTCTGATCTTATTCAAGTGCATGGTTTCTTGGCTCCCATCATTAAAAAGCGCGATTTTCCTCCAGATCTCATATTGACAGCACTGGTAGATACCTGCAAGAAGCAAACTAAAATGGCAGAGAAAATTCATTATTGCAGCGAGTATGTTCACAGTCTGCGAGGATTGTATCAAAATCTAGCCAATCGAGAGGAAATGACGAGAGAAATAATCAAACACTGTCTAGCCAATGGTGTCTTTAATATAAAATTAGATAGTTCTGGCTCTTGTCAAATTACCATGATTTATCAGAAAGAAAAAAATAAAATCGTGGTAAAATCAATGGATGATCTTCAGGATCTACGTAGTCGTGCTCATTTGATTTTAAGTTCGGAGCAGATTCCTGAAAACTTGACGGAGATCAAAACAAAAGATGCAGTTAATTTCTATGCTTTTATTGAGCAAGTCAATCTACTATCAGAAATTGAAGAAGCAATCATCAATCTTCAGTCATCTGGTTACGTGAAATATCAAAAAGATTGCGAGTGGGAATCTTTGTCTGGAACGAAGGATTTGGAGGAAACAATGAGTCAGCTCTCTAACGATTTCAAGGATTGGCAACAAAGTCTAAGCGAAGCCCGAAAACATCATTATTTTCTGAATTATTTCTGGTCAGATCAACTAAGTGTGATTTTCAATTTCATTTCAAGGGAAAATTCAAGCGAAAATGATGTCCAGAACGTCGTTACTTTGATGAAATTTGTTGATCCAACTATCAATGCAAAACGATTAAGGAATTTTCAAAGTTTTTGTGTTGTCGATAAATTTGGATCTCCACTCGAAATAGTTGAAGCAATTGGTAGTGCATTGAATGACATTTTTTCTGATGTTCGTCCCACATTATCGTCAAGAAAGATCTTCAATGACATCATTCACCCTAAACCTAATTTATCTGTTCATAATGGTGAGCTCTATATTGTTGCTTTAGAAAAAGACAGTGTGAAGACTGTTAACGTAATGCTGTCTCTATATGAAAATACAACGAATGCTTTTCCAGAACCACATCAAGTTTTGTTTTGCAATGAAACCACCCCTTGGGAACAGCTGCACATTTTTCTCAGCAGATGTTTTAATCTAAGCAAGAATCCAGCCTGTAATAGTTTATTCTGTCTATCCAACGTCGAACTTCTCTCCAATGAAGTTCAGTTTAACTTGGTGGATTATATAAAAAAGAAAGAATTTGAAGATTGTGAGCAAAATTATCTACTGGCAATTATTTGTAGAGGTGGTGCACATCATCATATAATTGAAGAATTTTCAAAGTTTGTACATCATATCTCTGGCATGTCGTATCCTGAAATTGCTAGACGATTCAAATCCAAGTGGCCGCATGTGAAGTGTGTAGCATCCACATTACAAGGACTTGGAAAGACGGAATACATTCGCAAAGAAGCATTTCGTGAAAGTCTAAATGTTGTTTCATTTCCCATAACTGGGAAAATGAATGAAAGCAAAGTAATAAAACGACTAAAGAACCTTCGTCTGAGAGATTTTAATTGTCTTCATTTTGATATCAGTAATGTTGAAAACCCAATGTTGTTGGATACATTTTTGTTCCAGTTAATTGTCACTGGTATGGTAAGTTGTGGTACTCAAATGTACAACCTTCAAAACAAGAAGATATATATCGAAATAGCCAATTCATTCAACAACCAACTTGTGAATAGCTTGGTGATAACACGTTGCTTTCCTTCAATTGAACTGACTTGGAACGACTATAATGACTTACAAGTCAGCAGCCAGATTACTAGCAATGTTCAAGTTGTGTGTCAGTATTTGAATGTATACGAGAATGGGGAAATTGACGAGACAGATATTCATTTTGCTGGCCCTGAAAAAGTAAAGCCATTGTCGAAGGAAAGATGCCGTGAGCTGCTGCGCATTTATTACGGTACGAATAAAGATATCGCATTCACATCAGTCTACACATTTTTAGGTTTTTTCGCTGATCAACTGAGAAAATTTTCGAAGAGTGCATTTTTTAAGGTGAATAATTTAAAGCTCATGCTTGAGAACAATGCTTTGGGTCTACGTAAAAACTTGCTTGAGACACTGCTCGTTGTATCCAAAGATTTTTCTTCAAGATCTTTGTCAAGTCATGCGCAACGAACATCTTCTTCATCACATGACCAAAACATTGTTCAAAGAATGGAAGGAATGATTCAATGGGAACAAAGTAATCATCTGTTGATTGTTTTTCAGAGTGTTGACTCTCAAACAATTGCTGCATTCTATCGTGAAAAATCGAAAGTTCCCCTAAACATCAGCAAACTTTTAGAAAGTCAAATGAAAGACCTTGTTGATTTCAAGTCATTGAGGCCTAGTGAATTACATCAAATGCTAGAAAAGATTGCTCGTACAAGGCTGTGTCAAGAAATAACGGCTAAGACTACGACGTTTTCTAACTATGTATTGACTCCAGATAACTTGCTAAAGATGATTTTGATAATACTTCGCGTTAGAGCTAAGATTCCTATTATCATAATGGGAGAAACTGGTTGTGGGAAAACAAGTCTTGTAAAATACTTAGCATCCACTTGTGAAATTCCATTCTCAATCTATAATTTTCACGCTGGACGCACTGAAGACGAGATTACAGAATTTATTGAAAAGGAAAGCGCTCGAGCTCGCATGGATAATAGTCAAAGATGGATATTCTTGGATGAAATCAATACATGCCACCATCTTGGATTAATCAATGAAATAATGTGTCATCATACCTTACTCGGGCGTCCAATTTCCAGAAAACTGGTCTTTATTGCTGCTTGTAATCCTTACAAATTACGATCGCTAGAAAGTTCATCAACAGCTGGTCTTGAAGGAAAAAAAGTTGATGATGAATATTCCAAGTTAGTTTATCGTGTTCATCCTTTGCCAGAATCCATGGTTGATTACGTTTGGGATTATGGGTCATTGACGCCACAAGATGAGAAAGTTTACATTGAAAGAATGGTGAATGAATTTCCTGGAGAATACCAACACGTTTTAACGGAGCTTCTTGCTTTATCTCAATGTTTTATTCGAAAATCTGAGAAGAATCCATTCTGTGTAAGTTTACGTGATGTTCAACGTTGCATTCTTCTTGTGAAGTGGTTTATTGTTACATTGAAGGAACAGAAAAAATTAATGGAAGAAAGAAAAAGGAAAGGTAAATCAACTCTTCCATTTCCTTTTAATTTGAGGAAATATGAAAGTCGGTCTAAGAAGTACGATAGTTGTCCAGTTGTAAAAAGCATTGTTCTTGCTCTGGCACATTGTTATTTGTCAAGATTGTTAAGAGATGACTTGCGAAGAGAATACATACAAAGCCTTACACGTTCACTTGCATCAATTGACGTTGATAAAAAAAGTTTTAAAGCCATAATGCGTATGGAGCAAGAGAATTATCTTTTACGCATGGAGCTTCCAGAGGGAACTGCAAGAAATGCAGCTCTTCGTGAAAACGTTTTCATCATGTTAGTATCAATTCTCAATCGTATTCCTGTGTTTGTTGTGGGAAATCCAGGTTGCAGTAAGTCATTGGCAATTCAATTGATTAGAAGTAATCTTCGTGGAAAAGATTCAAAAGACGCATTTTTTAAAACGCTACCTCATCTCTATGTTGTCTCTTACCAAGGATCAGAGTCTTCTACATCTGAAGGTATTGAAGAAATTTTTAAAAAGGCTTCAAATTACAAAGAGCACAACAAATCTAATAATGTATTACCAGTGGTTTTATTGGATGAAGTTGGATTGGCAGAAAACTCACCGAACAATCCTCTAAAAGTTTTGCACAGTATTCTTGAACCAGGAAAAGGAGAGTTACCCGAGGTTGCAGTTGTCGGTATTTCCAATTGGGCTTTAGATGCCGCAAAAATGAACCGGGCAATCCATCTCTCTCGACCAGAACCTTCAGTGAAAGATCTTAGTGAAACAGCTATTTCTCTTTATCAAGGTGAAAATGTTATTGATGAATCGACAGAGAACGTTCTTCGTTGTCTTGCTGAAGCTTATTATGACTATCGCGCCAATCAGTCACATTCTAATTTTCACGGTCTTCGTGACTATTACTCTCTTGTGAAAAGTCTTAAGGGAGGCAGATGTCCTGACATGGAAAACATAAATATTGCTCTGAAACGAAATTTTGGAGGTATTCCCGAAGAAACAAGTAACGTTCAAGAAATTTTTAACCGAGAACTTAAGTCAGAGGTTCTTAATAGCAAGACTGAGAACAAAATTCAAGTAACCCGACTCATTCAAGAAAATTTGAATGACGTCAAAGCTAGACATCTTATGCTTATTTCGATTGGTGATTCTGCTATTGGCATCCTGAGACAACATGTTTTTCAGTCTACAAAGGAAACTATCACAATTTTTGGCAGTCATTTCGAGGAAGATGTATCCGATGATTACAACTATAGAATGTTAAGTCGAATCATACTTTGTATGGAACGTAATTGCATTCTCATTCTTCGTGATCTTGAATGTATATATGGAAGTTTATACGACATGTTGAATCAAAATTATTCTGTCGTTGGAGGAAGAAAAAACTGTCGAGTTGCCCTTGGTGCCAACAGCAATCCCATGTGTTATGTAAACGATGGATTTCGCTGCATCGTCCTTGTTGATCACGATCAAGTCGATTATTCCGATCCTCCATTCCTGAACAGATTTGAAAAACAACTTCTTCGTTTTTCAGATATGTTGAATGAAACCCAACATGAAATTATGAAAGAATTAGAGTCATGGGTTCACCAAATGTCGAGTGTGGAAGGTTTCAGAGATAAGTTCAAGGAAAAGGATATGTTCATTGGTTTTAATGAAGACACGTTACCTTCATTGGTTCTGTATCATAGTCACAATTCTGATGAGTCAATGGAAGTCGTCTTAAGGAAGTGCAAAGATGATCTTATGTGGATTGCAACTCCTGATGGAGTTCTACGCTTGAGTAAATGTAATTATTATAAGGAAGATCCGCAAGAAGTAGAATCGATTTCATATGAATATTTTAGAAAGCCAGTTCACGGCGGACTTGCATCATTTATATCGCATGTTGTGGAACATTTATTTTATGATGCGGAAAGTGAAGCTTGCTCAATAACATTATTGATGACACATGCCTCTGTTCACACAGATATTAGTCATTGCTTTCCCATGAAAAAAATGTCTTTTCAACTTGAGCGACTTGGAGCCTACAAGTCTGGTAAGCAACTCGAAGACAGAATACATATTTTTTTTACATCTGACAAAGAGCTTTTAATCATTCAATGCAAACCAGAACTGGATGCAGAACATATGCCTCTCACTCGATCAATTGTTGAAGAAAAACGAAATGCCTTCACTAAAAAATTTAGGGAAGCTCGGTCCACCATGCAAAGAAAACACGTCTGCATGATTGTCCACGTGCGTCGAGCATCTCATGAAAACACTCCACGATGGCAGTTAAATTTCGTTAGTGGATGGAAGCAAGTTTTCCTTGATACACTCGAAGTACCATCAATTCCAGTGAATGAAATATTTGATCAAAGTATCGACCATCTTCTTTCAAAGTCCGTTTGTTCTTTTCAAGAACTGGCTGTGAAATGCATAATGTGGTGTTTTAATTGCTTGAATTATTTGCATTATTCAAGGCAGCAAGAAAGTGTATTACACATTGCAAAAAATTTGCTTACGTCAAACAATGTCAGCATGACTATCCAGCATCTTGTTTTGAAAGAATTATCGCAAAGCATTGACAGATCGTCGGAAAATGAAAGGGAGCATTGGCTAGTGAAAGTTGCTACCGACGTGGAACTTCTTTGCAATTCTTCAAATGTTTCTTCAGCGATAGAACAATATTTGTTGTTTCTTGTGCGCAAGCCGCTAGCAAAGCTAGTTTACTTCTTGGAAAGCGAAAACGCCTGGCCACCACATCTTTTATATGAAAACGTTACTGAAGACAAAGAGTTATGGTGTGATCTTATTAAGGATATATCAATTTTTGATTTCAAAATGATTCCGGATTGCCAAGGAACCAATTCATATTCGATTACTGGATTACGTCATGATTTGAAGGTACCGTTTAGTCAAGTGATTGCCAAGAAAATACAAGAAACACGAAGCTTTATTTTGAAAGAATACACTAAAGCATTGGAAAATGAGGAAAACTATGAGGAAAATGGCAATTTTAAGAAGGTTGCTTTGGTAGAACAACTGGAACGATACTCAAATGCTTTCCAGAGCTATGCTCCTTGTGTCATCCTTTTGTCAGAGTACTTTGCAAGCTCTTATATGGCTGACATGTGGGACATAATATCAGCAAATTTTCACGAGAAGATAAATGTCGAGATAAGGATACCTCTTGTTATGTGTGTCTTTTTGTCCTTTGCTAAACCATGGTGTCCTCTTAAAGAAAACGATCCAATTAAGTTTTACGCTTTGCTCCATTTGTTTCTTTGGAAATGTAAAAAGGAAATAAGCCAACATTTACAACTCATTGCCGGATTTCTCGAATTGAATTTTACCCTAAACTCTCTTTCACAATCACTTCAAGATTTTTTCAATGACAACAAAGATATTTTACCCATTATTTATGTCAGTGATGAAAGGCTTTGTCGAAATTATTTTGAAGAAAAAGATGACGGCATCAACACCAGCGATGATGACTTCAGTGATAGTGAATATTCTTCTAGTGGGGAAGAGATTGATGGAGATGAAGTTAGTGAAAGTGATGACAGTGAAGACGAAGAATCTGAAGAGGATGAAGAAGAAAGCTTTGAGGAATACTTGGTGACATCAATCTGTGAGTACATGTTTCCTTCGGAAAGGTCAATACACAAAAATGGTGGATTGGATAACTGGATAAGAAATTCCAGGTTATTGTTGCTACTATCATCCAAAGTCTGCAATGCTGCACCTGCGTATCATTTCTTACGTTTATGTGTGAATTTTGGAGAAGTTGTTCAGCAATCTGGAATCCCAGAGGAAAAATTATATATTTTTACTGAAATAGGAACAGAACTCGATCCTGAATACCTTGATGACGATAACTCGCTTCTGGTGATAAAAGAAAAATTGTTAGATGATGTGGAACATCTTATGAGAGGTAACGAGAAAAATCAAAATATATTACACAAATTCATGTCTCAGTATTACAGTCGTCACGTTGAAGCTAAAATGGAAAGAACATCATCGCGGCCAATCATTGAATATGTTTTTTCTCTGAATGATCAAGATATAAGGATAATGACACCTGTCCTTTATCGCCTGTTGTACATTGAAGAAGCTCTTTATCCTGGGACATATATTGATATCGTCCTAGATAAAACTATCGGCGAGAATAAGTGCTTAATTAAAGATGTTGACGACATCTTGAAGGAGCGATCAAACGACCTATCAATTCATTATGACTCTCATGCAGCTGTAATAATATGTGATTTAATTCATTCTATTCAATGTTTTGACGAGCATTTTTCCATTGAAAAAGTAAATGATCATGGCAGTGACCTGATGAGCTGTTTTCGTTCAGCAACAAGCGCAGTAACCGGTATCAATGATAACTTTGGTATTGTCTTTCTTTCATCCGTCGCATTTCTTCGAGGATTTTTTACAATGTTATCCGAAGAGCCTGATATTCTCACCTATGAAACGGAATACTCAAACATTTTAAGTGAAATAAACTCCCTTCTAGATGGTGACGACGAAAGGCGATCTTCCATTCGATTATATTTCTTAAAACAACTTTATGCATCTGGCATGACCATGTCTGATCTTCAAAAGTTATGTTGTGAAAGCAGTCAACTACCCGTGATGAAAAATATGTTTGAGAAAAACTGTAACTTTGTGAAGTTTGAATTTTTTTCGGCTACCAGGATGGATAGACACAAAGAAGTAAGAGAATCCTTGTTACTACAGGGTAAAGGAAACGATGGTAAATTAGATGGTGTTCTACGAAAATGTGAAAATTCCTCCAAATATCGTCTTGCCTTAATGGGACTCATTATCAATAATTTTTATGTGAAAAGAGAAACTGGTAATCTCAACGATAATGAAGAAAAAATGGCTAGAAAATTATACCAAAAAGTCAAACGTTTTCCAAATCATTTGAAGCAACTGGTTTCAAAATTACTTGGTTTGGAAAAATTCAATCATCATGGATTACAAGTTTCCTCTGAATCGTCTACTGAGCAATTTGATATTGCTTTACTGATACTTCATGTATTGTGTGTTGTTTTGAGCAGCGATGGCATTGAAAATTCTCCATTGCTTCAATACGTTATCAACCAAAAGAATTTCCATCCAACCACCTTACTTGGACATGGAGAAAAACATCGAATGTTGGATCAGTACCGATACGTAAAACATGCTTCATTTAAAAATTGCTTGTGCAAGTTACACCTTCAATATTATGGTCAATTGGAAAAATGTCCCAACTGTGGTACAGAAGTGGATGTTAACGATCATGGTGATTCTATCTATGATGAAACATTGAAATCTTATTTTGATAGCACTAAGAATAAAGATTGGGAAACATGCACTGTGAACATGGAGCCGTCTGTCTATCGAGCGTTACATTTGATTGTTAACGCATGTTTTTATGGAGGAATTGCCGCTGGATTATCTTCAAATGAAGCAATACTGAAGACTCGTTTTCCTGAGAATGAAAATGGAAGTTTTGCAGATGCTTGTCTTAATCAAATAAACGAAGATCTAAAATGTTTGCAGACTATTCTTTCTTGCAAGAGACAAACTGCAATTGATGTAATGCAGCTAGTGGTTGAAGAATCTACTCCACTGCTTCAAGGAATCACTCTAAGTGGAAATACTGTAATAAGTGAAACAGAATGTGTGCAATGGGAAAATAGCTTTGCAGACATGGCTAGCAATGTCTTCTCTGAATTCCTTGGATCATCAAGAGCTCTAAAACTTAAACTCGAGGATCACCTGCACCTCCAAAATGAAATTCTTGAACTTGATGAATATCCTGATGATTACGAGGAGAGAAACCTAAAACTCAAAAAATTGTTTCGTGTCACCAAAAAAGGGTCTGTTCCAGAATTACGAACAAAATTCTTTAACTCTTCAAAAAAAAATCAAAAGCAGCATCTTGTTCTGTCTCTTTTTTTGTCTTGGTTTGACGAGCTTCCTTATCTTACAAACTTGTATCCTCTAATAAACTGGACACGTTACGTCATATCCACATTGACCCATCGCATCAGCAGAAAGAAAGTGCAAATCTGCCCTATCAGCGATTTAATTGATGGTGTTTTTCAACAGGAAGGAATGGAAGAGAAAGAGGAACGCAAAACAATGTTTCAAAAATTTAAAGTCGCTTGGAACAAAATGCATAAGATCGTGAATCAGCACTTAGATGAGAATCAAGAAGAAATGCCTTATATTGGGGAAGATACTCCCATTGGCTACTGTCTTTTAGATGGCGACTTGAGCGTATATTTAAAAACAGCAATAAAAATTCTTCAGTCAATGCAGAACAGCTTTTTAGACTCTATGGTCGCGATATCATTGAGAACGAAACATCCAGCTGTTAGTTTCCTCTCAAAAAGTGAGAACTGCTGTGGTGTGATGTCAATATCACTACAAGATGTTAAAGAAAAAGATATCATCAATATGGAGTGGTCAAACAAATACCTGAGGTACACACAGAATCCAGAGTATGGTTGTGGAGAAGATATTGATTATGATTTTGAGCAGATAGAAAACATCTTGACTAATGAAGTAGTTTTGGGAAAACTTTATCTTACAGATATTTCAAGTACATTCATATTTTCCCATGAACTCTTCCATTCCTGTGCAAATATATTGATGAAGATTCGTGAGTTGTGCCCTCAAACTCCCACTCTTCCTAAAGATCTTTGTCAAGGAGTTGAAAACCTTAAAGAACACAGAAAACAAGATGCACGTAACTTACTTCAAAACATTGAGATTATCATATATTTACTGCATTCTGGTCCATGTCCTGGTACCAAATCCATCGAAGAAATTGAAAATATGGAACTTGTTGAATTCGCTGACAGATTCAAAGATAAACTTCCACGTCCGTTCCCAGTTGACTTGTTACCTGAACCTAAGAAATCCATTCATCTTACTCATATTGCAGCTCTGTATGAAGAATTGGAAGATGTGCTTGCCGATGGTACCATCGAAGGTTTACCAATACAGTTTCGAGATGATTTGGATGATGTAGCGAAGAAGCTGGACAATTTAATCCATCATAAAAATGGTACAATCAAGTCGAAAGAGCTTCTTAAAGTTTTACGTCGTTTTGTCTTCCGTTATTTGTCAGCTGAAAAGTTCCTCCCTTCGGCAGAAACACCGTTACGTAAATGCCTACGACAGCCATCATTGTGGACACAAGAAACACCTCCAGATGAAGATCTTATCTCAGAAGAATTGGTGCTGGGAAACATATTTGCAATCATCCAACATTTGCAACTGGTATACTCAAATTATTCACCTTATTTTGTTTGAACTTTGCAAAGCTTCTGAAATCTTTATTTTCGCAAAACTCGTTTCATATGTTAGTGAGTAACTATTCAACACCAATTCAAAGTTGATGCTTATGAAATTTTTGCTTTCTTCACTCACTAAATTATTTGATTTTTTCTGCTCGTAAATTGTTGAGACTTCTTTGAGTCATGTTTCTAAGTCTCTGCTAATAATCGATTATTGCACGATATCGAGCAAAACATCATGATTTGCCAATGGCATCTTAAAATGCAAGCTATGCAGCTGACTCAAAAGTTATGAATGACACTGCTCAAAATTTTAGGTTATAATTTTGGTTTGAATTTTACATTGCTCGTTCATGCTTGCAAAAGACATTTAAAACGACGATTTTACAAATTGTTTTGCTACTTTTTGAGGTCAACATTTTTTGTTGTTCTGTGCTAACATCATGAATGAATAGTTTTAGTAATCATAGCCTTTGCTTAAAGTCTGTTACACAAAAATTGTTCCGTATAATTGAGTTAAAAATAGGCTGTCGAGGGTTGCTTGCAAAGTAAATATTAAACTGTTTTTTTGAAGAAGCATTGTTATTTCCTGCTTTTTGCTAATTTTGTCGTCAATCGGCGTACGATTTTCCACTTGTATCTTTCTTAGGAGCAAAACTTGCCAAGTCAACATCATTTGCAACGTCAACAAACTAGTCGGGCTGCTCCTGCTAAAAGACGAAAGGGACGAATGGCCATCGACTTTGATAATTTGTAATCATATTTATGGACAACATCGTTTTGTTTGAAATCGCAGCATTGATTAAGATTTAAATCATTCAACATAAACATAAAAAGTGTTTTGAAAAGTATACTTTAGTGTTAATGAGTAGTTATAATGCAATTAATAAGTACAGTAAGTTGTTAAACACGTAGATAAAATGTTTTTCATTTATAAAAATACAATGTCAACAAAATCTTTGTAGGCAGTTATTTCTTTGATCATTTAGAAAATACCTTATTTGACACAGCAGTACAACGTTTCTAACACATTTGCCATCGCAGTTGCCAGAAGCGCATGCGGACCAAACCATCTGGTTTAGGCATGTGCATTCGAGCGTTTTTCACGAAGTTCAATGATCGCTTCAGTATCTTCTTCCAATGTTTCAGAATGTTAAAGGCGGAAAAAATTTATGATCAGTAGAAAGTTCATCAACAGCTGGTCTTGAAGGAAAAAAAATTGATGATGAATATTCAAAATTAGTTATCGTGTTCATCCTTTGCCAGATTCAATGGTTGATTACGTTTGAGATTATGGGTCATTGACGCCACAAGATGAGAAAGTTTACATTGAAAGAATGGGAATGAATTTCCTTAAAAATACCAACAAGTTTTAACCGAACTTCTTACGTTGTCACAATGTTTTGTGGGGGATGCTGAGAAGAATCCATTCTGTGTAGGTTTACTTGTATGTTCAATTGAATTATATAACAAACTCGTTGAAGAAACGACTATTGTTGATGGAAGAAAGTTGAAAAACCAGCTATCAACAAGCAGTGCAATGATTCTTTGTTTGATTTTGGTCCAAATTACTTTAACATGATTTGAATTTAACTAGAATTTTCAATTTTAAAATTTAAGAGGAAGGGTGCACTTGTCTAACTAAAAATGGTAAAATGCAAATTTTTAAGCAGAGCCAAAGTTACTGTTAATAAGATATTCTTTTTTCATTGTTTAATGAAAACGTATTTTACAACACAAAAATAAATTAAACAAAAGTTTACGAGTTGCGCAAACAAAAACGAGGTTACGTCATGAGAAACAAATCTAAGTTTCTTCATTTCTATGAAAATATTAACAATGTACTCGATTAAAATTATGAATTCCAGACAAATTTACAGCGTAAGATATATGCAAGCTGTTTTTATGAATGCTTACTCAATGTCTTAATAAAATAACATTTGCAGCAAGTGATATGATTAATTTTCTGACAATTTTACAGTGCAACTAATGCTATTTTAGCCATTTTTTTTGTAAAGAATAAAGATGGGCATACAAAGTACGTTCAAAAAAAGCCTTGTCTTATTAATGTTTTTATTGTTGCTTTCAAAGGGTCATAATCATATGCAAATCCGTCAGAACCTTCCTTTACTTCAATAACCTCCCATCGTCCATTCTTTCGTGATAGACAACACATAATAATAGACTTGTGATCTTTCAGTTGCACATCAACTTTAGCATCAATTAATTGTCGATCAGGAAAATTGACATCATAAAACTGCAGCCTGTAGTACGGATACTGAGATATACTGGATGAACGACAGGCACTAAGTGTGAAAACTAACTTGTCAACATGATCAGGAATGATTTTGAGATTCACATTTACATTTTGGTGACCAACTCTGTTGCGAATGCGTGCAGGACCAGAATGCATTATACCAGGAACTCTACGTAAAATGCACTGCCTATAGCAAATATAACCAAGAGTTTTACCAACTCCATTATATGCAAACACTGACACGTCTAAAAAGTCACGACGCTGATGAGGTGGTATACTCCAACAAAAATTAAAGACAACTTCTTCCAAATCATCAGGTACTGCACACAATACAATGATAAGATGTACTGTACTGTTTGGTGGAATATTATAATCCTTTAATGTCATAACACCATGATCACTAGTGCGAACCTGTGTTGCAGAGTAAGAAGCAATTTAAGTAATAAAGTAAATGGTTTGAATGGTTACAAACATATAATTTAAGTAATGATACTCATAAACAAATGTTTTTTAAATATTTTGTTACATAGCAAAGTTTAGCTGAAGAATGTTGTAAAATACACAGTCAATATAATAATAGCCATGCAAAGTTTGTAAAGTTTTTCATGTTTTTGTGAATAATTCAAGAAAGACATTTCCACTGTAGTATTATGCAGCAAGACTTAGCATTTTCCCTAATTTCCCTAAAGTAATTTCATTTATAAATAGAATACAGTTTAATACTAGAATACATTATTTTTAAAAAGTTTGAAAAAAGAAGTTTGATTTGACAAACCTTGAGCTCATTATTTTGATATAGCAGACGCTGTTTTTCAGGTTCTGTCTTAAGCCCAACTTGCACTTCTTTCTTCAAATCTATAATTCTCTTGTTCCGATGATAGGATAGTGTCAATAATTCTCCTGACATGGTAGTCACAAAAATATTGCCTGAATCTTGACCATTTTCAACTTTCTCTTCAATTATTTCCTCTTCTCCTTCATTAGGATAAAGATATTCCAAGGTCTCCAAATACTCTCTGTAGACATTGTTGTCTTTCTTCACTTGGATCTCGCACTGGGAACACATGTGATGCTTTTGTACACACTCTATTGCACACTTTGAGAAAACACAGAAAAAATGTTTTAAATCAAAACTATTGTGCATATTTCTAAGGACAATTGCAGCAAATGGGATTATGCTTCTTAATGGATGTTATATATCATTCTGTTTGAAGAAAAAGTATGTCCTATTAAAGAGTGAAAACCAAAGATGATTGAAATTGCATCATAAGGTTGAAGCAATTCACTCTGTTTTTAAAATAAGAATAGAAATAGCAATATTCAATCAAACAATCATATGTCCGAGTTTCTAAGTGATACGAAAAAAATCATTCGTTAAATTTTATTTGCTGCTATATATATTTATCAACCATAAACTCATTAGCGCGAATAAAACACTACGCAGGGTGGATTAAATCACAAGAAAAAGCAATATAAAGACACAAAAGAAGAAATTATTCTCCGTTGTCATTTTACTTATATCGTTAAGTCCTGTCTATTGTGAACTAGACTTCATAATAGTTTACCTCCAGACAATGAAGTAGTGCATGATCACAGTTCTTTGTCAAAGGAAAAAATGGAAACTCGTTTGAAAGCTTTTTGTCGTGGCAACGGTCGCATTCCATCTTTCTCTTCTAGAAAATGTTCTGTTAATTTAAACCAATTAATATTTTTTGAGTTATTTAAAAATGAAAGCAAACTAGCTGATGAAATATACAAAAGGTTTTCTTGGAAAATGGCAATAAGTATTAGGAACTGGGAACTAAACTGTCAATGCCAGGCTTGCTGCAGTGCGCCTGCTGTTATTCGCATTTTTTGCTGCTGTTGACTTTGGCGGTTTATGGAAAGGGAGCTTCTGATAAATTGCTATCCTGTGACTTGGATTTGCTTTCTATCGTATATTCTGTATGATATCATTGCTATACATGGAGGAGCGGTTTGAATTTTGAACGAAGCTGGTAAGATTTTAGCCATTCTTTTTAGAAAGAGCGTTGGCTGATTGGCGATTGCCATTATAATATTTTTTATATCATTGGGAGGAAAACCTAGACGTCTTCACGGATTTCGAAGTATAAATTTGATTTCTGTACAGTGGCGGTTTATTATCGTTCGTGTGGTATTCATAGCTATTCATAGCTTGTGTTTTATTTGATATTATATGGTAGTGTTGTGGAAATTTTCTATGCTTACCGACTGCAAAAGCTGTAGATTATAAAAATGAATAATGACATTTTTGCATAATTTACATTGCATTTCCTTCATTGTATCCGAAGAATGCTTTGAAATAAAGTTATTCATGATTTCACGTCTTTTTTATCTTGAACGAAAAGTGAAAGTAATCTGTCTGGACAGTACTGCGCATGCTCTTCGCGATTGATCAACCAAGGTCAATTTGTTTTAGCAATCTTTGTATTTTTGAGTCTATAAACTTTGCTATTGATTTTTTATGTATTTATTGTAAAATTTACTGTAATTTTACTGGGTTATCTTTAACTGGCCAACCATTTCCATAAATTAAAGCCAAATTTAACCTGTGGCTTTTTGACACTAACTTTATTCATCAAAGTTTGCCTTTTGCATGTACTATGAACTGTACCATCAACCATTTTGGAGTACAACCACTATCATAGACAGCCACTTATTTATTTCCACTATTTTTGTTTTCTGTGTCTGCCGACTAAAGAACAGTAAACATCCATAGAAATCAATAATGATAATATTTTGCAAATTCTAACACTTGCAGTCTGGCTATGTCACGGAGTACTTCAAATTCATAGTACAGAGATATGGCCATGAAATTAAATATAAATCATTACTGACATGTTATTATTGAAAAACTAAGTATCTTAGACGTTCATGTTTTTTATATTTGGGGGAGCTGTGGAGCATTCCCAAGAGGAGGGGGAACTTTTTTACTGCTAAAGTTTGGTGCTAGTAGGGGCTCAAAAACAAATGTTAAAGCAAGGATATGAGTTTATTGAGCAATGATAAAAACAAATATGGTAAAAATTTTTTGGCACAACAAGCTGGACAAGCTTTATTTTGTTTTTGTATATGTAAATTTACTATGCAGGCTGTAAAGGAACTAGGGTTTTTGAAGTTGAAAAAGGCATGCAGTACTTCAATAAGTGTAACACTATTTGCTTGTATAATTGACTAATTCTGGATATTTACTGTATGTAAATGACCATGTTAATCTATTTTATCTTTTAATATATGTTGTAATGTTAATTTGCTATCATAGTTGTCCCTAGAACGTTAATTGGGGTGTATTTTATTAATTTATTTAGTTGTGCCTTCTTCTACTGCTTTCTTTTGAAAACAATTCACTTAAGGAATTAAGCATTTTACTTTTAAAAGAAATCAGTCAGTTTCATCTGAATTTATGAATGAGCCCCCTTTCTAATTAAAGTTCTTGGAACGGTGCTGTTTGCAATCATCATGTTTGAGAGTGAAATTATAGTTTTTAAACAATTTTCATACAACTATTTAAAATGTGAAAGACCAATTACTGCTATCTTCCACTTTAAATTATGTTGGTATGAAACAAATAAGTAAAGATAACAAAAACAGTTTAACCTACTGGTAACATCTGATAAGTTTTTCTTTGAAATAGTAAACAATCTTGCTACTCGCTGTACCATAAATGATTCGTATCAATTGAATGCCTCATATCTATTGTTAATGCAAGAATAGTTCTTTCATAAATTAATTATGTAGCAAAGTATAAAAGGAGAACCCTTTGCCTAGATGGTTATAACTTAGAAGGCACATTTTCATTGGTTAAAGTTACTGCCATGAAGTGTAGAAAGGCAATCCTATAGATTATATTTGAAGTGAAGCTAAGATACAAGAAAGAAAGCCTGTATAGATGTGAAAAGTTTACTTAACTTAACGTGTTATAGATTTGTATTAGGCCTAGTTCAAACTTCAAACTTTACATGAACCGAACAGATTTAAAACAAAAATAATGAGGAAGTTCATCTAATTTTCTTTTGTGTGTATTGCGTTTGGTTCATGTAAAGCTCTACGTTTAAAACAAGCCTTAAATAGACACCCCTACTTAGTTTTGCTATAATTCTTAGTTTTGTTTTCAAACTAAGGTGATTTTAGATTTCTTTGATCAAAGTTTTTTGTTGTTGCTTCATTTTTATTCAGACTTTTCTTAATCTCGTGATAAGGTGGCTACATGCCCCCACGTTTGTCAAGAGCCCATCAATTAAGTATTCATTTGGTAATTGCGGAAGCAGCGTTGGTCAGAATTAATTATAGATGCTTTATTTCTAATTTAAAATATTAAGAAAAATAATTTGAATAATGTATTAGGAACCTCCATACTAGAAAATTTGAAATTATACTTTTTCATGATAATTCTTAATGTACTATTAATTATAATGTACCGTTAATCGATGTACTGTGCGGACAACGCTATCCTAGTAGAAAAATTAATGGTCAGCGAAAAGTACGTGACAGAGACGACGATACTTCTCGAGCATGTGTCTGGGATTCACTCTGTGAACTCAATTTTTCCTTATTTTTCTTGAGAATGCCAGTTGAATTGTACATTCTTTTTCAACGTAAAGCTTCTGATGTCTCATTTAATGAGGGTCACTAACGAACTTTTCATTCTCCTCCAACATATTTAAGACAATAAAGTGGATGGCTTTTGAACCCGGGAGTATCGTTACATGTTTGTAGATGTACATCGTCGACTGGGCTATTGAGAAATGGGCTTTTCAGCATTTATACACCTAATTATTCTAGCTATGATAAATACGTTAATCAAAGTAATGTATTAAAACATTTATAATAGGTTCTTTTGTACCTCGTATCAATCATATCAACAAGCACTTTAGTTGCAAGGATGTTTTTGTTGAAGTACGGCAATTCTTCGTTGTTTTATTCAAAAACTCATGTGAGAATTTTGTTCATTTCATTTTTTTAAGTTTAATAATGCCCGGAAAAAAGGAAAGCAGACGAAAGCAAGAAAAAAAGAGATTGAAACTCCAGAGGATTAGTGACGCTAACAAAGGAAAACAAGACGAATGTGAAGTAGAATCAAGTGATGATGAAGAAGTAGATGAGCGAGAAGAAACCGATGTTGACGAAGAAAAGAAGTCAATTGAGACAAATAATTCTCCGATTGCGGAAGAAACAGCTGGTGATGTTGAAAAGAAGTTAATAGAAACAAATAATTCTTTAGCTTTTGAAGAAACTGATGACGTGAAAAATAAGTCAATAGGAACAAACAATTCTCCAGATGTTGAAGAAAAACCGCATAGCCACCAAGATGAAAAAACTGAGGTTAATTTTGTGGCTACTTGTCAAGACCAAAGTTCGCACGTCCCAGACATTGATTCTCAACAAGATCACTTGTCAGGCGACATTAGTGGCACAATAAACAAAGAAGAAGCTGGTTCTCATTGTGATGAAGTCGAAAATTCTGTTGAAGACCAGGTAACTCCGTCAATTTATATTTGTAAAACTTATACGTGTTTTTTTTCTTCGAAAGTTGTATTTACTGTATATAAATAATGTTTTCTTTCAACTTTTGCCATAGTAGTTTCATGGCAGCAAATTGCATAACGCTATAAAGAATAGCGACTACTCAAAACATGCAGAAAAAAACAACCCGACATCACATGGACAGTTTACAACTTTCATGTTGCATGGTGCACAGTAAACGACCTCCAAACCACGAGTAACAAAGAATCTTACAGAAATACATTTAAGGTTTACTGCAAGTATATAGAACAAGAATTACTTAGAAACATGTTTAATTGCTATACACAATGTAGTCATCTTTAATATTTTCGCCAAATCTAGGTTTTGATCTCGATATTTTCAAAACAGTGGAGTTAGGTTTATTCTTTATTAAATTTAGCTAAACAAACAGAAAAATAAATTCTCCTTTGTTTAGTTAAGGTATTAGTCTGATGTAATAACTGCAATAAAATTCGCATACATACATAGAGTGTATCAAAAGAAGTAGACTATTTTGAAACGGCTCAACATTTTGTAAAAACGTTCATGGGGCTTAAAGAAATAGTATTCGAGACACAAATCTTTGTGGGAGGGGGTACTTTGCGCAAATATACGCAAACTTTTTCATTTTTCTTGTTCAAGTACAAAGTTCCCTTGCGTCGAAGAGTTGGAGTTACAGGAAGCCATTCATTACGTCGTTATGATTTCCTAGTTTCTCCATTTATTTTTGATCTTAGGATAATGGAAGTGCACAAACATCGTCAGGTGATAATCACGATAATAAAGAGTCTTCAAATGTTACCTCTGAACTTCATAAGTTGTTCAGTTCTGTTGCAAATGCTCGTTCAAACAGAGCCATGGGTGATGCTATTTCTAAAATACGCAAGGTAGTCAATTTCGAACCTTCAAATCTTGCTGCCGAAGAAGAATATCTTCAATGGATAATAGATGAATCTATTTCCTCTAAAACAAACCCATTCCAGCATTTGTTTCTTTGTGCAGTGTTGGGTCATCTAGTGGATATCAAAAAAAGAAACCAGTCAAAAAACATTGGCAACGACTCAAAGGAAACTACTGTTTTAAAAATACCAGAGCCGAAAGAACGCGCGAGATCTGCGTTTGATCGATTGCTTGAATGTGTCAAATTTTGCAGTGAAAATATTAAAATAGCGCCTTTGAACTTTAAATATCTTCTTGATAGTTGTGCCAGCACGATCGTAATGGGAAGTAGCAAGCCAGGGTGGCTAACATATGCTGCATATTTTCGATACTTTTTTGGCATGGAGAACGTTGTTGATTTTGAAATAGAGAAATACAACTATAAGGAAGAGGAATTCAAGTGTCTTTTGCCTTTACTGATATTTGGAGTCCAACCTATAGGAAGAGCAGGACGTCATCAGAAATTTATCTACCGTCGTTATCTTAAACGTATTTTGCAGTCTGCTCCTAATGATGAAATATTGTTCCAAATATCGCAAGATAAAGATTTCTTTCGATTTTTTTATTCGTCAAGTGATCGAGAGTTTTTTTTCTTGGATATTTACAAAGAAATTCTGAATAATGATCCTGGAAATTTTACCAAAAAACTTGCAGCTCTCAGAGAACTTTCAAATAACGTTAAGAGAAACGTGTATGGTATCATTGAAAAGTACGTTCTAGAGTTTTTTGACAAAGGCGAGAATCCATTGGAAGAGGATAGAGACGCTGTTTTCAATTTAATTTCCGATCTTCCGGTTGAGAAGTTTGTGATCATACTTGAGAGCATTTCCAAGTTACAATCATCGTCAAAGCGCAAGCTGCTTCCTCAGGTGCTAGGTGATAAAAAGTTCGAAAGCCTTTGGAAGCAAATCTCGAATATCAATAAAAGATTTCTTATTTGTGACGTTTGGATTTCTCATACAATTACTTCAGAAAAGGAAAGCCTTGGTTTAGTGAAAGCAATTTTAAAGGCAGTCGACATTTTAGAATCTTGCTATCTTGTTTGCAGTGACTATGATCTTATTGCACGCTTGGGTCGGAAAGTTGTCGATAAGCTTATTTGCGAAGACCCTGTCCAAGTATTTGATGGATTAAAAGAATTCGATAATTATTCAACACTAGTTCAAGATTGTATCTTGTCTTTGATACAGGAAATGTTTAAAATTAATTCAAATCTCTTAAAGAATGCCAGTGTCATCTTGAAATTTTTTCCTGCTCGTTCCAGGTTTGTTGAAACGTTACCCCTCAAAATCTATTAAATTATAACAAATGTTTAGACTTCGCCTTGTATGTCAAAGTTTGTTTTCACTAGCAACATTTTTTAAGGCAACGTATTATTCTGTCTGTGTTTTTTAATGTTTGATGTCCACAAAGTGCATTATAGAATTAGTTTTGAAGCTGACGAGAGAAAGTCATTCATGAATATTTTCATTCACGCTGATGTAACTGAATATATCTTTGCTTATGTAGTACATCTTCCTCATTCATGGGACGACTTCTTGGAACGTTTATCGTTACTCGGTATGAAACTTATAGTTTTTTAATGTGGAAATTGATATGAAAATTGATATGAAACTTATAGTTTTTTAATGTGGAAAACTATAAGTTTCGTATCAATTGAAGAAATAGCAAATACTTGGTCGCGAGACTATTATAATATATTTGCGTAATTATGACATTTAGATACTCCGGATTTGAGCTGGGTTTAATGAACTGTGCGTTGGATGCCTTAAAGCCTCCCGAAAACCAAACTGACATGGATGATAGAGTTTTTGCAGACTTGCTTCAATATTGTGATGTTTGGATTAAATTGATCGGTGCTAAAGGTATTTTGTATTTACTGTCATTCGTCGGGGTTTTTTTTATCTACGAAGTGAAATTTACCTAATTTTAGATGTGCAACTCAGTACCTTGATGTATGTAAAAGTAAGATATGCATGTTATTGTCCACAGAAAATAATTGAAGTCAAACGAACTTATGTAATACGGCTGAACATAGTATATAAATATCTCTCCCCCCCAACTATCGAACTAGCTACGTCACTAGTGCGTGTTTGGAATATGTTACGAAAACCTTGAATAAATTTTTGGATTGCAGCTAATCTCTAGGGAATTATGAGACATTGTAACCCGCCCACGTCCGCTGGTGCCAACAAGAGTTCTCACAAACGTGTCCGAGGTTTGCATAACCCAGAGCAAACACGAAAAACATCTTTTAATACACTGCACAAACACGAAAACATGTTTGTGCAGTGTATTAAAAATGTAAACTCAAAATTTGTTTAAGTTAAATTTCACAGCTCAAATGTTTAACTGCTGTGAATGCCTGCAAAACCATTTGAATTTTGTTCAAAAAATCCCAGCTTCAGTTGAAAATATTTTAAGTTTTTTAAACCAATAGAAATTTAACCACACATTTGTAGATGTTTCTATTCAATGTATGGTGGGAACTCAATTAACAATTTAAATTGTATGAAATATATCTTTATCATGTAGATGTCTTGAGTAAGAATGATTGTTATAAAAGTTGTGAAACTATCTGGGAAAGAATTGAAGATCGCATCATGCAAGAAGACGTCACAGTTTCCTTTTTGGAAAAGATTGAAGATCACCAGAAACAGTTGTCTTTGATATTTCGTGGTCTTAAAGGTGGTGACGATCGAATTAGAGCAAAGATTGCAAAACTCTTCCGTACTGAGAAAGATCTTCGGAAGAAGGTCGAATTATTGCTGAAAGCAGAGAATTTTTCTCGAAAAGTGCTCTCCGGTAGGAGAATAAAAGAAAGCATTAAAGAACGTGATGTTGAATCTTTGAAAATAAACGAAGTCAATGACGATTTTTGGAAGGAATACACTCCTTTATTGGAAGAATTAGACCCAATAAATAGCCTTCTAAGTTCAGCGTCTTTTGTCAGGATTGCAAAGAGAAATCTGCAAAACAATCCACGTTTTCTTGTTTGCGGTAATGAAGACGACATTATCGACAGAAATTGTCAGCTTTCACTCTTTCAGCTTCTTTCTAAAGAAGGTGTCCTTCGTTTTAAAGCTGAGTGGTTTAAAATATTTGCCAACCCATCTGCTCTGACAGTCGGTCAAATCAATGATTTACTTGGTGATATGGATTTGGAAATGTTAGAGAGCGAAATTGTGCTTTTGGAAAATCATTTTGAAGGCCAACTTCCTTCAGATGTTAAGCTTTACGTCAATGATTGTACGAGATTTCCTCTTGTTTTAGAGCTAACGAAAAATGTCATAGATTTATTGCAGTCGTTAGGAATTCTAAACTCAATAGGATGTGCGAGCATTTCTAAACTGAAGGATTTTCATCGCAAATTTAATTGCAATGTTAATGAAATTGCAATAGAGAATCTACACGTGCACTTAAAACAAGTTGAACAAATCATTTCTCATTATAATATTGACAGAACTGACGAGATGATATTTGCTTTGGGAAACTCTCGAGAACTTATTCGTTTTATCCGCGAGATTGTTAAGGAAGACATTCGTGTTCTCATTGATGCAGTTGAAGAACATTCTGATGAGGCTGTTTCAGCTTCCTTGGTATCAGATCTTATTCAAGTACATGGTTTCATGGTACCCATCATTACAAAATGTGAGCAATCTTTCCCAGCTGATCGTGTATTGAAAACACTTGTAAATGATTATGAGAAACATAGGGAAATGATTCAGAAGATCCGCCATTGTAGCGGACGTGTTCACAGTCTACGAGGCTTGTATCAAAATGTTGCCAATCGAGAGGAAATGACGAGAGAAGTTATAAGAAACTGTTTAAGTTACGGAGTTTTCAATATCGAGTTAGATGCTAAAGGCTTTTGCTATTCGTCAATGATTTATCGCAAAGAAAAAGACGAAGTTGTCAAGAAATCAATGGATGATCTTCAGGATCTACGCAGTCGTGCTCATTTGATTTTAAGTTCAGAACAAAATCCAGAACAGTTATTCGAGAACAAACCTAAACAAGATATCAATTTCATGGAATTTATTGAACAAATTAATCTTTTGTCAGATATTGAAAATACAATCATCGATCTTCAGGCCTCTGGTCACGTAAATTATCAAAGAAATAAAAATTGGAGGAATTTTTCTGGCAAAAAAGATCTTGAAAATATAAAGACTGTTCTTTTTGAAGATTTGCATGAGTGGCAACTTAGTCTTCGCAATGCCCGAGAAAATCATTATTTTTTGAATTACTTTTACTCAGACCAACTTAGGGTACTCTACGATTTTATAATCACTCAAAATATTTGCGAAATTGACCTTCAGAATGTTCTTACACTAATGAAATTTGTTGATCCAACTATCGATGAAAAACATTTGGTGAATTTTAAGAATTTGTATGATTATCATGAATCTGGAAAAACACCATCCGACATTATTGCCTTAATTGGTCATGCATTGGATAAGATATTTTCAAACACTTGCCCAGCGTTGTCGTTGAGAAGGATGTATGATGACTCAACTCACGTCACGCCTATTGTTTCTGTTCGAAAAGGGGAACTGTTCGTTATTGCTTTGGAAGAAAGGAGTCCACATACTGTTAACATGTTGATGTCTCTTTATGAAAACACAACAAATGCTTTTCCAGAGCCACATCAAGTTATGTTTTGCAATGAAACCACGCCCTTTGAGCAGTTACAAATTTTTTTGAATAGATGTTTCAATAACAACAAGAATTTAGCCTGTGATAGTTTATTTTGTTTAGCCAATGTTGAGCTTCTTTCCAATGAACTTCAATTTTACTTGATTGATTACATCAAAAAGAAAGAGTTCCAAGATTGTGATCAGGATTATTTACTTGCAATTATTTGTCGAGGTGGTGCTCATCATCATATCATTGAAGAATTCTCAAAGTTTGTACATCATATCTCTGGTATGTCGTACCCTGAAATTGCTGGTCGATTCAAATCCAAATGGCCGCATGTGAAGTGTGTAACATCTGCGTTGCAAGGACTTGGAAAGACGGAATACATACGAAGAGATGCATTTCAGTTGAAAACAAATGTGGTATCGTTTCCTATCAGTGGTCAGGTTATTGAAAGTAAGATCATAGAGCGATTAAAAGAACTTAACTTGAAGCATTTTCAATGTCTTCACTTTGATTTTGGTGAAGTTGATGATCCAATTTTGTTGGATACATTTATATTCCAGCTTATTATTACCGGAATGGTGTCTTATGGTACTCAAATGTACAGTCTTCATAATGAACAGATTTACATTGAAATTGCAAACTCTTTTAATAACAGGTTGGTTGACAACTTGGTGATTGCACGATGTTTTTCACGTGTAGAATTAACGTGGAACGATTATATAGACTTACATGTTGGCAGTAAAATCACTAGCAATGTTCAAGTTGTGTGTCAGTATTTAAATGCATTAGACAAAGATCAACTGGATAAGACAGATGTCTATTTTACCGGTCCTAGAAAAGTGAAACCGTTGTCAGAGAAAAGATGCCGTCAGCTATTGCGAAAATATTATGGTACAACTAATGACACGACATTTACTGCATTGAACACATTCCTGGGGTTTCTTGCTGATCAGTTGCGTAAGTTTTCAAGAAGCGCTTTTTTTTCGGTTGAAAATTTGAAGTTAATGCTTGAAAATAAGGCTTCAGGTGTCCGTGTCAATCTCCTACAAACTCTTCTCAAAGTTTCTCAAGATTTTGCTTCTCGTTCTTTAACAATGCATAGCTCAAACCAACCACAACAAACGTCTTTAGCAGCCCAAAACATTGTCCAGAGAATGAAGGGAATGATTCAATGGGAACAAAGTAATCATCTATTAATTGTTTTTCAGAGTGTTGACTCTCAAACAATTGCTGCCTTCTATCGTGAAAAATCGAAAGTTCCACCGGATATAAGTGAACTACTTAAAAGCCAGACAGTGAGAAGAAATTGTAAAGAGCTCGTTGATTTCAAGAAGTTAAGTCAAGAATCATTACATGAAATGTTGGAAAAAATTGTTCGCACAAAGTTATCGTGTAAGAGAACGATTGAAACGTTGTCTTCGGGGTATGCGTTGACGCCAGATAACATGTTAAAGATGATCTTGATTATACTTCGTGTTAGAGCAAAGATACCTGTCATCATTATGGGAGAAACTGGTTGTGGAAAGACTAGTCTTGTTGAATATTTGGCATCCACTTGTGAAGTTCCATTCACAATTTATAACATTCATGCTGGTCGCACTGAAGATGATATTAGGGAATTTATTGAAAAGAAAAACGAAGAAGCTTGCATGGATAATAGTCAAAGATGGATATTCTTGGATGAAATCAATACATGCCACCATCTTGGATTAATCAATGAAATAGTGTGTCACCATACCTTACTGGGGCGTCCAATTTCCAGAAAACTGGTTTTCCTTGCAGCTTGTAATCCTTACAAACTACGATCACTAAAAAGCTCTTCCACGGCTGGTCTTGAAGGTAAAAGAGATGATGATGAATGTTCTAAGTTAGTTTATCGTGTTCATCCTTTGCCGGAATCCATGGTTGATTACGTTTGGGATTACGGGTCATTGACGCCACAAGATGAGAAAGTTTACATTGGAAGAATGGTGAATGAATTTCCTGGAGAATACCAACAAGTTTTAACCGAGCTTCTTGCTTCATCTCAGAATTTTATACGGGATGCTGAGAAGAATCCATTCTGTGTAAGTTTACGTGATGTTCGACGTTGCATTCTTCTTGTCAAATGGTTTATTGATACGTTAAAGAAACGAAAATTGTTAATGAAAAAAATCTTAGAAAATGGTGAGGAAATTCCTAAAGTTCCATCTCGTCTAAAGGAAGCTCAGGAAATCTCAGAACGTTACGATGATCTTCCAGAAATAAAAAGTTTTGTTCTAGCATTGGGGCATTGTTATTTGTCAAGATTGCAAACTGTCATTTTGCGAAAAGAATACATAAGAAGTCTTGTTTCATTGCTTGAAATGATACATTTGAGTGAAGAAAGTTTTACAGCAATAATACGTATGGAGCAAGAGGATTATCTTTTACGCATGGAGCTTCCAGAGGGAACAGCAAGAAATGTCGCTCTTCGTGAAAACGTTTTCGTTATGTTAGTATCAATTCTCAATCGTATTCCTGTGTTTGTTGTGGGAAAGCCAGGTTGCAGTAAGTCATTGGCTATTCAGTTGATTAGAAGTAATCTTCGTGGAAAAGATTCAAAAGACGCATTCTTTAAAACGCTACCTCATCTCTATGTCGTCTCTTACCAAGGATCAGAGTCTTCTACATCGGAAGGTATTGAAGAAATTTTTAAAAAGGCCTCAAATTACAAAAAGCATAACAGCAAAAGCAACGTATTACCAGTGGTTTTATTGGATGAAGTTGGATTGGCAGAAAATTCACCAAACAATCCTCTGAAAGTATTGCACAGTATTCTTGAACCAGGAAAAGGAGAGTTACCTGAGGTTGCAGTTGTCGGTATTTCCAATTGGGCTTTAGATGCAGCAAAAATGAACCGGGCAATCCATTTATCTCGACCTGAACCTTCAGCAAAAGATCTTGGTGAAACTGCCATTTCTCTCTATCAAGGTGACAAGAAATCAGAAGACGATATTGATAAGTCAACTGAAAAAGTTCTTCGTTTGATTGCAGAAGCTTATCATGTGTACCGTTTAAAGCAATTGCATCCTAATTTCCATGGTCTTCGTGACTACTACTCTCTTGTGAAAAGCCTTAAGTGTGGCAGCTGTTCTGATATGGAACAGATAAACATCGCCCTGAAACGAAATTTTGGGGGAATTCCTAAAGAATCAAGTAACGTTCAAGAAGTCTTTAATGAAAGATTGAAGACCGTAATTTCTGCTAGCAAGACTGAAAGTTACATTCCAGTTACACGACTTATTGAAGAGAATATTAAAGATCTGAAAGCCAGACATCTTATGCTCGTTTCGAATGGTGATTCTGCTATTGGCATACTAAAGCAACATGTTTCTTACTCTACAAAGGAAACTATCACAATTTTTGGCAGTAATTTTGAAGAAGATAAATCTGATGACTACAACTATAGAATGTTAAGTCGAATCATACTTTGTATGGAGCGCAATTGCATCCTCATTCTTCGTGATCTTGAATGTATATATGGAAGTTTATACGACATGTTGAATCAAAATTATTCTGTTGTTGGAGGAAGAAAAAACTGTCGAGTTGCCCTTGGTGCCAACAGCAATCCCATGTGTTATGTTAACGATGGATTTCGCTGCATCGTCCTTGTTGATCACGATCAAGTCGATTATTCCGATCCTCCGTTCCTGAACAGATTTGAAAAACAACTTCTTCGTTTTTCGGATATGTTAAATGAAACCCAACAGGAAATTATGAAAGAATTGGAGTCATGGGTTCACCAAATGTCGAGTGTTGAAGGTTTCAGAGATAAGTTCAAGGAAGAGGATATGTTCATTGGTTTTAATGAAGACACGTTACCATCATTAGTTCTTTATCACAGTCATGATTTTGTAGAGTCCAAGGATGTCATCGTAAAGAAGTGCAAAGATGATCTTATGTGGATTGCAACACCTGACGGAGTTTTACGCACTGTTGAAAGTGATCGTTATAATGAAGATTCAGGAGAAGTAGAGAAGCTTTCAAATGAATATTTTGAAAAGCCAATTCACAGCGGACTTGCATCATTTATATTGCACTTTGTGAAACGTCAACACTTATACATCAACACTTATGATGCGGAAAGTGAAGCTTGTTCAATCACATTTATGATGACACATGCCACAGTGCACACAGATATCAGTCGTTGCCTTCACATGGAAAATATGTCTTTTCAACTTGAACGACTTGGAGCCTATAAGTCTGGTAAGCAACTCGAAGACAGAATACATCTTTTTTTTAAATCTGAAAAAGAGCTTTTAATCATTCAATACAAACCGGAATTGGACGCAGAACACATGCTTCTCACTCGATCAATTATTGAAGAAAAACGAAAAGCGTTCGCTAAAAAATTTATGGAAGCTCAGTGCACTATGCAAAGGAAACACGTCTGCATGATTGTCCACGTGCGTCGAGCATCTCATGAAAACACGCCACGATGGCAGTTAAATTTCCTTAGTGGATGGAATCAAGTTTTCCTTGATACACTCGAAATACCATCAATTCCGGTGAATGAAATGGTTGACCAAAGCATACATGAAGTCCTTTCAAACTCAGCTTGGTCTTTTCAAAGATTTGCCGAAAACTGCATTGTATGGTGTTTTAACTGTTTAAAGTATTCACATAATGCAATGAACCAAGAGAGTGTGTTACGAATTGCAAAAAACTTGTTTACATCAGATTGTGTCACTAAGACTATTCAGGATCTTGTTTTAAAGGAATCAGGAAACTATACTGGAAACACTAATGAGCAATGGCAAGTCAAAGTTGCTTGTGATGTGGAACTTCTTTGGAATTCTTCAACACTTTCCTCTGCCATGGAACAACATCTTGCATTGTTTGTACGTCAGCCTTTAGCAAAGCTTGTTTACTTTTTGGAAAATGAAAACTGCTGGCCACCTCACCTTCTGAACAAAGATGTTGCAGATGATGAAGAAATGTGGTGTGATCTTTTATCAGATGAATCAATATTCGACTTCAAGAAAATTCCTGAATGCAAAGGAGTGGATTCGTACTCCATTGATGGAATACGTCATGATTTGATGGTTCCATTCAGTCAGGTGATTGCGAAAAGAATGGAAAAAGCACGAGGCTTCATCATAAGAGAATACGCTGAAACAATGGAGATTGAAAATAATTTTGATGAAAATGGTGAATTAAAGAAATCTGTTTTACTTGAGCAACTTCAACGATACTCAAATGCTTTAGAGAAACACTTGCCATGTTTAAGCCAGTTGGCACAAAGTTATGTGAGCTCGTATATGGCTGACATGTTTGAATTAGCATCAGATAGTTTTCATATCAAGATGAATCACAAACATAGAATATCTGTTTCGTTATGCGCTTTCTTATCGTTTGCTCAGCAATGGCAGTGTATAGAAGAGTATGAACCGACACAGTTTTTTGCTTTACTTCATTTGTTTCTTTGGACATCGAAAGAAGACATAAATCGAATTTTGGAACTTGTTAATGGCTTCCTTGAGTTTGATTTCATAAAGTACTTTGAAGAATCTGTTCAAGATTATGTGGATCTTAAAAAGGCAATTCTACCCTTATATTTCTTTAATGACGAGAGGCTGTGTGTAGATAATTCTGGGAAAGATAAAGATTTGTGGGGTGATGAAAAGGAAGACGACAACGAAGAAGACGAAAACGAAGGAGATGACGGGGACAAAGAAGAAGAAGATGACAACGAGGAATGTTTTGAAAATGTTTTGGTAACATCAATATGTGAGGTTATGTTTCCTTCAAAGAAATCCGTACAAAAAAATGGTGGATTGCTTAACTGGATAAACAATGCATCATTTTTGTTGTCACTTTCATCGAAAGTGTGCAATACTGCTCCAGCATATCTTTATTTACGTTTGTGCGTTGAATTTGGTAGCACAGTTGTTCACCCATGTGGCATTTCTGAAGAACATCTTTTTATCCTTAACAAGATAGGAAAGAAACTTGATCCAAATTACCTCGATGACGATCGCTCTCTTTTAATGATCCAAGAACAGCTTTTAGATAAAGTTGAAGATCGTTTGCGAGGTGACGAGAAAAGTATGGGAGCATTACGTACATTTATGTCCCAATACTACAGTCGATGTGTAGAGGCAAGTATGGAAAGTCAACCATCAAGTCCTGTCATTCAACACATCTTCTCATTGGATAACGAAGACTTGCTCTTGATGACTCCTGTGGTTTACCGTCTGTTGTATATTGAAGAAGCTTGTTGCTCTGGGATATTTTTTGATATAATTTTACGGCAAAGCATCGATGAAAGTAATTCATGTCTCCATGATATTGACAACGCCTTCAAAGAGCGATTGAACGACAAAGATATTTGTCACGACTCATATTCAGCTGTCATGATTTGTGACTTAATTCAATTTATTCAAGGTTTTGACGAAAGTTTCCAGATAGAAGACTTAGAAGATCATGATGGGGAATTGATGAAGTATTTTCGTTCAGCAACAAGTGTGATTGCTGGCAGTGGAGACGCAGTTGGCTTGGTACTCTTAACATCTGTTGCATTTCTTCGTGGATTTTATGCCATGTTGTCGAAAAAACCCGACATCTTGATCCGTGAAACGCAATACTCGAATGTTTTGGGCGAAATAAATTCACTTTTGGAAGGTGACAATGGAAGGCGATCCTCCATTCGATTATATTTCTTAAAACAACTTTTTGCATCTGGCATAACCATGTATGATCTTCAAAAGTTATGTTGTGAAGGCAGTCAACTACCCGTGATGAAAAATATGTTTGAGAAAAACTGTAATTTCGCAAAGATTGAATTTTCTTCTGCTACCAGAATGGATGGATACAAAGAAGTTAAAGAAGCCTTGTTACTACAGAGTGAAGGAAACGATGGTAAATTAGATGGTGTTCTACGAAAATGTGAAAATTCCTCCAATTATCGTCTAGCGTTAGTAGGACTCGTCATCAATACTTTTTATGTGCAACGAGCGGCAAGTAATCTCAATGATAACGAAGAAAAGTTGGTGAGAAAGTTATTCAAAAAATTCGAACGTTTTCCACATCATCTGAAGCAACTGGTTTCAAAACTGCTTAGTTTGGAAAAATTCGTTCATCATGGTTTACAAGTTTCCTCTGAATCCTCTACAAAGCAAATTGGTACTTCTTTACTGATACTTCATGTATTGTGTGTTGTTTTGAGCAGCGATGGCATTGAAAATTCTCCATTGCTTCAATACGTTATCAACCAAAAGAATTTCCATCCAACCACCTTACTTGGACATGGAGAAAAACATCGAATGTTGGATCAGTACCGATATTTAAAACATGCTTCATTTAAAAATTGCTTGTGCAAGTTACATCTTCAATATTATGGTCAATTGGAAAAATGTCCCAACTGTGGTACAAAAATGGATGCTAAGGATCATGGTGATTCCATCTCTAACGAAGCATTAAAATCCTATTTTGACAGTGCTAAGAGTAAAGATTGGGAAACATGCACTGTGAACATGGAGCCGTCTGTTTATCGAGCGTTACATTTAATTGTTAACGCATGTTTTTATGGAGGAATTGCTGCTGGACTATCTTCAAATGAGATGATATTGAAAACTCTATTTCCTGACAATGAAGATGGAAGTTTTGCAGATGCTTGTCTTAATCAAATAAACGAAGATCTAAAATGTTTGCAGACTATTCTTTCTTGTAAGAGACAAACTGCAATTGATGTAATGCACTTAGTTGTTGAAGAATCCACTCCACTGCTTCAAGGAAAAACGAAAGATGGAACCTCCTTACAAAATACAAACGACTGTGTGAGGTGGGAAAACAAATTTGTCAATGTGGTTGAGGATTTGTTTCAGAAAGCCCATGGATCAGTTACGTTGATCAAGGAAAGTAGAATTAAGTTTGAAATGCATTTTCAAATTGAAGACGAAGTACAAGAACTTGATGAATATCCGTCTGATTACGAAAAGCAGGATGAAGAGCTAAAAAGATTGTTTCGTGTCACCAAAAATCCGTCGTTTACGGAACTATGTTCCAAATTTTTCAACTCATCTAACGAATTTCAAAAGCAACACTGTGTCCTGGCTGTATTGTTATCGTGGTTTGACGAACTTCCCTATATTTCTTGCTTATACCCACTCTTAAAATGGTCGCGTTTGGTTTCCACAGAATTGACCCATCTTATTAGCAGGAAAGAAGCTCAAACCTGCCGAATTAGTGATTTTATTGATGGCAATTTACAACTAGAAAAAAATGCGGAGAAGAAGGAAGAGTATAAAGAAAAATTCTGCGAATTTAAATATGCTTGGGAAAAAATTTACGAACTAGTAAATCAGCAGTTGGACGACCACAAAGATATTCCTTTCATCGGTGAAGATCATCCCATTGGATATTGCCTTTTAGATGGCGAGCTCAGTATATATTTACGAAAGGCGATAAAGATCTTACAGACAATGCAAAACAGTTTTTTGAATGTGATAATGGCGATTGCATTGAGAACGAATCATCCAGCTGTTAGTTTCCTCAAAAAAAGCGAGAACTGCTGTGGTGTGATGTCAATATCACTACAAGAAGCTAAAGAAAAAGATATCATCAATATGGAGTGGTCAAACAAATTCCTGAGGTACACACAGAATCCAGAGTATGGTTGTGGAGAAGATATTGATTATGATTTTGAGCAGATAGAAAGCAAGTTGGCGAATGAAGTAGTTCTGGGAAAACTTTATCTTACAGATATTTCAAGTACATTCATATTTTCCCACGAACTCTTCCATTCCAGTGCTAATGTATTAATGAAACTTCGTGATTTATGCCCACAAAGTCCAACTCTTCCTGAAGGTATTTATCAAGGAATAGAGACACTTAAAGAACGCAGAAAACAAGATGCACGTAATTTACTTCAAAACATCGAGATTATCATATATTTACTGCATTCGGATCCCAAATCCATCGAAGAAATTCAAAATATGGAACTTGTTGAATTTGCTGACACATTTAAAGATAAACTTCCACGTCCGTTCCCAGTTGACTTGTTACCTGAACCCAAGAAATCCATTCATCTTACTCATATTGCAGCTCTGTATGAAGCGTTAGAAGACGTACTTGCCGATGGTACCATCGAAGGTTTACCAATACAGTTCCGAGCTGATTTGAAAGTAGACATAAAGGAAAAATTGAATAGTTTAGTCCACCACAGAAATGGGCCGATCAAAGCAAAACAGTTTCTTAAAGTGTTACGTCGTTTTGCATTTCGTTATCTGTCAGCTGAAAAATTTCATCCTGAAGCCAAAACACCTTTACGTAGTTGTCTTCAAGAACCGTCATTGTGGACACCAGGCGATATTCCAGAAGAAAATATTATCCCTAGGGAGTTAATGTTGGCTAACATTAAGGCAATAATTAAACATATACAGCAGGTAAATATATTTTCATATTTTATTTTTTACCAAATGCATGTTCTTCATCATTACATTCAATGAAGGAATGTCTGTCAGGGGTGAATTTGCACTCGGGAATATTCATGCACAAATTAACTAAACCTGGTATTTTTATAATAACAAACAGACACACGGTATTGACTTCACAGAAAATTTCTTGTTTTTAAATTACAAACAAACGGCGAAAGTATTTGAATATTTACATGAGCTAGTTGAAGCATTTGACGTATTTGAGCAGAAAGAAAAAAAAAGGTTTTCAAACGTTCGTTTGTGCTTCATCTTGTACACCTCGATGGCTCATGGCCACTTTTTTTGTTCTTATCCAAATAACGTCATATCCGTGTATCTATTACTGAACAGACAGGTTTATGGTAATCTATTTATTAAATATGCTTACATTTGATTTTTGTATCTCTATTTTATAATCAGAATTCACATTGTACGTGAGTGACGCGGGCCTTTTGAAAGTTTCAGTTTTTATTCGACTGAATCTGTATAGTATGGTGTTTAACTTGTTTGAAGTATTCACAAAATGCCAAGCAGCAAGAACGTTTGTTGCAAATGGCGTAAAACCATTTTACATCAGATTACATCTGAATAGTTACACTGTGCTCAAGTTCTTGTTTTGATTGAATCAAGCTACTCAGCAAAAACACGTACCATCGTAGTGACCAGCGAATGTTTAGGACGTGGAACTTTTTTGTAATTCTTCAATACTTTTTTCTGCCAATATTGTAAGTCATCCAATTAAATTGCAATCTCAGGATTGAGGGCCCATTGTGACGGGATAGTATTTGAAATTTCTAATGAATATCTTAAATAACATGGAAATATTCCGCAGAAAAGAGATGTATGCATATTGAGCGTGAAAACGCGTAAAGCAAAAACTTTTCTTTCATCCAGTGCAAAATCAGTTATTTTATTTTTAATCATCTTTTCTACAGGAACAAAGTGGACAAACAGGTGGTGTGCAAAATGTTAGAAGAAATCAGCCTACAGCCACTAAAAGAAAAGGAAACAGACGGTCTATGGCAATGAATTTTGATCGCTAACTATTTTCTATTATGAAACATCGACGGTTTTTGAATTGTTGCATAAAACAGTTAACTGATATTCTTATTTACAGACTTGTATCTATGTTAATTTTTTTGGAAGGTAAGAGTTTTGTTGCAGTAGCTATATTATATACTAAGTGATAAATTAGATCCTACAGTTTTTGTCAGAAGATTCACGTACACAGTGCAAGCTGTTCTTTTTTTGAACAATTATTATAATGATTCAAAAGATTATTTTTATGTATTTTGACAAGTATTCATAACGTAAATCTCGTCCAAGTCACATGTTTTTTATGTGCATGTAAAAAACCGTGTTAGGATTTATATTATCGTAACGTAAAGTTGCAGAACCATCACTACATTTTTACAATTCTTACGTTATTGTCAATGACACTAGTAAATATATTTATTATCAGTGGCGTGGTGGCAGGAAGGCCAAGCCCCAGCTGTTGATTTTGGGGGGCGCAGAAATGAATATGAGTCACGACGTTTTAAATTTGGGTTAGAAAAATGAATTGAAGCAGAACAGTTATTTCCACAGTTATAATACACAGTTAATGAAGTTAACTTTGGGGAAAAAGGAAGACTGATCAAAATGAAACCTTGTAGGGGGGGGGTCGTGTTACAGTCTATTAAAGAAATATACAGTCTAATAAAGTAATTGAGGAGCATTCTTGATGTTTCTTATGTGGCCACAACACTTGACTTGTCAGTTGTCACAATGACTGTGGACAACATACAGGGCCAAATTTAATGTCCTCTTAGGGGGCGCAACAAGGCCTAAAAATGTATAGTTTTTTGCCTATTTCAATGAATTTTCTTTGCTTTCTCCCACAGACAGGAATCGTTCTGGCATTGCATCTTATTATTAATCCAAGCTTAATAATATTTTTTATGGGTAGCCACAATGTTATACTAAAAAATGTCCAGGTGCTAGGACGGCAATTCACGAATTGACACGACTACATGACGATGTTGCGTTACGGAAAATATTCGAAAGTATAAAATTAAGGAAAATCGTAAAATTTTACTGGCAATAGTTGAAATAAACATCTCAAAATATCATACAGGTATACTAAAGGTTAGTACTAATACTGAACACCAATCATCTACAATTCAAGACCTCCCGTTGGATTAAAAATAGAAATATTATTGTATAACATTCTGTTGTGAAGATTTTTTATTAAAGCGGAAAAAAAATTAACTTTTTGTTAAAATTTTTGAGATTTCTTGAGGACGTCGCTACTCTTGTTATAGTGGCTAGCCTACTTAGCAGGCTTATTGAGTCAATGACTGAAGCCTGTCTCTCAAACAAACGTCCGACTTGTTTCAGTCGTTTAAGTCAGTCCTCCATAGAGCGCAAGCAAATAAACAAATAAGAACTTTTACTTTGTGGTATTTGGAGAAAAAATTATCATTTTTGTTGATAAATTATCTATAATATTTTGGTTATCATTACAAACAAATGACCGTCAGCCTTCTCCAGTGATTTCTCAGGTAGTTAATTAAATATTAGTCATTTACGCTATTTGCGTACCTATTTTTAATTTTCTAGTGGTAGCGCAGTCCATCTGTAGAGTGTAATCAAAATGCAAAGGCTAACATAAGGTATCGAGAGTCAATAATATTGTGGCATGTACTGCAAATTTCATTAGTTCAAAGGTGAAGGGGGCGCGAAATTTACTTTGGCCCCCGCAGTAAAAATTGCACCACCACGCTACTGTTTATCATCATCAGATATCATTGTTAAAGTAAATCGGGCAGTTATTATAATATTCCCAAAATATTTCTTTGTACTTTCCACTACTAAGGGTTGGGTTCAAGTGACTTTGGCAATTGTACATAAATTAGTTAGCATTTGGGAATAGTATGAACAACTAATTGGTAAATGGATTGGGATGAAGAAAACAGATAATGAGTAAAAACTGCAACATTTGCGTCAAAGATGGTGTTATCCCTGTCACGAAGTGAAATGATATACAACAGAGGGAAAGCTTGTCCGCTTACGCAAGAAAACGAAAAGGTCATTTTACGTGGTCATTTTACAAAGTCTGTTGTCCTGCCTATTTCCCAGATAGAGACGATGACTTCGCGACTATGAATGTTGACTGTTTAAAATGAGGTTGGAAAGGAAGGCTATGGTTACATTACGGTAAATTAAATATGGAAGATGTGCCTTTCAATGTAACTAAACTCCATGTATATGCCCCTGTAAACAATGAAAGTCCTTTGAATAGTTTATTAAGGCAGGAATAGATTAACGATTGTCATGTGGGGGCGATTTACTTGTTGCCGTAGCATGTAGGACTTTGGTACGCACCCTACCCATTTTTTTGAAATGGTGTCATAATATATATAAACATTATAAAAGATAGATTTGGTAATAAAATAAATTGAGGCAATGATTGTAGAAGGAAAAATAGATTCTCTCACGATTGGTAGACTGTGTACATCTTAAAAAAAAATCAATATTTTCAAAACAAGTCAAACAACCCATGCCCGTCAACTGGATGCATCCAAGAGTCGCGAGTTTAACTCGTGGGACAAAAGATGTTGAGAAATGAAAGATTGAGATTGACGAGTCATCCACTAAAATATAATGTATTCTGCCACATTTTCCTCGAGATATTAGAAACAGGTTGAGCTATTTCGTATTTAGATCGTAAAATTACTTTTAAATTTATGAATGAAACATACTCTGAATTGAAACTTGGAGGGCAATTTAATTAGATAGAATGAGCTTGCCATAACTTGAACAGCTGTTTTGTATAAACAACTTTCGAGCGCGCTCACGGCGTTTTTTATGATCTAGACACAACTCAAATACATATCGTGCTTGTTTTTTAAACCTTTGACGATGAACTTTATTTTTTTACTCCTGACCCTTACTCTTGACCCCTGCCTTTTAGACACTGTAGTAGCTGTTAACTGTATCTATCTCCAATATAATCTTAGGAAAATGAACCTTAATATATCTCATGCCATTCAAAGGAAATGAAGTGTCGTGTTATATGTTTTCTGTCTATTTTCGTTTTCAACCCTTCAACATTGCAGAACAATGTATGGTAGTGTACTGTACGTTTGTGAATCATCAATGTTTGTGGTTAAATGACGTGATTGTTTTCATATAAAACTTTAACGATAATTACGTTCGATTGATGATTCCAACATTGCAGAACAATGTATGGTAGTGTACTGTACTTTGGTGAATCATCAATGGTTGTGGTTAAATGACATGATTGTTTTCATATAAAACTTTAACGATAATTTCTTTTGATTAATGACTCGATTGTATCTTTCAGAGGGTAATAATCTCTAGTGAATCCATCTGATCCCTTCTTCACCGCGATAACCTCCCATGTGTCATTTTTTCGAATAAGGCTGCACATGATGATTGATCTGCTTTCTTTAACGCTCGTGGCAACTCTGTCATTGCACAGTTGCTTGTCAGGATCTTTTAAGTCATAAAAATTTAGCCTGTAGTAAGGATATTCTGAAACACTGGATGAGCGCCAAGCACTGAGAGTAAACACTATATTATCAATATGCTTTGGAATTATCTTGAGATTTATATTCACACTTTGACTTCCCTCATTGTGACTCATATCGGCAGAACCTGAATGTTCGATTCCAGGAACATAATCTAGACTCCGCTCCCGATAGTATATATAACCGACATTGTGAGCACCACTGCATGGAAACACCGAGACATCCAAATAATCAGGTATGTTTTCACCACGTCTTAATCCCCAGCAAAAGTGGAAGATAAGCTCGTCTAATCCATCTGGTACGGCACATATCACAACGATAAGATGTAAAGTGCTATTTGAAGGGATCTTAATATCTTGTAGCGTTTTGTGGTTCTGCAAAATATAAATGTAGAGTAGAGTCATCGGGCCTATTTTTTTCGGGTAAAGAAGTATTTCAAGTTGAGATGAATTTTAGGGAGGACTCTCATGCAGTAAAATAAAATATTTCTATCGAGTCAGACTTGGACTAAACGTGTGGCTTTGCATCAAGTTTTCATCCCTATTGTGCACAAATAATGTATGGAAAGTACAGCCAAGTGCTAACATATTTCATGAGTATATCGAAGGTCTGCGACGAAAGTTAAAGTAAAACATCGCATTTATAAATGCTTTTCAACACCAAGTACTGTTCAGGTTTATACAAACTCTTGTTAACAACGGTAAAATTCTGCAATTAACAAGATGAAAAAGCGACGATTTTTTCTGAAATGAATGTATACATCCCTGGCTACATGACTGCATGGTAACTGCGTTCTTTCAGAGTAATTTCAATGTATTTAGGAAATATTTGCTTGGATCACAGTCGTCATGAGAAAGACACCACTTCATTACACTGTAATTGTACGTCATGTCTTATTCATTATACTAACTTCACATTCTTTATTTTGAAAAAATAGACGTTGCTTTCCATGTTCCGTTTTGAGTTCGGTTTCTACTTCTTTCTTCAAATTGATAATTCTCTTGTTCCGATTATAAGAAAGAGTCAATGATTCTCCTGACATGGTAGTCACATAAATATTACCCACGTCTTCGGAAACATCCATTTCATCAAAGTATATTTCTTGATCCTCTTGGTTAGGAAAAAGGAATTCCAATGCCTCCACATAATCTTTGTAGGTAACATTATCTTCAGTCACATCGATACCACACTGGGAACATTTCTTCATATCCTGAACACTTTGGACTGCACACTAAAAAAATAAACGCGAATCTTATTGATAATTCCATTGGTTAAAGCTTTCGCTTTTTTGCTAATAAAATATGACGAAAGCAATCTATGTTGCTTGACGCAACAGAAATAAGACTCGGTTGCTTTGTTGAAAGTTTAATCTTTAGGGCATTATGTAAAGGAATTTTACTCAAATATTCGTTTTTACATTTTTTAATTCACTCGCAGAGTAACATTAGCTCTTCCATTTAACTAAGTAATGTTTATAACTTATATGAATCTTGACAACAGAGCCGCAGCGGGCATATCATACTTGGGCGTATGAAATGAAATTGGCCAGCAACGTACATGGGATAGAACCTTAACAACACGTATTATAGAGCGCGAACGATGTATAATCAGTGATGTTTTGCGGGGGATAGTGGGGATTGATTCCCCCACTGTTTTGAGAAGAGGAACGGCACTCCCGTTATGAAGAATTTTGCGTTGACGAACGGACAATGGAATGTTATATTGTGGCTAGTAAATATGAATTATGTAGAACGTATTGTCTCTACAAGATAATTTGTTGTGTGATAAAACACAACAAATACGGCATAGGTGCTCCCTATAACGAAATCTTATTATACAGTAAATTGGAACAATGCTTAAATGTTTCATTTCGGTTATAAATTACAGAAGTAGGAAAATGTTTTTAGAAAGTTGGCACTGAACAATCAGTGTTTGTCGGGATTTTTCGGAATAAGGTTTCTAAAGAAATGAATACTTTTTTGAAAATTTTCCATTGTATGTAGGGGTAAAAATTTTTTGTCTGTTATTTGAAATAAAACTCAACTACGTATTTACTCGATCTGGCACATCGCCACAGGTATTTTCAAATGCAGTGCTGGCAGCACTGCATTAAAGACGCGAATATCATAAAAGAAGTGATCACCAACATTCAATCAACTTTTCCAGTTTATTTTCCTGTACTAAACACCTTTTCGTTGAAAATGAGTGTACTTTGTTTGTAACTCTCAGTCTCTCACTGGTAATTTCTTCATGTATTTCAATTGAGCTGGAATGCTTTTTTTATAGGTCAGTGGTGTTAAATGGTAAAATCTTGAATTGGACCATTGCGTGTTGCCAGGTATTGCGTCTTCACCATTGCGCATTGACTATTGCGTCTTCACTTGTCCCCAAGCAATAATCACCAACCAAATCACCAATGAACCGAATGGCTCATGCCTGCCTTCATCAAAAGCTTAAAAGAATTCCTTTCTCCTGACCGGAACGATGGCAAGTGGGCGTTTATTTAAAAAAGATATTCACCGAAAGTCGTAAAAAAGGAGTTTCACTTGTAAAATGCTGTGCAGTGACCTGCAGTAAACTATGCAAGGCAATCTACCATGTAGTCAATTGATCAGATATTTGTAAAATTTCTTTTGTAAACCTCCACAAAATAGAATTTTTGTCGTTTTTATAAGATATAAGTTGATCAAATTTAAGTAAATAGTGAGAAAAATTTAAGTCAACATAGCAAATTTGTTCACTTTGGCTTTGGCAAGAAATGAGGAGAAAACTTGTTACTAGTTATTTATTGTAGTGGCTTATTTTAATGAGGAAGATAGCTAGATCATTATTGGGAGTTGGGGGTATTTATATTATGAACTGCACGCTGTATTAAGTTCCTTAAAAATGCATTGTTTTCTACATAGGTTAACATGCATATATGAATATAAGCCTCCCAATTAACGATCTTCTTACAGCCATGATGAGGAAAGTCAACCAATATGTCCCTTTAAAAAACATTACATGAAAAATTGCTTGTTTGTTTCTCCAATACACAGAGGATGTTAAATTTAATGAAGTTAACATTAATGTGTTTGTGCTAACCACTTTTCTTGATGTTTATGAATTGCTTTCATTTAGAGTCATCTTATGACTTATTATTTTACAAATACATGGGTACAGAAGGTGTATCAAATTCATGGGAACATGGAGGCCTAGTGAGTGAGTTGACAGAAACTCTATATATCCTATAAAAAATACACTGTTGTGCTGTTTTGGCATTGTCTTAAAAAGATAATATGTAGTTGTTATGGAAACTATTTAAAGCAAAAAATGACCATGATACTGTTACATCTTGTGTATATTTGTGTATATATAAAACATAGGATTTGGTCATCATTTACTATGGTGTTTCGGACAGAAAAAACTTATTTTTTTTGCAAAAATTTATTCATGTGATCCAAAATTTTCTACCCATTCACCTATACAAAATATTTATGAATTAAAAGTAATACAAACAAGTATTTAACATAATAGCTGTACACACTTTTCTCATTGTATTTTTTCACAAATCTTTATATTCAGTACATATATGTTAGAACAATAGCTCAGGAACATATTTAACAATTTGTTTGGATATGCTTTTAAATTTGTATTCAATTTCACTGCTTAAACCAAAACTCAATTAAAACAAAATGCTGCTCAATGTCACTATTTTCCTTTACAATATCTGGTTTTTCTCTGAAAATTTTTTTAGCAAATTTGGAATGTTTAACTTGTTTGGCATAATGTCAGTATTCAATTCTTGAACATTTAGTTTTTAAAGCTGTATCCATTTTATATTTCGTTTTGCATAACTGTTCTTTAGTAAGTCAATTAGTAACATAATTTTTTATATTCACCTTAAGCAAACAAGAATTTTCTTTTAATAAATAATGACAAGTCCTTTGGAGGAAGTAGTGTATTGGAAACTATTGCTTGGAATAATGGTATACTCTGTATGTAACTTGTTAAAACTCTATTCTATTCTATTCTAAATTTCATCACATCATACTTGAACATCTAACATCAAAAAAACAGTTTCTTTAGCATTAGAAGATGCATTTACTTAGGAATAATGTATTTATCGAAGGAAATGAATTTGCATGTTATACTCAATAAATAAATCAGTGGATTTTGCTCTTACCTCCAAACAATGAAGTAAAGCATGTTTGCAGCTCTTTGTTAAAGGGAAAAATGGAAATTCATTTGACAGTTTATTCTGATCACATTTGTGGCACTTCATCTTGTTATTCTCGTGGTACTGGTAACTTAATGTGATGTCACGATAAATGAAATCAAACTTTAATTCTTTTAAGAGAATCGATTGAATTTTTAAAATATGTCACAAATAACTGACAGAGAACTGAAACTAATTGCTTTATTTGCTTCCCAGAATTAAAAGTGAAAGTAGCAAATTCTAGATATTTCTGGCGTAGGCGTTTCGGAGTTGTGACATTGTGACGCACGCAGTGAAGCATTTTTTTGCAAAGGAGGAGTGGCGTGAGCAGTGAATTGTTAAAATGAGCTGCAGTACATATTGCATATTATGTTGATTTTTTCGTGAAAGCCATTTGGGATCTACTGAGTGAGGAGTTTAACGCGCGATGTAACTTGGGTAAGATTAAGTTGAAGTAAAAATTCGCCCACTTCCCTGAAAATCATCTCTAAATTTGTAATAATATTGCATCCTTTTGTGGTCAGACAAGATTGCTTGTTTCTTCTATAAGCTATGTTTAAATTTTTCATGCTTTGTAAAAGTAACTCAGTAGCGAATACTTGGTTTTATTGTCTTAATATATATATTGTGAGATCTTAGATATATTGTGAGGACAAAGTATGTTCTTGGTTATAAAGGTTCCACATTCTTGCATATAAAATTCATTTTTTAATGAATTTTTCATGTCATGTCTGGTATCTTTGTCCTTGCTTTATGATGGTTGATTATTGTTGCCATAACGTTCACAATCGTGATATCGTGATACGGCACGGCATTATTTTAAGTTGACGATTGTTGATTTAATCCCACGGCAAAAATTATAAAATATAATGAAAGACGAAAAGAAAGATAACCCTGTATATATATGTTATGGAAATAAATGCGTGTTTTGAGCAACGATATATCAATACAGCGCACGTTGCGTTTCAATGCCTTAGAGGTGAGTGGAAGTGTGAGGCATAATATAAAACAAATTCCGAAGAAGCAAGACATCTTGAGATTGCAAAATATGAATCAAAACAAGACGAGAAGTAAACTGTAAATTTTCGACTTTTATTTCAAAGTCATCCTCAGACAGAATGATATTTAAAACCATACATACACATAAATATTTACAACGCATGAAATAAGTAAACGGTTGTATGGTTTTAAATGTGTATGGATTTATTATTTTCATTTTCATTCCATCCATTTTTCATGTTGTTGTATTAGACATTGGTTTTTTATGTCAAATTGCTCGTAAGGATATGAATTTACCGACATTTCTTAAGGCTCTTTTCCACTCATCGCAAAACGTACCGCAAGCTAGCTGCGAGTGCCTGCGAGTTACTTACAGCGAGCTTACTATGACTTGCAGCATAGTTAAATTAATTGAACAAAATTTTTTGATCGCGCGAACAGACTCGCAAGCTTGCAGCGAGAGCATTTGGCGATGAGTGGAAAAGAGCCCTTAACGTTATAATTACCGAAATTCATTTCAGTGTCGACAAAATGCCATCAAAAGGGAGGAAAAAGAACAAGAGAAATAGGAAACGTAAACAGAGAGATATTGGACAAACCGAACAAGGAAGGAATTTCGAAAGAAATTTTTTAACCAACAAAGAAAAAGATGAAAGCGATACTCATTTATCAAGTAACAATCCTATAGTGATAAATGTTCAGTGTTCGAGCGTATCTCAAAATGAAAAGGACACAACATCCTTTGAGGTGAGGTTTGTCAGCATGGTCGCATGAACTTTAGAAACTACTTATACAGCGTGTAAGCACTTGTTAACTGAATAAATAGGAAAACGGGTTTGATTGTTAAATATTGTGGAGTATATATCTGCAGAAAAAATGCATTTTGAGAATTTTCTTAAATGTTTGAGCTTATGACTTCGAAATTGAGCATTTCATCTTTATTTGAGATCTTTAACTTGAACTGTTTGAAGTATTGTTGAGAAATTACAAATTATAAGCAATTTTTTGCCACAAATTATTTTGTTCTACAACTAACGTGATTACATTATGCTTTAGCCAATGCAGGCGGAAGTGCAAATTTTTGATGAATCAACTACGTCAGGAAGCAGAAAACGTAAATTTCCTGATAAAAATAAACAAGATAAGGACACAATTCATGCAAAGAAACATATGGTACGACCTCTGAATGGTAGCTATTATTTATCTAATCTTTCAATGAGACATGAGCCGAACATTGGAGTTTTTACGTATTATTGTGAAAATCAGTTATGAGTTTACAGTATATGTCATTTTCCCTACATTATCTAACATTTACTATGTTATCGCGCATATTTTTTTGTAGAAGAACTGTCTGAAGGTTGTCGTTTATATGATTGTTTTGTCGCCTCTTTTTTATGGAAAATGTTTTAGGCCTAACAATCGATATAGGTTCGTTTTTTAGTTCGATACATCGATTCCGTTTCACGGCGGCCAAATGCCCACCCTATTACATGCAGAAATGTTTCGAAAATTTTAAAATGTCCGCAAAATGAAATACTTCATTGCCTCCTGTCCATTCAAATTAATCAACGCAGCATATGGTTATACATTATTCCGAATCGAACCGAGGTTGTTTCTCAAAAAAAAAAGCTGAAACCGAAACCCAGATGAAATTTCTGGAACTGCACAGCTTTACACTGGAGAGTTGATAGTGACGTAGAAATCATTAACTTAACTGATCATATTGACATTATTTACAGGTCACTGAAGCTGAAATACATGCACATGGTGCACACGATACTCATCGTGAATTTGACTCAGGTCACTCTTCAAAGAATTTACCATACGTTAATGCAAGTCAATCAAGTAGCAAAAAACGTAAAGTGGCTGCTGGAAATAAAATGGAAGAGGGCGAAAGTCTTGCAAAGAATCCCAAGGTAAGATTATTGTCTTTTGCGTATTTTTCTTAGATTATTTATAAAAATGATAAAGGATGTTTTTCTTTCTTGTCAATTTCCATTTTTGACACTTTTGTAGAAGTGTCATTTATGTATTGTATCAAATGTAGTTTCTCGTCATGATAAACTAAAATGTTCCAAGTGATGTGCAATGCTCTTGTACTTTTACGCTTTGCAATGTTTTGGTCACACGAAAAAAGCGCATTCGGTCCTCTTGGTTTTTCTCTTCTTTATGGATTGCAGTGGAATTCGATCTAACCAACTTTATTGGAACCAAGAATTTAAAGAAAAAAATAAGCCTGAATTTATCACATGACAACTGCTTTTCTGTTCTCCTTATATTCTGCTCAAAACTCATTTATTGCTAGCTACACTGCTTAGGTATATAGCTACAACATTTAAGAGTTGAAACAATCTGTGAGCGCGTAAATGCAATATCTTAGGAAACAGATTTAGTTTTTCATGGAAATGTCTTGCTGTACACATTCACGTTTCCAACAATCTATAAAAAATACAGCATCACAATTCAGCTAAAGTGTTCTGAAGCAAAACATCGCTAAGAGAGCAGTTATTTATTTGATAAGGCTGAAGCAGTTTAACTAGTTTTTCTAATATCAGTTACAGCATTTAAGTGGAAGGAATAAAAAAAAAACAAAAGTTGTAACCTGTTATAATAAGTTGTTATTTCTTTTATATTGTCTAACATTTCTACTACCGAACCTTGGGTTCGTTCACGCTTCGTTTTTCCTTGTGGTTTACTCAAATTGTCAGTCAATATTTTAAACATGGCTTCTTTACCTTTTTTGGTTTCTATTCAACCGTAGTTAAATCTCCTAGTAAGAAGTGTAACCCGACTATAAATTGTTATCTAAATAATTATTAATTAATTAATTAGTGGAACAGTTTTTAAAATATCCTAACGTTGGGCGAGGATTCTAGAACGTGTGCAGCACAGAAGTCTGTCATAAAGTCGTTATTTTATGTTTAATGTGACAGTTTTGATATATAAGTATGATTTACAGTATTTATTGCAAAATTTAACCATCTCTCCCCCCCACCCCCCACCTCCCCCCAATGATATAATTCTATTTTATTTTATGTGCGTCTCGAAATGTTTTACTAGCACTACCAGTAAATCTTAATTCACTGTAATGCTATTTCTACTAAATAATAATGATGTCGTATGATGTTCTTGGACATGAGTGGAAGAGAGGTCAAAGTCTAATAATTTCTTTATTATTTGTTTTTATTCCCGCCGTAGAAAGACGACAATGGTGCAGATTACGATGCCAATATTTGGAGAGAGTTGTCACATTCCCTTACTCAGCTATTGTTAGCAGCCGATATTTCAAACAAAGGTGTTGATCAAATATACGACAATTTAAAGCTTGATTTCTCAAATGACAATGTGATCCAGGAATGTATTCGGTGGATAGTACAGGCCACAACATCAACTACTGACAAATGGCAGCTTCTATTTCTCTGTGCATTATTGGGTTATGTCGCCCAGATTAAAAAAGTTGACGTCTTGAGCGTGCCACATGACGACACCACAAAGATTGGTTTTGATAAACTGCTTTATAATCTTGAATACTTCTTCAAAAATCGAATCAAATTCCACCATAAATTTTTTGAGCTGCTTGCAAACAGTGCCAGCACAATTGTCGAAGGATGTAGCAAACCAGGATGGCTTACTTTAGCTGCATACTTTGGATGGTTTTTTGATATGGAATACGTACTAAAGTGTAGACAGATGGACAATTACAGTTATAGCAAAGAAGAATTTAAAGAGCTACTTCCTTTACTGGTTTATGATGTAGAAAGTGTAGAGCCATTGTACGTGAATGTTTATGAACGTTATCTGAAACGTATTCTACAGTTTGCCCCTGACGATGAAGTGTTGTTTCAAATGTTTCAAGATAAAGTTCACAGATTTTTTTTGTCACAGCATCATAAAGAGCGTTTCTTTATTCAAGTATACTCTGAAAGGTTAAAGAACGTTGAAGGTAGCTTGGCAAAAAAAATTGCAGCCGTCAAAAGATTTCCGGAAAAAATGCGTCAACAATTACATGGCGTCTATTACGCTTGTGTTTTGAATTATATTTATGTCCGTGATCCATTACAAGAAGATGTGCATGCTCTTTGCAATTTGATTATTGATCTAAGCCATGAACACATGGAGGATGTATTAGGTCGGATAATTCAAATACAACCATCATATCTTGATGACTTATTTCATCGTGTGTTAAACGACAAAAAAATTCTCAACAAATGGAAGAAAATTGTTTTCGAGAAACGAGCCTCTCTTTGTGCGGATTGGATCCGTTATAAGATTGAGTCAAACGGAGAAAAATTTACAAAAGTAAAAGCAACATTGTCAAACGTTGAAAAAATAATCTCTTGTAGTAATGTTGCATCTGCTGATGATGTCAAAGAACGTTTGTTCCAAATTTTTGTCAAAGATCTTCGACAAGAAGACCCAAAAGTGTTATTGGAAGAATCTAAAGAACTTTACATCACTAAACCTTGCATAAGAAAATTCATCGCGGATGTTATTCAGGACACAATGAAGAAAAATGAGCAGTTCTTAAGACGTAATGGTTATGTCTTACAATATTTGTCAAGGTTTGTGGAACAATGGGCTCATTTAAAATGCAAAAAGCAAATTTTAATGAAAGCTATAGAAATATTTTAACAGTTTGAAACAATAAACATTGAAATATGTAGAATAAATACAAAATTGATATCCATTAGTTAATATGGTGATAACTTCAGCACATACCACACAGGATGCATCGTGCTTTCAGAAGTGGTATTTTGTTTTTCATTTTCTTAATGCACATGTCATCGTTGTCTTATTTTCTGTTATAGTCAAGCACCATCTATGAAGAAACACACTGGGTATGTTTGTGATGTAACATTTTTTGAAAGATTGTTATATGCAGTGCGGTGTTTGAAATTAAATGAAGATATGATCTTCGCACTTAGCTGGACAATTTAAGCAATTGTCTCATGAACCTGAAAAATTCAGGTGACAAATCCCGTTGAGTCACCTGAAAGAATGAACATAAATAAATTTATCACTTTCCGTTTTCTAGATACGAGAAGTGCCTATTGAAGTGTGCGTTGAATGTCCTTAACCCTCCAAAAGAAGAAAGTAAAGATATGATTGAGCAAGCACTTCAATTTTGTGACATTTGGGTTGAATTAGTTGTAATAGGTCTGTTGTGCATGCGACATTTGATGCGAAAAAAAAGAAATATCTTATTGATATGTTTGCTTTCTAGACGATTTTCGTACAAAGAGCTCTTTTCAAGCTTGGAGAAAGATTTGGAAGATTATAGAAGATTGCATCATGAAAGAAGACATCACAGTGTCGCTTTTTGAGAAAATTAAAACTTATCAAGATCGATTATCTTGCATTTTTTGTGGTCTTAATTCAGGCGATGTGCAAAGTAAGTACTTGCTGAAAATATCAAAACTTAGCGAGGTTGTTGATGATTTTCGCACGAAGTATGATCTTTTACTGAAAGCAGAGAATTTTGCCGTGGAAGTTTTGCCTGGTTGGTCATTGAGAGACGGTATTAGTGAAGTGAATGATCTGAAATCGACCAAATGTAATAAAATCAGCAACATGTTTTTGGAACCATTTGGGCCATTATTGCAACAATTAGAGTCTTTGAAAGTGCTGCTGCATTCAGTTTCGTTTTCTAAATTTGCTAAAACGTATCTCCAAAAAAATCCTCTCCCTTATCACGCATATCTAAATATAATTGATCGGGAGTGTCAACTTTCTCTCTTTGAAGTTCTTTCAACACAAGGTATTCGTCTTTTTGAAATCAAGTGGCAGCAAATACTCTGTAATTCAGAAAGTGTATCAGTCGGATATCTTAAAGGACTTCTTGAAAGTCTGAATCCATTAAAATTAGGCGACGAATTATCCCTTTTGGAACGCCAATTTCAATCCAAGATTCCACCACATGTTCGAACTCTCACGACGGACTGCGTTTCGTTTCCTCGCGTTTTAGAACAAACCAAACATATCAAAGATTTCCTGTGTGTACTTGAAATTGATGAATCCAGTACAGGGGAAGATGTTGAAAGTCTGTTGGAATTTCTTGATACTTTCGATTGCGATGAATCTTGCATAATGATAGAGAAATTGCATGAGCCTATGGGAAAAGTTGAACAAATCATTTCTCAATATAATATTGACAGAACTGACGAGATGATTATTGCTTTGGGAAAATCTCGAGAACTTATTCGTTTTATCCGCGAGATAGTCAATGACGACATTCGTGTTCTCATTGATGCAGTTGAAGAACATTCTGAAGAAGCTGTTTCGGCTTCCTTGGTATCCGATCTTATTCAAGTACATGGTTTCTTGGTACCCGTTATTGAAAAATGCTCTTTCCATCCCAATCTTGTCTTGATGACTCTTGTTGAACAATGTAAGAAACAAGGTAATATAGCCAGAAAGATTCGCCAATGCAGCGAACATGTTCACAGTCTGCGAGGATTGTATCAAAAAGTTGCCAATCGTGAGGAATTGACGAGAGGAATAATCAAACACTGTCTGGCCAACGGAGTTTTTAAAATCAAATTAGATAGTTCTGGCTCTTGTCATATTACCATGAGTTATAGACTAGAAATAGATGAAACCATCACGAAGTCAATGGATGATCTTCAGGATCTACGCAGTCGTGCTCATTTGATTTTAAGCTCAGAACAAATTCCTGGAAACCTGACAGAGAGCAAAACAAAAGACGAAGTTAATTTCCATGCTTTCATTAAGCAAGTTAATCTGCTGTCAGATATTGAAGAAGCAATCATCAATCTTCAGTCATCTGGTTACGTTAAATATCAAAAAGATCTCGAGTGGGAATCGTTGTCAGGAACAAAGGACTTGGAAGAAACAAAGAGTCAGCTCTCTAACGATTTCAAGGATTGGCAAAAAAGCCTTTGCGAAGCTCGAAAAAATCATTATTTTCTGAATTATTTTTGGTCAGATCAACTAAGTTTGCTTTACAATTTCATTTCAAGCGAAAATATAAGCGAAAATGATGTCCAGAACGTCGTTACTTTGATAAAATTTGTTGATCCAAATATCGATGCAGAACGATTAATGGCTTTTCAGAATTGCTGTCATCGTAATGAAAATACATCTCCATTCGACGTAATTACTGCAATCGGCAAGGTATTGGATGAGATTTTTTCTAATTTTCACCCTCCATTATTGTCAAGAAAAATCTCCGATGACAACCACCCTCAACCTAATTTGTGTGTTCATAATGGCGAGCTCTACATTGTTGCTCTAGAAAAAGACAGCGTGAAGATGGTTAACGTAATGTTGTCTTTATATGAAAATACTACAAATGCTTTTCCAGAACCACATCAAGTTTTGTTTTGCCATGAAGCCACTCCTTGGGAACAGCTGCAACTTTTTCTCATCAGATGCTTCAATCAAAGCAAGAATCCAGCCTGTAATAGTTTATTCTGTCTATCCAACGTCGAACATCTCTCCAATGAAGTTCAGTTTAACTTGGTGGATTATATAAAAAAGAAAGAATTTGAAGATCGTGAGCAAAATTATCTACTGGCAATTATTTGTAGATGTGATGCACATCATCATATAATTGAAGAATTTTCAAAGTTTGTACATCATATCTCTGGCATGTCGTATCCTGAAATTGCTAGTCGATTCAAATCCAAATGGCCGCATGTGAAGTGTGTAACATCCACATTACAAGGACTTGGAAAGACGGAATACATTCGTAACGATGCCCTTGAAAAAAGCATAAATGCCGTTTCTTTTCCCATAAGCGGCCAAGTAAATGAGAGCAAAATTATAGAGCGATTGAAGAAACTTTCTTTAACCGATTTCCAGTGTCTCCATTTTGACATTGATAAAGTTGATGATCCAGTTTTGTTGGATGTATTTTTGTTCCAGTTGATTGTCATGGGTATAGTGTCATATGGTACGCAAATGTACTTTCTTCATGGTAGTCATGTTTACATTGAAATTTCAAACTGTTTGAATAACCAATTGGCGGAGAGCTTGTTGATTACACGTTGTTTTTCTCGGGTTGAATTGTCTTGGAAGAATTACGATGACTTAAAAGTCAGCAGCAACATCTTAAGCAACATTCAGGTCGTATGTCAATATCTTAATGTGTTTGAGAAAAATGAATTGGATAACACAGATGTGTTTTATGCTGGTTCGGACAAGGTAAAACCGTTATTTGAACATAGATGCCGTGAGTTACTTCGCAAACATTATGGAACCACCGGCGACATGACATTTTCTATGTTACATACATTCTTAGGCTTTCTAGCTGATCAATTGCGAAAGTTTTCCAAAAGTACATTTTTTGAGGTAAAGAATTTGAAGGAAATGCTGGAGGATAATGCTTCTGGTGTGCGAAAAAATCTTTTTGAAATTTTGCTTCATACCTCCAAAGATTTTGCTTCAAGATCTCTGTCAACATGTGACTCAACCGAAGCCCAAAACACTTCCTCTTTATCAACTGCTCAGAACATTGTTCAGAGAATGAAAGGAATGATTCAATGGGAAGAAAGTAATCATCTGTTAATTGTTTTTCAAAATATTGACTCTCAAACAATTGCTGCATTCTATCGTGACAAATCCAAAGTTCCTTCAAACATTCGAGAATTACTTAAAAGTCAAATAGTTGGTGAAAAAAGTAAAGAGCTTGTCGATTTCAAAGAGTTGAGTCATGAGGATTTACATAAAATGCTGGAGAAAATTGCCTGCACGAGATCGTCGCAGGGAAATGTTGCATCTAAATTCTCAGGTTATGCATTGACGGCAGACAACATGTTGAAGATGATTTTAATAATACTTCGTGTTAGAGCTAAGATTCCGATCATTATCATGGGTGAAACTGGTTGTGGAAAAACCAGTCTTGTTCAATATTTGGCTTCAACTTGTGGTATTCCATTCTCGATCTATAACTTCCATGCTGGTCGCACTGACGACGAAATAAGGGAATTTGTTGAAAAGGAAAGCGATAAAGCCCAAAGCGCTACTGGTCAAAGATGGATATTCTTGGATGAAATCAATACGTGCCACCATCTTGGATTGATCAATGAAATAATGTGTCATCATACTTTACTTGGGCATCCAATTTCCAGAAAACTGATCTTCATTGCTGCTTGTAATCCTTACAAACTACGATCGCCAGAAAGCTCATCCACGGCTGGCCTTGAAGGTAAAAAGGTTGATGATGAATATTCAAAATTAGTTTATCGTGTTCATCCTTTGCCAGAATCCATGGTTGATTACGTTTGGGATTATGGGTCATTGACGCCACAAGATGAGAAGGTTTACATAGGAAGAATGGTGAATAAATTTCTTGGAGAATACCAGCAAGTTTTAACCGAGCTTCTTGCTTTATCTCAGAATTTTATACGACATGCTGAGAAGAATCCATTCTGTGTAAGTTTACGTGATGTTCGACGTTGCATTCTTCTTGTGTCGTGGTTTATTGATACGTTGAAGACACGAAAAATGTTAATGGAAGAAAGAGAAAGAAACGGTAAATCAACTCCAACTTTTCCAGGTCATTTGGAAAAATATAAAAATCGTTCTATGAAGTACGATAGTTATCCAGAAATAAAAAGTATTGTTCTTGCTCTTGCTCATTGTTATATGTCAAGGTTGTTAACAAATGACTTGCGCCAAGAATACATAAGAAGCCTTATTCCTTCTCTTGCGTCACGTAACGTAGATAAAAAAAGTTTTAAAGCCATAATACGTATGGAGCAAGAGGATTATCTTTCACGCATGGAGCTTCCAGAGGGAACTGCAAGAAATGCAGCTCTTCGTGAAAACGTTTTCGTCATGTTAGTATCAATTCTCAATCGTATTCCTGTGTTTGTTGTGGGAAAGCCAGGTTGCAGTAAGTCATTAGCAATTCAATTGATTAGAAGTAATCTTCGTGGAAAAGATTCAAAAGACGCATTCTTTAAAACGCTACGTCATCTCTATGTTGTCTCTTACCAAGGATCAGAGTCTTCTACATCTGAAGGTATTGAAGAAATTTTTAAAAAGGCCTCAAATTACAAAGAGCACAACAGTTCTAATAATGTATTACCTGTTGTTTTATTGGATGAAGTTGGATTGGCAGAAAATTCACCGAACAATCCTCTGAAAGTTTTGCACAGCATTCTTGAACCAGGAAAGGGAGAGTTACCAGATGTTGCAGTTGTCGGTATTTCCAATTGGGCTTTAGATGCAGCAAAAATGAACCGGGCAATCCATTTGTCTCGACCTGAACCTTCCGTAAAAGATCTCAGTGAAACAGCTATTTCTCTTTATCAAGGTGACAATACATCAGAAGATGATATTGATAAATCTACAGAACATGTTCTTTGTTGTCTTGCAGAAGCCTATTACGAATATCGGGCCATTCAGTCACATTCTAATTTTCACGGTCTTCGTGACTACTACTCTCTTGTGAAAAGTCTGAGGGGTGAAAATTGTCGTGACATGAAAAATATCAATATTTCACTGAAGCGAAATTTTGGGGGGATTCCTAAAGAATCCAGCGTCGTGAAAGAAGTTTTCAATGACAGATTGAAGACTGTAATTTCAGCCAGCAAAACTGAAAGTTACATTCCAGTTAGACTACTTATTGAAGAAAATCTTAAAGATCTGAAAGCAAGACATCTTATGCTCATTTCGAATGGTGATTCTGCTATTGGCATACTAAAACAACATGTTTCTTACTCTACAAAGGAAACTATCACAATTTTTGGCAGCAATTTTGAAGAAGATATATCCGATGACTACAACTATAGAATTTTAAGTCGAATCATACTTTGTATGGAACGTAATTGCATTCTCATTCTTCGTGATCTTGAATGTATATATGGAAGTTTGTACGACATGTTGAATCAAAATTATTCTGTTGTTGGAGGAAGAAAAAACTGTCGAGTTGCTCTTGGTGCCAACAGCAATCCCATGTGCTATGTAGACGATGGATTTCGCTGCATCGTCCTTATTGATCAAGATCAAGTCGATTATTCCGATCCTCCATTTTTGAACAGATTTGAAAAACAACTTCTTCGTTTTTCAGATATGTTAAATGAAACCCAACAGGAAATTATGAAAGAATTGGAGTCTTGGGTTCAGCAAATGTCGAGTGTGGAAGGTTTCAGAGACAAGTTCAAGGAAGAGGATGTGTTCATTGGTTTTAATGAAGACACGTTGCCATCATTGGTTCTGTATCATAGTCATGATTTTGAAGAGTCAAAGGAAGTCATCATAAAGAAGTGCAAAGATGATCTTATGTGGATTGCAACTCCTGATGGAGTTTTACGCACGCGTGAAAGTGATCGATATAACAAAGATCCAGGAGAAATAAAGATTTTGTTGAATGAATATTTTGAGAAGCCAATCCACAACGGACTTGCATCATTTATATCGCATATCGTGAAGCAACATGTTAATGATGCGGAAAGTGAAGCTTGCTCAATCACTTTATTGATGACACATGCCACAGTGCACACAGATATCAGTCGTTGTATGAACGAAATGTCGTGTCAACTTGAGCGACTTGGGGCCTACAAGTCTGGTAAGCAACTCGAAGACAGAATACATATTTTTTTTAAATCTGAGAAAGAGCTTTTAATCATTCAATGCAAACCAGAACTGGACGCAGAACACATGCTTTTCACTCGATCAATTGTCGAAGAAAAACGAAATGCCTTCACTAAAAAATTTATGGAAGCTCAGTCCACCATGCAAAGAAAACACGTCTGCATGATTGTCCACGTGCGTCGAGCATCTCATGAAAACACGCCACGATGGCAGTTAAATTTCCTTAGTGGATGGAAGCAAGTTTTCCTTGATACACTCGAAATACCATCAATTCCGATGGATAAAATATTTGATCAAAACGTAGACAATCTCCTTTCAAACTCCGTTTGGTCATTTCGAGGATTCGCTGTTAACTGCATATTATGGTGTTTTAACTGTTTGAAGTATTCACAAAGTGCAAGGCAGCAAGAACGTGTGCTGAGATTTGCCAAGAAACTTTTTTTATCACACAATGTCAGCAAAACTATTCGTGATCTTGTAATAAAGGAATGCAGGCACTGTATTGAACAATCATCAATAACAGACGAGAATTGGCAAGTGAAAGTTGCTTGTGACGTAGATCTTCTTTTCAACTCTTGGAATGTATCTGCAGCGATGGAACAATATTTGTTGTTTCTTGTACGTCAGCCATTAGCTAAGTTAGTTTACTTTATGGAAAGCGAAAATTCCTGGCCACCTCATTTACTGAATGAAAAAGCTTTAGAGTACGAAGCTTTATGGTGTGACCTCCTTAAGAATCAATCAATTTTTGATTTCAAAATGATTCCGGAATGCAAAGGAGTCAATTCATATTCTATCACTGGGTTACGTCATAATTTGAAGGTACCGTTTAGTCAAGTGATCGCTAAAAAAATACAAGAAACACGAAGTTTTATTATGAAAGAGTACGCTAAAGCATTGGAAAATGAGGAAAACTACGAGGAAAATGGTATTTTGATGAAAGAAGCTCTGGTAGACGAACTTGAACAATACTCAAATGCTCTGCAAAAAGATGTTCCTTGTATCATCCTTTTGTCAGAATACTTTGCAAGCTCTTATATGGCAGACATGTTTGACATAACATCAGCAAATTTTCATGACAAGATAAATGTCGAGATAAGGATACCTGTTATGTTGTGTGCTTTCTTATCTTTTACTAAACCTTGGTGTCCTCTTGACGAAAAAGATCCAACTCAGCTTTATGCTTTGCTTCATTTGTTTCTTTGGATATCTGGAGAAAAAATTAACAGGTTTTTGGAGCTTGTCAGTTGCTTTGTTGATCTGGATTTTCTCAAATATTTTGAGGGATTGATGCAAAGTTATCTTGATTGCAATGAAAAAATTCTTTCTCCTGATTATCTCCGTGATGATAGGTTCTGTGTAAATCTCTTTTATGAAAGCGACAAGAGTTGCAGCAGTAGTGATGACAGTGACGGAAGTGATAGCGAAGACTTGTCCAGTGACGAGAAAGACGATGAAGTTGATGACGGGAATGACCAAGAAAATGAACCGAATAAGAAAGAAAACTTTGAGGAATATTTGGTGACATCAATCTGTGAGTACATGTTTCCTTCGGAAAAGTCAATACACAAAAATGGTGGATTGGATAACTGGATGAGAAATTCCAAGTTGTTGTTGACATTTTCATCAAAAGTCTGCAACGTTGCACCTGCTTATCATTTCTTGCGTTTGTGTGTAGATTTTGGAGAAGTTGTTCAGCAATCTGGAATTCCAAAGGAAAAACTATATATTTTGAATGAAGTAGGAACAAAACTCGATCCTGAATACCTTGATGATAATGACTCGCTTCTGGTGATGAAAGAAAAATTGTTGGATGATGTGGAACATCTTATGAGAGATGACGAGAAAAATCAAAGTATTTTTCGCAAATTTATGTCTCAGTATTACAGTCGTCACGTTGAAGCTAAGATGGAAAGAACATCATCACGGCCAATTATTGAATACATTTTTTCTCTGAATGATCAAGATATATTGACAATGATTCCTGTCCTTTACCGCCTGTTGTACATTGAAGAGGCTCTTTGTCCTGGGATATATATTCATATCGTTGTTGAGCAAAAAGTCGGAGAAAATCAGTTTAATTTAAAAGATATCGACAAGATTTTTATAGAGCAAACAAAAAGCAAGTCGCTTAGTTACGACTCATATCTGGTTGTGATGATATGTGATTTAATTCAGTTCATTCAACGCTTCGACGAAAACTATTTTAGCAGTGAGAGAGAATTAATGAATTGTTATCGGTCGGCAACAAGAGCCGTTACTGGTTGTGGGCATGGTATTGTATTTTTGTCATCCATTGCCTTTCTTCGAGGTTTCTATACCATGTTATCTAGAAAGCACGATATCCTCAGAATCTTGACGAGCGAAACAAAATACTCGATCATTCTGAGCGAAATTAATTCCCTTTTGGAAGGTGATGATGAAAGACGGTTATCCATTCGAACATTCTTTTTAAAACGACTTTATGCATCTGGCATGACCATGTATGATCTTAAAAAGTTATGTTGTGCCAGTAATAAGCTACCCGTGCTGAAGGAGATTTTCCACCCCCACTGTATTTTCGAAAAGATGAAATATACTTTTGCCGTCAGGATGGAGAAATACGAAGAAATAAAGGAAGCGTTGTTGCAGCTTAGACTTGGAAATGATGAAAAAATGGCTGATGTTGCACAAAAATGTGAGAACAATCCCAGTTATCGCGTCGCACTTTTAGGGAATATTATCAATGTTTTCTACGTAGAAAGAACAGTGGGTAACTTGAGTGATGACAACGAAAAGTTGGCAAGAAAATTATACATAATGATCGATAAGTTCCCACTTTTGTTAAAGCATGTAGTGTCCAGATTACTTGGCATTGAAAATTTCGAACATCCTGGCTTACAAATTTCTGCTGAATCATCTGTGGAGGAAATAGATTTGGCTTTGTTGATTCTTCATATAGTGTGTGTTGTTTATAGTAGTTTTGAAGTCAGCTTTCCACTGCTTGAGTATGTCTTGAAACCGGAAAAAAATCAATCAACCAGTATTTTTACGCGTAAAGAAAATAAACGAGTTTTGGATCAATACCGTTATTGTAATGAAGGTTTAACAGTTAATTGCTTGTGTAAGTTTCACTTACAATATCGTGGTCGGTTGGAAAAATGTCCCAATTGTGGTAAAGAAGTCGACACTAAAGGCTATGGTGATTCCCTCAGGACCTATTTTGACGACTCCAAGAGTAAAGATTGGGAAACATGCACTGTGAATATGAAGCCATCTGTCTATCGAGCGTTACATTTGATTGTTAACGCATGTTTGTATGGAGGAATTGCTGCTGGACTATCTTCAAATGAGATGATATTCAAAACTCTATTTCCTGACAATGAAGACGGAAGTTTAGCAGATGCCTGTCTTAATCAGATAAACGAAGATCTAAAATGTTTGCAGACTATTCTGTCTTGTAAGAGACAAACTGCAATTGATGTAATGCATTTAGTAGTTGAAGAATCAACTCCACTGCTTAAAGGAGTTGTTCAAGGTGGAAATACATTGATAAATAACACAGAATGTATGCAGTGGGAAAGCAAGTTCATTGAAGTAGTGAGCGAAATCTTCTTTAAAGCCTTTGGATCAGCAAAACCGCTCAAAGAACTGAAAATTGAGGCAAAGTTAAAGATTTCTAAGATTGAATATGAAATGCAAGAGCTTGACCAATATCCGACTAATTTTGATGAGCAAAATAGAAAATTGAAAAGATTGTTTCGTATCACAAGAGAACCGTCCTTTGCAGAATTGCGAGCAATGTTTTTCAACTCTTCTAAAGAATTTAACAAGGAGCATCCTGTTCTAGCTGTTTTGTTGTCTTGGTTTGACGAGCTTCCTTATCTTTCAAATTTGTATCCACTATTAAACTGGACACGTTACGTCATATCCACATTGACCAATCGCATCAGCAGAAAAGAAGTGGAAAACCGCAGTATCAGTGATTTGATTGATGGTGTTTTTCAACAGGAAGGAAATAAAGAGAAAGAAGAACGCAAAACAATGTTTCAAAACTTTAAAGTCGCTTGGAACAAAATGCATAAGATCGTGAATCAGCACTTAGATGAGAATCAACAAGAAATGCCTTATATTGGGGAAGATAAGCCCATTGGCTACTGCCTTTTAGATGGCGACTTGAGTGTGTATTTGAAAACAGCAATAACAATTCTACAGTCAATGCAGAACAGCTTTTTAGACTCTATGATCGCCACTTCATTGAGAACGAAACATCCAGCTGTTAGTTTCCTCACAAAAAGCGAGAACTGCTGTGGTGTGATGTCAATATCACTACAAGAAGTTAAAGAAAAAGATATCATCAATATTGAATGGTCAAACAAATTCCTGAGGTACACACAGAATCCAGAGTATGGTTGTGGAGAAGATATTGATTATGACTTTGAGCAGATTGAAAACATCTTGACTAATGAAGTGGTCCTTGAAAAACTTTATCTTACAGATATTTCAAGTACATTCATATTTTCCCTTGAACTCTTCCATTCCAGTGCTAATGTACTAATGAAGATTCGTGAGTTGTGTCCACAAAGTCCAACTCTTCCTGAAGGTATTGATCAAGGAATAGAGACACTTAAAGAACGCAGAAAACAAGATGCACGTAACTTACTTCAAAACATCGAGATTATCATATATTTACTGCATTCTGATCCCAAATCCACGGAAGAAATTCAAAAAATAGAACTTGTTGAATTCGCTGACACGTTTAAAGATAAGCTTCCACGTCCGTTCCCAGTTGACTTGTTACCTGAACCCAAGAAATCCATTCATCTTACTCATATTGCAGCTCTGTATGAAGCGTTAGAAGACGTGCTTGCCGATGGTACCATCGAAGGTTTACCAATACAGTTTCGAGCTGATTTGAAAGTAGACATAAAGGAAAAATTAAATAGTTTAGTCCACCACAGAAATGGGCCGATCAAAGCAAAACAGTTTCTTCAAGTGTTACGTCGTTTTGCATTTCGTTATCTGTCAGCTGAAAAATTTCATCCTGAAGCCAAAACACCTTTACGTAGTTGTCTGCAAGAACCGTCATTGTGGACACCAGGCGATGTTCCAGAAGAAAATGTCATTCCTAGGGAGTTAGTGTTGGCGAACATTAAGGCAATAATTAAACGTCTACAACAGGTAAATATATTCATGTTTTACTTTTTTACTCATGTTCTTCATCTTTGAAATCAATGAAGGAATGTCAACAAGGGATGAATTAATACTCGGGAGTATTCACGCACAAATTAACTAAAGATATGCCACCGCACATGCAACAGGTATTTATGTAATAACGAGCAGACGCACGGATGTCATAGGAATTTTTTGTTTTTACATTACAAACAAACGGCTAAAATATTTGAATATTGACATGAATCTATCCCTGAATGAACAAAGGAAGACCTTTAAAAAGAGCTAGTTGAAGCAGTTGACTTGTTTGATGAAAAAGAAAATACCCGGTTTTCAAACGTTCGTTTGTACTTTGTTTTGTACGACCCGGCGTCTCCTGGCCACTTTTTTTGTTCTCGTCACAAATAACGTTATATTTGCGTATCTTTAAGTGAACAGACAACAGTTAAATGTTATCTATTTGTCAAATATGCCTACGTTTGATTTATGTATCGTTAATAATCAGAACTCGCATCGCTCGTGAGTGACGCGTGCTTTTTGGAAGATCCAGTTTTTATTCGAACGAATCTCCATGCTGCATAGTATGGTGTTTAAGTTGTTTGTAGTATTCACAAGATGCCAAGCTGCAAGAACGTTTGTTTCAAATAGCGAAAAACCTATTTACATCGATTATATCTTTGTAGTAAGACTATTTAAAATCTTGTTTTGAAAGAAACAAGCCACTCAGCAAAAACACGTACAATAAGCAGTGACTGGCAAATGTCGCTTGTAATTTGCAACTTTTTTATGATTCTTCAATACTTTTCTCTGTCAATTTTGTATGTCATCCTATCAAATTGCAATCTCTGGCTCGAGGACCAATGTGATGGATAGTTTTTGACATTTCTAAATTAATATCTGAAATAAAGATGGAAATATTTCGCAGAAAAGCAATATATGCTTATTGGGTGGGAAAACGCTTTAAGTGAATGCTGTTCCTTTTAGGATTGCAAAATCAGTTATTTTAATATTTCTCATCTTTTTTCAGGAACAAAGTGGACAAACAGGCGGTGTGCAAAATCTTAGAAAAAGTCAGCCTGCAGCCAATAAAAGAAAAGGAAACAAACGGTCGATTGCGACGAATTTTGATCTTCGCTAAGTATCCGGTTGAGAAACATCGACGGTTTTTTTTATGTTACATAACGATTAACTTTGATTATTAGCTATAAACGTTACATTACATTTATTTTTGCTTATTTAATTTTGAAGAGTTCTGTGGCTGTGTAAAACAAATTTACGCCATAAAGTTAAGTTTATCTTGCTCAACTCTTTGTAATAACTAGAATTTAGGCAAAAATTACGACTGCCACAGAAAGATACTCTTCATTACAAAAAATGAAGAGTATTTTGGTAAAACACAAGACAATAACTTTAACCCTTAAGAAATGATAGCTTTTTAGCTTTTCATGTTAGCTTTTCTACTGATGATGACATGTAACACTTGTCGAAACGTTTAGATTAAATAATGTTTACTAAATACGGAGCGTCTATTGTCTTACTAGAATTTAGACGCCGTGTAACTTTAGAAAACTGCATATGTATTGCTAGTAACCAAATTCACATGAACACGGAAATCCTAATAATTTTTCTTCATCGAGTTTCGTTGTTTTTTATTCAACGACGTTGAGTTCACATGAATTTGGTACATTAAAAATGTTTGTCTGCAAAAGGATTAATTCTAATCTAAAACATCATCAAAAATCATCGATATGTGCATTGACCACATCTTCCTGCTGCAACTCCATTTCGATAATTCGATTTTTCACGTACATATTGGAATTGAATTGAAATGGCTGGACAAAATTTCAGGGGCTATAATTAACCAATGATTGAACAGTTTTAGCCACTTTCATTGGTTGAATAATTACAGAAGAGAAAAGATTGTAATGCAATGGACCTTGGGCAAGAAGAGAATGTCGAATGACCGAAATATCTCTTCAAAGCAACTTTTAAAAGCGAATTCGAAGAAATCGTGTAAATTTAATTTTAGATAACATTTCGGTGAAATTACAGGTGATGTATATTTTACTTACTTTATATTACATAATTTCCTGTGCAATTAGAAAATGATTTACAAGTTTTATCACTTATATGGTTGATAACTTGATGGCAATTTATTTCATACGCTATATATTCTATTTGCTATGAATGACAATACTTCAGTTCTGGTTATTGGTATCTTTAGAGAAGGTTGAGTCTAATCAATGATTCAATTTTTGATCTCAAGGGAAATAATTTCTTGTAAATCCATCTGATCCCTGTTTCACCTCAATGACCTCCCATCTGCCATTCTTTTTAGAGACTGCACATAATGATTGATCTGTGGTGGAGAAGATGTGCATCAACTTTATCATTACATAGTTGTTGGTCAGGAAACTTCCTGTCGTAAAACTTAAGCCTGTAGTATGGATACTTTGAAATGTTGGATGAACCCCAAGCACTGAGTGTGAAAACTATTTTATCAATATGCTGAGGAATGGACTGAAGGTTTACATTTACTCTTTGACGTCCTTCACCAACACCCATATATGCAGGACCTGAATGCTCAACTCCAGGGACTTGCATCAAAGAACGATTTCGATAGTATATGGTACCAAGATCATTAGTTCCACTGTATGCAAACACTGAAACATCCAAATAATCACGTGACCTTCCATAAGGTAATCCCCAACAAAAATCAAAGACAACTTCATCTAAATCATCAGGTACTGCACACAATACAACAATAAGATGTAGTGTACTGTTTGGTGGAATATTGTAGTCTTTTAATGTCATTGCACCATGACCTGGACTGTAAACCTAAATGGCATAAAAAGTAAAATTCATTGGATAGTTTGATGAAAATGATGATTGAGTCAGTCCATGACATAATATTTTTGCTACTTGGAAATAATTCCTTTGAACAATATTAATTCAACCACCAATATGATTCACATACACATAGATAATGGCAATATATGTGCCTTGAACAAATACTATTTTTACTAATATTGATGTTACAACATAAGCTTTTTTGAGGTACTTTGCCCAACTTTATTTTGCACTATTGGAGTCATTTTAGTTATGTAAGCTAAACTAATCTTTATATGCAAAAATCAAATTTGATATACAAAAATATGTGCTGTACCACAATTGTTCCAAAAATATATGTGTTGTAACCTCAATGGTCTCAAACCTTGAGCTCTTTATTTTGATAAAGTAGACGCTGCTTTTCTGGCTCTGTTTTGAGACCACTTTGCACTTCTTTCTTCAGATCTGAAATTCTCTTATTTTGATAATAAGTTAGAGTCAGTGATTCTCCAGACATGGTTGTGATGTAAAGATTGCCTGTCTGTAGCATGTATGTTGTTTCTTTACTCGGTATTTCTTCATTCTCTTCATTTGGAAAGAGGAATTCCAATGCCTCCAGATATTCCTTGTACATGACATTGTCTTCAGTGACTCTGATCTCACACAAAGAACACATCTGGTACTTTTTAACACTTTCAATTGCGCACTAGAAACAGTCAAAACTTACATATTTGCAGAAGTAATAACTGCAACACAGTCATGCTTTAATTTCTTTTCGTTAAGAAAACTCTGAAATAATTGTAACAAGGTCCAAAATGTGACTAAAAAAGATTAAGGATGACTGTTGAAAAGTTGACTGTTACTGACATGAAATATCTTTTTTTACTAGGAATTAAACTGAATAAATGCTGGTAAAAGGAAAAGGCAGTTGAAATAGCTAAATAATGTAAGGAAGATGAAGTGAAATTGATTGATACTTTAATTTAAAAGTCATTGCACAAATTTGAAAGAAAAACAGTCAAGAAGGAATGAAATGAAATCGAACGAATGATGTGCACAATTGCTCTTGTGCAATAAGAGATTGGAAACATCGAAACAAAGAACACTCTAAGAAAAAATATTGACTTTTACTTACATCAAGACAATGAAGTAGTGCATGATCACAGTCTTCCGTCAAAGGAAAGAATGGAAATTCATTTGACAATTTTTTGTCGCAGCAGCGGTGGCATTTCATCTTGCATTCGTAATTTATGCTGGTACAATGATTGTAATTAATACATATCTTTACGGTCAGAAAAGTGAAAGGGAAAGAGAAAAAATTTATCACTTCCGAGAATACAAGGTTGTTCTAGGAAAAGCTATGGCAAGAGTTCACCGGATGCGTTACGCTTTACAGCAGGAGACTGCTCCAGCGCAGCATCACACGAGTTACACGACCTCGCCTCACAAGGTAAGGTTGTATTATTACATTGTGTTCGTGAAGAATTCTATGAAATAAGCTGAAACTGTTGAAAATATCATCGCAATTTCTCTGAATAATCATCGTTGGTGAATATCAAACATCCACGTTAGTGATTTTACGGGCGGACTTCTGTTTAGTGAGGTATGTAAAATCACTCAATTCAAACTTGTAAATTTTGGCAGGTATGTGTTATTTTGTTTGTCAGTCCTAAATTAAAAGCATTGCTTTTTTTTTAATCATCTTGTTTGAAATTGAGATGTCACACGGAAAAGCGAATGTGTTCATATTTATGCAATTTTCAGTGATTGTTTGCAATTTACGAGTTTGTTCAATGTTTCGTGTACAAAACCATAATCATTTTGATGTGACGAATATTTTTTGTCCCATGCACCCTACATAGCTACAAGCTTATTGTTGTTAAATACAATCACAGCCGCTCTTGAAAATCTCCTTCTTTGTTAAATTGTTTCCAAAAATATTGTTGAAAGTAAAAGTGAAAGTAAAATGGCGGAAATGGTAGCTAGTATACGTTTATCAACATGCAAATATCTTCGTACGTAAATATTACTTGCATAAAATTTGCAATTGCACTGTGTCTTACTAATTACTATTTCATAGATTTGACTGTATTTTTTAGGATCTTTGTCCCTATGTAGTGATTTTGCCCTCGCCAATCAATTTTAATTTTAACGTGACGAAGCGTGACGAAAGCATTATAGTGAATAAAATATATTTATGTTGTGAACTATTTGTTGAACTATTGCATTATCTAAACATCAGTTCTAGACCGTGAATCCAGAAGACTGAGAAGAGTTTTTTTAGAATAGACATGTTTCGACATCTCATGATGCCATCTTCAGTATGAGTGAAATAATAAATGATACAAGGTTTATATACAAGGTTTGCTTTTTATAATTGTAATTTATGTATCATATTACTTGTATATAAACCTTGTATCATTTATTATTTAACTCATACTGAAGATGGCATCATGAGATGTCTATTCTAAAAAAAAACTCGTTGTGTATATGAAAATTAGTAGGCTCGAGCTAAAAAAGAGGCAAATTGAAATGAAAAGCAATGATAAATAAGTCAGAAATGGACTCGACTTACTATAAAGCAGCTAGGTACCAGTTTAATGTTGAATTAAGAATTGCTAAACATTTCTACTTTTCCGAAAGAATTGCTGATCTTAAATCAAACTTTAAGAAGGGCTTGAATCATCTATTGTATTGAATCAATATATATTTAAATCATCTATTTGGCAAACAATCAAAACAAATAGTTGTTGGTGAATTTAATATGTGTGAAAGCAATCAAAGCATTGTAGATGACTCAGGGGAAACTGCAGAAGGTTTCAAATGATTTTTCAAACATCGGAGATGACCTGATAAGTAACATTGACGTGCCAAATTGAACTTTTGATTCTTATGTAAACAAAACAAAATCAGAATTTACTACATTCCAACCCACAACTGTAAATGATGTAATGTATTCATTCTCCAAATTTTCAAACAATAAGACCACTTGAAGCGATAAAAATATGAGTAAAATCATTAAAACAGCTGCATCAGTTTCAGGCTATTATACTCTGTCCACTTTTCAAGATGAATGGAATGTGGCTAGAGTAGCACCTCTTCATAAAACTGATCAAAAAATATTCCGGGAAATTACTGGTAATTTTCATTTTTGCCAGTAATTAGAAAATCATGAAACAAATTTTTTACTAGCAATTATACAATTAAATGAAAAAAAATTTGAGCTACTGGGCAATTCCCAATTTGATTATTGGAAATCCCACCCTAAAGCTACAGCTTTACTAGACTGTACTAATATGTGGTATGTTAACTTAAATAGAAAATCATTGAACTTGGCTGTTTTTATTGACTAAAAAAGCTTTTGATACTGTTGATCACCACGTTATCCTTAAAAAGGTCTTGATGGTACACGACCCCGATTATTCGTTCATTAATTTGGACTTAGAAAATCTTAAGAATTCGTTAGTTGCCATTTAACTTAGTTTTAACGTCGTTAATGCTGAATCTATATTGATTTGCTCTAAAACGCCGAAAAGAAACTTACAACCAACTATTTTCAATGAGAATATACAAATGAAACAGGTTTATGAATGACGAGCATTTAACCTGAAAAAATAATGCTGAAAGTATTTGCAAAAAATAACAGCTGCAATTTAGACTTGTGAAACCATTTGTTGTTAAAGACACTTATCTTATTACATAACGCTATTATTGGCTCCCTGTTCGATTATGCTTTAAGGTGTAGGATGTTCTCCATAAAACACAATTAGAGCGACTTCATAAATTACAAAGTTGATGCAGATCAAACTATTGGCTACCAAGAATTAGGCTGGGGACCTCTAAAAAAGAAGAGAAAAGCAAATCATGTATAAAATTCTAAATAAAAGAGGTCCCAAGACACTTAAAAATATTTTTACCTTTTTAACTTAACATATAAATTGTAGTCTACGTTATATATTTCCAACGGTCTTTCTTTGCCACAGCCCCAAACAAATTATATGAAAAATTATGTACCAAGGTGCACACCTGTGGAATTCTGTATATTGCAAATAAAATTATGCAATGTAAAACCCTATTCTCATTTCGAAAATAATATTGCTACTCGTAGTTTCTGTTAGATGAAAACTCAACTGTAAACATTTAAATTTTTTTATTTAGACTTCATCAAATTATTAAATAGGTTATAAATACTTTATATTTGTACTTAATTTTTACCCTTCCCCTGAGGAAATCAGCTGTTGTTGACAGGGTCAACATGGATTGATAAAGTTATTCATTTCATTTTTCATCCGAAAGTAGTCCACACATTTTTGGTGGAACCATTACCTTAATCCCAATCCTTACTCTTATTTTGTCGCTAAATTAGCCACAAAAATCTTTGCAAAACTCGTCCGTGTGAGAGTTCGAAATTCCGAGGAAATTAGCCTCTTGGAAGGAAAAAATTCCAGGGAAATCCCCCCGGAGACACCGAATAAACATGATACCCCCAAGGTTACATAAGTTACAAAAACGTTACTGGATACAGTTTCTAAATCTAATAACAAATATGAATAGTGTCTCAAACATGTTAAAAGCAAAAACAAGCGATTAAATGAACAGGGATTATGAAAACTTTTGGGTACTTCAACACTAATTTTCAAAACAACCTTTTTACAAATGAATGCCACACATTAGCTTAATGGTGGACTACAGTAGAACCTGTATTAAGCGGCACCGTATTAAGCGGTCACCCTATGTTAAGTGGTCATATGGCAAAGTCCCGAAAATTTCATAGTATAAATACTATTAAAGTGACCTTTATTAAATGGTCACCTTTATTAAGCGGGCGCGGTAACCTTTTCCAATGTCACAAACTTAATTTTTTATTGTTCTTAAACTGTATCAAGGCCCGTTCACACGATCCGATTTGTCGGATCTGATTGTTTCGGTTCCGACTTTCGGTTGCTTTTTTAGACGGTCTGATAATATTGTTGATATTTATATTCGTTTAAATATTTAAAGTCGTGTGAGCAGCCATTTGTGCTGTCCAGTACATTTATCGATATATTGATCTTATTTTTGTTCTTGTATCCAAGCCTTTTTCAAATTTGTGTAATTTTTCTAGTCGGCTTCCTTTGATCTTGTCTGATGAAAATAGAGCAGGTTTTGTTTCCATCCGATTTTTCAGACTGACGGATCCGACTGTCGGACTGTATATGTGTTCACACGATACGATTTTTAGGATCTGACAAAATCAGATCCACAAATCGGATCGTGTGAACTGGCCTTTTAACGGTCAGGTAGAGTAAATGCACCACATACTAAAATATATAACTTAATGTTTTTTCTTGGATATGTCACTTATGTTTTACACATGTCTTTATAATGTATTTATTATATGGCAAGCGTCATTTCCTGCAAAATGGTGCGCTTTGATTGGCTCAGAAACATTTTTGCTGGTCCATTATTTTCCGTAATCGAACACGGTCTAAAACGCGTAATTTTACTGTCAAATGTAAACAAACTTCGTAAAGCAAACAGCAAAAGAATTACTAAACTAAAAATATTGCTTTATATAGTGTTGTTCTGGGCTATTTGGCATGTATGTTGAGGAACAATACCGATTGGTTCAACTTTGTTCTATTAAATGTTACACGTAGCCCGTCTTATGATTTTCCTGAAGACCTGTATGAAGCGGTCACACGAGAAATCCCCTAAGTGACGGCTTAATACATGTTCTACTGTAAATGTTTAATTTCGAAACTTTTCAAGGTCATATCTAGAGCTATAGAAAGCAACAAATCTGACAAGAAGTGGATGCCAGTGCTCATCATTATATCAACGAGTTATATTACTTTTTAGCTCTATCCCAGTCAGTCACTGTTTTTCCTAATCTTCACATTTCTGTACTCGTTTTTTCTTTGCCGCACTAATTGTTGTCGGTTTTGTTCTTTCTGCGTTTGAATAGATTTGTTTATACAAGTTTTAGCAATTTGTATTGTCGTTAAAGTTTATAATTTTTTATGTTCATCGGTCATATTGTAATTTGTTGTTGCCGAGTTTAATTCTTTGAACTTGCCTAACTGTATTTGTATTTGTGTCAAAATGTTTTCATTTGTCGAAATTTGGCTTGAATTTTATAGTTACATAAACCTTTATTGTGCGGTGGTTAAAATGGGAGGCAAAGGAAAAAAGAAAAAGAAAAGTAAGAGAAAAGAAGAGAATGGACAAATTGTCGATCTCCAAGAAAAAGTAACAATAGAAAGCAGAGGAAATCGTTCATTACACGAACAAGAAGGAGGAGCAGAAGATTGGGATATGGAATTACGTTCAGAAGCCGAAGCTCAGATGAATGATGAATCACTGCAAAGTGCGTCTCAAGTTGTCAGCGGTGATACTAGCACTTCCATGACTGTCGAAAGTAACGTTGATGAAACAATTGACAACTCTGGCATTAGTTCTCCAGTCAACTCAAAATCCGATCCTCCAAATGATACCTTTGAAAGCAACACAACTGAGCATGATGAGGTAACTATTACAGCTCACATTAAAAGATGATTTGCCTTAGTGAGTGAATCTAATTTGAACTTTACAGAACTTGTTGTATGTGACTGTTATGTTGCCATTAGCCTAACTTATTGCAAAAGAAAAAGCAATCATAAAAAAGAGTGTATTAGCTATTAACATTACCTACACAGCTATATTGATGTGATATAACCTTAAGAAACACTATCGCAGTTCAAAACACGCACGCTCGGCAAATCGCTATGTTTTGCTGGAAAGGCTGTAAGGCCTCTGTGAAGATTCACTGAACCATTTTATTGAGGCCTTCTCACTTTTCTGTTGACACAGTTTTCAAAGTAAAACAGCAATTAAATTTTATCAAATTTGCACTTGTATTTGAAGTAGCTAACCTTGGACTCTTTAGCTCGATAAGTGAGGGGGACAATATTCGTATATTAATGTTTTAATCTCTAAGAAAAAATTGATTTCAAAGTAACTTAATACGGAAAAACATGGACTTATGAATAAATTTCCCCTCACTTATCGAGCAGGCGACGACACTGGTAGCTGGTGAAAAACTAAGTTGTATGTATAACATTTATATAATTTCGTCTGTTTAAATATGATTTATGTTTGCGATAGAAAAAAGATGATGGTATATCAAATGCTGTCAAAGACAACTCCAGTGTGTTCAAAAACGTGTTGCCAGTGCTTCGTAAAATACTGCACTCAGCCATTCACGAAAAAGTCGGCACTATTGTGTATGATATGTGTAATCATAAGGATCTCGTTCCTTCAGATCCTGCTGTTATTGAAGAATGTATTCGATGGGTAATACAAACAATACCTTCTGTTGAAAAGCAGCAGCTTTTGTTCCTTTGTGCGTTATTGGGTTATTTGGTTAACATCAAAGGAGTCAATATCTTGAAAGTACCGAACAACAACACAACAAAATCTGCATTTGATAAACTACTTTATAATCTTGAAAATTGCTTTAAAAAGCAATTTCGATTACCAGAAAACTTTTTGCAACTTCTTGCAAACTGTGCTTGTACAATTGTTGAAGGATGTAGCAAACCTGGATGGTTAACTTTGGCTGCTTATTTTAGATGTTTTTTGGGCATGGATTACGTATTACAGTTTAAAATGGACGATTACCAATATAGCAAACAAGAATACTACAAACTACTTCCTTTAGCTGTCTGTCACTTACCAAAAGTAAACTTCCGCCAGCAAGTTGTCTATCATCGATATCTCAAACGTATTCTACAGTTCGCCCCTGATGATGAAGTGTTGTTTCAAATGTCACAAGATAAACAACACGTGTTTCGATTTTTTCTCAATCCTCATGAGCGCGAGCAGTTTTTTTTAAATTTTCTCTGGGAAAAGCTCAATAGTGGAAAAGGTAGCTTATCAGAAAAACTTGCAGCCCTAAACCAACTGCCGCAAAAAATGCGTAAAAATTTACACAGCATAATTTACGGTTATGTTCAATATTTTATTGACGAAGCCACCGATCCATCGTCAGAAGACATGAATGCTGTTTTCAATTTGATATCAAATTTTAATGTGGAAAGCTTTAGGACGATTTTACAAAGTGTTTCGAAGTCCCAGTCATATCATCGAGCTAACATTTTCCCTCAACTGTTAAATGATCCTCGGTTCGAGAGCTGTTTTAGACAATTATCGGTCGATGAACGAGCTTATTTTTGCCGGTATTGGGTTCGTAACCAGGCAGATTCGAGCAAAGAAAGTGCCGAGAAGGTTAAAGCAACATTTGAAGCCTTTGATATTCTTGTCTCATGTCGTCACATATCGTCTGATGGTAAAGTCGTCGAGCGCTTATGCAAGGTTATTGACAACGAATTACGTCAAAATGACCTCATTGCGATATTAGAGGGATCAAAAAATTTCGATCATTTCTCCGAGTATGCTCAAAAATGTATCAAAAAGTTAATCCAAGATACAATAAAGCCATATTACTTACGAAATTACAGTGAAACCCTGAAATATTTTACAAGTGCAACTACGAAAATGTGTGATAGGTACGTTATCATCTTTTTTTTTACGTCAAGGATAATAAATATTGAAAGATTACTCATTATTTGTTGGTAGCACAATTAGGGCATTTGTGCAGTGTTTTGACAGTTCACGAGCATTGATCTTATGTGTTTTGACAGTTCACGTTCATCATTTGTTCCTCTGTTTGATGTTTGAAAGGCGCTCACTATGTTCCTATTCCAAGAAATTTGTTCATCAAATTTCGCATTCCAAATAGTTTAAGCTACTCGTTCAGTTTGTTGTCTTGATTGTCATATTTTTTTGTTTGATAGTTCGTCATCATCTATTGTGGAGCGTTTTTTTGGCTGGTTCGGGCAATCTCGTCCACGGTATGTCGCTAATCAAAAAAATAATTTCAATAGCTCCAGTATGTATGGCTGTTAATGAAGGTATCTTGTAAAATGTTGTACACATTGTCACATATTAATTACTTTGTAGGATATCAAATTGTAAATTGTGTTTGCTGAAATGCGCGTTAAATGTATTGACTCCCCCGAAAGATGGTGACAATAATGAAAATGTTATTGTTCAAATTCTTCAATTTTGTAATATTTGGGTTGAACTGGTTGCTGCAAAAGGTAGGTGTGTGAATATCTAAACAAGACAAACGAAATTTGCATCAACCAAATATTTTCACTGTAGAGCATTTTTATCAAGAGAACGCGTTCAAAGCATGGGAAAAGATTTGGAAGGTTATGGGAAATCGCATCATGCGAGAAGACATCACGATCTCCACTTTGAAGAAAATTGAACCGTATCGAGATCAATTGTCTTTAATTTTTTGTGGCCTTAACTCTGGGAATGAAAAGGAGCAAAATAGTTATGCATCGGCCATCACAAAACTTGTCCAAACCGAGGCAGATTTTCGTCAAAAGTGTGACCTTTTAGTGAAAGCAGAGAAATTTTCCCATGACGTTTTTCCTAGTTGTTCCTTAAAAGAAAGCATTAAAAACTATGATGAAGAATCGAGAAAGTTGAATGAAATCAACGAGAGTTTTTGGAAACCTTATGCGCCGTTATTACAACAGCTAAAACCTTTGGAAGAGCTACTGAATTCAGAGTCTTTTTCTAGAATTGCTAAAACTTATCTGCAAGAAAATCTTCATGACTTTTACAGTTGTTTAGATACAATTGACAGGAATTTTCAGGTTTCTTTTTTTCAAAATCTTTCAAAGCAAGGCGTTCATCGTTTTGAACTTGAGTGGCAGAAATTATTCGATAAACCAGATGATCTGACAGTGGGTCAACTCAATGCTTTACTTGGAGATATGAACCTTAACAAGTTGGATGACGAATTGGCTCTTTTGGAAAACCATTTTCAGAGAAAGCTTCCATCAAATATTAAATCGTACCTTACAGATTTTATGGAATTTCCTCACATTTTAGAGCAAACAAGACATATCAAAGACTTCTTGCAATCCTTTGGAATTTGTGATACAAGTAAAAGTGCAGATATTTTGATGGTGATAGATTTTTGTGGAAAATTTGATTGTGATGTGAAAGACGTGTTGATAGAGAAATTACATGAATCCATCAAAACTATTCAAGAAATCATTTCCAGATATGATATCGACCACACCGATGTGGTAATGATTGAGTTGGTGAAATCTACCGAACTTATTCAATTTATTCAAGAAATTGCTGATGAAGACATTCGTGTTCTTATTGATGCAGTTGAAGAACATTCTGATGAGGCTGTTTCTGCTTCTTTGGTATCAGATCTTATTCAAGTACATGGTTTCTTGGTACCCGTTATTAAAAAATTGTCGTACCCTCCAGATCTTGTCTTAAAGACTCTTGTTGGCGAATGTAAAAGACAAGCTAATATAGCCCAAAAGATTCGCCAATGCAGCATGCATGTTCACAGTCTACGAGGCTTGTATCAAAATGTTGCTAATCGTGAGGAAATGACGAGAGAAATCATAAGAAACTGTTTGATCGATGGTGAATTTGATATCATATTAGATGGTGACGGTATTTGCCATATTACAATGCGTTATCAGAAAGAAAGTAAACAAACCATCAAGTCAATGCCCGAACTTCATGATTTACGAAGTCGTGCTCATTTGATCTTAAGCTCTGAACAAAATCCTCGGGAAATTAATAGTAGCGAATCCAAAGAAGCAATTGATTTTCATGCATTCATCGAACGCATCAATCTACTCTCAGACATTGAAGAAGCAATCATTAGACTTCAGTCATCTGGTTACGTGAAATATCAAAAAGATTGCGAGTGGAAATCTTTGTCTGAAGTAAAGCGTTTGGAAGTGCTTAAAACTACCCTTTCCGAGGATTTGCATGAGTGGGAGGAGTGCTTAAATAATGCTCGGGAGCGTCATTACTTTTTGAATTATTTTTGGTCACATCAATTAAGTGTGCTGTACGATTTCTTTACTGGTAAAATTAATGATCTTCACACTATTCTTACTTTAATGAAATTTGTCGACCAAACAATGGATTTAAAACGATTGCGTGACTTTGCAAACTTAAATTGTCATTATGAAGCTGCACAAACACCATACGAAATCATTGCAGCCATTGGCGGTGCACTGGATGATCTGTTTTCACATATCTGCCCCCCATTATCATTGAGAGAAATCTCTAACCACGTATCTCAGCTGGAACGCAAAGTTTCTGTCCAGAAGGGCGAACTTTACGTTGTTGCCTTAGAAGAAGAAAGTCCACATACTGTAAACGTGTTGATGTCTCTTTACGAAGACACAACCAATGCTTTTCCAGAGCCACATCAAGTTATGTTTTGCAATGAAACCACGCTCTTTGAACAGTTACAAATTTTTCTGAATAGATGTTTCAACAACAACAAGAATTTAGACTGTGATAGTTTATTCTGTCTAGCCAATGTTGAACTCCTTTCCAATGAGCTTCAGTTTTACTTGATTGATTACATCAAAAAGAAAGAGTTCCAAGATTGTGATCAGAACTATTTACTGGCAATACTTTGTAGAGGTGGTGCTCGTCATCATATAATTGAAGAATTCTCAAAGTTTTCTCATCATATCTCAGGCATGTCGTACCCTGAAATTGCCAGTCGATTCAAATCCAAATGGCCGCATGTGAAGTGTGTAACATCCACATTACAAGGACTTGGAAAGACAGAATATATTCGCAACGATGCACTTGAAATGAGTATGAATGTAGTTTCGTTTCCCATAAGTGGAGAAGTCATTGAAAGTAAGATCATAGAGCGATTGAAAAAACTTCATCTGAAAGATTTCCAGTGTCTCCATTTTGATGTTGGTGAAGTTGATGATCCAATTTTGTTGGACACGTTTATTTTTCAGCTAATTATAACTGGAATGGTGTCTTATGGTACTCAGATGTACAGTCTTCATAATCATAAAGTTTATATCGAATTAGCCAATTCTTTGGATAACTGGTTGGTGGAACGCTTGCAAATTGCTGGATGTTTTTGTCGTGTTGAATTGACATGGAATGATTTTAATGACCTAGAAATCACAAGTAAAATCACCAGTAATATTCAGGTTGTTTGTCAGTATTTGAATATACTGGATAAAGGTAAAGTTGATACGACAGATATTCATTTTGCTGGTCGTGAAAAAGTTAAACCTTTATCAGAGCAGAGATGTCGTGAGTTGCTACGTCAGTACTATGGATCATCACATGACCCAACATTTGCAGCTCTAAATACATTCTTGGGATTTCTTGGCAATCAGCTGCGAAAACTGTCAAAGAGTGCATTTTTTGAAGTGGAAAATTTAAAACTAATGCTTGAGGAGAACGCTTCTGGTGTACGTAAAAATCTCCTGCGAACTTTGCTCGAAGTGTCTCAAGATTTTGCTTGTCGGTCTTTAACAACGCACCATTCAACTCGTATGCAACAGAATTTGTCATCGACTGTCCAGAGCATGGTTCATAGAGTGGAAGGAATGATTCAGTGGGAACAAAGTAATCATCTGTTAATTGTTTTTCAAAGTATCGACTCTCAAACAGTCGCAGCTTTTTATCGCGAAAAATCCAAGGTTCCTTCAAACATTTGTGAACTACTTAAAAGTCAAACGGTGGGTGAAAAAAGTAAAGAGCTTGTCGATTATAAAGAGTTGAGTCACGTGGAGCTACATAAAATGCTGGAGAAAATTGCCTGCACGAGATCGTCACAGGGAAATGTTGCAGCTGATTTCTCAGGTTATGCATTGACGGCAGACAACATGTTGAAGATGATTTTAATAATACTTCGTATTAGAGCTAAGATTCCGATCATTATCATGGGTGAAACTGGTTGTGGAAAGACTAGTCTTGTTCAATATTTGGCTTCAACTTGTGGTATTCCATTCTCAATCTACAATTTTCATGCTGGTCGCACTGACGACGAAATAAGGAAATTTGTTGAAAAGGAAAGTGATAAAGCCCAAAGCGCTACTAGTCAAAGATGGATATTCTTGGATGAAATCAATACATGCCACCATCTTGGGTTAATCAATGAAATAATGTGTCACCATGCCTTACTCGGGCGTCCAATTTCCAGAAAACTGGTTTTCATTGCTGCTTGTAATCCTTACAAATTACGATCGCTAGAAAGTTCATCAACAGCTGGTCTTGAAGGAAAAAAAGTTGATGATGAATATTCCAAGTTAGTTTATCGTGTTCATCCTTTGCCAGAATCCATGGTTGATTACGTTTGGGATTATGGGTCATTGACGCCACAAGATGAGAAAGTTTACATTGGAAGAATGGTGAATGAATTTCCTGAAGAATACCAACACGTTTTAACGGAGCTTCTTGCTTTATCTCAGAATTTTATACGGGACGTTGAGAAGAATCCATTCTGTGTAAGTTTACGTGATGTTCGACGTTGCATTCATCTTGTGAAGTGGTTTATTGATACGTTAAAGAAACGAAAAATGTTAATGAAAAAAATCTTAGAAAATGGTGAGGAAATTCCTAAAGTTCCATCTCGTCTAAAGGAAGCTCAGAAAATCTCAGAACGTTACGATGATCTTCCAGAAATAAAAAGTTTTGTTCTAGCATTGGGGCATTGTTATTTGTCAAGATTGCAAACTGACCCTTTCCGAAGAGAATACATAAAACGCCTTACACCTTCCCTTGCATCAATTGACGTAGATAAAAAAAGTTTTATAGACATAATTCGTATGGAGCAAGAGGATTATCTTTCACGTATGGAGCTTCCAGAAGGAACAGCAAGAAATGCCGCTCTTCGTGAAAACGTTTTTGTCATGTTAGTATCAATTCTCAATCGTATTCCTGTGTTTGTTGTGGGAAAACCAGGTTGCAGTAAGTCATTAGCAATTCAGTTGATTCGAAGTAATCTTCGGGGAAAAGATTCAAAAGATGCATTTTTTAAAACGCTACCTCATCTGTATGTTGTCTCTTACCAAGGATCAGAGTCTTCTACATCTGAAGGTATTGAAGAAATTTTTAAAAAGGCCTCAAATTACAAAAAGCACAACAGCTCTAATAATGTATTACCTGTTGTTTTATTGGATGAAGTTGGATTGGCAGAAAATTCACCGAACAATCCTCTAAAAGTTTTGCACAGCATTCTTGAACCAGGAAAAGGAGAGTTACCCGAGGTTGCAGTCGTCGGTATTTCCAATTGGGCCTTAGATGCAGCGAAAATGAACCGGGCAATCCATTTGTCTCGACCTGAACCTTCAATAAAAGATCTTAGTGAAACAGCTATTTCTCTTTATCAAGGTGACCAGAAATCAAAAGATGTTATTAATACATCAACTGAAAATGTTCTCCGTTTAATTGCTGAAGCTTATCATGTGTACCGCTCAAAGCAATTACATTCTAATTTTCACGGTCTTCGTGACTACTACTCTCTTGTGAAAAGTCTAAAGTGTGGAAGCTGTTCTGATATGGAATCGATAAATATTGCCTTGAAACGAAATTTTGGGGGAATTCCGGAAGAATCTAGCGTTGTGCAAGAAATTTTCAATGAAAGATTGAAGACCGTAATTTCTGCGAGCAAGACTGAAAGTTATATTCCAGTTACCCGACTTATTGAAGAGAATATTAATGATCTGAAAGCTAGACATCTTATGCTTATTTCGAATGGTGATTCTGCTATTGGCATTCTAAGACAACATGTTTTTCAGTCTACAAAGGAAACTATCACAATTTTTGGCAGTAATTTTGAAGAAGATATATCCGATGATTACAACTATAGAATTTTAAGTCGAATCATACTTTGTATGGAACGTAATTGCATCCTCATTCTTCGTGATCTTGAATGTATATATGGAAGTTTATACGACATGTTGAATCAAAATTATTCTGTTGTTGGAGGAAGAAAAAACTGTCGAGTTGCCCTTGGTGCCAACAGCAATCCCATGTGTTATGTTAACGATGGATTTCGCTGCATCGTCCTTGTTGATCACGATCAAGTCGATTATTCCGATCCTCCGTTCCTGAACAGATTTGAAAAACAACTTCTTCGTTTTTCTGATATGTTAAATGAAACCCAACAGGAAATTAGGAAAGAATTAGAGTCATGGGTTTACCAAATGTCGAGTGTGGGAGGTTTCAGAGATAAGTTCAAGGAAGAGGATATGTTCATTGGTTTTAATGAAGACACGTTACCATCATTAGTTCTTTATCATAGTCATGATTCTGAAGAGCCAGAGGAAGTCGTCATAAAGAAGTGCAAAGATGATCTTATGTGGATTGCAACACCTGACGGAGTTTTACGCACTGTTGAAAGTGATCGTTATAATGAAGATCCACGAGAAGTAGAGAAGCTTTCAAATGAATATTTTGAAAAACCAATTCACAACGGACTTGCATCATTTTTATCACATTTTGTGAAACGACAACATTTATTTCATGATGTGGAAAGTGAAACTTGTTCAATTATCTTTTTGATGACACATGCCACAGTGCACACAGATATCAGTCATTGCCTTCACATGGAAAATATATCGTTTCAAATTGAGCGACTTGGAGCCTACAAGTCTGGTAAGCAACTCGAAGATAAGATACATAATTTTTTTACATCTGAAAAAGAGCTTTTAGTCGTTCAATGCAAACCAGAACTGGATGCAGAACACATGCTTTTCACTCGATCAATTATTGAAGAAAACGAAATGCCTACTTCAAGTCATTTAGGAAGCTCAGCACACTTTGCAAAGGAAACACGTCTGCATGATTGTCCACGTGCGTCGAGCATCTCATGAAAATACTCCACGATGGCAGTTAAATTTCCTTAGTGGATGGAAGCAAGTTTTCCTTGATACACTCGAAATACCATCAATTCCAGTAAATGAAATATTTGATCAAAGTATTGACGACATCCTCTCAAACTCAGTTTGGTCATTTCAAGGATTTGCCGAAAACTGCATAGTATGGTGCTTTAACTGTTTAAATTATTTACGTAATGCTAAGCGGCAAGAACGTGTGCTGGAAATCGCCAAAAACCTATTTACATCAGATTGTGTCAGTAAGACGTTTCAGGATCTTGTTTTAAAGGAATCAACCAACTATACTGGAAACACAAATGAGCAATGGCAAGTTAAAGTTGCTTGTGACGTGGAACTTCTTTGTAATTCTTCAACACTTTCCTCTGCCATGGAACAACATCTAGCATTATTTGTACGTCAGCCGTTAGCAAAGCTTGTTTACTTTTTGGAAAATGAAAACTCCTGGCCACCTCACCTTCTGAATAAAAATGTTGCAGATGATGAAGAAATGTGGTGTGATCTTTTATCAGATGAATCAATATTCGACTTCAAGAAAATCCCTGAATGCAAAGGAGTGGATTCGTACTCCATTGATGGAATACGTCAAGATTTGATGGTTCCATTCAGTCAGGTGATTGCCAAAAGAATGGAAAAAGCACGTAGCTTCATCATGAAAGAATACGCTGAAGCCATGGAGATTGAAAATAATTTTGATGAAAATGGTGAATTAAAAAAATCGGTACTACTTGAGCAACTTCAGCGATACTCTATCGCTTTGCGGAAACATGCGCCTTGCGTCATCCATTTGTCAGAAAACCATGCAAGTTCTTATATGGCTGACATGTTCGACATTGCATCAGGAGATTTTCACGACAAAATAAACAGCGAGCATAGAATTTCTGTTACGATGTGTGCCTTCTTATCTTTTGCTAAACAGTGGTGTCCATTTGACTTTGAAGACTACGTTGAATTCTTCGCTTTGCTTCACTTGTTTCTATGGATATCTGGTAAACAATTAAATCGGATTTTGGCATTAGTTAATTGTTTTCTTGAATTTGATTTTACAAAGTATTTGGACGATTTTGTCCAAGAATATTTTGAAAATAATAAGACAAATCTGCCCATCGACTTTCTGGATAAAAGACTGATTCTAAGCAACATGGAGGAAAGTGATGACAGTGGTAGCGAGAGTGATGTCAGTGACAGCGAGGATTCGTCTAGTGATGAAGAAGACGATGAAGATGAGGACGAAGAAGACGATGAAAATGAAGACAATGAAGATGAGGACGAAGAAGCTTTTGAAGAGTTATTGGTCATTTTGATCTGTGATAAAATGTTTCCTTCAAAGAAGTCAGTGTGCGAAAATGGTGGGTTGGATTATTGGATAAGGAATTCGAAATTGTTGCTTACATTATCAAATAACGTCTGCGATTCCGTGGCAGCTTATCATTACTTACGTTTATGTGTTGAGTTTGGAGAAACTGTAATTCAGCAAACTGGTATTTCTGAAGAATATCTTTATGCTCTGAACAAAATTGGAAAAAGACTCAATCCCGATTATCTTAATGACAACAATTCTCTTCAAATGATTAAAGAACAACTGTTGAACGATGTTGAAGAGTTAGTGAGGGGTGATGAACAAAATTTTGTAATTTTACATTCATTTATGTCTCAGTTTTATAGCCGTTGTGTTGAGGCAAACACCGAAAGGCAGTCATCGCGTCCAATCATTGATTATATTTTTTCTCTGAAAAACGAAGATTTGCGTAGAATGACTCCTGTCCTTTATCGCTTGTTATACACGGAAGAAGCAAAATGCCCTGGAATATTTATCGATATTATTTTGGCGCAAAAGTAGACGAAAGCAAGTCATGTCTTCGTGACATTGACAACACATTGAAAGAGCATTTAAAAAGAAAGAGATTAACCATGACTCATATGCAGCAGTTATGATTTGCGACTTAATTCATTTCATCCAATGCTTCGACGAAAACTTTAACATAGAAGACTTGAGTACTGAGAGTAAATTGATGAAATGTCTTCGCTCTGCAACAAACATGGCAACTGGTACTGAAGATGCCTTTGGCTTGGTTCTTCTGTCATCCATTGCATTTCTACGAGGATTTTACTGCATGCTATCTAAACACTCCTATCTCTTCTCCCGTGAAACACAATACTCAACCATTTTGTGCGAAATAAACTCACTTTTGGAAAGTGATGACGAAAGGCACTACTCCATTCGAACATTCTTTTTAAAACAACTTCTTGCATCCGGTCTGACCATGTATGAACTTCAACACTTATGTTGTGCTAGTAATCAATTACCAGTAATGAAAAATATGTTCCAACAAGGCTGTGACTTTGCTAAGGTTGAGTTTACATTTGTCTCCCAGATGGATAAATATGAAGAGTTGAAAGAAGCCCTTTGGTCATCCTCTCACGGAAATGATGTAGAGTTACTTGCTATTGCCAGAAAATGTGAAAACTCCTCCAAAGATCGTCTAACGTTACTAGGGCTCATTATGAATACTTTTTACGTTAAACGAGCAGCTGGTAATCTTAATGATAATGAAGAAAAGTTGGCGAGAAAATTGTTCGAAAAATTCAAACATTTTCCACATCCTATGAAGCAACTAATTTCAAAATTACTTAGCTTGGAAAAATTCAGTCATTATGGTTTACAAACTTCTTCAGATTCGCCTGCCAACAAAATTGACATTAGTTTATTAATACTTCATGTATTGGGTGTTGTTTTGAGCAGTTTTGAAATTGAAAACTCTCCATTGCTTCGATATGTAATCCATTCAGAAAAATGTCAGTCCACCTGGATTCTTGCTTCTAGAAATGACGAAAAAGCCAGAGTATTAGACCAGTTTCGTTTTGTAAATGAAGTTTCTACAGTAAACTGCGTGTGCAAGTTACACTTACAATATCATGGTCAAATGAAAAAATGTCCCAACTGTGGTACAGAAGTGGACGTCAAGGATCGTGATAATTCCCTCTCTGATGAAACAGTGAAATCCTATTTCCACAGCACCGAGTGTAAAGATTGGGAAACATGCACTGTGAACATGGAGCCGTCTGTCTATCGAGCGTTACATTTGATTGTTCACGCATGCTTTTATGGAGGAATTGCAGTTGGTCTGTCTTCGAATGAAGTGATACTGAAAACTCTTTTTCCTGAGAATGAAGATGGAAGTTTAGCAGATGCCTGTCTTAATCAGATAAACGAAGATCTAAAATGTTTGCAGACTATTCTTTCTTGCAAGAGACAAACTGCAATTGATGTAATGCATTTAGTGGTTGAAGAATCTACTCCACTGCTTCAAGGAGTTGTTCAAAGTGGAAATACATTGATAAATAACACAGAATGTGTGCAGTGGGAAAGCAAGTTCATTGAAGTAGTGAGCGAAATCTTCTTCAAAGCCTTTGGATCAGCAAAACCGCTCAAAGAACAGAGAATGAAGGCAAAGTTAAAGATTATGGCGCTTTCTAAGATTGAATATGAAATGCAAGAGCTTGACCAATATCCCACTGATTTTGATGAGCAAAATAAAAAATTGAAAAGATTGTTTCGTATCACAAGAGAACCGTCCTTTGTAGACTTGCGAGCAATATTTTTCAATTATTCTAAAGAAAATAGCAAGGAATACCCTGTTCTAGCTGTTTTGTTGTCTTGGTTTGACGAGCTTCCTTATCTTGCTTGTTTATATCCTCTGCTAAAGTGGACACGTTTTATCACATCCAGGTTGACCCACAGTATCAGTCGCAAAGAAGCGCAGAGCCGTCCTATCAGTGATTTTATACATTCAGATTTGCAGGCTGGAGAAAGCGATGGATTAGAAGAACAAAAGGAAATGTTTAATAAGTTCAAATATGCGTGGAATGAAATGCATGAAATCTTGAATCAGCACCTGGACGACAATAAAAAGATGCCTTATATTAGCGAAGATGATGCTATTGGCTACTGCCTTTTAGATGGCGACTTGAGTGTGTATTTGAAAACAGCAATAAATATTCTACAGTCAATGCAGAACAGCTTTTTAGACTCTATGGTCGCGACTTCATTGAGAACGAAACATCCAGCTGTTAGTTTCCTTACAAAAAGCGAGAACTGCTGTGGTGTGATGTCAATATCACTACAAGATGTTAAAGAAAAAGATATCATCAATATTGAGTGGTCAAACAAATACCTGAGGTACACACAAAATCCAGAGTATGGTTGTGGAGAAGATATTGATTATGATTTTGAGCAGATTGAAAACATCTTGACTAATGAAATAGTTTTGGGAAAACTTTATCTTACAGATATTTCAAGTACATTCATATTTTCCCACGAACTCTTCCATTCCAGTGCTAATGTATTGATGAAGATTCGTGAGTTGTGTCCACAAAGTCCAACTCTTCCTGAAGGTATTGATCAAGGAATAGAGACACTTAAAGAACGCAGAAAACAAGATGCACGTAACTTACTTCAAAACATCGAGATTATCATATATTTACTGCATTCTGATCCCAAATCCATCGAAGAAATTCAAAATATGGAACTTGTTGAATTCGCTGACACATTTAAAGATAAGCTTCCACGTCCGTTTCCGGTTGACCTGTTACCTGAACCCAAGAAATCCATTCATCTTACTCATATTGCAGCTCTGTATGAAGCATTAGAAGACGTACTTGCCGATGGTACCATCGAAAGTCTCCCGAAACATTTTGCAGTTGTTTTGACAGATGAAGTAAAGAAACAACTAGATAGTTTAGTCCACCACAGAAATGGGCAAATCAAAGCAAAACAGTTTCTTCAAGTGTTACGTCGTTTTGCATTTCGTTATCTGTCAGCTGAAAAATTTCATCCTGAAGCCAAAACACCTTTACGTAGTTGTCTGCAAGAACCGTCATTGTGGACACCAGGCGATGTTCCACAAGAAAATGTCATTCCTAGGGAGTTAGTGCTGGGAAATATTCATTCAATTATTAAACATCTACAACAGGTAAATATGTTACTGTTTAAGTCTATATTCTAATAATTACAGATGAATGTTCTTCATCAGCAATGTCTCGCGTGACCAGTGGTGACTGAAAAGAACTTGCAGACTCTCAAAGTTAGGCAACGGAATGTTTTCACATTTCAAAAGTTTTTTAAACTGTTTGTATAAGTTAGTGTTGATCTCCAAAAATCTTTTTCAAACCGTTCGTTATGAACTGTACCTTTACTAGGAATTGTACGCTTATTCCTAGTAACAAATCTCTTTTTGGTTTTGCCTCACTAGTTGACCAGTATTATTGTGCGTTATTAAAGTCTTTAATGCTTTGTGCGATTTAAGGAATCGTGAAAAACAGCAGTACTAATGTAGCTTTTATATTGTGTTTTTCTCAGCAACAATCCGGGCAGAGAAGTAGCGTGCAAAATGATGGAAGAAATCTGCCTGTCGTATCCAGTAAAAGAAAAAAACGATTGGCAATTAAATTTTTTCGTTAGTTATTACGTCATTGACGTACATTTCATTTACAAGTCACAATTATATAAAATAATGATTCATTATGATTGTAGTTAGAGATAATTAGTGAGTATAACAGCTAATTAAAGCATAAAATTGCATAAATAGAATTAAAGTAGATTTGGTCCATGTAACAGTTAACACAAACATTGCCACATATATTTTGTGGGCAATTGATGCAATTCATTAAATTTTATAATCGGTACTGTTTTGGTGTATTGATTTTTAGATATTTATGTACATGTAGATAACCAATTGTTCACATATAGATAACCAATTGTTCACATATAGATATCCAATTGTTCACATATAGATATACAATTTGTGCAATTGTTCAAAAATTAATACATTTGAATTCCAATCTCTTTAAACGAAGGAGGTGCTTGACGAAATGTGAACTTTTATCATACTCAGTGGAAAGCATTGTCAAAAACCAAAGTCATCCTCAGCTTCAAAAACAATGAAGTAAGCCAATATTGAACAAAACATCATGATATTGCCACTGAAGACAAGAGCCATAGCTCCATATTCAATCTATAGTAAGGAGAATTTGTGCGTGATCAGTTAACATAATGTACAACATGTTTTGGCATTTAAGTTAATACATTCTAAATACCAATAACTGTAAAAAATATAAACATGAAATAATATAAATCGTCCAGGTTGGTAAAGTCCTGAGAAGGACTGTTTTTGTTGTTGTTGACTGATGTTTTGACAACCTTAGAGGTAGTCAACTTTTGACTCTGAATTATACCAATCTGGACAATCTACATTTACAAACATGTAACGATACTCTTGGGTTCAAACCATTTACTTTAAAACAATATAAAGTAGACTACTATAGTGATCCAACTTTTCATACACAATCACGAAAACTGTTCATTTTACATGAGAACAAAACATAACTTGCTTATTTAAATAAATGCATACCACTTTACTTCTGGCCAGAACAACAGGTAAACCTATAAATAATGATAAGGTATTTACGCAAGATGGTATTGAAAATTATAGAAACTGCATTTAATATTGCTATAACTCACCAAATGCTGACAGTACAATTCCTGATGTTAAAAACAAAGCTATTTCTTTACATAAACTAAAAGTTGATACACAGAAACTTAATACTTGACTATTATTACTAAGGATGGCATTTTTTAAGTGTGGGTGAAAGAAAAATACATACTAACTTTGAATTTCCAGACATTCCCAGAGTATCCGGTTGAGAAACATCGACGGTTTTTTATGTTACATTACGATTAACTTTGATTATTAGCTATAAACGTTACATTTATTTTTGCTTACTTAATTTTGAAGAGTTCTGTGGTTGTGTAAAACAAATTTACGCCTTAAAGTTAAGTTTATCTTGCTCAACTCTTTGTAATAACTAGAATTTAGACAAAAATTACGACTGCCAAAGAGTATTTTGGTAAAACACAAGACAATAACTTTAACCCTTAAGAAATGATAGCTTTTTAGCTTTTCATGTTAGCTTTTCTACTGATAATGACATGTAACACTTGTCGAACGTTTAGATTAAATAATTTTTACTAAATGCGGAGCGTCTATTGTCTTACTAGAATTTAGACGCCGAGTAACTTTAGAAAACTGCATATGTATTGCTAGTAACCAAATTCACATGAACACGGAAATCCTAATAATTTTTCTTCATCGAGTTTCCTTGTTTTTTATTCAACGACGTTGAGTTCGCATGAATTTGGTACATTAAAAATGTTTATCTGCAAAAGGATCAATTCTAATTTAAAACATCATCAAAAATCATCGATATGTGCATTGATCACATCTTCCTGCTGCAACTCCATTTCGATAATTCGATTTTTCACGTACATATTGGAATTGAATTGAAATGGCTGGACAAAATTTTCAGGGGCTATAAATAACCAATGATTGAACAGTTTTAGCCACTTTCATTGGTTGAATAATTACAGAAGAGAAAAGATTGTAATGCAATGGACCTTGGGCAAGAAGAGAATGTCGAATGACCGAAATATCTCTTCAAAGCAACTTTTAAAAGCGAATTCGAAGAAATCGTGTAAATTTAATTTTAGATAACATTTCGGTGAAATTACAGGTGATGTATATTTTACTTACTTTATATTACATAATTTCCTGTGCAATTAGAAAATGATTTACAAGTTTTATCACTTATATGGTTGATAACTTGATGGCAATTTATTTCATACGCTATATATTCTACTTGCTATGAATGACAATACTTCAGTTCTGGTTACTGGTATCTTTAGAGAAGGTTGAGTCTAATCAATGATTCAATTTTTGATCTCAAGGGAAATAATTTCTTGTAAATCCATCTGATCCCTGTTTCACCTCAATGACCTCCCATCTGCCATTCTTTTTAGAGAGACTGCACATAATGATTGATCTGTGGTGGAGAAGATGTGCATCAACTTTATCATTACATAGTTGTTGGTCAGGAAACTTCCTGTCGTAAAACTTAAGCCTGTAGTATGGATACTTTGAAATGTTGGATGAACCCCAAGCACTGAGTGTGAAAACTATTTTATCAATATGCTGAGGAATGGACTGAAGGTTTACATTTACTCTTTGACGTCCTTCACCAACACCCATATATGCAGGACCTGAATGCTCAACTCCAGGGACTTGCATCAAAGAACGATTTCGATAGTATATGGTACCAAGATCATTAGTTCCACTGTATGCAAACACTGAAACATCCAAATAATCACGTGACCTTCCATAAGGTAATCCCCAACAAAAATCAAAGACAACTTCATCTAAATCATCAGGTACTGCACACAATACAACAATAAGATGTAGTGTACTGTTTGGTGGAATATTGTAGTCTTTTAATGTCATTGCACCATGACCTGGACTGTAAACCTAAATGGCATAAAAAGTAAAATTCATTGGATAGTTTGATGAAAATGATGATTGAGTCAGCCCCTGACATAACATTTTTGCTACTTGGGAATAATTCCTTTGAACAATATTAATTCAACCACCAATATGATTCACATACATATAGATAATGGCAATATATGTGCCTTGAACAAATACTATTTTTACTAATATTGATGTTACAACATAAGCTTTTGTGAGGTGCTTTGCCCAACTTTATTTTGCACTATTGGAGTCATTTTAGTTATGTAAGCTAAACTAATCTTTATATGCAAAACTCAAATTTGATATACAAAAATATGTGCTGTACCACATTTGTTCCAAAAATATATGTGTTGTAACCTCAATGGTCTCAAACCTTGAGCTCTTTATTTTGATAAAGTAGACGCTGCTTTTCTGGCTCTGTTTTGAGACCACTTTGCACTTCTTTTTTCAGATCTGAAATTTTCTTATTTCGATAATAAGGTAGAGTCAGTGATTCTCCAGACATGGTTGTGATGTAGAGATCGCCTGACTGTAGCATGTATGTTGTTTCTTTACTTGGTATTTCTTCATTCTCTTCATTTGGAAAGAGGAATTCCAATGCCTCCAGATATTCTTTGTACATGATATTGTCTTCAGTGACTCTGATCTCGCACAAAGAACACATCTGGTGTTTCTTAACACTTTCAATTGCACACTAGAAACAATAACAGTTAAGACTTGTAGAAATAAGATAATAATAGAAACTATAACAATAACAGGGCCATGCCTTAATTTCTTTTAGAATATAATTTGTTTTAAATAATTTATTTTAAGCATCATTCTAAATGTTTCAATAGCAAGAGTCAAAGCTGAGGATTAAACAAAATTGTTTGATAACTGTTGAAAAAATTGACAGCAACTGATACGTCTTTCTGTTTTTTAGATGATTTTGTGAAATAAAAGGAAAATGCAATTGAATTAGTATATACGAGTGATGTGCACTTTTCATTCACAAATGTATCAATTGTGAGATAGACATATAGATTTAAATGATGCAATGAGGAAAATTCAACTTATATATACTTACATCGAGACAATGAAGAAGTGCATGATCACAGTTTTCTGTCAAAGGAAAAAATGGAAATTCATTTGAGAGTTTTTTGTCGTGACAAAGGTGGCATTTCATCTTGCCTTCGTAGTTCACGAAAGCAACTTGAACATATGGAATTTATAAATAGGATCTGAAAAAGTAAAAGAGAAAGAAAACTTTTGTTATTATAATGGTTTCCAAGAATACAAGATAATTCCAGGTAACGCTATCCTGAGAGTTCACCGGATGCGTTACGCTTTACAACAGAGGAAAGCTCAACATGACAGCATCTCACAATTAAAGGTTGTCTTATTAAAATGTCTCCGAAAAGAATAATCTGAAATCAGCTGCAACTGTGAAAATTATCTTCACCAGACGATTTCTCAGAATAATCATCGTTTGTGAATATCATTCAAACATCCACGTAAGTGATTTTACAGCCAGACTTCCGTTTAAAGTGTTAAGTGACGGCAATCAACACGAACCTGTAGATTTTTTCTTCTTTGTGTTTATTTTGTTCGCTATCCCCTTAGAGTATTGCTTTTTTATCAATTTTCTTGTTCGAAGTTGACTTATCTCTTGGAAAAACGCACGTGTACAAATTTATACAGATTTTTGTGATTTCTTTCCATAATATAGTCGAAAGTAAAAGTGAAAGTAAAATCTATACATCTATTTTCAAACATCTTCGTACGTAAATATTACTTGAATATTTGAAATTACACAGTTGTCATACTATGTCATATATATTTAATGTATTTCCTAGGATATTCTTCAACGTGTAGCAATTTCTCCTACGCCAACTAATTTTAATTTCAACATAAATTTGTGCCGTGAACATCTTAGTGAATAAATTCAATTTGTTACAAACTATGGAGCTGAACTGGAGTCTATATACTAGCTATGTTTAGGGTATTTAGTATTCCATACATTTTTTGAAACCAGTTGCTACAATCCTATCCTTAACCCTAACTCATTTGGTGTCGCAGTTACGACAAATAACCTTGAGAAAATCGCCAGCGTTAACTGACCTTGAGGGAGGGCGAAATTTTTAAAGGGGGACTTTATTCCTTGAAATTTAACCTCCCCGAGAGGGAAATATTGGATTATAACAGGTAATTTGTCCCCTGGCAGTTATTACGCATAATAGATTTCCTGCGACACTGGAACAAATAAACATGATACTCCCAACCCAATTTAACCTTAAGAATATTGCTGTGCAGAATGATACAATAGATACAACATGTAGTGAATGAATAAAATATTTTAAATCATTTCGCAAAAAGGTTCTTACATGCTTTTCATAAGTTTCGTCAGTTACGAAGACGCACTGTAACAAATACGAATTTTGTCTGCAACACCAACATGTTATTGGCAAAAAATGAAATAAATAAAGGAAGAGCTATTATAAGTGGACTCCTGAGTATTTAAAAACTGACTGTCAGAAATGAATGCCTCACAGTAATTTGATGGGTGAATGGGTGGACTTAAGGTTACCTGCTTGACGTCATCACATGTAGGAACGTAGCAGAAGAGGCGAGGGGTAATACTTAAGGTTACCTGCCTGACGTCATCCCATTTCTATGTAGAAACGTAGCAGAAAAGGTGAGGTGTAATACTTAAGGTTACCTGCCTGACGTCATCACATCTCTATGTAGAAACGTTGCAGAAGAGGCGAGGGGTAATACTTAAGGTTAACTGCCTGACGTCATCACATCTCTTTGTAGAAACGTTGCAGAAGAGGCGAGGGGTAATATTTAAGGTTACCTGCCTGACGTCATCACATCTCTATGTAGAAACTTAGCAGAAAAGGCGAGGTGTAATACTTAAGGCTACCTGCCTGACGTCATCACATCTCTATGTAGAAACGTAGCAGAAGAGGCGAGGGTAATACTTAGGTTACCTGCCTGACGTCATCACATCTCTATGTAGAAACGTAGCAGAAGAGGCGAGGGGTAATACTTAAGGTTACCTGCCTGACGGAATCACATCTCTATGTAGAAACGTAGCAGAAGAGGCGAGGGTAATACTTTAGGTTACCTGCCTGACGGAATCACATCTCTTTAGAAACGTAGCAGAAGAGGCGAGGGTAATACTTTAGGTTACCTGCCTGACGTCATCCCATCTCTATGTAGAAACGTAGCAGAAGAGGCGAGGGGTAATACTTAAGGCTACCTGCCTGACGTCATCACATCTCTATGTAGAAACGTAGCAGAAGAGGCGAGGGGTAATACTTTAGGTTACCAGCCTGACGTCATCACATCTCTATGTAGAAACGTTGCAGAAGAGGCGAGGGGTAATACTTAAGGTTAACTGCCTGACGTCATCCCATCTCTATGTAGAAACGTAGCAGAAGAGGCGAGGGGTAATACTTTAGGTTAACTGCCTGACGTTATCACATTTCTATGTAGAAACGTAGCAGAAGAGGCGAGGGCAATACTTAAGGTTACCTGCCTGACGTCATCACATCTCTATTTAGAAACGTAACAGAAGGGGCGAGAGGTAATACTTAAGGCTACCTGCCTGACGTCATCACATCTCTTTGTAGAACGTAGCAGAAATGGCGAGAGTTAATATTTAAGGTTACCTGCCTGACGTCATCACATCTCTATGTAGAAACGTAGCAGAAAAGGCGAGGTGTAATACTTAAGGCTACCTGCCTGACGTCATCACATCTCTATGTAGAAACGTAGCAGAAGAGGCGAGGGGTAATACTTAGGTTACCTGCCTGACGTCATCACATCTCTATGTAGAAACGTAGCAGAAGAGGCGAGGGTAATACTTAAGGTTACCTGCCTGACGTCATCACATCTCTATGTAGAAACGTAGCAGAAGAGGCGAGGGGCAATACTTAAGGTTACCTGCCTGACGTCATCACATCTCTATTTAGAAACGTAGCAGAAGGGGCGAGAGGTAATACTTAAGGCTACCTTCCTGACGTCATCACATCTCTTTGTAGAACGTAGCAGAAATGGCGAGAGTTAATATTTAAGGTTACCTGCCTGACGTCATCACATCTCTATGTAGAAACGTAGCAGAAAAGGCGAGGTGTAATACTTAAGGCTACCAGCCTGACGTCATCACATCTCTATGTAGAAACGTAGCAGAAGAGGCGAGGGGTAATACTTAGGTTACCTGCCTGACGTCATCACATCTCTATGTAGAAACGTAGCAGAAGAGGCGAGGGTAATACTTAAGGTTACCTGCCTGACGGAATCACATCTCTATGTAGAAACGTAGCAGAAGAGGCGAGGGGTATTACTTTAGGTTACCTACCTGACGTCATCACATCTCTATGTAGAACGTTGCAGAAGAGGCGAGGGGTAATTATTTAGGTTACCTGCCTGACGTCATCCCATCTCTATGTAGAAACGTTGCAAAAGAGGCGAGGGGTAATACTTAAGGTTACCTGCCTGACATCATCACATCTCTTTGTAGAAACGTTGCAGAAGAGGCGAGGGGTAATACTTAAGGTTACCTGCCTGACGTCATCACATCTCTATGTAGAAACGTAGCTGAAGAGGCGAGGGGTAATACTTAAGGTTGCCTGCCTGACGTCATCACATCTCTATGTAGAAACGTAGCAGAAGAGGCGAGGGTAATACTTAAGGTTACCTGCCTGACGGAATCACATCTCTATGTAGAAACGTAGCAGAAGAGGCGAGGGGTAATACTTAAGGTTACCTGCCTGACGTCATCACATCTCTATGTAGAAACGTTGCAGAAAAGGCGATGGGTAATACTTAAGGTTACCTACCTGACGTCATCCCATCTATATGTAGAAACGTTGCAGAAAAGGCGATGGGTAATACTTAAGTTTACCTGCCTGACGTCATCACATCTCTATTTAGAAACGTAGCAGAAGGGCGAGAGGTAATACTTAAGGCTACCTGCCTGACGTCATCACATCTCTTTGTAGAACGTAGCAGAAATGGCGAGAGTTAATATTTAAGGTTACCTGCCTGACGTCATCACATCTCTATGTAGAAACGTAGCAGAAAAGGCGAGGTGTAATACTTAAGGCTACCTGCCTGACGTCATCACATCTCTATGTAGAAACGTAGCAGAAGAGGCGAGGGTAATACTTAGGTTACCTGCCTGACGTCATCACATCTCTATGTAGAAACGTAGCAGAAGAGGCGAGGGTAATACTTAAGGTTACCTGCCTGACGGAATCACATCTCTATGTAGAAATGTAGCAGAAGAGGCGAGGGGTAATACTTTAGGTTAACTGCCTGACGTCATCACATCTCTATGTAGAAACGTAGCAGAAGAGGCGAGGGGTAATTATTTAGGTTACCTGCCTGACGTCATCCCATCTCTATGTAGAAACGTTGCAAAAGAGGCGAGGGTAATACTTAAGGTTACCTGCCTGACATCATCACATCTCTATGTAGAAACGTTGCAGAAGAGGCGAGGGGTAATACTTAAGGTTGTCTGCCTGACGTCATCACATCTCTATGTAGAAACGTTGCAGAAGAGGCGAGGGTAATACTTAAGGTTACCTGCCTCACGTCATCACATCTCTATGTAGAAACGTAGCTGAAGAGGCGGTAATAATAAGGTTGTCTGCCTGACGTCATCACATCTCTATGTAGAAACGTAGCAGAAGAGGCGAGGGTAATACTTAAGGTTACCTGCCTGACGGAATCACATCTCTTTTAGAAACGTAGCAGAAGAGGCGAGGGGTAATACTTTAGGTTACCTGCCTGACGTCATCACATCTCTATGTAGAAACGTAGCTGAAGAGGCGAGGGTAATACTTAAGGTTACCTGCCTGACGTCATCACATCTCTATGTAGAAACGTAGCAGAAGAGGCGAGGGGTAATACTTAAGGTTACCTGCCTGACAGAATCACATCTCTATGTAGAAACGTAGCAGAAGAGGCGAGGGGTAATACTTAAGGTTACCTGCCTGACGTCATCACATCTCTATGTAGAAACGTTGCAGAAAAGGCGATGGGTAATACTTAAGGTTACCTACCTGACGTCATCCCATCTATATGTAGAAACGTTGCAGAAAAGGCGATGGGTAATACTTAAGTTTACCTGCCTGACGTCATCACATCTCTATTTAGAAACGTAGCAGAAGGGGCGAGAGGTAATACTTAAGGCTACCTGCCTGACGTCATCACATCTCTTTGTAGAACGTAGCAGAAGAGGCGAGGGGTAATATTTAAGGTTACCTGCCTGACGTCATCACATCTCTATGTAGAAACGTTGCAGAAAAGGCAATGGGTAATACTTAAGGTTACCTGCCTGACGTCATCACATCTATATGTAAAAACGTAGCAGAAAAGGCGAGGGGTAATACTTAAGGCGCACTTATTGCAAACGAATTGGTTGGCCATTTGTATTTTAGAGTAAAGCCACAATAGCTCATGATTAAAATGATGTGAATGCATTTTAACACATTTAACTGACAATCATCACGTTGGAGTCATTGTTCTCCCGATTTTAACGCTTTAGAAAAAATCAGGAGTCACAGTCAATTTCACAATTTTTTGACTGTAAAAATTTTTCCATGTTTTTTAAAAAGTTTGGTAGTTTGTTTTAAAATAAATACTTCCTTCCAAAACCCGGGGGTTTATTTGCTAAATTCGAACATTGCAAGGCAATTTATGAAGCAATAGAAAACAGAAAGACTAAGAAAGGAAGTGGATGCCAGTAAACATCACTAATAAAATTTTATGAGTTAACGTCAAAAACCTGAAATTTCGTTTTATCTCCAACCTTGCAAGACTATATGCTATTTAATTGTACCCCCATCTTATCAGTGATTATAATCCAATATTGGGTAATGGGCACTTTAACTCCCCTCACGTTTCAGTCATTTCAGGCAAGGGAACCTCCTTCATCTGTTAGTTCTGTGCAAAATCCAGTTTTTCAGCTCCGGCTCCGGTCTCTTGTCTGTTGTGAACTTCGGCTTTTAACTGCAGCAATTTATCAACTCGCATATCTGATGCGGCTTGTTCATTTGGCAGGTCACTCTTTAACTGTCTTAGGTTTAATATTAGTAAAATTTCCGCACTCCGACTTTCAATCAGAGATTATCATATGTATTTAGCGACATGTTGTGTCATAAAACATTTTACTTTCGTGCAAGTTCTTTAATTTTAACCGATAGTTATCGTTCGTTGATACAAAAATGTTTTGATCGGATACGCTTACCAAAGTCGAACAGTACTTTTAAGAAATAAAAGATGTTTACTGCGTTTGCACAGGCTTATGCAAACCGAGGAGACCTTAGGGAGAACTCGAGAGCAGATCAGTGCAAGACCGAGGCCGAAGGTCGAGGGTTGCACACGCTTCTTGGTTGTGTTCTTTATATATTAGATTTGGTGGAGTGGAAGAAGGACGATTGTGTACAAGTTTTGCAATTTATATTGTCTTCACTTAAAGTTTGTTTTATCATTTATATTAACTTCTGATCTCCAACCTCAATTGTTTTACTATTTATATTCAACGTTCATCTGGTCATACAGTAATTTGTTTTTTACGAGTTGAACTTTTTGGACATGCTTAACTGTCTACTTGCAATGATTCAGTTTTTTTTTCAAAAATTTTAGATTGGTCGAAAACTGGCTTCAATCTCCACAACTATACATAAACGTTTATAGTGTAGTGGTCAAAATGGGCAAAGGAAAAAAGAAAAACAAAAGAAAAAGAAAGAATGGACAAAATGTCAATCGCCAGGAAGAGGTGAGAGCAGAAAACGAAGGAAATTCCTCTTTGCGCCAAGTAGAAGAGGATTGGGACAATGATTTGCGTTCAGATGACGAAACTCGAACGAATGATGCATCCTGGCTAAGCATGTCTCAAGATGGCAGTGGTGATGCAAGCACTTCCACATTTGATAACTCTGGTGTTAGTTCTCCAGATCAGGTAAATGATATCAACTCAATACTCGATCCTCCAAATGAAACTTTTGAAAGTAACCCAACTGAGCATAATAAGATAACTATAAAAGCTCGCATGTAAATGATGTATTTTTTTACCTCAGCAGTTGCTGTATGTAAGTGATATGTAGCCATTGTTCTCAACTTTAAACGAAAAGAAAAGGAAATCATGAAAAAGGTTCAAAACACCCATTCTTGCAATTCTGCCACGTTTTGCTATTAAAGCTTTCACTATTAGACAAAACTTCACTTAACTATTTTCACCAGATACTCTTTTGTTACAGATTTCAAACTAAAATAGCCATAAAAATTATTTTTGAAATTTATACATATTTATCATACTTAAAAGCTAAAAAAGCTTTTAAGTTATGTTTGTGCTTATCTGTTTTGACATTTTATTTTTTTTCATAGAAAAACGATACTGGTGCATCATATGATGTCAATGACTACTCCAATATGTTCAAAAACGTACCGCCTTTGTTTCATCAATTATTGCACTTAGCCAAACAAAAAAAAATTGGGGATATAGTGCATCGTTTGTGTAGTTATGAGAATCCCGTTTCTTCAGATCCTGCTGTTATTGAGGAATGTATTCAATGGGTAATACACACGATACCTTTCGTTGAAACTCAACAGCTTTTGTTTCTTTGTGCATTACTGGGTTATTTGGCTAAGATGAGTGGAGTCAGCATTTTACATTTACCAAAGAACGACACCACCAAATCTGCTTGTGATAAACTGCTTGATAATCTCGGTAATTGCATAAAAAAGAAGTTTTCACCACCTGGTAATTTTTTGCCACTACTGGCAAACAGTGCTGGCACAATCGTCAAAGGATGTAGCAAACCTGGATGGCTAACTCTGGCCGCACACTTTGGATGGTTTCTTGGTATGGAATACGTACTCCAGCTATGGATGGACGAGTACAAGTACAATAAACAAGAATATAACCAGCTACTTTCTTTATTGGTCTATAATTTGCGAAAAGTAAACTCCCACCAGCAAGATGTCTATCATCATTATCTCAAACGTATTCTGCAGTTTGCCCCTGATGATGAAGTGTTGTTTCAACTGTCGCAAGATAAAGATCGTGTGTTTCGATTTTTTCTCGGTCGAGATCAACGCGAGAAGTTTTTTTTACAGCTTATCAGGGAGAGGCTAAACAGTGGCAAAGGTACCTTAGCAGAGAAACTAGCAGCCCTTCACCAATTGCCTGAGAAAATGCGTGAAAATTTGCATAGTGTTATTTATGGTATTGTTCAACATTATATTGACACAGTCGCCGATCCATCATCTGAAGACATGAATGCTGTTTTTAATTTGATTTCAAATTTAAGCGTTGAAAGCTTCAAGACGATTTTACAAAGTGTTTCGAAATCCCAATTACCACATCGAGCCAACCTTTTCCCTCAACTATTAAATGATCCTCGGTTTGAGAGCTATTTTAGACAATTATCGGTCGATGTTCGAGCTCAGTTTTGCAGGTATTGGGTTTGTAACCAGGCAGTATGGAGTAAAGAAAGTGCGGAAAAAGTTAAAGCAACATGTGAGGCCTTAGACATTCTTGTCTCATGTCGTCACATTTTGTCTGATGATAAAGTCATCGAACGCTTATGCAAGTGTATTGTTGATGACCTACGTAAAAATGACTTTTTCGTCATATTGGAAGGATCAAAAAACTTCGATGATTTCTCTGAGTGTGCTCAGTATTGTATTGAAAGGTCAATCACTGATACAATGAAGCGACATTTGGTGCAAAATAGCAGTGAAATTTTCAAATATTTTACAAATGGAGGGAGAAAAGTGTTTGATAGGTAGGTTATCATTTATTAATGTCGATGGCTTTTCTCGCCAATCAACTTGTCTTCTTAAGACATTACGTCATAGCACTTGTACACAGCTGTGTTATTGAGTCATTTGGTGAATGAGGAAAGGGACTCATTATTTTTTTGTTTTCAAGAAACTTTGACATCTTTGAAACTTTGAAACTTTTTGCATTTTATATAGTAAGTTAGTCGTAAAAATGGTTGTTTTGATATTGGTTTATTTTTTTATGTTAGTTCATCATCATCCGTGGTGAAACGTGTTTTTAAGATGTTGTGGCAACGTCCATCTCGGTATGTCATTGAAACATAATTTAAATAGTTTCATTTTGTCTATTTTGGGAGGTATGTAGTAAAATGTTATGCGCATATATAGTAACATACGTATGCTTTATACTCTTTAGGATATCAAAATACGAACTGTGTTTGCTAAAATGCTCGTTAACTGTTTTGACTCCCCCGAAAGATGGTGTCAATAATGAGAATGTTGTTGTTCAAATTCTTCAATTTTGTGATATTTGGGTTGAACTGGTTGCTGCAAAAGGTAGGTGTGTGAATATCTAAACAAGACAAACGAAATTTGCTTCAACCAAATATTTTCACTGTAGAACATTTTTGTAAAGAGAACGCGTTCAAGGCATGGGAAAAGATTTGGAAGGATATGGGAAATCGCATCATGCGAGAAGACATCACGATCTCCACTTTGAAGAAAATTGAACCGTATCAAGATCAATTGTCTTTTATTTTTTGTGGCCTTAACTCTGGAAATGAAAAGGAACAAAATAATTATACATCGACCATCACAAAACTTGTCCAAACCGAGGCAGATTTTCGTCAAAAGTGTGATCTTTTAGTGAAAGCAGAGAATTTTTCTCAACTCGTTTTTCCTAGTTGTTCCTTAAAAGAAAGCATTAAAAACTATGATGAAGAATCGAGAAAGTTGAATGAAATCAACGAGAGTTTTTGGAAACCTTATGCGCCGTTATTGCAACAACTAAAGCCTTTGGAAGCGCTACTGAATTCAGTGTCTTTTTTTAGAATTGCTAAAATTTATCTGCAAGAAAATCCTCATGACTTTTACAGTTGTTTAGATACAATTGACAGGAATTTTCAGGTTTCTTTTTTTCAAAATCTTTCAAAGCAAGGCGTTCATCGTTTTGAATTTGAGTGGCAGAAATTATTTGGTAACCCAGATGATCTGAAAGTCAGTGAAATCGATGCTCTACTTGGAAATATGGATCTTAACAAGTTGGATGACGAATTGGCTCTTTTGGAAAGCCATTTTCAGAAAAAGCTTCCATCAAATATTAAATCATACCTGACAGGTTGTATGGAATTTCCTCGCATTTTAGAGCAAACAAGACATATCAAAGACTTCTTGCAATCATTTGGAATTCGTTATACCAGTAGAAGTGCAGATATTTTGATGGTGATGGATTTTTGTTCAAAATTTGATTGTGAACTGAAAGACATTGTGGTAGAGCATTTACACAAATCTATCAAAAATATTCAAAACATCATTTCCAAGTATGATATCGACCACACTGATGTGGTAATGATTGAGTTGGTGAAATCTCCCGAACTTATTCAATTTATTCAAGAAATTGTTGATGATGACATTCGTGTTCTTATTGATGCAGTTGAAGAACATTCTGAAGAAGCTGTTTCTGCTTCTTTGGTATCAGATCTTATTCAAGTACATGGCTTCTTGGCTCCTGTTATTAAAAAATGCTCTTTCCATCCCGATCTTGTCTTGACGACCCTTGTTGGAGAATGTAAGAAACAAGCTAATATAGCCCAAAAGATTCGCCAATGCAGCGAACATGTTCACAGTCTACGAGGATTGTATCAAAACGTTGCCAATCGAGAGGAAATGACGAGAGAAATTATAAGAAACTGTTTGATTGATGGAGAATTTTACATCAAATTAGATGTTGACGGTATTTGCCATATTACAATGCGTTATCAGAAAGAAACTAAACAAACAATGAAGTCAATGCCCGAACTTCAAGATTTACGAAGTCGTGCTCATTTGATCATAAGCTCGGAACAAAATCCTCTTGAAATTATTGACAGGGAATCCAATGAAGAAATTGATTTCCATGAATTCATCGAACGCATCAATTTACTCTCAGAAATTGAAGAAGCAATCATTAATCTTCAGTCATCAGGTTACGTGAAATATCAAAAAAATTGCGAGTGGAAATCTTTGTATGAAATAAAGCATCTCGAAGAGCTTAAAACTGCCCTTTACAAAGATTTGCATGAGTGGGAGCAATGCTTACACAATGCTCGGGAGCGTCATTACTTTCTGAATTATTTTTGGTCACATCAATTAAGTGTGCTTTACGATTTCATTACTGGTAAAATTAATGATCTTCACACTATTCTCACTTTAATGAAATTTGTCGACCAAACAATGGATTTAAAACGATTGCGTGACTTTGCAAACTTAAATTGTCATTATGAAGCTGCACAAACACCATACGAAATCATTGCAGCCATTGGCGGTGCACTGGATGTTATGTTTTCAGATATCTGCCCTCAATTATCGTTGAAAAAAATCTCCGACCACGTATCTCATTTGGAACCTAAAGTTTCTGTTCAAAATGGCGAACTCTACGTTGTTGCCTTAGAAGAAGAAAGTCCACATACTGTAAACGTGTTGATGTCTCTTTACGAAAACACAACCAATGCTTTTCCAGAGCCACATCAAGTTATGTTTTGCAATGAAACCACGCCCTTTGAGCAGTTACAAATTTTTTTGAATAGATGTTTCAATAACAACAAAAAATTAGCCTGTGATAGTTTATTCTGTCTAGCCAATGTTGAGCTTCTTTCCAATGAACTTCAGTTTTACTTGATTGATTACATCAAGAAGAAAGAGTTCCAAGATTGTGATCAGGAATATTTACTGGCAATTATTTGTCGAGGTGGTGCTCATCATCATATCATTGAAGAATTCTCAAAGTTTGTACATCATATCTCTGGTATGTCGTACCCTGAAATTGCTAGTCGATTCAAGAAAACATGGCCCCATGTGAAGTGTGTGATATCCACGTTACAAGGACTTGGAAAGACAGAATACATTCGTAACGATGCCCTTGAAGTGAGTATTAATGTAGTTTCGTTTCCCATAAGTGGAGAAGTCATTGAAAGTAAGATCATAGAACGATTGAAGAATCTTCATCTTAAAAAGGATTTCCGGTGTCTCCATTTTGATATTGGTGAAGTTGATGATCCAATTTTGTTGGACACATTTATTTTCCAGCTCATCATAACGGGAATGGTGTCTTATGGTACTCAAATGTACAGTCTTCATAACCAGAGAGTTTATATCGAAATAGCCAATTCGTTGGATAACTGGTTGGTGGAACGCTTGCATATTTCTGGATGTTTTTGCCGTATTGAATTGACATGGAATGACTTTAATGACTTAGAAATCACAAATAAAATCACCAGTAATATTCAGGTTGTTTGTCAGTATTTGAATATACTGGATAAAGGTAAAGTAGATAACGTAGATATTCATTTTCATGGTAATGAAAAAGTTAAACCTTTATCAGAGCAGAGATGTCGTGAGTTGCTACGTCAATACTATGGATCGTCAAGTGACCCAACATTTGCTGCCCTAAATACATTCTTGGCTTTTCTTGGTGATCAGCTGCGAAAACTGTCAAAGAGTGCATTTTTTGAAGTGGAAAATTTAAAACTAATGCTTGAGGAGAACGCTTTTGGTGTACGTAAAAATCTCCTGCAAACTTTGCTCGAAGTGTCTCAAGAATTTTCTTCCCGGTCTTTAACAACACGTCATTCCACTCGTATGCAACAGAATTCGTCATCGACTGCACAGAGCATGGTTCATAGAGTGGAAGGAATGATTCAGTGGGAACAAAGTAATCATCTGTTAATTGTTTTTCAAAGTATTGACTCTCAAACAGTCGCAGCTTTTTATCGTGAAAAATCAAAAGTTCCTTCAAATATTTGTGAACTACTTAAAAGTCAAACAGTGGGTGAAAAAAGTAAAGAGCTTGTTGATTTTAAAGAGTTGAGTCATAAGGATTTACATAAAATGCTGGAGAAAATTGCCTGCACGAGATATTCACAAGGGAACATGGCATCTGATTTCTCAGGTTATGCATTGACGGCAGACAACATGTTGAAGATGATTTTAATAATACTTCGTGTTAGAGCTAAGATTCCTATCATTATCATGGGTGAAACTGGTTGTGGAAAGACTAGTCTTGTTCAATATTTGGCGTCAACTTGTGATATTCCATTCTCAATATATAATTTTCATGCTGGTCGCACTGACAACGAAATAAGGGAATTTGTTGAAAAGGAAAGCGATAAAGCCCAAAGCGCTACTGGTCAAAGATGGATATTCTTGGATGAAATCAATACATGCCACCATCTTGGATTGATCAATGAAATAATGTGTCATCATACTTTACTTGGGCATCCAATTTCCAGAAAACTGATCTTCATTGCTGCTTGTAATCCTTACAAACTGCGATCGCCAGAAAGTTCATCCACGGCTGGCCTTGAAGGTAAAAAGGTTGATGATGAATATTCAAAATTAGTTTATCGTGTTCATCCTTTGCCAGAATCCATGGTTGATTACGTTTGGGATTACGGGTCATTGACGCCACAAGATGAGAAAGTTTACATTGGAAGAATGGTGAATGAATTTCCTGGAGAATACCAGCAAGTTTTAACCGAGCTTCTTGCTTCATCTCAGAATTTTATACGGGATGCTGAGAAGAATCCATTCTGTGTAAGTTTACGTGATGTTCGGCGTTGCATTCATCTTGTGACGTGGTTTATTGATACGTTAAAGACACGAAAAATGTTAATGGAAGAAAGAGAAAGAAACGGTAAATCAACTCCAACTTTTCCAGGTCATTTGGAAAAATATAAAAATCGTTCGATGAAGTACGATAGTTATCCAGAAATAAAAAGTATTGTTCTTGCTCTTGCTCATTGTTATTTGTCAAGATTGTTTAGAGATGACTTGCGTAGAGCTTACATACAGAGCCTGACACCTTCACTTGCATCAATTGACGTAGACAAAAAAAGTTTTATAGCCATGATTCGCATGGAGCAAGAAGATTATCTTTCACGTATTGAGCTTCCAGAAGGAACAGCGAGAAATGCCGCTCTTCGTGAAAACGTTTTTGTCATGTTAGTATCAATTCTCAATCGTATTCCTGTGTTTGTTGTGGGAAAGCCAGGTTGCAGTAAGTCATTAGCAATTCAATTGATTAGAAGTAATCTTCGTGGAAAAGATTCAAAAGACGCATTCTTTAAAACGCTACCTCATCTCTATGTCGTCTCTTACCAAGGATCAGAGTCTTCTACATCTGAAGGTATTGAAGAAATTTTTCAAAAGGCTTCAAATTACAAAAAGCATAACAGCGAAAGCAACGTATTACCAGTGGTTTTATTGGATGAAGTTGGATTGGCAGAAAATTCACCAAACAATCCTCTGAAAGTATTGCACAGTATTCTTGAACCAGGAAAAGGAGAGTTACCAGAGGTTGCAGTTGTCGGTATTTCCAATTGGGCTTTAGATGCAGCAAAAATGAACCGGGCAATCCATTTATCTCGACCTGAACCTTCAGCAAAAGATCTTGGTGAAACTGCCATTTCTCTTTATCAAGGTGACAAGAAATCAGAAGATGATATTGATAAGTCAACTGAAAAAGTTCTTCGTTTGATTGCAGAAGCTTATCATGTGTACCGTTTAAAGCAATTGCATCCTAATTTCCATGGTCTTCGTGACTACTACTCTCTTGTGAAAAGCCTTAAGTGGGGCAGCTGTTCTGATATGGAACAGATAAACATCGCCCTGAAACGAAATTTTGGAGGTATTCCCGAAGAAACAAGTAACGTTCAAGAAGTCTTTAATGAAAGATTGAAGACTGTAATTTCTGCTAGCAAGACTGAAAGTTACATTCCAATTACACGACTTATTGAAGAGAATATTAAAGACTTGAAAGCAAGACATCTTATGCTCATTTCAAATGGTGATTCTGCTATTGGCATACTAAAGCAACATGTTTCTTACTCTGCAAAGGAAACTATCACAATTTTTGGCAGCAATTTTGAAGAAGATCAATCTGATGATTACAACTATAGAATTTTAAGTCGAATCATACTTTGTATGGAACGTAATTGCATTCTCATTCTTCGTGATCTTGAATGTATATATGGAAGTTTATACGACATGCTGAATCAAAATTATTCTGTTGTTGGAGGAAGAAAAAACTGTCGAGTTGCCCTTGGTGCCAACAGCAATCCCATGTGTTATGTAAACGATGGATTTCGCTGCATTGTCCTTGTTGATCACGATCAAGTCGATTATTCCGACCCTCCATTTCTGAACAGATTTGAAAAACAACTTCTTCGTTTTTCGGATATGTTAAATGAAACCCAACATGACATTAGGAAAGAATTAGAGTCATGGCTTCACCAAATGTCGAGTGTAAAAGGTTTTAGAGATAAGTTCAAGGAAAAGGATGTGTTCATTGGTTTTAACGAAGACACGTTGCCATCATTGGTTCTGTATCACAGTCATGATTCTGAAGAGCCAGAGGAAGTCGTCATGAACAAGTGCAAAGATGATCTTATGTGGATTGCAACACCTGACGGAGTTTTACGCACTGTTGAAAGTGATCGTTATATGGAAGATCCACGAGAAGTAGAGAAGCTTTCAAATGAATATTTTGAAAAGCCAATTCACAACGGACTTGCATCATTTTTATCGCATGTTGTGAAACATCAACACTTATTTTATGATGCGGAAAGTGAAGCTTGTTCAATAACATTATTGATGACGCATGCCACAGTGCACACAGATATCAGTCATTGCCTTCGCATGGAAAATATGTCTTTTCAACTTGAGCGACTTGGAGCCTATAAGTCTGGTAAGCAACTCGAAGACAGAATACATCTTTTTTTTACATCTGACAAAGAGCTTTTAATCATTCAATGCAAACCAGAACTGGATGCAGAACATATGCTTCTCACTCGATCAATCATTGAAGATAAACGAAATGCTTACTTTAAGTCATTTAGGGAAGCTCAGTACACTATGCAAAGGAAACACGTCTGCATGATTGTCCACGTGCGTCGAGCATCTCGTGAAAATGCGCCACGATGGCAGTTAAATTTCCTTAGTGGATGGAAGCAAGTTTTTCTTGATACACTAGAAGTACCATCAATTCCAGTGAATGAAATGGTTGACAAAAGTATCGACGACATTCTTTCCAACTCAGTTTGGTCATTTCATAGATTTGCTGTTAACTGTATTGTATGGTGTTTCAATTGTTTAAAGTATTCACATAATGCAAGAAATCAAGAGAGTGTGTTACGAATCGCGAAACACTTATTTGCATCGGATGATGTTAGTAAGACTATTCAGAATCTTGTTTTAAAGGAATCAACCAACTATATTGGAAACACAAATGAGCAATGGCAAGTCAAAGTTGCTTGTGACGTGGAACTTCTTTGTAATTCTTCAACACTTTCCTTTGCCATGGAACAACATCTAGCATTGTTTGTACGTCAGCCTTTAGCAAAGCTTGTTTACTTTTTGGAAAATGAAAACTCCTGGCCACCTCACCTTCTGAATAAAGATGTTGCAGATGATGAAGAAATGTGGTGTGATCTTTTATCTGATAAATCAATATTCGACTTTAAGAAAATTCCTGAATGCAAAGGAGTGGATTCGTACTCCATTGAAGGAATACGTCATGATTTGATGGTTCCATTCAGTCAGGTGATTGCGAAAAGAATGGAAAAAGCACGTAGCTTCATCATGAAAGAATACGCTGAAGCCATGGAGATTGAAAATAATTTTGATGAAAATGGTGAATTAAAAAAATCGGTTCTACTTGAGCAACTTCGGCGACACTCTATTGCTTTGCGGAAACATGCGCCTTGCGTCATCCATTTGTCAGAAAACCATGTAAGTTCTTATATGGCTGACATGTTCGACATTGCATCAGGAGATTTTCACGACAAAATAAACAGCGAGCATAGAATTTCTGTTACGATGTGTGCCTTCTTATCTTTTGCTAAACAGTGGTGTCCATTTGACTTTGAAGACTACGTTCAATTCTTCGCTTTGCTTCACTTGTTTCTATGGATATCTGGTAAACAATTAAATCGGATTTTGGCATTAGTTGATTGTTTTCTTGAATTTGATTTTACAAAGTATTTGGACGATTTTGTCCAAGAATATTTTGAAAATAATAAGACAAATCTGCCCATCGACTTTCTGGATAAAAGACTGTTTCTAAGCAACATGGAGGAAAGTGATGACAGTGGTAGCGAGAGTGATGTCAGTGACAGCGAGGATTCGTCTAGTGATGAAGAAGACGATGAAGATGAGGACGAAGAAGACAATGAAAATGAAGACAATGAAGATGAGGACGAAAAAAGTTTTGAAGAGTTATTGGTCATTTTGATCTGTGATAAAATGTTTCCTTCAAAGGAATCAGTGTGCGAAAATGGTGGGTTGGATTATTGGATAAGGAATTCGAAATTGTTGCTTACATTGTCATATAACGTCTGCGATTCTGTGGCAGCTTATCATTACTTACGTTTATGTGTTGAGTTTGGAGAAATGTCATTCAGCAAACTGGTATTTCTAAAGAATATCTTTATGCTCTGAACAAAATTGGAAAAAGCCTCAATCCCGATTATCTTAATAACGACAAATCTCTTCAAATGATTAAAGAACAACTGTTGAACGATGTTGAAGAGTTAGTGAGGGTGATGAACAAAATTTCGTAATTTTACATTCATTTATGTCTCAGTTTTATAGCCGTTGTGTTGAGGCAAACACCGAAAGGCAGTCATCGCGTCCAATCATTGATTATATTTTTTCTCTGAAAAACGAAGATTTGCGTAGAATGACTCCTGTCCTTTATCGTTTGTTGTACACGGAAGAAGCAAAATGCCCTGGAATATTTATCGATATTATTTTGGCGCAAAAAGTAGACGAAAGCAAGTCATGTCTTCGTGACATTGACAACACATTGAAAGAGCATTTAAAAGAGAAAGAGATTAACCATGACTCATATGCAGCAGTTATGATTTGCGACTTAATTCATTTCATTCAATGCTTCGACGAAAACTTTGACATAGAAGACTTGAGTACTGAGAGTAAATTGATGAAATGTCTTCGCTCTGCAACAAACATGGTAACTGGTACTGAAGATGCCTTTGGCTTGGTTCTTCTGTCATCCGTCGCATTTCTACGAGGATTTTACTGCATGCTATCTAAACACTCCTATCTCTTCTCCCGTGAAACACAATACTCAACCATTTTGTGGGAAATAAACTCACTTTGGAAGGTGATGACGAAAGGCACTACTCCATTCGAACATTCTTTTTAAAACAACTTCTTGCATCCGGTCTGACCATGTATGAACTTCAACAGTTATGTTGTGCTAGTAATCAATTACCAGTTATGAAAAATATGTTCCAACAAGGCTGTGACTTTGCAAAGGTCGAGTTTACATTTGTCTCCCAGATGGATAAATATGAAGAGTTGAAAGAAGCCCTTAGGTCATCCTCTCACGGAAATGATGTAGAATTACTTGGTATTGCCAGAAAATGTGAAAACTCCTCCAAAGATCGTCTAACGTTACTAGGGCTCATTATGAATACTTTTTACGTTAAACGAGCAGCTGGTAATCTTAATGATAATGAAGAAAAGTTGGCGAGAAAATTGTTCGAAAAATTCAAACATTTTCCACATCCTATGAAGCATCTAATTTCAAAATTACTTAGCTTGGAAAAATTCAGTCATTATGGTTTACAAACTTCTTCAGAGTCACCTGCCAACAAAATTGACATTAGTTTATTAATACTTCATGTATTGTGTGTTGTTTTGAGCAGTTTTGAAATTGAAAACTCTCCATTGCTTCGATATGTAATCCATTCAGAAAAATGTCAGTCCACCAGGATTCTTGCTTCTAGAAATGACGAAAAAGCCAGAGTATTAGACCAGTTTCGTTTTGTAAATGAAGGTTCTACAGTAAACTGCGTGTGCAAGTTACACTTACAATATCATGGTCAAATGAAAAAATGTCCCAATTGTGGTACAGAAGTGGACGTCAAGGATCGTGATAATTCCCTCTCTGATGAAACAGTGAAATCCTATTTCCACAGCACCGAGTGTAAAGATTGGGAAACATGCACTGTGAACATGGAGCCGTCTGTCTATCGAGCGTTACATTTGATTGTTAACGCATGCTTTTATGGAGGAATTGCAGTTGGACTGTCTTCGAATGAAGTGATACTGAAAACTCTTTTTCCTGAGAATGAAGATGGAAGTTTAGCAGATGCCTGTCTTAATCAGATAAACGAAGATCTAAAATGTTTGCAGACTATTCTTTCTTGTAAGAGACAAACTGCAATTGATGTAATGAATTTAGTGGTTGAAGAATCTACTCCACTGCTTCAAGGAGTTGTTCAAAGTGGAAATACATTGATAAATAACGCAGAATGTGTGCAGTGGGAAAGCAAGTTCATTGAAGTAGTGAGCGAAATCGTCTTCAAAGCCTTTGGATCAGCAAAACCGCTCAAAGAACAGAGAATGAAGGCAAAGTTAAAGATTATGGCACTTTCTAAGATTGAATATGAAATGCAAGAGCTTGACCAATATCCCACTGATTTTGATGAGCAAAATAAAAAATTGAAAAGATTGTTTCGTATCACAAGAGAACCGTCCTTTGCAGACTTGCGAGCAATATTTTTCAATTATTCTAAAGAAAATAGCAAGGAATACCCTGTTCTAGCTGTTTTGTTGTCTTGGTTTGACGAGCTTCCTTATCTTGCTTGTTTATATCCTCTGCTAAAGTGGACACGTTTTATCACATCCAGGTTGACCCACAGTATCAGTCGCAAAGAAGCGCAGAGCCGTCCTATCAGTGATTTTATACATTCAGATTTGCAGGCTGGAGAAAGCGATGGCTTAAAAGAACAAAAAGAAGTGTTTAATAAGTTCAAATATGCGTGGAATGAAATGCATGAGATCTTGAATCAGCACCTGGACGACAATAAAAAGATGCCTTATATTAGCGAAGATGATGCTATTGGCTACTGCCTTTTAGATGGCGACTTGAGTGTGTATTTGAAAACAGCAATAAAAATTCTACAGTCAATGCAGAACAGCTTTTTAGACTCTATGGTCGCGACTTCATTGAGAACGAAACATCCAGCTGTTAGTTTCCTTACAAAAAGCGAGAACTGCTGTGGTGTGACGTCAATATCACTACAAGATGTTAAAGAAAAAGATATCATCAATATTGAGTGGTCAAACAAATACCTGAGGTACACACAAAATCCAGAGTATGGTTGTGGAGAAGATATTGATTATGATTTTGAGCAGATTGAAAACATCTTGACTAATGAAGTGGTTCTTGGAAAACTTTATCTTACAGATATTTCAAGTACATTCATATTTTCCCATGAACTCTTTCATTCCAGTGCTAATGTATTAATGAAGATTCGTGAGTTGTGTCCACAAAGTCCAACTCTTCCTGAAGGTATTGATCAGGGAATAGAGACACTTAAAGAACGCAGAAAACAAGATGCACGTAACTTACTTCAAAACATCGAGATTATCATATATTTACTGCATTCTGATCCCAAATCCATCGAAGAAATTCAAAATATGGAACTTGTTGAATTCGCTGACAAATTTAAAGATAAGCTTCCACGTCCGTTTCCGGTTGACTTGTTACCTGAACCCAAGAAATCCATTCATCTTACTCATATTGCAGCTCTGTATGAAGCGTTAGAAGACGTGCTTGCCGATGGTACCATCGAAAGTCTGCCGAAACATTTTGGAGTTGTTTTGACAGATGAAGTAAAGAAACAACTAGATAGTTTAGTCCACCACAGAAATGGGCAAATCAAAGCAAAACAGTTTCTTCAAGTGTTACGTCGTTTTGCATTTCGTTATCTGTCAGCTGAAAAATTTCATCCTGAAGCCAAAACACCTTTACGCAGTTGTCTGCAAGAACCGTCATTGTGGACACCAGGCGATGTTCCAGAAACAAATGTCATCCCAAAGGAGTTAGTGCTGGGAAATATTCATTCAATTATTAAACATCTACAACAGGTAAATATGTTACTGTTTAAGTCTATATTCTAATAATTACAGATGAATGTTCTTCATCAGCAATGTCGCCGTGGTGACTGAAAGAACTTGCAGACTCTCAAAGTTAGGCAACGGAATGTTTTCACATTTCAAAAGTTTTTAAACTGTTTGTATAAGTTAGTGTTGATCTCCAAAATCTTTTTCAAACCGTTCGTTATGAGTGTACCTTTACTAGGAATTGTACGCTTATTCCTAGTAACAAATCTCTTTTCGGTTTTGCCTCACTAGTTGACCAGTATTATTGTGCGTTATTAAAGTCAGCTGTGCTAATCGTAGCTTTTATATTGTGTTTTTCTTAGCAACAATCCGGGCAGAGAAGTAGCGTGCAAAATGATGGAAGAAATCTGCCTGTCGTATCCAGTAAAAGAAAAAACGATTGGCAATTAAATTTTTCGTTAGTTATTACGTCATTGACGTACATTTCATTTACAAGTCACAATTATATAAAATAATGATTCATTATGATTGTAGTTAGAGATAATTAGTGAGTATAACAGTTAATTAAAGCATAAAATTGCATAAATAAAATTAAAGTAGATTTGGTCCATGTAACAGTTAAGACAAACATTGCCACATATATTTTGTGGGCAATTGATGCAATTCATTAAATTTTATAATCGGTACTGTTTTGGTGTATTGATTTTTAGATATTTATGTACATATAGATATCCAATTGTTCACATGTAGATATCCAATTGTTCACATATAGATATACAATTTGTGCAATTGTTCAAAAATTAATACATTTGAATTCCAATCTCTTTAAACGAAGGAGGTGCTTGACAAAATGTGAACTTTTATCATACTCAGTGGAAAGCATTGTCAAAAACCAAAGTCATCCTCAGCTTCAAAAACAATGAAGTAAGCCAATATTGAACAAAACATCATGATATTGCCACTGAAGACAAGAGCCATAGCTCCATATTCAATCTATAGTAAGGAGAATTTGTGCGTGATCAGTTAACATAATGTACAACATGTTTTGGCATTTAAGGTTAATACATTCTAAATACCAATAACTGTAAAAAATATAAACATGAAATAATATAAATTGTCCAGGTTGGTAAAGTCCTGAGAAGGACTGTTTTTGTTGTTGTTGACTGATGTTTTGACAACCTTAGAGGTAGTCAACTTTTGACTTTGAAGATGACTAACGCTAAGGTTGTCGAAATGTCAGTCAACAACAACAAAAACAGTCCTCAGGATTATACCAACCTGGACGATCTACATTTACAAACATGTAACGATACTCCTGGGTTCAAACCATTTACTTTAAAACAATATAAAGTAGATTACTATAGTGATCCAACTTTTCATACACAATCATGAAAACTGTTCATTTTACATGAGAACAAAACATAACTTGCTTATTTAAATAAATGCATACCACTTTACTTCTGGCCAGAACAACAGGTAAACCTATAAATAATGATAAGGTATTTATGTATGATGGTATTGAAAATTATAGAAACTGCATTGAATATTGCTATAACTCACCAAATGCTGACAGTACAATTCCTGATGTTAAAAACAAAGCTATTTCTTTACATAAACTAAAAGTTGATACACAGAAACTTAACACTTGACTGTTATTACTAAGGATGGCATTTTTTAAGTGTGGGTGAAAGAAAAATACATACTAACTTTGAATTTCCAGACATTCCATAAGAATCACTTAACCTGTTAGCAATTATAGTTGGTACTGGTGCCAACAGATAAAATATGACTACACAAGAAATTAAAAAATATTCTCAATTATTATACAGAAGAACATTTCAATGGATATGAAGGTTATGATAAATGATAAAGAAAGCAAACCATGTACGTACGAACAAAAAATGGCCACCAGATTCTAAAACAATGTAAAAACTGCAGGTTATATTGTACATTTTTACAGGTTGATGTGGCTATTTAAAAACTTCAACATCTCATACCCATAGTCTGGAAGGGCACAGCCAAGAACAACGAGCAAAATACCAATTGCTCCAGTCAATGATAGCAAGATTATGCTGTAATAAGGAAAACATACTTCTCGTTCAACAAGTTTTATGAACTGTTCATTGACTTATAGAAGTTGATTAGGGTATTTTGTAATTGCTCTCTCTGTTTCTAAGTTTCTCAAAAGACTTACATACCAAACACGATCAAAGTATTAAAAAGTCTAAAAGAAACTTACGCTAAAAATGATTTGAGTCATGAGCAAATATTCCAATGGATATAAAAAAAGACATAAAAGTCCACGTAACAATATGGAATTACTGTAATATAGGTAAACATACAAAAAAACAAATTCTTACCTTTAATACCCGCCATACTTGACGTATATTGTATTTTCTTTTTTATGTCAATTGTTGTCAAAAGTCAAAGATTACAATTGATAAGATCAATCAAGATGATGTTTTGAAAGTTTCTTTTACTTCCGTTGTATCATCGTTTCTTTTACTCTACTTTTGATAAATGCGATACATTTCACTTTTCATGCATTTCACGTGATGAAGAAAATTTCGTTAACGATATCTTGTACTGTGTAAAGGTATAAAAATCAAGATTTTAGACATGAATTTTCAAAATACTGGAACAAAAAATTTCTTGCTGAAAGTATTTTTGTACCTTTGAAGTCTTGTTAAAACACGATGAAGGGTAGAAAAAAGTTTGCTCCTAAGACTTCCGTTAAGGGAGAAAATGAGAAGATTAAAGGAACTGTTCCAGACACAATTTTAAAACAAGCAAGAAAATCTGGTCAACTGAATTTATCAAATCGTGAATTGAAAACAGTTCCCGAGAAAGTGTGGAAAATAAATGTGGAAATTCCAGAAGAGGAAAGAAATGCATCGCTGGATTCTGATGAAAAGTGGTGGGACCAAATACAATTAAATAAACTAATTCTTGCTTCAAATCAACTATCAACAATTACTGCTGGTATTCAATTGCTGGAAGCCTTGGTTGTGCTTGATGTAAGTGAAAAATTAAAACTTGTTCAAACTTCTGGGCATTAACCAAGTATAAATTAAAAATAATAAACAAAAAATGTGCCTTCATGATCAAGCATATTGTTGCAAATGTTTCAATTTGATTGGATACAAAACCGGAATCAGCTGCCAATGTGGAAAAAAAGTAAAAAACAAATTCCGGATGCATGAAATCTTTTGTGCAATATTATACTTACACATATTCATGTCATTTTATTGTGATGCAACATAGTCATAACACAAAGTTCAAAATCATCATAAAAGCATCCTTCAATAACCCTGCATATACTACATACAAAGTTCGTAAAAGAAAAGTACACCTTTAGAAATCAACATATTGCGATGGATGCTTAGTATATTGTGATCTATGTGTTTCATATCTTCATAATAATTCATCTGTTGTCTTAGCATTATGATAAGGTATTAAACATTTGATGATTAGTCAAATTCTAATAGTGTTGCTTTTTACCCATTTTATAATTCTAAGCAGTGCCTGTGTTTTTGTACTATAGCTTCATGATAATGAAATCAATTGTTTACCTGGAGAAATTGGAGATCTTCAACATCTGAAGAAGCTCAATTTAAGGTTGAACTATTGTATATTTGTATACTGAACTATTTTTATATTGAACTATTTGTATATTTTTGCTGTTTTCCTTTAGCCAAGGTATTTAATTGTACTTTTTGACAAAGTATTTTTGAGTATTATTGGTAAAACTCATTACATTATTTCTTAAAATAATGAAAATGTGTTTGACTGTCTACTTTTTAAAGCTTTAAAATATGATGAAGTTTGCCAAATGCTTTGTTCCAAACTAAACAATACATTGCCACTTAAAAATTTATGCTGTTTTCTTTTGTTAGTTACAATAAACTGACTAGTCTTCCAATTGAAATTGGTAATCTTTCATCACTTGTTTCACTTATGGTTCAACACAATCAGTTGAATGTGCTTACAGAAGATATTGGAAAGTTGGACAAGCTTGAAGAGTTGGTAATAAAGATTTTTGTGGTCAATGATTATACTACGTATTTAAAAAGATTATTGAAGTGTCTATTAGTTGAGACCTTCATACACTGATGTCAAGTCGTTTCATACTAGTGTCATTTTGTTAGCATTGTTCAGGTCGTTTCTTACCCTAAGTCAGGGGTAGGGAACTTTTCCAGTCGGCAGGCCAGATTTAGGAAAATGAAGTTATTGGTGGGCCGGATTATTACATGAATAATATTCAATATTCAATGGTTGGATACAGTCGGCAGGCTAGTCAAAATCCCTTCAGGGGCCGGACCCGGCATTCAGGCCATATGTTGCCCAACCCTGCCCTAAGTGATCATGGTTGCCTACTCCATTTCTACTGTTGTCTCTATCTAACGCCACAAAAGTACTTCTATTGCCGTCAGTTTTCCACATAGGACAAAAATGATTGATGAAAAAAGAGCATTTCTTTTTGGTAGCTGGTCCTGAACATCTCAAATATGCCCAAAACATAATAAACAAATCGTTCATACTTTTCTCGCGAGATACCTAACTTCCGTGGCCTTGCCTTTTTGTAAAATCTAATCTACTTTGTGTAAGATGCAATTGGTGTGTTGATAAGCTGTATTATGGTTCTTTCAATTAATCATGTTTTAGATTTCTCCAAAATAGAACGAATACAACAAAAAATATCCATTCAAATTCAAAATTAGACTGAGGTTAAAACATATAATAAAGAAACGATGTCGTCCATGCGTACGTGAAGTTCATCGGCTAAAAACGGCCTACGTAGCTGGGGCTCAAAACAGCAAAAGTATGAAATGACGCGAGTACGAAACGACTGTAAATTCATACACGGATAAGTCGCCCCACTTCTTACACAAACACTATAAGTTGGCCCCTTCTTATCCCTACCTTTTGATAAGTTGGCCCCTTCTTATCCTTACCTTTTGATAAGTTAAGCCCTTTATATACTTACATACACTTACCTTCTGTCAAGGTGAGATTTCCATACACTTATCTACTTGTACGTTGAGACATGCAACTTACACTTATATAGATATTTACTCCATTTGCGTGAGTATTGTCACAAATTTCATAACTATAGCGTTAATTGTAATCAAGTGAGACGTTTGCAGAATTTACCCTTAATTCATCAAAGGTTTATTTTGTTGTCGAATTATGAGAGCCAGATATCCTGGCAAGATTAGGAAATCAGCTGTTAAGTTTCTTAAGTTGTTAAAAAATGAGTGAGCTAAGCTTTTAGTCTTTCAATGATAGTGATTCTCAGTGATTTGTTATAAATTTTTTGTAAGTATTTCTCTTGTTTTTCCATAGGACGTGTCTTATAATTTGATGGGAAAATTGCCAATATCTTTGGGATCCTTGATCAATTTACGAAAATTTAACATCTCTAATAATTGTTTAAAGTATTTTTTATCAAACATTGCTGGATTGTCAGGTAAATTTCTTAATTATTTCAAACATTTTCTCAGAATCAGCTACGTCATTCCTGTGTGATATTTTGCGGGGGTTTTTTGTGATTTTTATAGATTTGTATGAAATGGACTTATCAAACAATAAACTGGAAAGTTTACCCGAAGGTGCAACATCATAATATACTTTTTATTGATTAATTCGTTTGTGTAAAGTTCTTTTATTCTTATTAACTCGTATTTTTGTAAAATTTTGTTTTTCAAATCTTTCCAGGAATAAAACATTGAAATACAAACTTTGCTTGTTTTAGATTTAAGTGAACTATCAAGATTGGAAAGACTCGACTGTCGGTACAATAGCTTGAGAAAAGTTCCTCTTTTGAAATCGTGCTCTCGTCTTAAGGTGATCTTAATTATTGAATGAAGACTTTATAGTACAAGTAAACGAGATGTTACAAGATTTGTCATCTTGATCACGAAGAAGAAACGCTAAACAGTCAAGTTAAGATATGTCGATATATTCAAAAACATAATGTTTTATATACAGCAGCGTAGCCAACCTGCAAGTTTTGGTCGTGCTATGTAAATTTTAAAATATTAACATAATTCATTTCTTTAGGAATCTATTGTTTTTACAATGAGTGAACATAAAAAATTAACATAGCAGGACCAGATTTGCGGACTGGCTACGTCACTGCTTATATACAAGCAAGCCGCTTGATACATTTGTTTTTGTTTTACTTCTGGCAAATAAATTTGTAGTTTATTAAATCACCTTTTCCTGAGCCAGAAGACAGATCTTGTGATAACATGTGACTATGCATAGTTTCTAAATGATGATCATTGATGTCGTTCAGTTTGTGATTATTTCAAATCAACTTATTTAAGGAACTTTATCTTGGATATAATCAAATTGGAAGTTTAACCTCCGTGGAAATCTTGTCTTTAACATCTGTGATGATTTTGGATCTTCGTGATAATAAAATTGACAGGTATGCTCAGCTGTAAATTTTATATTTCTGTTCAAGTGAAGGGGCAAAAAATTGATCAGATTATGACATCATGGTCTTCTTGGTTAGGGATAAAAACGTTATTTAACTGGATTCAGTTTCTTTTCTGTAAATGTTTAGTTTAGCTTAATGAGATACAACTACTATCTATGAGGTTTATATGGCTACATGGAGTGAATTACTTTCTAAGGTCATATTCATATAAGGTCAATATTCTTTCTTTAGGGAAATATTTCTCTATACTTACATGTGCGCAAAGTCCTTGCAAAAAATATTCTTTCATCTGCTTAACCAAACAGATTGTCCAAAATCGTAAATTATGATTTTATACTTTTTGCAAGATTACCGAAAGACATCACAGCTTTGTCAATGCTTGAAAGACTGGATATCTCTAACAATGATTTGTCTGAGTAAGTAGTATAAATAATGTTTATATCAAATTTTTTTCTGTGCCACACGCACATTATTAGTTAGTGATAAACGGTATGACTTGTTTCACGAGCACGTGATAGAAATAAAAAATATAAGATATTTACTGTGTTTGTACTGGCTTATGTAAAGCGAGGAGACCTTTAGGAGAACTAGAGAGCTGATCAGTGCAAATCTGAGATCGAAGGTTGATGCCAGTCAATATGCCAGTGCAAAGACTAAAACATCTTTTCATTTTTCTAAAATAACAGTATTGCAAAACAGATAAATTTTCTGTTTTAGTTGTTCCTATAACATGTATTCAAGATTGATTTGCAAATTCTCTCTGATTAATCTAATTGATTAAACTCTAATTGGTTTACACCATTTTACACAGGCTAATGCAAACTCAGCTATAAACCAATCAGCCTGCGCGTTTCATTGTTGTTTTATCAAATAAGCGTTAAATAATGCGTTAAATTATAAAATATTCCGATATTTAATGAATTTATTTGAAATAAAAACAAATACTATTTTAAAATGATAATTTTATTCAGCATCACGTGATCAAAATAAACCAATCAAACAACGGTTTATAAAAAGAGCGAAGCTTATATGTGATATTTTTGTAGACTACCTTATCAAATGGGAAACATGAATAAATTAAAATCGATCGTCTTAGATGGAAATCCTTTAAGAAGTATTCGACGAGATATCATAATGGTAGGAAATCATTTTCGTTTCTTCATTTATATTGAAGAAAAACTTTAAAGACAAAAACGCTCAATTAATAAAACTTATGATCAATTTTATAGAAAGGAACTGCTGCATTGTTAAAACATCTAAAAAATAAAATTCCTGGTTAGTATATTTGAAATATGTGTGAATATATCATTATATCACACTGAGAAATCAGGTTAGAATCGTGATGTGTAATATGATTAGTTACATGAAGTGTTAGCTTTTTATTATACATTTATTATCCATTGTTATCATTGGTTGATACGTCTTAATGTTTTGTTGAAGTGCAGAGCATTTGCTCCAAAATTCGTATAAAAGTATTGGCAATAAGTTTAGATTTTTATATTTCAGCCGACGAAGAAGGTGGCAGCACAAGTGAAGCACAGACCGAACTGACAGATCAATCATTAAGTGATCCTTTAGTGAACGTACATTTAGTTAACACGAATAAAAAATTAAACTACAGGTATTTAGTATTTATTTGGCGTAGAAAAATTCATGGACCGGTCAACCCCCCTGGCGGGGATTAATACTGGCCGGTATACAAATGTTGTTTGTTTGTTTGTTTGTATTTAGTATTTATTTGCTGAGGGTAAGCGAAATTTTTTATTGATTAAGTAAATTTCTTTTTTTCTTTACCTAATTTCTAGTCAAAAGAAATCAGTTATTATTCCTGACGAGATTTGGTCGGCTGTTGAAGGAACTGGAATATCTAACATTGACTTCAGTAAAAATCTTTTAGAGGAAGTTCCTTTAAAGTATGTCTTGTTTATTTGTCTCTTGATAGTTTTGCTCAGTTCGTAATGTTGAAGTAGTGTAAAAAAGAGTTACTGAATTCGGTTTTTGTTGAATTTTGTTTAGAGAAAATTGTAAGATTTTGTTTCATTTACAACCTGTTGGAAACGAAATTTATTTTACGTCAAATTTAAGCGTGTTTTTACTTCCTTCCTACATCTCAATGAATGAATATTAACTTAAAATTATTTTTGTTCTTTAATTGCGCATATTTTGGCAATTCCCGAAAAATGAACTTCATACATAGTGAACCTCCATGTTGGCATTCCATCATGTCATAACTATATGTAAATGTTTATTTTGAGCTAACAAATCTATATATTATGTAATTTTAAAATGTTTTATTTAAGATTGTGTACTTTTGAAGAAACGCTTGTGTCTGTCAACCTTGGATGCAACAGATTGACGAAAATCCCTCCCGAATTTTGTCTTTTATTAAGATTAACTGACCTGGATATTCGGTATGTAGCAACATAAATAGTATATGTAAGTAGATGGCAATGACATGCATCCTTCATGTTTCAAACTTTCAGTGTATACGTAGTTGGCCTGCATCCTTCATGTGTCAAGCTTTCAGTGTATACATACTTAGTTGGCATGCATCCTTCATGTGTCAAGCTTTCAGTGTATACATAGTTGGCCTGCATCCTTCATGTGTCAAGCTTTGATGTGTACATAGTTGACATGCATCCTTCATGTTTCAAGATTTCAGTATATACATACGTAGTTGGCATGCATCCTTCATGTGTCAAGCTTTCAGTTTATACATACGTAGTTGGCATGCATCCTTCATGTGTCAAGCTTTGATGTGTACATAGTTGACATGCATCCTTCATGTTTCAAGATTTCAGTATATACATACGTAGTTGGCATGCATCCTTCATGTGTCAAGCTTTCAGTTTATACATACGTAGTTGGCATGCATCCTTCATGTGTCAAGCTTTCAGTGTATACATAGTTCACATGCATTCTTCATGTTTCAAGCTTTGATGTATACATAGTTGACATGCATTCTTCATGTGTCAAGCTTTCAGTGTATATATAGTTGGCATGCATCCTTCATGTGTCAAGCTTTCAGTGTATATATAGTTGGCATGCATCCTTCATGTGTCAAGCTTTGATGTGTACATAGTTGACATGCATCCTTCATGTTTCAAGCTTTCAGTGTATACATAGTTGACATGCATCCTTCATGTTTCAAGCTTTCAGTGTATACATAGTTGACATGCATTCTTCATGTGTCAACCTTTGATGTATACATAGTTGACATGCATTCTTCATGTGTCAAGCTTTCAATGTATACATAGTTGACATGCATCCTTCATGTGTCAAGCTTTCAGTGTATACATAGTTGACATGCATCCTTCATGTTTCAAGCTTTCAGTATACACAGACGGTATTCACTAATTACGTGTCAAGCAAACATGCATGATGTATTTATCTGCACTTGAAGCTATAGTTTTACATATTTTTAGAAAAAACAACATCTCTTCTCTTCCCGAAGAATTCAAGTTACTAACTCAGTTAAGAGAAATTATTTTATCTTATAACAGGTAATGTCTGAGCCTTTAAACCATAAGTTAGTGTTTAATTGTGAAACGTATAAACTCAGCTTATCATTGAATGTTTTAGATTTCAGAAAATCTGCTTGAAGAAGAATATTATTCTTTCTTTTTATAGATTTACTATTTTACCTGATGTTCTCTTTACTCTTCCAAAGCTGGAAGTTATTCTTGCTGCAAATAACCAGGTGTGTTCATGAAAATTTGATGAGTATACCATTTTTGTGATTTGTTTTACAAAAATTATTTTAGTTTTAAAGACTTGCATCAACTACCTTTTATACTTTGCTCTCAAAGTTGCTCTCTGCGTATTATAAAAAAATGATTTCCATTTTTAAAACATTTGTTTTGTTTCTAGATTACAACCATCAATGTTGCTGGTGTTCTGAAACTCAAATTATTGTCATGTCTTGATTTGTCAAACAATAATATTTCTAATGTTCCCCCGGAATTGGGAAATGCAAATTCACTTAGGTATGAACGAACAACATACTGTCCAATTTTTCTTCAAGATAGTGATTTTTACGTTCATGGAAATCCATTCGCTTCCAGGAAATCCATGATTTCATGGAAATCCATGCGTTTATGGAACTCCATGCTTTAGGGCATAATTTTTCCCTAAAAAAACGCAAAAAAGCTTAGCTCAACAACAAACTAGGGGTGAAGCATGAGTAGCTTTGTACGTTTAATACAATTACGTCCTTGTAGTTATATTTTTAGTATTTTTATAGCCTTGTGCAAAACAGTAAATTTAGTTGCTCAAGGCAATGTACTTATTCTATTACAGATCTCTTCAGCTTGAAGGAAATCTTTTTCGTAATCCTAGACCTGCCATCTTGAATAAAGGAACCACGGCCTTACTTCAATATCTTAAGGATCGCATACCAACGTAATACTGTGATTTTTCTCTCCTGCATTAATTATTCTTTATCGTGACGTCATCAAGGGAAGAAGTTTTCACCAGTTCGTTCATGTCTATGAATTTGGCTAACAGCAGAAAAAACTATAAAATTAGCTGACGTTTATTTACCGTCTTTTGATCACTTTGGTATATCATCCAGAAAAAACGACAAAAAGTATATTGTTTAGGAATGTTTCAATTTTCTAATAAAAAAGCAAGATATAGTAAAATAAGATCGCCGCCCAAATAATGTTATGAGTCTGTTAACACATTTGAATGATTATAAACGTGATCTGATACAATTGGAAGCAAACCGCAACTTTGACAAACCGTTAATTTTCTTTTTGTCAATGCATTTTAAAGTCTGCACTAAGATTGGTTCAGAAATACTTGTTCAAGATACTAACGATTCTTTTGAAACGTGTCGTAATACTATGTTTCTCGCAAAATTTAAATACAACTGAATTTTTTTTTTGTTATTGGAAGGATTATTGCCAGGATGGGGTGACGTAAAAAATTATTGTGTGTTGAACTATAGTCTTGCTTCAAATTGCGTGAAAATGCACGATTTACAGTGTTTCGCGTGAAAATGTGTGAATATGAATGAACTATCGTCTTTGGCATGAAAATGTGTGAAAATACATGAACTACAGTCTTTGGCATGAAAATGTGTGAAAATGCATGAACTATAGCCTTTGACATGAAAATGTGTGAAAATCATGGATTATAGTCTTTGGCATGAATATGTGTGAAAATCATGAGCTATAGTCTTTGGCATGAAAATGTGTTAAAATCATGAACTATAGTCTTTGGCATGAAAATGTATGAAAATCATAAACTATAGTCTTTGGCATAAAAATGTGTGAAATTGCATGAACTAAAGTCTTTGGCATGAAAATGTGTGAAAATGCATGAACTAAAGTCTTTCACATGAAAATGTGTGAAAATGCATGAACTAAAGTCTTTGACATGAAAATGTGTGAAAATTCATGACCTATAGCTTTTCGAATGAAAATGTGTGAAAATGCATGAACGGGTAGAAAAGTATGAAAAGGTATTTGTGTCTTTGGCATGAAAATGTGGGAAAATGCGTAAACGGGTAGAAAAGTATGAAAAGGTAAACTTAAGCAAATAATGTAATTTACATATTTTTTCACATTTTCCTCCAAAGACTATAGTTCATGCATTTTCACGCATTTTGATGCCAAAGACTGTAGTTCATGATTTATACACATTTTCATACCAAAGACTGTAGTTCATGATTTTAACACATTTTCCTGCCAAAGACTATAAATCATGATTTTTACACATTTTCATGTCAAAGACTGTTGTTGATGATTTTCATACATTTTCATGCCAAAGACTATAGTTCATGAATTTAACACATTTTTACGCCAAAGACTATAAATCATGATTTTTACACATTTTAATGCCAAAGACGATACTTCATGATTTTTACACATTTTCATGCCAAAGACTATAGTTCATGATTTTCATACATTTTCATGCCAAAGACTATAGTTAACGTATATTCATTACAAAGACTATAGTTCACGTATATTCATGCCAAAGACTATAGTTCATGATTTTAACACATTTTCATGCCAAAGACAATAATTCGTGAAAATGCATGATTTATAGTCTTTCGCGTGAAAATGTGTGAATATGAATGAACTATCGTCTTTGGCATAAAAATGTGTGAAATTGCAGGAACTATAGTCTTTGGCATAAAAATGTGTGAAATTGCATGAACTATAGTCTTTGGCATGAAAATGTGTGAAAATGCTTGAACTATAGTCTTTGGCATGAAAACGTGTAAAAATGCTTGAACTATAGTCTTGCATGAAAATGTGTGAAAATGCTTGAACTATAGTCTTGCATGAAAATGTGTGAAAATTTATAAACTATAGACTTGAGTTTGAAAACGCGTAAAAATGCATGCACTATAGTCTTTGGCATAAAAATGTGTGAAAATGCATGAACTAAAGTCTTTGGCATAAAAATGTGTGAAATTGCATGAACTATAGTCTTTGGCAAGAAAATGCATGAACTATAGTCTTTGATATGAAAATGTGTGAAAATGCTTGAACTATAGTCTTTGGCATGAAAACGTGTGAAAACTATAGCTATGAAAAAAATGTGAAAATGTCTTGCATGAAAACTGCATGAAAACGTGAGTTTATAACGAGTTCATGCACTATAGTCTTTGGCATAAAATGCGTGAAAATGCATGAACTAAAGTCTTTCACATGAAAATGTGTGAAAATTCATGAACTATAGCTTTTCGAATGAAAATGTGTGAAAATGCATGAAATATAGTCTTTGGCATGAAAATGCGTGAAAATGCATAAACTATAGTATTTGGCATGAAAATGTGTGAAAATGCTTGAACTATAGTCCTGCATGAAAATGTGTGAAATTTCAAGAACTATAGCTTTTCGAATGAAAATGTGTGAAAATGCATGAACTATAGTCTTTGGCATGAAAATGTTAAATTCATGAACTATAGTTTTTCGAATGAAAATGTGTGAAAATGCATGAACTATAGTCTTTGGCATGAAAATGTGTGAAAATGCGTAAACTTTAGTCTTTGGCATGAAAATGTGTGAAAATGCATGAACGGGTAGAAAAGTATGAAAAGGTTAACTTAAGCAAATAATGTAGTTTACATATTTTTTCACATTTTCCTCCAAAGACATTAAGATCATTTCATGTCAAAGACTTTAGTTCATGATTTTCACACATTTTGATGCCAAAGACTGTAGTTGATGATTTTCATACATTTTCATGCCGAATACTATAAATCATGATTTTTACACATTTTCATGCCAAAGACTATAGTTCATGATTTTCACACAGCTACATGTCAAAGACTATAGTTCATGATTTTCACACATTTTTATGCCAAAGACTATAGTTCATGATTTTCACACATTTTCATGCCAAAGACTGTAGTTGATGATTTTCATACATTTTCATGCAAAAGAGTATAAATCATGATTTTCACACATTTTCATGCCAAAGGCTATAGTTCACGTATATTCATGCCAAAGAGTATAGTTCATGATTTTCACACATTTTCATGCCAAAGATTATAGTTCGTGATTTTCACACATTTTCATGCCAAAGACTGTAGTTCATGATTTTAACTCATTTTCATGCCAAGGACTATAAATCATGATTTTCACAATTTTTCACAAAAGACAATAATTCACGCATTTTCACAAATTTTCACAATTATTCACAAAAAGGCTATAATTCACGCATTTTCACAATTATTCACAAAAAGACAATAATTCACGTATTTTCACAATGTTTACTACAAAGACTATAATTCAGTCAATTTCACAAATTTTCACAATTTTTCACAAGAAGATTATTATTCACGCATTTTCAAAAATTTTCACAATTTTTCACAAAAGACTATAATTCACGCATTTTCACAAATTTTCACAATTTTTCATACAAAGACTATAATTCACGCATTTTCACAAATTTTCACAATTTTTCACAAAAAGGCTATAATTCACGCATTTTTACAATTATTCACAAAAAGACAATAATTCACGCATTTTCACAATGTTTAACACAAAGACTATAATTCAGTCAATTTCCCAAATTTTCACAATTTTTCACAAAAAGATTATTATTCACGCATTTAAACAAATTTTCACAAAAAGACTATAATTCACGCATTTTCCCAAATTTTCACAATTTTTCACACTTTTTCACAATTATTCACAAAAAGACAATAATTCACGCATTTTCACAAATTTTCACAATTTTTCACAAAAAGACTATAATTCACGCATTTTCACAAATTTTCACAACTTATTCACAAAAAGACAATAATTCACGCATTTTCACAATGTTTAACACAAAGACTATAATTCAGTCAATTTCACAAATTTTCACAATTTTTCATACAAAGACTATAATTCACGCATTTTCACAAATTTTCACAATTTTTCATACAAAGACTATAATTCACGCATTTTCACAAATTTTCACAATTTTTCACAAAAAGGCTATAATTCACGCATTTTCACAATTATTCACAAAAAGACAATAATTCACGCATTTTCATAATGTTTAACACAAAGACTATAATTCAGTCAATTTCACAAATTTTCACAATTTTTCACAAAAAGATTATTATTCACGCATTTTCACAAATTTTCACAATTTTTCACAAAAAGACTATAATTCACGCATTTTCACAATTCACAATTTTATACAAAGACTATAATTCACGCATTTTCACAATTTTCACAATTTTTCACAAAGACTATAATTCACGCATTTTCACAAATTATTCACAAAAGACTATAATTCACGCATTTTCACAATTTTACTACAAAGACTATAATTCAGCAATTTCCACAATTTTCACAATTTTTCACAAGACTATTATTCACGCATTTTCACAAATTTTCACAATTTTTCACAAAGACTATAATTCACGCATTTTCACAAATTTTCACAATTTTTCACAAAAGACTATAATTCAGTTTTCACAAATTTTCACAATTTTTCACAAAAGATTATTCATTCACGCATTTTCACAATTTTCACACATTTTTCACAAAGACATTATTCACGCATTTTCACAATTTTTCAGACTTTTTCTTTTCACAATTATTCACAAAAGACTATAATTCATGCATTTTCACAAATTTTCACAATTTTTCACAAAGAGACTATAATTCACGCATTTTCACAAATTTTCACAATTTTCATACAAAAACTATAATTCACGCATTTTCACAAATTTTCACCATTTTTCATACAAAGACTATAATTCACGCATTTTCACAAATTTTCACACAAAGACTATAATTCACGCATTTTCACAAATTTTCAATTTTTCACAAAAGACTATAATTCACGCATTTTCACAATTTTCACAAAAAGACTATAATTCACGCATTTTCACAATTTTTAACAAAAAGACAATAATTCACGCATTTTCACAATTTTCACAATTTTTCACAAAAGACTATAATTCACGCATTTTCACAAATTTTTCACAATTTTTCACACTTTTCACAATTTTCACAAAGACTATAATTCACGCATTTTCAATTTTCACAATTTTTATTAAAAAGACTATAATTCACGCATTTTCACAAATTTTCACAATTTTTCACAAAAAGACTATAATTCACGCATTTTCACAATTTTTAACACAAAGACTATAATTCACGCATTTTCACAAATTTTCACAATTTTTCATACAAAGACTATAATTCACGCATTTTCACAAATTTTCACAATTTTTCATACAAAGACTATAATTCACGCATTTTCACAATTTTCACAATTTTTCACAAAGACTATAATTCACGCATTTTCACAATTTTCACAAAAGACTATAATTCACGCATTTTCATTTTTAATTTAACACAAAGACTATAATTCAGCATTTCACAAATTTTCACAATTTTTCACAAAGACTATAATTCACGCATTTTC